TATACAACCGATGACTGTCAATCCATTGGTACCCAAGACGAGCCATTTTCCTCCAAAAATATCTGAAAGTCGTCCAAAGAGAAGGAAGCCAACTCCAGAGCCCAGAACCCAGACTGTGGCCACCCAGCCTATATTGTCAGATGGCCCAATTGCCTCGTTGATTAAAAGCCTGCGCGTAGTGAGTATGGTGATGGCTATAACGACCTCGGCAACCTACAGCGTGTTTGCAGTCAAGACCCAGCCAAGATATGCGACTATGCTCCCAAGACCAACAGCCTGGTGGAATTAAAGTGATGGCCTGCGGCGATCAGAGTAATGTAACTTACTGTAAAAGTTCCGATAAAGTGGGGGCTACAGTAACAGCCAGGAGGCATCTCGGCCAGGTAACCTCCCAGTGCCCTGGTGTCGATCAGATCCACCGTTCCATCAACGTGAGTTTTCTCCACGGCACCGATTTCGTCGAGGTGTTGGACCTGCGCTTTTATCACATCGTCAGTGGCATTGGCGTTGTTCATATATGCCGACAATTAACACTACGAACATAAAGCTCGTCTAGTGTTGGTGCGCTGCCGTCCACTGGCTTGAATTGGCCATACTTGAGTGGCAAGGTGTCAGAGATGGTATATCCCCAAATTGGCAATTCCGGGGTTTTTGATCTGGGGGAAAATGCGAGTCATATCAGCTCCACCACCAACAATTGAATCACAGTAGAGCCCAGCTCTGCTTATGCATGGTCCTGCAAAACTGCGCACATGAATGGATTCTCGCGTAGTCTTTTCCGTTATCCAGACTCCTTTTGCGAGGGTGCAGGCGGGCAACAAGGTCGTTACGACGATCGAGTTGACACGTTATCTGCTAGCTGAATACTAGCTAATTTCTAATTACTGCGACAACCTGTAAAGTGTCATTCGCAGTCGCTGTAGTCACCTAGAAGTGAACAGGTCGCCCCGGCCTATGCCCACGTAAGCAGACAGATCATTCGTTGAAATTCCCAAGAGCAAAGTGTTGACAGAACAGTGCGAATCAAGTGGTCAAGCCAGTCTCTCGCGGAAACACGTCCGTCCTCGCTCATTCATAGGATCTTTGCGCTGGGTGGGATCCCCTGTCGGAGGGCTTCGTTGGCCTTGAATTTGAAATGGGACGCGAGATTCCCAACAGCGAATCCAGAATTCGGGGCAGGGAGTGCAGATTACTTAGTGATGCGACAGTTAATGTCGCTGTGGTGATCGTCGTGCTTCGGCTGGTCCATCGAAATCGATGATTGTTCCAACCATATTAAACATACTTTATAGGAACTACTTGAGATCGTGCGTCTGTAACAGATCTGCGCGGTTTACCAACGCGGACGGCAGATGAACTTCAGAGTGGCAACGTCGGTCACCGTTTGCTGCCAATGAGTCAGCGGCAGCTGCGTCTTTAGCTATTTCGTAAGCCCCAACCTCATTCCTGCGAAAATGAGCTCGTAATACATAATTCGTGGGGTACAATTAACGAGTCGCCGAGAATCTCGGGAACAGGTTGGGAAAGTAGCCTCATACTCTCACGTGTGGGTTTGTTAGGTCCAAAAACGTCTTGCCACGTTATCTCTCCTACATAAATGAGTTGGAGAGCCTTATGTCCTCTAAAGGGTAAACTTGAAGCCTTCTTGTCCTTCGAGCGGCTTTTTCAGCGTGCCAGCCTCAAACTTCTTGTTCATAACGTGGAAGTAGGTGGTTAGAGAGCCGAGGAGAACGAGGATGAGCATTTGTAATCCAGCCGTAACCCACAACCCAGTGACATAGCGTGGTGCATCTTGCTGTCGAAACACGGTGGAGCCCATGATGCCCCCAATAGCTCCGAAGCCAATCTGAAGAGCACTCCCGACTGACCGCTTTGATTGAGTCCTGATGTTATTCGATTGATATGCCAGAATCGATGGGATATTGCCTTGGCATCCAGCGAAGCCAAAGAACAGGCCCCAGTACCGTGCAATATTGCCTTCGCAGTATGCAGTCATCATGAGCCCGATGATACAGACAATGGACTGGAAGGCAATCGCAGGTGCTCTTGTCTTGTATTTATCGGAGGCCCATGAGATAATCAGTGAGACGACCACAGCAAAGATGACAGGTGGCGCCGAGAGAAGGTGTGTAATCCCGACGGAATAGCCCATACTGTACACTATGACTGGGGCAAAATACGCCAATGCATAGGCAGGCATCGCAGTTGACATAAAGTTAACGGCAAATGCCCATAACTTGAAATCCTTCAGATGGAACGCAAGTTTCGACCAAGTAAGAGGATCAGGTTCAGCATCCCCACGATCTATGTTGATACGTTGTGCCACGAAGCTTGCCTGACGGTCAGTGAGTAAGCCCTTCTGAGCTGCCTTATCCGGAAAATCGACAATGATGAACCAAGCCCCGATGGCCACCACCACGGTCAAAATTCCTTCGATGATCTTTCAACATCAGCAAGAGTATAGGTGACTAAGTCGAGTTCTTACAAAGATCCATTGCCAGCCTCGAACTCCACCCAAACCTTCCATTTGTATTAAGCCGTACGCGAGAATTGACGAAAAGCCACCGACGAAGACTGATACAAGATAGAACCACGCCAATCTTTGAACGTTAGCGATTATTTCAAGGCCAAGATGATGATATAAATAGGTACCTTTGCTGAACTTCATACCGAATATACCTGAACAATAGTTAGCTTACGTTCGTTTCGATTGCAGGCTGGTTCTAGTCTGGAATGATGGAGGGTCAGGAATCGCTCACCAGCAAGTAATGAGATATGCACATCCTGGGAAGAAGCCAGCTTCAAAGGCACCAAGCAAGGCGCGGCAAAGAGCGAGGGTGCGATAGTTGGTGACAAAGCCCTACTTATTAGCCAGTGGCCTTATCGGGGGAAGGCGAAGGACTCACTTGTCCAAGCATCACGACCCCCCATGAAAAGGCGATGAAGGAGAGCCAGTTGGCACAACCCACCCGTCTAAGGACGAGATTGGAGGGTAGTTCGAGGACCATATAAGGTGGGAAGAAAGCGATTAAGGCTATGGTATAACGATTTCCGACGGAAAGCTCGAGATCTGCATCCATGCCTGAAATGCGTGCAGCCGAGATCTGACTGGTTAGCTCGCACCGAGTAATCTCTATTCAGAAAGACGTACATTCACTCGGTCGATGAGCGCGATGGAGTAGAGGGCACCAAGGATTGGGAGGAGACGTTTGTCGATTTTCCTGATCAAGGCTTTCTCAGATTTGGCGTCAAAATCGAGGAATCCATCGTTGGACTGTGGTGGACTATCCACATTCTCATCAAGCTTGGTTTGCTCAGCATGGTCGTAATTTATGACTCCCTCTTTGCCTTCATTGGTGGCCATTGTTCAGATTCTACGGTAGGATTGATTGATAATGATTGTCTTGCGCAGCACCTTGTATCTGGCTATTCAGAGGAGGCATACGGGCCAGCTTTATGGGCGACGTTGGATAGCCGTGGTCTTGCTACCCCTCAAAACTGCATATGTGCCAATGCTTCTTCAATGGCTTGGAGTTGTAGCAATCTGTCACGCAGTCAACATGTTGGAGGGCATTGACTTGGTATGCTCGTCCACATAAGCGCTAAAAACCTGGAGAAGTGGCTGGATAAGCCGATGCCCAGCATGGCTTGACTCAATTCGCATTGGCAGTAGCATTTGCCAATCCTCAAAAACGCGGGGTCAAGTGGTTCCATCCAATAGCCCGACCGTACCTTTGATTGCCGAGAGTCGCAAAGAACCACTATGGCCTCAATTCAGGGCCTTTTGTGATGGTCGAGTCAACCTACAGTCTACAAAATGCGAAAGAACCTCGGCATCGGCCTTGATGCATAAGAGTTCGCTTCGAGGGTGACGATACGCAAGTGTCGGCAATCATGTTATATTGTTCAAACCAAGAATTTACTCTCAGGGTTGAATAAGAGGTATATGCGTGACCTTGTCAGCTAGGTTATTCGAACCCGGTGTCAAACACCCGGAGTAGCGCCTCAGTCTCCAGACTAGAAGAAACTGGCGACTAAGGGGTTTTTCCTACAACCAGAGAAGGTTCAATCGAAGCGCGCGTGTACGGGGACATAAGCACACTCCTGCGATATTGCATGAATAGCGATCGTACGGCTGCATCCACTCGAGATCATGCGGCGTTAGGGATGTGGAACCTAGTTCTACTGCACTCATAGACGGTTGCAAGTCTTGAACGTACAGGCCTCGGCTTGTGCCAACACACCTTGACTTGACGGGGTGTCCAAGCTTTCCTTCACAAGGCAGGCAACGAAGCGCATAAAGACTTCCCATACCTGATTTAGGAACCGGACCATTGGGCATAAAGATGTCTCCACCAGCACTCTTATGCGGTCCTCCTATCACATGACACATGACGGGAGTGACACTTGTCTTGTGATGTCGACATTCGTTCTGCCACAATTTGTTCGTCCTGCGCGTGGAGGCGTGCGACACATCACGCCCCCAAAAAGGTGGCAAGAGTCTTGGAGAGCGGTATCAAACACGGGCGTTTGAGCATCAGCTCCAGCACTTTAGCCGAGCAATGAGGTCAGTTTGGTTCTTGAGGACGTCGAGGGCAATACAGTCATAAGTAGCACGTAGCACGAAAGGCTTGGTGGATCGAGGTGGTCTGCAATTCGATTTATCCCAGGAGAAACAAAAACAAGGATATCAGCTTCGACAGTATGCAGCTCTTGACTCTAGCGAGTTTGACAAGACAGGATCGGTGGTTCTGGTCGCAAAAATGCATCTGGCGGGTGATAGAGATACTGCACAGCAAGCATACACTCTCCCACCAATAGTAAGAAGAGACCTCATTCAAACCCTAACATCCTGATATACAAATCAGTCACTGCCTTCACAAAATCGGACACCCGGCTAACTTTCCCTGGTCGAAGTCTGCCAAGGCAAGGCTATACGACAGCCTTACGGATCAGGTGAACGACTGGCTCGATCTGGGGTTGGACGCATTTATTATTCGCAACTCCAGAATGTACAAAGCGTTGGGTGCCAGACCATAAGAGGTCACCCCTGGAACATTTACAGCGTTCTGACCCATTACGAAGACTTGATTGCGATCTGCTGATCTGTTCATCGCCTCGCGGCATACAAGCTGCAGAGCATTGCTCCAGTTTGCAATGGCTGAGCCTCGCGCAGTTTCTCCGACGCCGTCAGAGCGCAAGCGAATTGACGCAGAAGAGCGAAGACGTGAAGAGGAGGAACAATCAAAGCTTCCATACCGCTGGACCCAAACTTTGGAAGAGGCAGACGTCAACATTCCGATTCCAGGCAATCTCAAGGCACGGGACTTGATCGTGGAACTGAAGAAGACTCATATCAAGGTAGCAATCAAAGGCCAGGACCCCATCATTATTGTACGTGGCAGCCGCAGAAGCGCAGAAGCGCAGAAGTCATGCATGAACTCACATGATCCCAGGGCGACTTCCCGCACCCTATTCAAGTGGACGAGTCCACTTGGATCCTCTCGTCGAACCCCGCCTCGTCGAGTGTCACGTCCAACGCAGCTTCGCCTGCCTCCTCGAACGCGAGCACCAAAGAAATTCAGATCAATCTTGCCAAATGTCGTGGCTCTAATTGGTGGCCACACATTGTGACTACAGCGCCCAAGATCGACGTGACCAAGATTCAACCCGAGAATTCCAAACTGAGTGAACTGGATGGCGAGACAAGAGGCATGGTGGAGAAGATGATGTATGACCAGGAGATGAAGAGGCAGGGGAAGCCAACAAGCGATGAGCAGAAGAAGGACGATCTTTTGAAGAAGTTCATGAAGGAACATCCCGAGATGGATTTCAGTCAGGCAAAGATTGGGTGAGCCGGTGCACGGAAATGACCATCCCCCCACGCCTAGGTCAAGTCCGATCTGGTTGCCCAGCGGCTTCTTTTATCGACATTTAGTCTTGGGAGATGGTCAAAACCGCATACCCTTCGCAGTGGCGAGATGTTGTGCAAACGATACGTGCTCTCTTGGGTGGGCCCGAATGTATTCTTCACCAACATCCAGCATTATTGTGTGTGATGAGACCCGACTCTACCTACAAGGCGAAATTCTACGATTTTCAAGTGTTTCGATGGTAATGAAACCAGCTCAGCCAGGTCGCTCGGATCCTGCACCCATAAATTCCCGCGGGTCTGCATGATTCTTAAAACGACCCATGGAGTAGCCATGTCAAGCAGATCACGAGTCTTGTCACAATATTAGTGGTCCCAGATTCTAGATCTCGCCGTAGAAATCTCCGAAAAGACGAGAAATGCTATGGTCATTGATTAAGGTAGCCAACCGAGGCAATACAGATACACTATGGAACAGAGCCGTCTCCCCGATAGACGCCATGGCCAGATTGATCCTTGCCTTGACGGTGTCAATATTCGTGCAACCTGCTCAACCTAGACGCTGCCATGATGCTTGGGGTAAACTGACATGAAGATCTAACTTGTCAAAATTCTGGCATGCTATGATGAGCTATCGGAATGCAGGGTGAAGGTGATTCTCTCGGTCTCGGGTACGGTGAAGGGGACGCCGAGCTCGAAGAGCTTCTGGACAGCGTCGGAAAATTCTTTGAAAAAGACCTTTTCGTCTGCTGCATATCGCTGGACATGAGTCTTGAATCCCTTGTCCTGTACGAGTGCCATATCTGTGGGCAACATCATAATTGACTTGGTCGTTTTGTCTTCGTATTGCTTGGGGCCTTTCCAGTTCCGCCAGCCCCATTTCTCCTCAAGTAAGAGTCGGTAGTAGTCGTTGGTCAGTACGGTGGGCGAGAAAGTCCAAGGACCGTCAAACCCAGAGCGATCGGTATGGCACCGGCCTATGGTGGGCAAGTTTGTTAACATTGATGCATCAGAAGCCAGTCAGGGCAAGGGAAGTGCATACCCAGAGCGTGAGCGCCAGAGAGGGCCACCATTTCTTGGTCATTGAAGCCCATACGACCGAAAATGGCGCGGATGTGGTTTTGGCCTTGTGTTGCATCGGGCAGGCGCCCATCGGGGGTGCAATATGATATATCTCTGTCCTGACGGCCCGGTCGCCATGGAATGGTAGGGCCCTGCATTTCTTGAACAGCGGTAACGCCAGCCAGAGTCCACAGGTCACCGTAGGAGATCCAGGGAAATTGCTCTGCACAACACAGTTAGCCTAGTATAGTGTTGGCTATGTAGCCATTAACTTACTTTTGACGGGTTCCAGGAAGTCACGAGCCACCTGTAAACCTGCATTGGCTCCGTGGCCAGCTTCGGGGGCAAATCTCATCGTTGCGCCATTACTTCCGCCCGTTCCCGTCGCTGCGTCGTATGTGCCTGAGGCATGCCAGGCCAGCCTCAAAACGACGGGACCGTACGAACCATCTTCATACTCATCATGATCCCACAAGAGTTGTGCCACGGCGTCATACACTTTCTGGTAGTCGGCGGCTGTCGGCTTGAAAACGCCGGCGGATTGTCCACCACTGCCCTGCTTCAGAAGCGCGGCCGGGGAGGGCGAGTCAAGACCGAAGGTGGAGGGGCTATAATAGAACAGAGCACCTCCAGCAACAAGGGCGGCGGCTGTCACAGCGCCTAGAATTGTCCGGGTATTGGATTTTGGGGGACTAGGATCGGAGCTAGAGGAGTATTGACGTCGAGAGGTCCGCTGGAGGAGTCGGCGAGTGACGTTCGCTTGGGAGCGAGAAGCAGCAAGATGGAATTTGGGAGACCCGGCGGAAGCTGGTGAGGGGAGGAAACGCGGGACTGCCCGTGGAAGGCACCGCATTGTTACTGCGGTAGCCATTGTGGTGAAAAAGAGTGAGGGAATCTGTGATAATGGTCAGATGGACTGGCAGCCTGGCAGGATGGTCGAGTAGGAAATGACAAGCAAAAAACAAGATGAAATTGACGGAAGATGGGAGGATAAGCACAAAATAAAATGCGAGCAGATGTCGCGCCACACGCGACAAATCGGCAGGTCAACCGCACACCTGGACGTGTTGTTAGTCACCGACAATACCGAGCAAAGAGCGCTGAATAATGTCGAGTTGCCTGGACGTTCAGTGGCTGGAATCGGATCAGGGTAGAAGTTTGATGAAAAGGGCGAGTTCCACCAGGATGGCATTGGTACCCACAGGATACTTCCTGGAAACGCCCCATGACCCACAAAGTACCCGTAGGTGTTATCAGTTTTAAGATAAAAGCCGGAAGAGGCAAAATCGGAGCGAGCGAGGGATGAACGCCGGGGGCAGACATGTGGGTTATTTGTCGATGGCGCTCTGACACAGACACGACGACAAACGACAGGAGAGGAAAACAATGGCATGATGGTCAAAAGTTGAGGTTGATCTAAGGCGGCGAACAAACCAGGGTCAGTGGCACTGGCCGGAGAGCACCTTCCTTACACTTCTGTAGTCTCAAACGGTTTATCATATTGCGGAAGGAACGAGGTGGTGTGCAGGGTTTTGCTGTTGTGATTGACGTTATCCGTTATCTTTGCGTTGAAGATTTATTACAGTTTGGACGTTCGGGAAGGTGCTCGGAGCTTGGGTGGCTGGCCAATCAAACTCGGCCAGGCTCGGCGTCTGCCCTCGTGGCGTAGGGTTCTGTCCCTGTGTCTGCGCTGCTATCCTTGCACCCTTGGGAGACTTGAAAGCCCGAAAGCCTAGGACAACCGTGCATCCATGACAAGGGGACCTCGCCTACGCATCCCATCCGCGCATTAGCATACGCTGATCCGTGTTGTACCACAGTTTTGGAAGCAACAAGCACTGTTGTCTCTACACATCTTTAAGTCGCTAGCATTACGTGATACGCATACCACAGAGGGTGCACGGTTCTTGCCTTGTCGCTACCACGGCCACCTCTGTGCGGAAAGTGGCTGCTCCTTGCTATGTACTCCGTATAAACGGATCACTCGTACTGCGTACATAGACGCTATGACGCTGTGGAGTCTTCCCTCATGTCCGTGGTTTTCTCGGGCTTGGCATTACTCACGATGTCCGAAAATCACACCACCCGCGCCTCCCTTTGTCACGCACCTCTCAGAGCTACTACTGTGATTGCCCACTCAGCCTTTCTCAATAATAGTGGCAATGAGGCAATTTCCCTTGATCTAGCCAAAGGCGGTTCATACTCTTGGCCAGCTCGCGCACTTCTTGCCTCTTTTGTGCACGAGTTTTCATCTCTCCAAAAGCAGCATCATCATGTTCCATCTGGGTAATTACGCGCGAACATTGCAAGTGTGTCACGTGTTATTGGGCGAAGACGACCATCTGTATTGTATGTTTAAATAGCAAGGAGCCTGGCCTCCTGCAAAATAATACCCATGCCTTGTCCGATCACGAGGATCATTTATCCCAATAATCGACAACCCGTGTCGAAGCAAAACTTGACATACTCCATGCACCTTGAATTCGTTACCAACGCCGACGCTGGTATTCACAATTTCATGTCATCTAATTTCGTAGCCTTGATTTTCACATCAGCCAACATGCGAAGCGCTTCAAATGGACCTAGACTCCTCAGCCTCAAGAGTCAGAGTGGCTCTGGCTGATGCTGTTCACTGTCTGCTTGTTCTTCACTCATTGGCGAGGCGCATCCTCAACTGGCATCAACCGCGATGAACAACTCATCAACCGCCTCGTGTGCCGTTCGTGCATTCATTACCACTTGCTCCTTCAACTTTGGTCTTTTCTTGATCGCATTTGCCAGCTTGGCATTTCGCGCCTGCATTGCCTGTTTTTCTGCCTCCAGCTTCCGATCCGATTCCTCAACCTGGCGTGTCACTTCCACCTCGGTTGGAAGCACCATCAACGTACTCATCCATGATTGACCGAGGTCCCCGTGTTTGTCCTGCCAGTGCACCAGGAGCTTCTCTATCGCCAATTTGGTTTTAGTGTTCTTGACGCTCCGATGACCAATGACCGCCCCCAGGCAAGCATTGCATCGGAATCGAAGATCAATCCGAGAGTTGGCCTCTCGGATGCCTTCCAAAGCATCGGCTAGCACTGAGACGGGCGGGTCTGGTGCGCCAGTTTGACGATGGAGGTCACCCGCGTACTTGAGCATGATGGCCATTTGACACTCGCTTTCCAGTCTGACCCCGCGAAGGATTTTGGCCGCGTGCACCATGTTGGATCCCATCTCTGAAGGAGAGATCCCCACGCCCTTTGGAGTCAGTTGCTCGAAAAGAGAACGGGACGGCCGGGCAGATCGAGGCAGAAGGGTCTCCGTGCTGGAAGGATGCCAGTCCTCCAGAGTGGAGATGTCATAGTAGCCCGGTACCAGCGGAAGACACCTGGGCCATGCCGCCGTATACCATGGGAACCGGGAATTGTCCCGCATACTCAAGCTTGACCATCTGTCGGGGTCTCCATAAGGGATGGCAAAACGCCAAAATTCCAGCCCTTTACCCACGTATATCGAGTGGCTCTCCAGTATATGTTCAAACGCCTCAACAAATGAGAAACTCCTGACAAAGTCGACTCGCCGGCATCCTCGACATCTCAAGGACTGTAGCACTGCCATGCCACGGACGGACTCTTTCGGAATCTGCTTCTCAATTACCTCCTCGACGATCATGCGAGCATCGTCAAGGCTGAGTAGATAAGGTCCGATATCCCCGTTGTAGTTGAGACCCTGTGGTGGATTTGGGTTCTTGGCGTGCTCGTCAAACACCTGCTGAAGGCAGCGAAGAAGTAGGTCGGCATCCGCTACCTTGGCCTCGATACATTTTTGGAACTCTCTCCGAGCGAGGCGTAGAACATAGTCTTGTTCCGGTTGAGTAGGAGGATCAATTCTGCGGTCCCATCGATGGTCACGCAATCGTGCGTGCAACACCTTGGCCGGTGTTCTGACAAGTACCGACAGCGACCTCATGTCCATGCGATATTTCTCCACAATCTCCGCTTGCGCTCTGTAGGGTAGGATTTTGTCTTGGAGTGTCTTCCAGGAACGTTCCGTCGGCGCTGCTTGCACCCTCAAACATTTATGATATGCCGCCATTCTCACCAGAATGTGTTCTTCCATGGGTGGGTCGAGCTCAGCCGCGCGGTCTTCAAAGTAGTCTATTCTCATCCGAACCAGCCGGTTCTCCGACAAAGACACTTGGCTCTTTTGCCATGAATCGAGCTCGATGGCGCGAGTCATATACTCCATGTTCCGGTTATGTTTGTTGTCGGCCCACTCCTTCACTTCAGCCCACTGTGCTCCACCATGAACAAGAGCAAGATACTCGAATTCTAGCTGTGTATACGCCGACCTCAAAAACACATACTGCCGCAATACATGCGTGGTGGCCCATTCGTTGGTAGATTGATCCACCTGCCTCGGTTGTAAATACCTCCTCCTGCCGCAGATAGTTAGTAGATGGGTTATGACAGTGACAACATCAAGACAGCCTACCCATCACTCCGGCCAAGGGGCAGCAAGTCCCACAACGGTCTTCCCGCCGTTTCGTCATCGTTAGTTTCGGCAATAAGATGCCTCCGGTGAGATGGTAGTTCATCGGCCTAGACAGGTGAGTCAGATAGCCAAATATCATCAATCAAGCGGCGTGCATGCATACCCTGAGTGTTTTGGCCTTGAAGCAATCCAGGCAAAGTCGTACCTGAAAAGTCCAATACACCCTGGTCGTGTTGTCTTTGGGACAGTCTCGATTCTGGCACCCTCTTCGCACAAGGAGATCAACGTATTGTTGCTCCGTCATGTCTCGAGGGCAGTCGGGCATATCTCTGCCAAAATAGTTCTGTCGGCTCTGTTTCCAAATCCCCATGCGATCATTCAAGAGCTGGCAAAAGCCCTTGCTCAGAGTTTTCGCTTCGACCAAGAGCTTAGGTTCGCAATAACTGAAGATAATTTGCCAAATATCGCTGTTGACCATGGGGGAGATCTTTATTGGTCTGCTGGGCCGGAATATTCTTCTCTGGGACTCCATCTGCAGCCTCCGTCGCTTGGCGGAGGGTCTTTCCCCTAGCTCCATGCCATCGTAGCCTACTGTGTTTACCACGAATGAGTCTTGAGTGAATGCTTTCTTGCCAGACTGCTCGCCCTCGGTGCCTCGGGGGATGTGCGAGGTCTGAGACACAGACGTAGGACCAGAATGCCGATTCACATGGGCTCCAGGCTCGAGATTACTGTCGGTCGGCAGAGTCGGTGTTGGCAAGCGTGCTTTGCTCGTGGTGGAATTGACTGGCTGGAAAACAAGAGGGCGCTGAGCGAGGGTCGTTGGACGGATGACTTGGTACGAGGATCCGTCTTGGTTGATGGATTGAGAGCCCACCTTCATCAAAGGGTTGTGGTTGTACTTTCGTTTCTTGCCATCCCGCCCGGGAAGAGGAGCGGCATTAGTCATGATCTTCCGCCCAGGAGCAGGCCAACTCTATCAGATTCAGAAATTGTGGGAAGTGGCATCAATTTGAAGGCACCGGTCAGACAAGATGGGGTGCTAGTGGGTCTCCAACAGCAGTGAGAATAAGTCGGTCATGGAGGCCCGATAGAGAGATTCGCCCAGTCAGATCACTGGGAGATTTGAAGGCCGTCAAAGGAGACTCGTCCAGCTCATATTTGGCCGTTATCACTCTGAGGACGTTGATGAGGTCAACGCAGAAGAGAAAACTAGAGCAAAGATTTGAAGCATGCCCCTTGGCTACAGTACCCTGGGCGTGAGCGAGATTGAAATTCTGTGATCTGATCGAAAATGCAAGTGTGTGATGAGGTTGAATCAGAGACAGAAATGAAGAAGTCCCCAGGTTGAAGATGATCAGGTCGTGCATGTCCACTAGCGCCTACGCTAAACCATTCATGGATCTACTACCACCACTTGCCACCTAACTTAAAAAGTGACTAACACAGTGAAGTCGGGCTATACGGAGGATATCCGGGCCACTTCGAAGCGCCTAAAAGAGGAAGTAGGATATAGTCGTATATACCACGGCTTCAATACAATGCGAGACTGACTTTAGGCTTCTACTAGGAGCCCACTGGGTTGTTTCCTGCCTAAACACCGAGGTCAGGCGGGTAGCTTCAAGCGCACACCTGAGTTTCTTATGTTCAGCAAGAGCACCAGCCTAGGCTCGAGTCGCAGCAAAGCTTAGCTTGACGCACGATGTCACAGCCACCAATGTCCTCGACTGGACCAAGCGTTGCTGATCAAGGTCCACCCACTTGCTCCAAGATTTTGCCTCTGTTGTGTTCAGCTCCCAACGTTCCCTTGATTAGTACATGTACCTGTAAGAAGGGTTCATATCGCCCAATTCGACCTTCTCGTAGTCGGTAACACCAACGACGTGGCTCTTGGCCCTGGACCTGTTTTGCGACAGTAGTGCAACGTAGTACGCAACACAGCTGGCTGCGCTAAGGCAGATAAAGCCGAGACAGATGCTGTATCCGCGATGGAAAAACGTGGCTGCATCACTCGCTTTGAAGCTGTAGCTTGCGATAATACTGATGGCATTTGGTCAGCCTCCAGGCTCTCAATTCTCCCATACAGGCAAACTTACCCGCCGATATTACCAAACCCAATGATCCAGCCAGAACCTGCGCAGAAACGGAACTGTCAGTCTTTCGCTCGTGTATATGGCAGCTGGGCTGTGTCACGAAGCACACTCACCAACAGCACGACGATGATGTCCGCCCAAATTCATGGTGAACCAGCAAACGATGATCGGCATTGCGCTGTATGTGCCTGAGGTTATCAGAAACAAGGCTGCATACTGAGCATTTGTGTCATGATGAATCACCATCAGCATCGCGAATCCGGCAATGGACACGCAGATAGGGCCGACGGTGAAGAGGAAGCGGTGCTGGACGTAATCCGACAGGACGGCCACTGCCATACTGAATCCAAAAGCTGCGGCCCACGGTGGTACCGAGTGCAACTGGGTTTGAATGGGGCTGTAGCCAAAGGTGCGGATGATGGTCGGAGCAAAATAGGCGTAACCATATGCTGATGTCACTACGTCAGTCCCTCTCGTCCAACATATCGTCGAAGGGTCAAGACAGATGGCTTCTTACCAGGGACAATTAGACCAAAGTACATCAGGCCACCCAGAAAGATCTTGTAGTCTTTGAAGCAATTGACTACATCCTTGAAAGTGATGGGTCGCTCCAGAGCGGATTTGCCTTGGTCTTCCTGCAGACGTGCTCGAACATAGCTGCGTTCTGGTTCGCTCAACCATTTGACATCCTCAGGAAAATCAGGAATAGCAAACCAGATGACAAAGGAGACGACGCAGGTGAGGATGCCTTCGAGAATGAACACCCATCTCCAGCCGAGATAACCGCGGATTCCGTCCATTTTGCCGATTGCGGATGCTAGAAGGCCGCCAAAGGCGCCTGCCAGAGTCGTACTGGCAAAAAAGAAGGTGTACCGCTTTTGCGCTTCCTTACGCTTATACCACATCCCGATGAGGTAAAACGAGCCTGGAGTATTTCTCAGTCAGAAGCCCGCCGAGATAGAGGAGCTACATACCAGGAAACATGCCCGCCTCGAAAAACCCCAAGAAAAATCTCGTGGTGATAATACCACCGTAGCCTTGTACCAACCCTTGGCATATCGTTACCAGTCCAAATCCAAACATGCAAAGCGACAGCCACACGTGGGGCTTGAGCTTTTTGAGAATGATGTTGGAAGGAATCTCAAAAAGAATCTGGAGGCAACCCCGTCAGCCAGGTGTTTCCAGAGCATCATTAAAGTGGACTGACATATGGGACGAAGAAGATAGTTAGGGCGGTGGAATACTGTGTGGCCGACAGTCCCAGATCTTTTTGAAGTCCAAAAACTGCGGCGTTGGCAACATTCGTCCTGTCGAGGAACGCAAGGAGATAGAGGATCGAGAGAGATGGGATCACATGTAAATCGATCTTTGTGATGAGTCTTCTCTCTGACAAGCCGTCCGGCAGGGTGACGGGCTCATGGTTCTGATATCCCGCTGCAGGATGAGCAATATCCGGATCATAGTTCAGATTACCACCTTTGAGGCCGTCTTTTTCGTCTGGACGGCGCGAGTTAGTGCCGCCGTGAAATCAACGAGGGGCCTGTTGATACCCACTTCCACCTTCCATAACGACTTCAACGACGGCCAACCAAGAGCTCAAGGAGTTGTCACTGGAAAATGGGTTGTTGGCTGCGGAGGACCAGGTTCAGGTTCGCGTCGATGGTAGAGATTGGCAACAGAGTGAAGAGATTTTGGCAGAGTTTGCAGATGAAGTGGGAAGTGGGCCGGTTTTGTAAACATTGCTCCCCTTCGACGACGATCGTTGACCCACCAGTAAAGTACCATCATGCCATCTTTATAGTCAGTGGGACAACGGATGTCCTACTCGATTCATCTTGGACTTTTGATGGGTTGAGCGGGGTTAGTGGCAAGAGTCATCTTCGCTTACTCCGTACAGCAGTGCCCCTAGCGAACTTGCTCTGGAAATGTTGGAGAAGATCAAAAGCCGAAGCTTCAGATATTGAGAGCTCTGTCGGCAGCTCGGACATTTTTGACATGCGGATGCAACATCAGAAGAGCAAAGTGGCAATGAGAAGATGTGAGTGGGTGGACAATTCGACCGTGCCTTAGGATTCTTGACACGAGATTCGATCAGCGAAGAAGTGCGGCACAAGCTCTTCTCCTTAGCTTCGGCGGGTGGCCACTCTTGGAGGCTCTTAACCAGTCAAAGGGCCTCGGCACGGCATAAGAGCCATTCATGCCCCAGTAACTACCTAGTAGGTACTTATAACAAGCAAAAGGCCCAGTGCGCCAAGCGCCAGTGACTGCTGCACCCCTACCACTCTGCACCTCCACCGTCGATGTTGTATCTACTTTTGTACTGCCGATGGCCGATCTCCTGCCTTCTGGAACTCGTGCACGGCTTTAGAAGCCGAACCCCTCTTCCCCTCCCGTGCCAGTTGATATGGGGATGCCCCAGGACAAAGGCCGAGTGGAATGGGGTAAGTTGTTGTGGATAGCCCACTGACAGACGTGTGCAGCCGACAAATGCTGCTAAAAAGCTGCAAGGATGGCATGCACTCACACCTACCTGTCTGGCATTATGGTGGTTGGTCAATCAACACACCGAAATTCCAGAGTTGCCTCGTCTTGCCACCGAATAGCCGGAGATCACCAAAGCCGCCTCGACCCTCGGATTATATTTCAGACACAGATCGAGATCAACTTGATAAACCTCGTCTTGAACAGAGATGGACCAAAGCCCCAATAAATTGAAATTGCGGTAGAGGCGCTATATATAAATATACGTCGCTAGTCGCAGCTGCGACTAACGCTAAGTGGCCTACGGAGCTCTAGAAATCACTCCTATACACTCTCTCCAGGGCACTCGCGTGGCGCCCCAAAATCACTCGGAAAAACTCGAGGAGAATATTCCGAATAATCAGTCACGGGATCGCAACTCAGGCATACCTAATAATTTTGCTAAGAGAAAAGCGCCAAGATTTATTCTTAGCAAACCAATTTTCTAGGCTAATTATATAGCGTAGAAGCTTTTCCGGATTTCATTTTTTCCTACAATCGGACACTACTCCGTAAACCTAATGTAATACCTACTCCGCTTCGCGCCATAGGCGCAGCTTCCTCTATTTGCGCTTGGCAGGAGACTACGGAGGAGAGATCCCTTACGAAGTACATGTCACATGTCACAGGGGTGACCACGATACGCAATTCGAAGCTCGCCTTCGTATGGTCACGTGAGGGTTTGTCTCATAGAATCAAGGGTTATGTACAGCATAGCCAACTGACTCTTAAAAGACACTCACCTGAACTGATCGTTCGGACGGATGGTTAATTTTATTGCAGTTATGCAAGACCACTAGGAATCTTGCGATAGATGCCCCTGTGTTGCTGACCTGATATTGAAGATCTTGGAAGGCGTAGTTAGAAGGGCTCCGAGGAGGATCCTGATGGTCACCGACTTGAGTTATCGGACTAGACGGCAAGGCTGATGCAACAGGAGATATCAAAAGATTGTGACAGACCCGGTGTCAGAGTGCTTGCCTCTCCTGCTCCTCGGCTCGCTGATGCGTGTACGCATATGGCCATGACTGTCGTGGGTGATTGGGGAAACCGTATTTAGCACGGCCCTTCGAACGAAGACGGACAGAATAATGATCAACTCCGAGCCACGCCAGCAATGCTTGAGGACCCAGATCGGAAGGGTTTTCAGGTGGTGGTCTTTGGAGCGAAGGTCGTGAGAGACATTACATAAGAAAGTCACGCTTGAGTACTGAGGTCGGCCTAGATAAGTATCCTTGGAGAGGTAACCATCTGGAGGAGGACAGCACCAACTCGAAAACAGCCTAGGGGGGACTTAAGGAATATAAATGAAGTTTATAACAACCACCAAGTGTGAAATGCTATAGAGGCACTAGTCATACAGTCGCCAATTTCTTAGATGGGTACGAAGGGCAGGGCCATGGCTGAACGACCAACCAACCAGCATACACCGACTTGCCCAAAGGGAAAAGACGTCCATACTAGTATGCAAACTATTTTGCAGCGGAGCCTCAGGCACCAACCTGACCATCTTTGCCGCCGTTAAGAGGGCTGGCTGGCAGGCTCGGTGGCCGTGGGTTGCACAGTAGGATGACAAGAACACTCCTACGATGAAAGGCCAATGTGTGGCTGAGGGTGGAAAAGGGCTCTTTGCTCGAGACGTAAGCAAAACCCTGATCGACGAGATCATGGCAGTGCAGATGCCCAGAGGCTGAGGAGACATGTCAAAGAATCGCATTTCTGGGAAACATGAGAGTGGATCTTTGCTCAACGAATCCAGGCACGACTGTGTGACAGTTGACAATATCATTGGAGCAATATCCATTTAGAGTGCGTTGCGTACTCCAAGATCCTTCAGGGGACGCGCGGCGCCTTCCACCAAGCAGACCAGGCACAGAGAGAACAACCCAAGACAATAATGACGGGTGCGTGTGTCGGGCTCCAGGGCAAAAGCTTAGTTAATTGCTGACCACAGGTAATCAGTCTCCAGGCCAGTAGTGTCGTGTCGTGTCGTGCGTGCGCAACTCGCTCTGGTGTGAACAAGCAAGCTTGTCAGTGGGAACCATCCAGGCGTCGTCAGCGCCCCAAAGTCTGCTAGTCCAAGACCACGAAGGGCAAATCAGCAATGCATCCGTCCATTTGACCGTGTGACTAGTTTGCCCCAGGCAATTGCCAGACTTTCCTACGTACACAAACCACCGTCGATCTGTAATTCTCATGTGCTTGGGATTGACTGGGAAATTCATCATCATTATCATCATCATCATCACTCCCAGCAAGATCAGAAATGATTTGAGCAAGAGCCTGATAGTTAGAGGGACAAGATAAACGCAGGTCAGGGAAGCCTAACCTCGCTTCTGTGTACGTGTTCCGTACGAGAACAAGCTCCAGACACAAAGGTCGAGTCATAATAATAGCCCACCGTCGTCCAGCACGGCCTGGAAAGGCAACCTGGATTTGGGCCAGAAATCGTACTGGGGCACGCAATCCCCCAAGCTTTTAGTGCGTCGACAGTCCACGAGTCCTCCAGTCCACCTGTCCACCAGTCCACGTACGTCCACAGCGGTCCACCCGCCTGGCGAGAGTTGCTCTGCCGCGAGGCACTTGCCTCCCTCTTCTTCTCGAAAGCGAAAACCCCAACGCAGGTGCGCCTGCCACAGCGACTTTAATACCACCAAGCGGCTGTAACAAGCAGGTGCCGACTGCCATCGCAACCACAACCACAACTGCCACTTTCACTGCCACAGCATCCTCCCTCCTCTCCCTCGCCCTCCCTCGTCGTCGCCATTCTCAATCTCCCCATCTTTGCTTCTCTGCATTCTACGACTTCCTCTCTGCATCTGTTCATCCCTCTGATCGACGCCTCACCCTTAACCGACATCTTGTACCCCAACTCGCACCACCATCCCCTCTTGTCCGCGTGACGCCAGAGACTCCTCGACACACCAGTCCGCCTTACACCAGCGCTCTTTCAACTCTCATTTTCTGCCACGACCCAGACTTTTCTGTTCGCTTTTCTCGAGTCCACCGTCGGGATACACCTCGTCTTGCACGCACCGGGATCTATATTAAAGCATCCCCCCCCCTCTCTGCCGGAACTGCTCCAGGACTACACCCCATCGCGGCCATGGCGAATCCGCCGTCCCGCCCGTCCACTCTAGACGACGAATTCGACTTCAGTGCTGGCGATCTCTCACAACAGTTTGAGCAACTTCTCCGAACAAGGAGACTGAACGATCTCGAGGAGCAGGCCCGGGCTCCCCGATCTTCCTCTCCACGACTTACCACTAGACAACAGTCTCGATCCCAATCCTCCTCGTCTCCATTCCCTCCCGCTCCGACCTCACAATCCTCAACTCACCAGAGCTCTCGTCCATCACATCACCAGCCTCCGGTCTACACCTCCTATCGAAGCCACCCCATAATCCCCTGCCAGCCTCAAGATGCCGCCTCTCTCAAATTTCGCAATTTACTTCTTACCTTGTCCATGACACCCACCAAATATGAAAACCCAGGTCTCCTCGACGATGCTCTCACCCATGTTCTCATCGATCGTATCTATGCAGAGGCTGAGGAGGAGCACAATCTCATGAAAGGATTGGCCGCCTCCAAAGGTGACCCAAAACCAGAATGGGGCTACCAAGATTGTGTCATCCGCTCGTTACTGAGGTATGTTTCTCGTTCCTTCTTCCTAAATCTGTGTCTGACTGAGCCCGCCCAGATGGTTCAAGCGATCTTTTTTCAGCTTTGTCAACAACCCCGCCTGCGCAAGGTGCCATGGCGCAACCGTCGCTCAAGGACAAACGCCCCCACACCCTGACGAAGTTGCCCGAGGTGGCACAAGAGTCGAACTATACAAATGCACCAACTGTGGTGGCTACGAACGTTTTCCGCGCTATTCCGATGTTTGGACTTTACTTGAGACCCGAAGAGGACGAGCTGGCGAATTTGCCAACTGTTTCAGCATGCTTTGCCGCGCTGCCGGCGCAAGGGTCCGATGGGTGTGGAACAGCGAGGACTTGGTTTGGACCGAGGTATACAGCGAGCACCAACGGAGGTGGATCCATGTCGACCCCTGCGAAGAGATCTGGGACAACCCACGGGTCTACACTGAAGGTTAGCGCCCCTGCACCAGTCTTGCCCCATCTTGATGCTAATTCTTCTCAGGTTGGAATCGCAAGATCTCTTACTGCATTGCCTTTTCCAATGACGGGGCGACCGATGTCACCCGACGCTACGTGCGCAACACACAATACTTCGGTCCTCGCACGCGTTGCCCTGAAGAAGTCCTGCTGTGGATTATCCACGAAATTCGGAAGATTAGAAGAGGGAACATGGACAAGTCAGTCCAAGACCAACTCATGAGAGAAGACGCTCGCGAAGAGAAGGAGCTACGTGGCTATGTCGCACAGTCCCTCGCCCGAGATCTGATCGAATCGATACCCGGTGCCACCAATCCAACTCGTGGCGAAGAAGTCAAGACCCCCGTTCAGCGACCGCAGGATTCTTCCTTGCCGTGGTCAAACGACCAACACGCGGACCAATTGGACCGTCGATAACGATGAGCCCAGCCCAATGACGGCCAGTATGTGCTATATTCATCCACAGATACTCTTTGTCCTGCTTGGAAATTCGTCAAATGCCCCATACCTTGCCGTCCTTGGGAGTCGGTTCGAATTTCTCGACTCTTATGTGGGGATGGATCAGCTCTATGAGAACACATCTCATTCGCAATTTCGTTCTGCATATAAATACAGCCTCTGGATCACGGAGCGCTGATCACTCGATCGACCCGCGAGTTATTTAATCTCGACCTAGGATCAAATGTTTTATCACGAGCATGCGGTGTTATGGCTATGGATATGGCTAGTGCAATTGGAATGGCATTCTTGGCGTTGGCGTCCACCGTTAGGAAACACCACGGGCGATTATGGCATGATCTATCAAAGGGCCCCTTGTGGCGGATCTTTTCACCGGAGCGTATACTATGGCTGCTATACGTGTGTCGTAGCCCGTACTCGTGGACTTGAGTCACGACAACAATGGGGATGAGAATGAATTATGGGGAGGTCTGAAAATCTGTCACAGCAGCAGAGTCCAAGCGTGCCCAAACATGTTCCGCTTCTTAAACATTTCATCTCTGGTTGTTCTAGATAGGGATGGCAAAATCTGTACGATTCATCACGAATATACCGGGTAGCAAGCCGGGTCAAAGTTGAGGATAAATCCCATCAGCCCACTTTTATAATGTGTAACGAGAAGATAGTTGCTGGCATAATCTTTGACTGCAAAGACTTGGTTGGAGCACCATCTATCATCCTAGCCATCTCCCTTGCTATCATCTATCTCAATCCTTGGCCAGACAGGCAGCAGCGCCCTTGAAAAATCCAGGTTAAAAGCAACCACAAATACATCATTGTGTATCTACCTCTGACGGACCTGCATGGTTGCGGCAGCGACCTGCTAAATGGTAGTCTTCATTTGTCAAAACTGGGAAACCACATCAGCTCCCCCAATCGCCCCCATCGAAGCGTGGAACGTGTGGCATATCCCAGATCGAGCGTTCGACTATGACGACCTCGAGCCTGGGGCCAGGTGTGGGCAATAGTCGTGTTGCAGATCCATCATCAGTTAGATTCTTGACGGGCTGTTCCAATATCGGTGACCCTTGAGGCCCTAAGATGCCAATACCCAAGATCGAATTGTACGAGTGTGTGTAAAACGAAAGAGGGCTGGATGACTGGTCCTGCAATCTAGCAGAATGGCTGGTATGCGAAAGTATGCCAGACGGATCTCCCCCAATGCCGTCTTCGTCGTTTCCACCGTGTGGCTTCTGATCCCCGCCGTTGCGTCGTAGTTGTACCAAGTTGTCAATCTGAACCGGGCTTGCTTCACTGTCACGATTTTCATGGCCAGGATTGTCAATATTGATGATCTCGGCATGTTCTCCCGTGCTTGTAAATTTTCGCATCCCACTCCCCATGCCGTCGCCTCGATCTGAGGGCTTCATCTCTGCTCCCGCGCCATTGGTCGAATGCTGTCGCTTTCTCTTTTTGCTGGGTGATGGTTGGTAAATACTGTGGAGTGGATTTTCCCCCGCATCTATCGACTCGTAGTCCCTCGTTGTTGGAGTGCTTGTACCATTGAGAGCTGGTTCGAGCACATCATAGGGGCCAAGGCGACCTTTCTGCCCGCTCTTCAAGTCCGAGGTATCCTGCGACTTGAACTTTGTATCTGACCCCTGAGGGAAATCCCGGCTGACATCCACCATGACGAGGTAATTGTGACCGTAGAGCCAAAGGCGTTCCCCACGCTGGACCAGATCATTTGTATCCCAGAAGCAGCCTACCACGCGATGCGTCTGTTTTCTCAACGACTCAGGTAAATATTCAGGTGGGTTCCGTCGTGACCAATCACTAAGGCTATTCGTAAAGACATCAAACTCGAAGAGTTGATGGGTAGCAGTGAGAGCAAACAGCTTGACGTCTGCATTTGGAAGCTTGTGAGCGACAGGGTGTGGATTCCTTCGTGTTGCATGGAGGCCAATGTTGGACTCGCCATTGGCAGAGGCTTTATGCGGCGTAGACATGGACGACGGACGAAAGGTTAGGACAATGATGGCCGAATCCAGCCTTGGGAGGCTGGAGCCAGAAGTATTACGAACCCATTTCTGGCCATGAGTGACGGGAGCAACATCGTCGTCGTCGTCGTCATCCTCATCAGAAGAAGATTCAGAAGATGAGTCGGAGGGCCGACCTGAAGAAGTACCATTGGAAGGGATGGGGCTGGTATCCTCGTGGCCTTCAAGCACCCATGTGTCGATTGAGCCATCCAAGCAACCTATTGCCAGGATTCGGCCATCGCTTGAGAATGCGACCTGTGTGATTGTTTCCGCATGTGATGCTAGGCATGTCTGATTCCGGGGTCTAGCTGAACGATAGAGTTTTGTGATGTTTTCATGCAAGATTGGTGGCTGTTTTGGGTCCTTGGGATATACTATCTTGACAAGATTAATTGTATTGTCCCTGCGAATCACAAAAAGCCATCTGCCATCAGGTGAAACGGCAGCCTGTCTTCCGCCCAGCTTCCCAATAAGTGAAGGAAGCTCAATCTGTTTGGTTCGAATTGTCGGTCGTCCAGCAGCGAAGGCTTTTCGCAGTTGAAAAAGTTTGAGGCGATTGGCAGTTGCGGCAACAAGAATGTCGCCTCTTTCTGAGATCTGGACGTCTTCGAGGGCTTCTTTGTGTTGCAACGAGAGTCGTGTCATTACTTGGTAAGTGGGATTCCTAGGTAAAGCAGTGTTTACTGAAGGGCTGTGGGCAGGAAGGTGATAAACGGTGATCTCACGATCCCACCAGGCCACAAAGACCCTGGAACTTGTTGAGGTCGATAGCTGGGGCTTTTGGGGGAGGTGTGTAAGGGAGATGTGGTTTTCGCTTTGGTATCGCCGAATGGGCGTTACAACTGGGACGCCGTCGATGCCTCCCGAGACCAAAATGCTTAGGTCTTTGCTTTCAAATGAAGCTGAACATTTAACATCGTGATTGTGATACCGTTTATGGCTGAGCTCAGCCCATCTCTGGAATTTGGTCCCTGTAATGTTTCCTGTTGGCATATAAGCCACGGTTCTCCGATCAACCCCAACGGTGAAAATCATATCTCCCTTGGAGCTAGCAGAGATGTCTAATATGTCGGCTTGGTGGGTTTTAAGTCTTTGCGAGAGAGAGTAGTTTTTGGAGTTCCAGATCTTGAGTTCGCCGGTAGAGTCACCAGACAGAATGGTGCCGTCGGGGAGGCATTTTAAAGCCCAAGCTACCGTCTCGTTCCCTTCAACAGGCTTGCCCAAGGACATGTTCCGCACAATGCTTCTGGTTGGAACATCAAAAACTCGGATAGTACTGTCGTCATAGCCTGCCACAATTGTCTTTCGGTCACGCCAGGTCACACTCAGAACTTTCGCTTTGCTGGACGCCGGCGTTGGGAGGCTGCGTAGGTAGCGCAGGTCATCATCAGCGGTCGAGAATAGGATAACAGATCCGTTGCCACATCCTGCTGCTAGTAGCTGTGACCCAGCACCGGCATCGAGGTCATCTCCAGCCTCTGCATGTGAGATCTGCGGTTGAGCGGCGAAGCACCAAATGTCTTGACTGTCGGTGTGCACCAGACGCCTGGGCGTTCCGCTGGCTAAATCCCATTCAGTAATTGAATCGGAGCCGCCAGTACTGAATAAGCGGAGATTTCCCTTATCAAAGGGCGAGGCGGAGTCATGAGTATATGCAAGAATATCCTGTGTCCACGCCACTTGTTCAATTGTGGTGTCTTTTGCACCTTTGAAAACGACCTCTTGCAACCATGCGCCGCCGAGCGGGTTCCAAATCTCGAGATCGCCGTTGTTGCGTCCCAGTGCAAGTCGGAGATCTGTAGGGGTGTCGCGGCTGACGTCTGAAGGATGGGAGAATGCAAGTGTGTTGATGGGACGGGAAGGGTAGGGGACGAATCGACAACGGTGGACGTCCATGATCAGTATGCGGGTAATGTTTCAAGGCCGCAGTCTAAATAATCTTGGGAATGAAGAGGAGGAAGAACTCTGTTGGAGCCATATCAATTGTGACAATCACGCCGGCCTACAGCCAAGTTTTGGTGACCTCGAGTGTGAGTAGAAGAGTAGAGTTGTGGTATAGGCCATGGCGGCGACGCAGTACCAGAAAAAAAAGTCAAGACGTCGGCGACAGAAAGACCGAGTTCGTCCGAAAGAGGCTTAGTGGCTTGGATGGGATTCTGATGTTTGGACATGTCACGTGCACTCAAACCCTTCTCCGCCGTTCTTTGTTTTCGTCGTCCTCATCTTCTTTTACTGTTGCGTCCCCTTTGAACTGCATAGGCACGTTGGCATGACTCCTACGTGGCATATTATTCCCCATTGCGCTTGATTCGGGCCCCATGACTCGAGCGCGGACGGCTTTGTGCCTCCACTGTTTTCAGCATGAGCGATAGAGATGTTCATCAGTCAGTCGACCCAACAGATTGCACGACGCGATACTGATGGCCCAGAGATGATTCAAAGAAGGTAAAACGTGCGTGTACCGAGTGTAGACAACAAAAGGTGCATCCCCTTGCGAACTCTCAATACCCGTTCACACGAGCTGACGTCCAGCACCTTCAGGCGAGATGTGATGCTCATCTGAACCATGACCGTCCTTGTTCGAGATGCCAGAGAATGGGTCACGAATGCAAGATATCTGAACCGTTCAAGCGGGAGCATAAGCGAAAGTCAGTTCTTGGAATGTAGCTCTCTGATCCAGCAGAATCTAACTAGCACTATAGGAGAGCATCTGAATTTGAGCAACGTGCACGTCTGCTCCAAGAACGCCTTTCCGCTTCCTATCGGCCAAACTTCGAGCCTTTAGCGGGAAGAGCATGGCCTTCGGTGAATTCAGTCGAGAGTGCTCGAGACTCGAGAAGCGCAGAGCGCTGTGGGCAGAGCGGAGTTTTACCCTCGTCCTCTTTTCAATCTACGTCAGCCACGGTTGATGAGTCCCATGTTCAACAAGATGTGGTATCAGATGATCGGTGGGAGCCAACAGTCGCAAGAACTATCAACGGCCAATCCGTGGACCCGGCTGATATTGACCAACTTTTCGACCAGTATGACTTCAGCACCCGGATTCCAGCCCCCAGTAACTGACTTGCAGAACAGTTTTAGAACAGCCTATGCACCGCAACTACCTTTTCTTGACCCCCTCAAGTCTCCCAATGCCCAGTATGCCTCATCGCCCTTCCTTTTCTGGGCAATCATTGGCGTGGGATGTCGAACGTATGCCAGGAATCCAACTTTGCTTGCGGTGCTAGCACCTGCTGTTCTAGCCGCCGCGTTGTCGACATTGAACTCGCCAGTCACCCTGCAAACGATTCAAGGCTTATTGACTCTGCTCCACTGGCCGTTTCCAAAGACTAGTGCCACCTCTGACCTCCTCTATCCCCTCACTGGAGCGCTTATCAACATGGCCATGCAAATCGGGCTTCATCTACCCATCTCTGCACAAGAATTTAGCAAAGTACGTCTATGTCTTGATACGGCAGAGATTGAAAGACGCGCTCGGACCTGGGGCTTCTGTCAGCTCATACATTTGCGTAGTGGCGTTCCGAAGGGCAGTCCAGCGCCAGCAGTCTTCGATATTCCTTATGACCTGGACGAACGTCGAATAATGTTTGACAATTTATCGGCGGAACAGAAGTTTGAACTAAAGCTGCAGGACATTGTCAATCGATGTTGCATCGCTGCGTCGCAGAATGGCCTCCGTGTCATGACTAGCGACCGGGAGCGCTCTCTCGATACCTTGTTGGCTATGTTTTCTGCGCAAGTTGCAAGCATTGGGCTGGACGCCTCTTCTGGTAAGAGTGGCCTTTTGATTTCAGCGATCCATGCTTACGATCCCAGATCTTGATCGCTTCTACGTCCAGCTTGCCCACTTGTGTGTCCAATCTCTCCATCTCTACAAGTCGCCTGGTTCACAGGACCCAACGATCTTGTTTGACCTTTCGAATACCTGCTGTCAGGTTTTGGAGTTCTCCGAGTTGATTGACAAGGCTAGCCACAATGGCGTCGCCACTTCGAGCATGTGGATATATATTAATGTGATGCTGGCCTGCCATGTGTTGTTGAGGCTGTTAAAATCCTCGCTCTCCTGCTCCATTGACACGGCACGAGCACAGGCGGCATTCTTCTCTGGAGTGGGCCTCCACAAGCGAATGTCGCTCCAAAACGACGATCTATCGGCCAGAAACGGCGTTGCCCTTACTCAAATATGGAACAGCACGCGGGCTTTCAGGTCGCCAAATGGATCAGAAGCTGTGGCGTTAAGAGTGCGTAGTCGCTTGATCGGTGGCATTATACTGGATGGGATCGTCTGGTGGAGAGAAGAGTTTGGAGAAGCAAGCGGGATATATGCTCCGCCATTGCTGGATCGTGATGGTTTTACCTGCCCGTCGACCTTTCTCGTCAGAGTTCAAGCTAACAAGAGACAGATGTGCGCACCAACGACCCTGCACATGGTGGCCCGTCTAGCGAAGCCTTCAGAAACAGCACAAGCATCCATGCGTCTTCGGAACTATTCAATGATCCCATGTCGAACGAATTTGGTTGGCCTGTTGACTACGATATCTTCTCCGCGCTTTGGGACGACGGGAGTCTGGTTCCGAACTAAAGCGCAGTCGGTGCACCAGGCAGAAGCACACAGCCCCCTGGCATGACATCGATGTCACTGTCCGGATTCTCGGACATGGTTGCAGGAGGATGGTGTATATGGCCGCGGGAAATTGAGGCTAAGGCCAGTGTTTCTGGAGCAGTGACGCCCTTTCTTCGTCACTTGATACATATTCCATGTCGGTTATCAGGTCAACACAGCGGAAGTCCGTCCAGACGAGAAGGGAGCATGAGGTGGAAGTTCTTGAAGCGCTACCAGTTGCAATGCGCCCGTAGAATAAATGGCGTTGCTACGCCGAGATGCCAATAAACAAGTGGGAGAACGGACAAGGGACCTGCCCAGCCACGCCAACTACTGTATTTTTTGCATGATAGTGTCTTTATGCTGAGTCGAGTCTTGCGCATACATGCAACACAGGGGGAGAATTATAATCTAATGCTAGAGGAGGTTGGCGGGGCTTTATTCACAATTGCTGCTAGTAGAACTGTTTCAGCGGCTGGAGATGCAGAATGCGCCAGAGATGAAAGTTCATGCACTTTGCAGATAAGCTGGGGCTGGCATTCACTGTAGAACGGTAAATGCAACATGCAAACGATAAGAAGGCTATATTATTGAGAGGTGCGCTTGTGCTGAAGGTGTCTGTAATGGTCTGTAATGGTCTGTAAGGGAACTGCGCCAAGATGGCACGATGACACAATGGCAGGTCTAGCTTTGTTTCGACCTGAAGAATCGGAGGTGATGGCGACTAGAGGACCCCATATGGTTCACGCCAAATGCATCGTTCAGGAACCGGGCATGACGGCACTTGGCGGGGCACAAGGTTCCACGAGGGTTTGAGATTCTGCGTGGGATGGCGAGGTGGGGGTAAGAATTCCTAGGTAGGGCTGCCAGGCAGATGTGGTCCTTGGGTTAGAATCGACACCTTTTTATGTGAGACAGGCATGTGATTTTTAATTTTCCGGCAGGATTCGCATCACGAAAGATGATGCCGAGCTACGGATCAAAGGATCGGCAGATGTGGTGTGATGCGAGGAATGGCACTGATGATCAAACAGGGGAGTTTCCTAGGCAGGAGACCGGAGGAGGAGAGAGTCAAGGACGGGCCAACTCGGTTGCAGGGCGGTGACTTTGGGTACGGATGGCTGGTTGAGAAGCCTGAAAGGTTGACTAGAGTTGGTTAGTCAATGGGATGTGAACATGATGGGATGACCTTCGGAGCCTACCACACACACATGCGCACCCAAGGCCGAGGAGCTAGGTATTGGAATAGCACGTGGGGACCCAGGGCTAGGTAGAAGATAGGTCTGGGAGGAAAGGTACTGCGAGCTGTAGTCAGTTTTTCGAAGGTCGACAGGATTTTCGTACTCCGTACAAATAATGATCAAGGGTGACAGTTACGGAAGGTAATCAGACTGGTGGGAAATGCAAACCTTGCATTCCATTTCCAAGAGTGCCAAGGCGGACAAAGGGTGCATAGGAGAGATTGGGTTGCAACGTGCATGCTGTGAGTGGTGGGGTTGACAAGTACGTCATTTTTGTCATGAATTTGATGAATTTGGTGAATTTGATGAATTCTCAGCCTCTGAAGGCGGATAAAATGGACAGCGGTTGCCAAGAGAGTGAGAGCGAGAGAGCGAGAGAGCGAGACGGTGAGTGACTGAAAAGTCATGGAGAGTAGGGCAAAGCAGATGTAGAGATCTCAGATGGTGCTGGATAATCAGTCATAAGCTGGCAAAGTAGGCAGGTGCTACAAGTCGGCAAGAGGCAAGCACAGAAACCCATGTCCTACGACGCAGATTATTCTACATGACTTCAGAATACCTAGGTGCGCATACATCGCAAACATCGATCGCACGAGAGAAGATATGAGATTTTTACAGCCAAGAGGGTTGGTGATCGCAATGTTTATTATTCTGTTCTTGTTTGTTGTGATTACCTACCTACCTAAGGTAGGTATTCTTGGGAATGGGCAAGCAGCGGGGCAGAAGTGTCGACCTCAGAAGCGCGCTACTTTGGCTCCAAGTAATAATGTGTCGTAATGGCGATCTCGATCTTGGGGGTAATAATGGTCTCCTCGGTCCTGGTTGATGCAATCTGCCCAGCGCCAGTCCGGCAAAATAGCACAAAAGTGCATACGGTGTAAGTAGTACTCCGTAGCTCGAGGGGGATTCTGGCCTGCAGACCTCCAAGTCCTAGCCCTGGGCCCCTCGGCCCCACTGGGGAGACCTAGGTGTGCGAGGGTGCGAGGGTGCGAGGGTGCGAGGGCCCGAGGGCCCCAGTGAGCCATGCATCCCCAAAGTTTGGTTGAAATTAGCACCTACGTGCACCTGTCAACAAGTCAACCACTGAATTCCTCCTGGTGCAGTCTCTTGAGTTACGGGCAGAAGTAAACCTCACCTAACGTAAACAACAGTAGTGGCCTCAAGGTGCCGATAACGACACCATTAGAAGGCCCCTCGGCCCCTTGAACGCCCCCAGCCGCCCAAGTGCCCGCCATGACTCTCCACTTGATCCCCAAGCCTCATCCGCCTTATAGCCCTGGATGCCTCACTCATTCATTCCTACATTTTGCCAGACATCTCTCGAATCGCTCTAGCAAGATTCTGACTGTGACACTCTCATAACCCATCCCTTATTAATATCCTTCTCTCTCGACTCTTCAGTCAAAAACTCACTCTTTTCGTGCACTCGCTTCAAGCGACACACCCAACGAAGCCCGACACGCGCCTATCTCCAACCCTCCCTGGGCCGCCTCCGGCCCCCGGTCGCCGTCTTATAGGTAGGCAGATACCTTAGCCTTACTTGCTTTCTTGCTTGGCACTTATTCCAGTTTCTTCTAGAACAGACAACACCTCGTCATACCATCACCCATCATATCACATCCTTGCACGGCAATATCAACGTTGGCTTTCAAGGACACGCCCGAAGATACAGTACCTACTGACTCGTCGCCAACCTCTAGCTGGACACATCACTGAGCACCTACCTACCTACTGTACTTGGCCCCAGCCCCACCAACCACGCCCGGGATTCATTTTGCGCGGCCACGCACCACGCTACCCTTCCAAATCGCCCCCCTTCCCTCTTCTCCCGCTTACATAAACGGAAAACTTTGAATTGACGTCGACACTGCCGAACCCTTCCGTCCATTTCTCAGCTTCCTTTCAACCTCACCTGTTTCTCGCCCTCGGTGCTGCAACCTCTTGGTCTGGTTGACTCCCTGCTCGCCTCCCTTCTTCCTTGGCCCTCAAACATGGGAAGAGTATATCGCTACCCTTGACCAATTTTCCGCCCCTCCCATCTGAGGTTATCGTCGAAATGAGGCCGAGTTTGCTTAAGCGGGCCCAAAGCCACACTAACCGCCAGACAATCAGCAATCTCCTTCACTCTCGCAACAGCTCGCCACACACCGCTGCTGATACCATCTCCGGCCACAAGCACATCGAGGAAGAGACCCTGCCCAAGTACAATGCAGACCACTTTTACCCCGTCCGCATTGGTGACCTTCTCAACGACCGTTACAAGGTCGTCGCCAAGCTAGGCTATGGCATGACCGCCACTGTCTGGCTTGCCAAGGACACCTCTATGTATGTCTCCCACTGGTCCCTACCCGTATTCATATCTGCTCACCATCATCTACACAGGGCCGAAGATGCCGGCAACCAAAAATATGTCACCATCAAGATCAACGTCAATATCTTGACCGAGGACTATCTGAAAGGTCGAAAAGCAATTGCCGAGAAACTTTTCACCGCCAACCCCGCCCACCCCGGCTACGGCCACATCCGCTTCATGCTCGACACCTTCAAGTTGAAATCCAAGCACGGCGAACACCTGTGCATTGTCTACGATGTCTTGCGAGAGCCCATTGACGTGTGCATGGAAAAGTTCCCCAATCGTCGCTTCAGCTGTGAGAAGATCCGTATCTTACTCCCAGCTCTCCTCCAAGGCCTCGACTATCTCCATGCTGAATGCCAGGTCGTCCACACCGACCTCAAAGCTGACAATATCATGATGGGGCTAGGCGACCCCACCGTCCTTGATCGTTTCGTCCAACACCAACTTGAACATCCCTCCCCCCGCAAGGCCCCTGATAACCACGGTCGCATCATCTACCAGTCGTGTACCGACTTTGGCGAGGCTCCCACCCAGTCCGTCATCGCCTCCGCCAAGATCACCGACATTGGACTGGCCCAGTGGGGTTATGAGGACAACTACAAGCCCATTCAGTCCAATGCCTTCATGGCCCCCGAGGTCATTCTGAACTGCGGTTGGTCCTACCCGGCCGATATTTGGAATCTTGGCGTTATGTTGTGGGACCTGTTTGAAACTTTCGGCCTGTTTGACGCCATCGACACCCGACCCAACTCCTACCGTCCCGAGAAGCACCTGGGCCTCATGATTGCCCTCCTAGGGCCTCCCCCTAAAGAACTTGTCCAACGTGGCAAAAAGTCCTTTCTCTTCTTCGACTCGGACGGCAAGTTCAAACACCCCGACTACGTGCTTCCAGATTTCACTTGGGAGTCGTCCATTTCCCGCTTGAGAGGTGAAGAAAAGGATCTGTTTATCGACTTTGCCCGCAAAATGATCTGCTGGCTGCCCGAGGAACGGTGGACTGCAAAACAACTTCTCGAACACGACTTTTTGACAAAGGAACGCGATCCCAACTACTTGACACCGACCCCTACCTTGAGCCGTGCCTCGACCACCTCCATCAGCTCAATCATGCCCTCTCGAGCACCCACTCCAGGACCCGCCCCCACATCGTATCCCGCACACTTGCCTTTCCCTCGCACCTCGCCTCAGACCCAAGACCCAAAAGAGGACAAGAGCCCCGACCCATCACGGCCACCATCCAGGGCATCAACTCATCCCCCTTCTTCCACTACACTGCCCTCAAGACCCAAACCTGCAGATCGAACTCAGAATGATGTCGCCCCCCTACCACCGTCCATCAATACCAGCAATCAATGCTCACAGGATCTCATCGATTCTATCCTCAAAAAGGGGAAACGCCAGAGCACAGGAGACAAGCTTAATGGCTCAATCCACCATCAGACCATCAAGGAAGAGCAAAATTGATGCACAACGCCGGCTGGTCTGTCATTCGGACGATTCACTCGGAGGTATTATGATCATGGGTCCATGACAATGGCTCCGTGCGGTTGAAATGGTCTATTTCCAAGCATGTTAGCATGGCAGTCGACTAAAGATTGTCCTTCAGCGCGATCCTCGAATGCGAGAGATCCACTCCTGTCAGAATTCATGGCACGCCATTGCTTATGTTGAAGAATCACCATGCGTGACACATGAATTATGGCGGCGCCATGCGGCAAAATCACCATGACTGTATTTGCCTAACGCTACCACACACTTCGATCCGTTTACCCAATCCTATACACGGCATTTCCATCTTGATGCCAGGGTCCTATGTTACGGGGCATGATGCTTTTGTCAACTTCAGCATATCAAGCGACGCGATTACCGGACAGGTTTGCTGATTGGAGCGTGCACAGAGAGTTCGGCTTCCTTATTGCCTGCGTTGGTTCGAACTTGGTCGCTATTAAATGCATTGGCGCCGAGGAGTCGGCGCAGCACTATACCTGGGTTCACAAATAAACCTGCATTCCCTGGCCGCGCCTTCGATTGAAGATTTTCCTTGGGAAGTTCGGGAAATAGTGATGGCCACATGATGCACCATACGACAGGATGGTGAATATCTATGTACTATCCAATTCCAGACCTTGACAGTGCAAAATAGGTCGTAATTTCGAAGTAGTTGAAGCACACATTTTGACACTTCACTGATCCGTACAGCTTGGTATTGACTGAGCATGCACATATGTCTTTCAACGCCGAGACCCGGCGCGTATGACATAAGCTAGGTCCATAACGCATGCCCCGATGGCTAATTGCTTGATTCCGGGCAATGACGAAGCCCCGTTAAGTCGTAAACTGGTAGGTCCATCGCTGTGGCTGGGGGTGAAAATAGACCGATTCCTCCCACTAGCCTGTCGAGACGGGTCCAGGCGATCATCCCAAGCACCAGATGCATGATTTTGATGCCCAATGCAGTTTGGGGGTTCGCAACAGAAGGTGTTCCAGGAGTCAGCTTTTGTGCCTTTGCGACAAAGGGCCGCATTTTACTTTCGTACTCGTCAAATGCCCTCAAGTGATCATCGCTGTGGCTAATGAGCTCTCCGGCAAGTACATAAGCTCCCACGATGGCGACCGTGGTGCCCATCCCTGAGATGGGTGTCGGACAGAACGCACCGTCTCCAACCAGCACGACACGGCCTCTCGACCATCGATCCATCTTGATCTGAGCTATGTGCTGGAGATAGAAATCATCAGCTTCCTGCATGCCTCGAAGTAGCCTCTCGGTCTCCCAACCGGCGTCCGCAAATACCTCTTGAACCAGAGCCTTTTGCCTGTAAACGTCGGATCCGTGAGCGTCTTGAAGTTTTTGGCCCGAGCCCATGATCCATAGGGAGGCTCTAGTGACATTATTGTGATCAGGTCTCACCAGTGCCATCCTTCTGCTGGGCGCATTGTACCAACGTGCCCAGCCCGAGTCGGTCGGTTGCGAAGGTACAGCGAAATAAGCTCCCCATTGCCCTAGAGACTTGACACAAGTCTCGTGCAAATCCGGAAATGCCAGCCTTCTCGTGGTTTTACGACCATCCATCCGCCCCGATTAGGATGTCAAAGCTCTGCCGAGGAGTCCCATTAACAAAGTCCACCTCAATTGCGTTGTCAACCTCGTGGTACCCTTGGATGCATTCACCAAAGATATAGAGCACCTGATCCTTGGTCGCTTCGTACAGAATAATCGCCAACTCGCCTCGCATAATCTCAATCTCCCCCGTGAAGCCGGTCCCATCAGCGACGGGGAATTCAGCCCTGCAGTTGTTCTGTGCATCGACAAAGCGAAGTCCTTTTTCGTTGGTTTTGACGCTTCTAACTTTGGGTTCCAGGCCCATGCGTTCGATCACTGTGAGACCATGACCTCGAATGTCGATATTTTGGCCGGATGACCGCAAGTTTGGTGATCTCTCGACAATCGTCACCTCGAAGCCGGCTTGGGTGAGCCAGTATCCTGCAGTTGGACCGGCGACTCCAGCACCGCTGATGAGAACTCTTTGTTTTGCCATATCTCATCCCTCACCATTGACAGCAGTGCTAATTGGAAAGTATCTTGATAGTATACTCGATGATCTTGTCTCGCCTCTTAGCTTGGTCGACCGACAATGTGTTTCAAGGGATGATGCTGGCGAGGCAACAGGGAGATATCATCTTTGCACTCAAATCCCTTGTTTGCCATCGGTGTCCGGTAAGGCAGAAGTCCGACTCTGCAGATTTGGTGCAACCATGTGAGTGACAGTCTAGGGGCTAATGCAGAGTTGGGGGGAGGAACCCCCTTGGTGACGTAAGGATACAACTATATGAGAAGGGCGTTAACGCCCTTCTAACGATGTGGAAGGTAGGAACACAAAATAATAACACTAATTTAGGTCTTGTCATTTCGCTACCGACACTTGTCCACATTACAGGTGTTGACGATTAAATATTTTCCCTCGAAAAGCTCCAACTGACACCCGACACCTTACATTGCGAGAAAGAATATAAGTTGATGCGCGTATACTTTCGCTGTGGCCTGTCGTTTCATACACATTGTGCAGATAAAGCTTCTGGCCCGACCGGCGGGCTACTTGCAGCAAGGTTGCACTGCCTGAAGAGCCGAACTTCGTTCTTGTCGAACGCACCCACGACACTGTGCAACACGCCATGGTTGTTGAATAGGACCAGGTCACCTTCCTGCCAGTCGTGCGCGTAGACATACTGCGGCGCAATTCCTGGACGCTGCAGGCTATGGACTATGTCCCTAACTTGAGCTAGGTTGTCAATGATACTGCCGTCTCTGCAATGGATCTTGCGCACCACTGAGGGGTGAATCTGGAGGGCAAATTTCTTAGTGATGGGATTTTGCCAGACCATAGGTAGTATCTGAATATCAGCAGCCGATTCGATTGGAGGCAAATCATTCAGAGCCAATTCCCGGTCTTCAGAGACCATGCCCAGGCCATCTGGGCGTGATTTTGCATTGGACATCCACACGTATGGATGCGGGGCATACTCGATTTTGGAGTTCAGGGCGAATTGCTTCTGGTCCGGGGTGAGGATGTCGAACATGGTGTATCCAGAAACAAAGGCGGTGGTGCCGAGCGGGACTTGCAGTGAGTCGCCCGTGCCATCGTCGTAAAGCAATGTCTGAGTTCGCCCAGCAGGGACGCGTACGGCCAGCAGAGAAGTCACCAGAGGGGGGTTGAGCCTTCCATAGAGAGCTGCATCAATATGCCAGCGGTAGAAGCGGGTGCAATCAAGATCTTCCTCATCTGGGATGACGGTCTTATGGAAAGTTCGATGATGAGGGTGTTTGAGTGTGATATCCTTCAGACCCTCGTAGTCTGCTACAAACCCATTGCCTATTACCTGAACTTCAGGTTGGTGTGGCACTGTTTTCAAGTCGGGGTGGAGGATGGACCTTTTGGCATCAATGGTTTTGCCATGTCCGTACGACTGAGCTTCCGGATCGAAGCGCCTTGTAAGTTCAGCCTGAGACTTTGGGGTGAGCTTCTCCTGTGACTTAATACAGACAACGTTGTGCAGGTAGAGAGCTGTTCGGATGGCGTCAAAGTCCGAATCGCTGAGATTGTTGAGATCCACATCTTCCAAAACAGCTCCAAGGCCGGGGTTCAGAGGATTGAGCGGACGGGCGTGAATCTTGGACATTTTGGAGTTATGTGTGGCCGATTTCGAAGTTATCAATCTATTGATCTCGCGTGTTGACTTTGTTGTGGTTTCTTAGAGACCATCACCGGAACATGGTGAAATATATATTCGAAGGATTAACGATCCTGACCCTGTGAGAGGCCATCGTCATCTAGGAGATCTGAGACCATCGTACCGAGACTCAGAGGAAGTTCGGAGGTTTCCTGCCAGAATACTGATAAGGCTTCCTCAATAAGTGAATAGTACGTGATAAGGCATGGAGGATACCTAATTCTCTCAGCCTTCGGGAGACACCGTTGCTGTACAATTGAATGACGAACCAAAATTTCACGTGACAAGTACGAGATATGATCAAGTTTTCACGTGATATGTACGAGCTGCCTTTTTGGTAACCACGGAGTAGAGTATTGTTAATGGATCAATGATCTGTTGTCTATTTCCATTTCTTGTCATGTTCAAAGTTGTCACCCTTGCCAACCACGACCAGTGTCAACATTTTTTTAGACTCCTTGGGTCAAGATGGCTTGAGAGAGAGCTCTTGATTGGCCATGATTTGTGCTGATATATTGCAGCATCAGAATGTCTCATATGGACTGCTTACGAAGACCATTGGAACTTTATCCACACTAATGGTCTGAGTCATGGAAAGATATCAAAATCGATGAATAACCGGCGCCCAAGATCCTGTTCCATCATCCGCCTCATCCACCTTTGCTAGTATCCTCTGCTTGATAATTTCTGGCGGTGGAGGACCCGGTGCAGCAGGGTTTTTCGCCCGGTCTGCAGCGAAGAATGGCACAGGCTTGACAGCGTCCGATACGGCCTTTATCTTGTCCAGCTCTGCAGGCTGGTAGCCACCGCCGACAATGATGAACGAGATGTCAGTGCGCGGTTGTCCCTCTCCGCGGGTGTTGGTGCCGTACCCGGAAACTGGTTTGATAGCCTCGCCTCTGAGCAGGGCCGGAATCTCAGTCTCGGCAGCCTCGGTGGTGATGCAGGCATGCACAACTGTTAGATTCCAAACGTTAATTGGGGTTCTATGGAAGCGGCCTGTGTCGAGCTGGACGGGATTCAAGATATACTAACTTTGAATTCTGGGAAGCAGTGACTTGGTCATGTATTCCACCAGCCTTGGTTCCTTGCCACACAGCACGGCTGCAAGAGGGGCCATATCGAGAGCCGGTTCTCCTGTTGCACACTTTTGGGGGGAAGTGAATGGGCCTTGGGACAATGTTTGTTGTGTCAATTGACAAAAAAACACTGAGATACTGTTCTACTCTTAATTCACTAGATAATGAAGAGCATCGAAGCTGGGGTTGGTGGCGCGAAGAATGAATACCTTATAAGGGTGAGATACCCCTCGTCACGCTTCGGCGAATCATTTAATCCGGCCCTACAAATTTGAAGCGAGGGGGCCTCGAGAGTCGAATACCATAACATAATTATAGAACCACACTCTCCAAGTCCCAGAACTACTTACTCTTTGATTGCTGCTGAGGCTGAGTGACGGCCGCCTGAGTGTTGACAAAAATGGCCATGATTATTTTGGGCATTTCGGTGTAATGGCCCGGTTCTGGGAGAAGTTAGGCAGACAGCGACATCGGTGGACTAGGGACTATTCTGTAAAACAAACAGAAGAAGCATAGGCACGTACATAAGAAATCTCATGCTACATCTTACCGTCCGTACCGCAAGGTCGGCATGGTTGCCGCAACCTGGCCTGCCTTGAAAGGCATGATAGGTTCCACCTAATAACTGTGAAAAGTCCCAAGACATCATTTCAGAGCGAAGCGTGCCCTGTGGAGACGATCATGCAAAGGACTTGGAGCAGAGTCCAAATCAGAGGCCAAGGTTATCGGGCGATGCAGGTGATGCGGGTGGTGCGGGTGGTGCGCAGTACCTTGCTTGTTTTACCCCCGTAAAGGGAATGGAGTATGTGCTCCGTATGTACTCCGTAGGTACTTCATGCCGCGATCTCATTCTACAGCAGGTTCCAAAACGTGGGCCTGGGAATGGCATGCCCTTAGACCACTGGTTATTTATGAAACAGCCCACTGGAAGCGCAAGATACATACTCCGTAGTGCCTGCGTACATACTGTAGGGAGTATGTACATATGGAGAGCACTGGTGAACCGCCCAGTGCTGCGCAGGTGGTGTTAGATTGCAGGGAGGCCCGAGGAGCCTAGGGATCCGTCGCGGATGTGACCGAAGGTTTATCCTTATCAGCCCCCTGGCTTACAGTAAAGGCGCGTGGGGCCACGGGTAAGGCCACGGGCGCACCTCACTTAGGCCCGAGTACGTACAGTACGTACTCCGTAGGTACCTAACTTTAGCATGGCCACACCCAACACCTCCCAGCCCCTCAGACGCCTCCCATAGATTTTTGATTCGAGGCCTGGGGGCATTGGACAAGGTCAACTTCTGGAGAGCCTTAATTATTATTGGATGCTCTGTCTGTCGATCTCCTTGCCCCAATATAGGTATATACCCTCAACCATGTGATCGCACGCGGAATGAGGGTAGCTTCGAATGCTGGAATTATCAACCTGTGCGACGGGCAAATATTGATGGCAGTGGTGCTCGAAGTTACATTTGAGTCTCATTCATTCCATTTACTGGTCAAAGAAAGAATTGTCGAAAGGCTCACGGCAGTCATCATGTCGAAATCGTATCTGACGCCACGATGACGATGATGCTATCGATAGGTAGCCGACGCCCTAGCTAATCGATAACCTTTCCATCTGTGAATGACTAGCTATAAATGTTCCTAGTAGGAACAACAGTAGATGATACATAGATTGACTTGCGTCACCTTTCTTCCCTGGATTTCAGTCTGCTCTGTCCTTGGTCATTGGGACAAGAAAGTGATGTGCATAGGTTGGTAGAGACCTGTGCCATCTGAGGATTGCTTCGCATGTGCACCGCAGGTGCATAATCCCAAGATCATCAAATAAACAAAATAAGAAACCTTGATGCTTAGCGGTCGTTCAGACTCTGCAAGAGAGTGGGGACCAATATTTCCAGTATCAAGTTCATGCTTGGGTCCATAGTCCACCCATATTCCAATTCCCGAGTATCATCAATGCAGTGTGATGAGGCATATCCCAAACTCCCTGGCTTCTGTACACATAAAATCCCAATGCTCGTGGTGGGTAATTTCAATTTTTTTTAAAGTTGATTTCAAAAGGCATGTTGCAAATACATTACATGACGGCGAAGGATACCAGAACATTCGCCCAAGCGGCTAACTGCGCCTACTTCCATCTGTTGTGGTTCATGCTGGCGGTACGGATCGAGTCACCGCTGGTTGTGGTATTGTGGTGAATGACGACCACTTCGCGCTTTGCGACTGGTCGAGGCTTTTTGCGATCCCGGGCCTCGCGTCGGGAATCTTGACAGACTCTGTCACCAGTAGTGCTGGAGACAGAGGTGCCGTGGTATTGCGGCATCTAGAATGCTGCGTCCGTAATCGGGTCAAGGGTGTAGGTAGGTTTTGGGAGAATATGCCGTTGAGAGTTCAACAGAAGGTGGTGTGCGTGATTTTGTTTTTGACTTGAGAGTGAGAGCGAGGATTGACTCTGTTCAGATGTAACCTTGGAAGGACGGCCCTAGACGAGATGGTTTTGAGGGCGAGTTGTGATAAGGGATTCCAGGGGCGCGAGAGCTATGGTTGTGGAATGGTAAGAGGTCGGAAACGGCCTGTCAAGCAGGTTCCTAGGTATTTGATATGCTTTGAGGGAGTGAAGACCAGAGTCCGGAGGTGGGAAAACAGGATATTTATACAATTCTATGGGACATGGATGGATGGGAGATGGGTGGTGAAATCAGGCAGCATCAGGCAACTGAGACTTGACTGGTGGTGGTGGTGGTGAGTCATGGCAAAGACAGGAATGCCACCTTTTGGCCGCAGCGCAGTTCACGGAGACAAAGTGAATACCTCGAACAAAGCCAGGACTTCCAGGGTCCACAAACAAGGCGTAAAGCCACCGAGTGATCGAAACAAGCAGACGAGAAGGGAAGGGTGTGGAAACCCAGACACGAACAGGAACGACAACAGGACGCTTCTGGTAGTCTACAGGCAGAATATCCGCCATTCTGGCGAATCTGGCGAAGATGAGACAAGGGTTCCAAGGACAGGGAACTGCAGGGCTAGATTAGTGAGGTTTAGGCGGGATGGGATGGGTTGGCATTGGGCAGCCGTGTAATGAGGAGTTTGCCGAACTAAAACGGGAGCCATGAGGATAAGCCACCTTGGGCTTGGGTGAAGTAACCACATGAACACGAGATACAGGAGTGCGAGTACTGCTGATGACGGAGGAGGTGGGTTGGTGGGTTGTGGATGGAGGGTGGAGGGTAGAGGGTCGCGAGGGTCGAGGGTCTTTCGGTGAAGCTCCAAGCCTCAACTACAACGGTATGCACACGAATACAGTCCAGGCTGCAGGTACAGGACAGAGAGACAAATGATGTCTGGTCTTCTGCCACACACCACCCGGTTCGGTCATCATGGGCCAGAGCCGCCACGCGTCAACGCAAGGAAGGAGAAGCGAGGACGCCTGAAGCCTTGCCGAGGAAAGTTCAGCTTGCATCGTCATTGCTCGTTATCGCTGAGATGGGAGTTTGTGTCTGTGTCTTGACCCTCCAGTAGGACATACTGCCCTATGGAATTAATGTATGTAAAGTATCTACTCGAGTTTTCAACACTCCGCCCCTCGTGGCTCTCTACTACGCTTGTGCCACGTCTAAACAGCGTCGACCATCATGTTCCTGCAGCAAGTTCTTCGAGGGGACACTCACACCTTGTAGCCCATCCGAACCCTTTCCAGGGACGGGGTGAATCACCGTGGCTCGCCGTCTCAAATAGCTGGGGGCCATTTCTCACCCGGTGGTCTTGTCAGTGCACATTCATCATTGGTGGCCGTGCCGTCACCCTCACCCAATCGGGTCCAGGGTGATGCTACGACCTGAAACTTGATCCTTTAAGGAGGATTGGCATCCTGACCTTCCCTTTCAAAAAGGGCAAGATTGCATGTCAAGGTCAGGGGGTTCAAGACGGGGGCATTGGGGGCCAAGCATCCATGTTGCATTTCTTCAAGTTGGAGGAGATCCATCAATCTGTGGCTGTGTCGATCCTGGTCCAATTAGGAATTGCAACTTGGGCAGCCACCCCGAGGCCGGTGCCACGAATTCTCTTGGGTACTGTGACGTACCTTTGGTAGCCATGGCCGAGGCTCATCTGAACGTACGGTACTTGGTGAGGCGTCGATGATGGTCACTGCTCCTCAGCCTCGACAGCTGCTAGTTTGTGGTTGTCAGCCTCGACCTCGCACCTGCACAGACTCGTGCATACTAAGTTCGAGCTCTGAGGGTGAGTCCTGCTTGTTGAATGCCGTTGAGAATGGTATGGAGCCCAATAGCCTCGGTGGGAAGTTGTTGATCTGCTCGCTAAAGGGACATGGCCATAATTCACCAACTACAGTACATACTAGGTAGTGACTGCACAGTCACAAGGAGCTGCCGGACTGCGGAGTGACCCCACGGATTGAGCTGTGAACAGGGGATATTTGTTATGTACAAGGGCAGTAGTGACAGATACCACATCAAGGTGAGGCAAGCAGCTATTCCTGCTGTAGAGGCTACCGTGGCTACCCAGGCATGCTAGGACATGACAACCGGTACTTTCTGAGGTCGACACCACGCTGTTAGGCATGAATGAGGACAGCCGCTCTCCAAGCTCATGGTGAACTCAGGCATTTCACTTCTGGTCATTAACAGCGCCAATGTATTCAATTTACAGTGCCACAGTGCCCAACCTGTCCAGGCGCTATCAACCGTAGCCGACCGACTTTCAGAAACGTTTCAGACCTCCTGGTGGTTTTGGTCAGCTCATGTCATGGTGAATGAAAACAAGCAGAATGTTATCCTGCCTCGTCTCCTCATGTTCCTGGACATTGTGGCCCAACGTGCCCTACACCCGGACATGATCTACGGTGTATCTGCCGCGCCACGAAGCAATACTGGTGGAAGCCTCGATTGATATCATGAAGATAAGGACGAGTTGTACTTGTGTGTCGCAGCAAGAACCCTGCTCCGGGGCGGCCATGTCGCTATGGGATCGTGGATGCCCAACCACGGTTGGCAATGTCGATCACCAAATGTGTCTGCATTGGAAACTCTGCTCACCTGCGACCATGTCATTGGCTAGCAAAATTGGATTCATGTCTTGCCTGATAGGGCACAGGCAGATGTCTGCATCGTGAGCCTGACAAGCTCGGGTTGACCACATCCCTAGGTCCAAAGGAGATCCGTTCCGAACAAGTTGATCATATGATTCAGGGCTATGAAACGGTGCGCATACTTGCATATAAATTTTGTTGTTACAACATTTGCGTCATACTGCATGACCTTTGAAATCAACCAAGCCCATGGGGTCTGGAAATCCACCAATTCATAGCCCTCCCGCTCCTAGTAGGGTTCTGGGTTAGAGTGAATATACAAAAGCCCGATTCAAGTGACAAAGCCAGCGTCTAAGGACATTTCCGATCCGACTGGGTTGAAAAGGATTCAAATGGATCAAATAATCCGCCTAGTCAACAACACCAAAGCTCGGCCTCATATTTCGTCCAATGTGCTTTCAACGTGTCGTCTTGGAGCATGATTTCGTCATTGAGGCTTACAGAAGCGCGACGATGCCCAAGAAAAATGATCCGAGTATTCCAGTTACAGGTACGAGGTGGACGTCGACGGCAGCATTCCCAGTCTCGCTCGCGGTTGTGCGAGCTTCAGTACGCGAAGCCAAAGCAGTACCAGCAGCGCTGGTGGCAGAGTCGAAGCGGGAGGTGACCTCGGACTGGACACTGCTCCGGGCAGCGCTAGCCTCGGAGTAAATACTCGAGAGATCACTGGAAAGACTGCTGCGGATAGATGGGTCGGCGGTAGATGCAACAGACTCGATGCTGGACACGCGCGATGCCACTGAAGAATCGATAGATGAGAGTGCGGATCCAAGTGTGGATGTAAGGGATTCAAAGCCAGAAGTAATATCGCTGGCTAGTGATGTTGCCACTGATTCTATTCCACTGCCCGCAGCTCCGCCAGCGGATGTCACGTCTCCGACGACTGAGGTAATATCTGAGACAACACCGCCAACAGCCGAGGTGAGTTCATCGAGTTGTGCGTTGGCGGTGATGGCGAGAGCCGCAACGATCAGGGATGCTTTGAAGTGCATTTCGGTGGATTGGAGGTGGCGAGATGGAGAATGGTCGTAAGTAACAGCACAGGGGATGGAAGAGAACAGATGAGAGACGTATCAAAGATGCCCTGGACAAAAGGGGTAGAAAAATACAAATCTCTCGCAACGAAATGGACTGGTCAATGATAATTATTCGAAAGAGAATATATCGAGGCCAAGGGTCAAAGACCTCCTCTTCACTTTATGTACGGCACATCCCCCCAGTGTGGTGGTTTCAGTTTCCCACGATGACGTCGGCGGGAGCTGTGGCTTTGCGAACTGGGATTGTCACTTGGCAACCCCTGATGCACGTCCCAGGTGTCAGTCAATAGTGGCAAAGTAATAAAAAGCACGGTGATTGTCACTGGGAAGCGGAGCTGGAGTACCTACAACATTCATGCCCCACAGGCCAGAGGGGCCCTCAGCCCCATGACGGTGGCGTCCTCGTCACCTCCAACTGGCTTTCCAGTGCAATGCTGCAGCTTTGGCCCTGGGATTCGACACCCTCGTGACCCTGCATCGGTTGGTGACAGTGTGCATACGGAGTACTTTCAGATGATGGTTTCAGCTGATGGTGGAGCACCATTTTCTGCGGAGGTCGACAACGCCTCAGTACGCATACAGTACTCGTATTGGCCATGCCAGAGCCATCGTATCCGTACTCGTAGAAATCACGGTGGAGGTGGGTAATGTGTCCTTCAGTCTTAGCATGCTTAATCTGTCGACTTCTGGTTTGCGCCTCCTTGTTGCTGGTTCTCTTATATTTCAAGATAGTTTTGCGGTGGAGAGCGTGGGAATTGGGAACAGACTTTGACGGCCAGGCCGCGCCATTAGGTGACGATCATGACTAAGTGAGGTGAGCCATCACCACAATTTTGGGTGCAGAGCCTCAACCTACTATAGCATCTGCCTTATTGGAACCGATTTGATAGGTATTGTTACACATAATGCCACTACGGGTGTTTGAGGAGGGAGTGGTCGATACAATAGGAAGGAGTTGACGATGAGATTGCACCGTAATACATAGAATGACCCTGCCTGGGATCATACGCATCCCTCCTTCGCCATCTCAAGAAGAGCGTCTGGGTCGATCAGGGTCTTGCGCTTGATCCTCCCGTCATCAAAATGTCTTGTCCATTGCGTCTCTTCTTGTTCGGTACCTCATCATGCTGAGAAAGGTGTATCGATTTTGTGTTCGACCCTGTCGACATTCTTCTCCTATTCCTTACCACCAGCCCAACCTCTACCCATCATCTGAGACGGTTGACCGTAGGACAGCCTGATTTGTTAGACCAGAAATATTAGCGTAGCAGTGAAAGATATGCTCTAAAGACTCCCAAAATCCAGTGGCCCAGCCAAGAGGAGAATTGCATTGTGTCCCAACGCTCACCGGGGCAAGACACTGGCAATTTGAAAGCTTATATTATTGCTTTCTCCACACGGGAGTTGAATGACCTGTTCCAGTCACGACTGCTCCGTTGGTTTGGCAAGGTACTGCACCACCTGCGGGCTCGCTCTAGTCATGGTTATGAGGTGCAGCTCAATGTCGATACTATTTTCCAAATCTTGACCTGGTTCTGCTTGCTCTAGCCCCGTCCACTTCACAGATACCACCCTCGACAGCTGAGACAGTCGCTGGGACTGTACCTCTTCCACATAGTTGACTAAACGCTCCAGAGAAGGGATTCGACTGGCGCGATCCATCGTGAGACGTAAGCATCTAACTCGCTTCGTTAGCTCCTGCTGCACAACATGGCACCGAGACACCAGGCCAGGGCCGATCATGACTTGTTTACCGGGCTGGAGTGCTAGCAGGCTGTGGCACAGGCGCCATGTCAAATGAGAGATGCTCAAGGAATGACAAGACAACAAGGGATGACTGTTATTGGGCAGAGTACAGTGGAACAAAAATCCTTGATACACAAGCTTCACACTTCAGCCCTCATCAGGTTGATCTGGATGCCAGGGTCTGATTGATAGTACTGCGAGCGAAAGTGCCTCGTTTGCTCGAGGTATTCGGCCTGAAGATGGCACCTTGGAGCATGGCACTGCCTCTGATAAGTATAAGGACTGCAGCTTTTATACCTGTTCATCATAACGGACATAGCTTTCCAAAATATATCTCAGGCGGCACAAAAATGTCGTACAGAGGAGACCCCAGTGCTCGACCGGGGCAAAAGTTGCCTCGTAGCGCCATATGGCATTATAGCTTGGAACGTTGATGCATGGTCCCGGATCTCGCAATCACTCGAGTGGTAGGCCGTTCTCGAATGATAAGAGTGATATCCACAGGGCCATGCGACGCAGGCTGGCCAGCTATGTCGGGGAATTGAACGTAGTTCGTCGCAATTAACGGGTCCGGTTTAACTGTCGTGTATCCGAGTCCGCAAAGCCTGCAGGTAAGGTCGGCGCAGTGGGGTGATCACTGTTCGATCGGTAGTCAGTTGTTGGCATTATTCTCGTACTACCCTGCACGATCTAGTAGTGGATGAAGGCTGGTATATTTTTCGTAATTGCCGTCTGGAGACCACGTAACCTTGAACTAAGCGCCCTTGAGCGGCCCGATACCTGGTCTGGCCAAATAGGCCTTGCGAATCCTGTAGATAGACCGGGGGAAAGCGAGTCTCGATACTGTAACGACCACTTCTGGTACCAGGTCCTGGTTACCGACCGACACTTCCATCCCCGGTTGTGCTCCAGTGTACAGCCAGAGCCTCCTTCAACGAGGATAAGCCTGGCATAGCGTGGGATCATTCGAGCACGCAGCATGCATGAATGAGCGTCGGGTTGACGATTTGATGCTTGGAAAGCTGGTTGACTGGATGGCGGGGCCTGTGGTGGTAGATTTCTATTCGTAGAAACCGCGGGGAACCGGGTGCATGCATGAAACAACTCTGGCACGAGTGTTTGAATGAAGATCGAATGCTTCGGTTGGACCATTAGAGCTAGCTGTTGAGATGCACATCAAAGACCGATATTCGATGTTGATAGTGGCAAGGTATCGTTGAGGGCTTGTCTGTGACTGGCCGGAAAGACGGAAGACCATCTTCCGCCATGCAAGGCAACAATCTTCGCCTCCCGCATATCATGCTAGCCCTGCTCCCCGCACTGTATCGAAGCGATAGAGACTTATTGTTCCACGTTGATGCGCGATAGAGATGCCGGTATATGAATGGACATGTAGCCGGATGTCGACCCGCGGTTACACAACATATTGTCGTAAGGCCTCGCTCTTCTCAAGACGAGCGGCGGATGCACTTAGTATGCCTTTGGTGGTGGTCGGAACACCGAGCTGTGAGTGAAAAGCCCAGTACCGAAAGTGAAGATCACTCCTCCCAGGCAAGGCAACGGGCTGCTGCAGCCTGTCTGATCAAGAGCAAGGTGTGATCGAGTATCCTTAATTTTGGCATGGTCCACATTGACAGTCTTTCTTCTGTCCTGGCAGGAGTGGCAGGTTGTGATCATCCACTTTTTGATTTATCATATCTTTCCATAGCAAGCATTGGCCAGATAAGACAAGCGAACGCAGCAGCCATCATGACTCCGCCAAAGATTTGCGCATTCACAAAATCACCGGTAGATATGTCTGAGAGGGCACCTGCGATGGGAGCACCAATCACGGTACCGATGGCAGCGGCTCCCCAGCCCATGCCCATGCGAGTGCCAATGATATCCAAGGATGGTGAGATGATAGGATGAGCCATAATGGACGTCGGTGCAGTGACCTGGATGCCCGCGATGATTCCCCATAGGACACACCAGACAACGAAGCCAGCTCGATCGTGGATCGCTATCCATGAAAAAATCAAGACCATCCCGACCACAGCGGAAAGGATCAGAGTGTAAATGGGCTTGACACGTTGACCTAGTAGGTAGGGCACAGTGCGGCCGATGGCCGATCCTCCATTGACCACGGCCAACATATAAAATGCAAAGTCCTCGCTGGCACCCAGAGACCAGCGGGCGTAGGAGACGATGAAGAACAACGGGACATAGTAGGAAGCATACATGAAGAACAAAGCCATGGCCCAAGAAACAAACGGAGACTCTCGTAGCGCGGTCAAGTCCAATAACGCGCGAGCCTTGTTGGCTTTGCCACCCTTGTGCCGACAGAGAATGGCACAGATCAAGACGGCGGTGAGCAAGGTACAAAAGCCGAGGGATCTGACTGTCCAGCCAAACCCAATCCGAGGTTCTAATCGTCGAAACATGATGGGATAGGCGACGCCTCCAACACTGGAGCCAAGGGCGGCAATGCCGATGGCGATGGGCCGCTTGGTGGTAAAATACCTCGCGATCAAGGCCAGTGTGGGTACGTATGTGATGCCGGCGCCTAAACCAATGCAGACACCCTGAGCAAGAAATGCCTGGTAGTATTTGGTGGAGATGCTGGTCATCATCACACCAAACACGGTCAGAATGCTTCCAGACAATATCAGGGGTCGCATGTAGCCAATATCAAACAACGGGCCAGCAAAGATGCCGAGGAAAACCACCATAAATCCCTGGACACTGCCAATCCAGGAGATGGCCGACGTGGATTCGTTGGCGAGTAGGTCTCTGAGATAGAAGGCTTGAAAGGCACCGAATGTGCTGATGATTCCCCTGCACGACATGGGTCAGAAGCATTCCTCTCGGATCAAGGTTCTACTTAGAAAGGGAAGGTGTACCAGACATTGACAAAGACAGCGAAGCCAGCCGCCACAAGCATCCACGCCTCGAGCCCACCGTTTGGAGGGATGAAGTCTGAAGGTACTTCTGGATTTCTCGTGGGTTCGTCTAGATGTTGTGCGTTCTCTGCCGTCTTTTCCGAAGTTGGTTGCAAGGTTTCGGGCGTAGACGAAGATGCGGACTCGCCGTCAATTCCATTACCGAGTTGTGTTGCCATTCTCGTAGCAGCAGAGTCTGATATTGCTGGGCTGTTGTTTCCCACAAGTCTACTCACAACACGTCTTTGCCACCAGCGTCACCAAACGTCTCGAAGATGTACTTGAGCGATGGGATTATAGCCATAGAGTCGATATCAGTAGCTCTATTGACAGTATAAAACGGGATTCTACTGACGACTGTTTGCCGCTCGAGCATATAGAGAGAGGAAGAGAGCACCCCTGAAGATGGCAAATCCAAGGTGAAAAATCCAAGACCCAAGACTAGATCCCCAGAACCAAGAACAAAGACCATGTAAAATGCGGAGAAAAGCAAACCACGCCAACACCCCAGACAAGATGAGATGTGGATCTGGTGAGGTGATCCGGAGGCCAATGTCGGCATCGATGTACGGCTAAGGAGCTCGTACATCTCGTCGCCCCCGGACATACTCCGTAGGCACCAGCAGAAAGCTTGAATAATAGTCGTGAGGGGCAGTGATTGGAGTCGATGATGACGCATTGGACTCTTTATTACGTTATATTCTTCTGCCACCGAAGTGATGCGTCGTTGCGTTGGGCATTCGTTGTACGGAGCTTTCCCACGCTGACCCTCTGAGCAATATGCTATTCTTTGCCCTTCCCTAGAACATCTAGAAGGATGAACTCTGTATTTGGAAACCAGTGTGAGTCCTACCTTGAAAAGCCTTGTTGAGATGTCGTCTGTTATCTGCTGTTGTGGTGGGAAAGAAACTTGAATCGACGCGATGTTGGGGTAGATTAGGGAGCGGTAGGGGCGCCTCGGGCTCTCTCCAGGCAAGCGTGCCCCAGGAAACGGCCGAGGGAGGCCAAGGATAATCCCTACACGTCCTTGTTAGGCGACCCTTGGCCCCGGACCGAGGCTCTCGGCCCCAAAGGCGTGGCAACACCGCCCTCGCATGATTGTCCCGCCTCACCGGGATCTCAGTGGTTCACAATCTACACCAACACAGCCACGAGGAACAGCAAACACAGACCAAGATTGTTTTCATATATCTCTCATGGAGATTTTTGTATTTACTACTTATGCACGAGGACTCTTGTCCACGGCTCAATAGCCCAATCTCGTGAGGAGATGTGGGACGACTGCAAGCTCATGCGGCAGTCATGATATGGCAACAACAATATGGGTATCAAAGATGATCCAGACGGATCTGCTGTGCAAAATCCTCCACGGCCCCTGATGGTAGTTTTCCAAACCCGAGCCTGTCCTTTGAGAGGGAAAATTGCCGCGAGGCAACATCTGAATAAGAGAGTCGTCATGGCGATAATATGAAATGCTGCAGTGTATAGACGAGGGGGAAGCCCAATGGCGTGGATGGTCGATATTATGGATACACATGGCATTTTCAACCACTAGATGGAAATGTCTTCGTTCTTCTTCATGGCCTTGGCAAGCATCAGCTTTCTCATCCATTCGACTCGCTCCCTCGAGTTGTCAACCGCAAAGTAGTGAGCCTTGGACTTGGTGTCAAACAAGCTTCGGCCTTTGTCGGCGTCAGGGGTGAGCGTGAATGCAAAGGCACGCTCAAGAGAGGTTTCTTCTTGTCCGAGGACGCTCTTCTTGAACGCGGCCGACAACTTGGAACTGGACGCGAGACACTGTGCGTGGACAGTGTAGTCGTCAACGTTGATGTCTTCAGTCGCGGGGGCATGAGCATAGTCGCTGTCGTGCATGGTGAGCTTATTGCCGACCAGAGTGCAGTAATTCTTCTGCCACTCGTGTCGAAGCATGCGGCTCGTCTTGCGCTTGCGGACCCATCCTTGATGATGGGCAAGGTCGACCTCGGTGCGTCGGTTAGGAGCTCGTTGTGCGTGATCGATGTTCTCCTTGACCGGGGCGACGGAGGGAGTGAAGGAGGGTTGTCGATGATGTCTTCGATGTGGTTGGGTCGAAGGCGATCGCGAAACATAGTCCGGTGTCACGGCAGCAGGGGCGCCAAAGCGCATATCTGGAGGAACCGACTGGGATGCATCGCGTTGGCAGGGATCGGCCATCATGGCGGTGAGAGGCAGGTCAACTGCGGACATGGGAGTGTCGATGCGGTAAATATCAGCTGGCGAGGCAACACCACCATAGTGGTATGGATCGGCCTTGAGTTGGGCCTTGAGGTGGGCCTGGATCTGGGTGGGTTGTTGAAGTGCCGAGATGGGAGTGCGAGAGGAGCTGTCATCAAGGCTGGCGTGAGATGGGATGGTGAGCTTGGGCAGATCTCGGAGGTGGACATCAATGTGGGCAGACTTGGCCACATACGATGTCGAGGCAGCTGGGGAAGGAGAGTTATGGTGGATGTGCTGAAAGTTGAGGAATTGGCGGACGCTCTCCTGTGGATCTCGGGGCTGGAGAGAGTTGAGGGCCTCAGGGGTGATTCGTACAGCAGATGGTCCCAGAACGTCTGATGAACCCACAATCGAGGGAGCGGCGGCCTCGACATCGGACTGGGAGGTGGAGACACGACGCGAGGTCTCTTCCTCAAAAGCCTGTCGCATACGGAGGATTCTTCGTTGTTGCTTCTGCCACTTGGAACAGTCCTCACCCTTGGCGCACTTGTGCTCTTTGGGTAGGACCTGCTCAATGCCAACGATGGAGATGGATTCGGCCGGGGTGATGGCGTCATTCTGCCTGGAGGGTCGTCGCGAATGTGAGCAAGAGCGGACCACGACTTGGCATTCATCTGCGCGGGCGGGTCTTTGGAGGGAGCGAGGGCTGCGGGCGTTCCTCGACGACGTTCTTGAGATGGGAGAGTGCTCGGGCGAGATCATGCTCGAGTTTCGGAGTTGTTGGATGGAGCTCATGACGCGATGTCGCTTGCCAAAGGAGCTGATGTCGAGTTCCTTGAGATCCTCAAACTGAAGGTCGATCAAAACGGTGCCTGAGATATCGTGGATCAAGAACTTGTCGACTAGAGACGGCTCGAAGCCAGACTCGGCCATCCACTCGGCGACCTGGCGAGGAGTCCAGTCCCTGACCTGTGCCTCGTCGAGTTCGGCAACGGCATGGGTCAGATTGGTTAGGTGTGAGGGCTGTTGGACCGACTTTGCATCTGTCAGGGGAGACATTCCCATGAAGAGCTGCTCGTCTGATTGGGCGAGGATCTCTGGGGTCTGTTGGAAGAGATGAGGTCCCTGAGGTCCGATGACGCACTTTTCATCAAAGTGGAATTCGAAGCCACCCAGGCCGCCGGTATGAGGTGGCGTGGGAACGTCATCGCGGCTGGACAAGGTAGACTCACTATCAGCATCTTCTGGAAGATCCAGAGGATCCTGCTCGCTGTCGGTGTCGAAGATCTCGGTGGCTTCTGAGATTGGGCGGGGGGCATGTGTGCGACGGCCGAGGAAGGAGAGGGTGCTGGGCTTCTGGGCCATCTCGAGGCTGTCGAGTTGTAGCTGTTGGTATTGTTGAGACGACTCCATGGTAAAGGCCAAGTGTGTTTCTCGACAAAGTCAGAGATTGTGAAGAATGGAATATTCATGGCGGGATCGTCGCGAGGGTCGGGCATGCTAGGTATGTATATCTAGTTGATGAAAACACAGGCGGTTAGCATTGATGGTGTCTGGTACAGATGGAGATGATGACCAGGGTAGGTGCATGTTCCTATGCATGAGATATTGAAAAGCTTGTGCAGGAGGATGCATGCGATGGATGTGAGACGAAGACCAGAGAGCCATTCAAGATCGAGTGAAGTCGAGGTGGAGAGGTGCTTGGGGGCAAGCGATGAGATAGACTGGGCGGCAAGACCAAAGAAAGACAGATGCACCAATCCGACGTCGTCTATGAAGAGTACGCGCTGAGATTAGTTGGTGCTATTGCCAGCGGCCAGGAGGTCGTCTCTTCGAAACAACCAATCATCCGGGGCACCTGGCTACTAAAACCAAGTGACCATTGCACCATGATGCGCCTATAGATGCAGTAGCATGACGCCCGCAGGCTGCATCAACGGCTAGGGGCTGTTTTATTGGCTTGATGGGCCCTCTTTGGCCTAAAAATACCAGGTCGAGGGGGCCTTGAGCCACTGAGAGACGGCCTGGGGTTAAAGACCAGTCCCAGCATCGATATCACCACCGCTGCTGTCCACTCAGCGTGTCTTTTACACCGTTGTTCCATGACTTGAGTTCCATGAATAGCCACTTGGCGCCTTCAGTGGGGGATAACATGCCACCATTGCTTTGTGATTAAACGGTCATCTGGCCACTGAGGGGTGTGAATGGGGAAATTACAGGCCCAAGAACTCTGGCACGAGCCGAATCCATGCTCTGCGGGCCTTTCGGCCCTCGTGCCTTGTGCCTGATGGCTCGTCCCCTCAACACTTGAGATTCTTTAATAATAGTAGGAGCTAAATGTGGTTGGAGGTACCTATACTTGAGCCCCAGACCCCTTGTGTAGGTGCCTAAGGTAGGTACCTAAGTAAGTACCTTACTGGGGTGATGGGCTATCACGGGTATCTCCCAGCCACCAAACGCTGCACCCCTCCTTTATCTTGGAGATCTCCCATTCACGATCAAGGGCCCGTACCGTTGAACTTTGTTTGATTATTACCTACCTTAGTATTATTAGTATGGAGAATGCATGGATATTCTCATGTCCGATCTGCGACTCTACGGAGTAACTTGAAGTACGGCAGATAGACAGACCGCCCGTCCGCCACACCAAGCCCCCCGTTCCCCCCAAGATCCTTCTCCTCACTTGTTCCTGCAAGCAGTCGTTCTGGAGCGTTGTAAATCCTTGTTCCCAGCCACCTTAGAGTTCACTGTCCTGTATGTACAGAACAGAGTTCAGAATTCTCCATCTATCCCCAGCACAGTGGAGCTACACATGGATTATTTCCTTTTTCTTTTTGTTCAGTGTAATTTTTCCATTGGCTCGCCATCAGAAAACCCCTGTCAATCCAACGAACTTCAACTGTGCACCACCATCCAACTTCTCCACCCTCTCTCATGTGCTTGTGCCATAGAAATCACATGTTCGCATGCAGGTGCTCAAATTCAGGCTCAACCATCAGCGTCGCCCTATCAGTGGTCTGTCCAGCCTACAACCAGGACATTTATTGTTCGAGAAAGCCATGGACCAACAATGTAACAAACGCTAGCAATTGCAACAGAGCTTGGGTTCAGATACACAAGTGAGGGGACAAAGTGGCCATCATTTATGGTTGAGATCTAGACCACGAAACTTTCGTATGCACGGCACGACCTACACACAACATCCTATCTATATGCGTACGGAGGTCCGCAAGTACCTACAAACACACACACACACGCACACACGCACACGCATAGGTGACTGTTCAGGGTTCTCCTGCTAGTCAATCCAAATCACTAGTCTAGTCAACTGATTGGCATTGGATCTGCCGACTCCCGGTCGCTTTCGGTTGATGGGCCCGAGTTCGGACGGGCCTTCCCGCCCTTGAGTGCTTTGTGGTCTCGACTCTCTGCTCGAAGGTAAACTTTCCCTTACTAGTCACTCGAACTAAGTAGCTGTGGGCCCATAGCCAGTACCTCGCCTACAGTACTTGAATAACTTCTGTCCTACTTCTCTCCATAAGTAGGTACTAAGGTACCTTAGTAGGGATGTAGTACAAGGAATGTGGATCTTCACTTGGACTATTATCTCTACCCTTCTCACAAGCATGTCTGGATTTCTTGAGTTGCGCAGGACGGTAGTATACCTTCATGAGCCACCACTCTAAACTCAAGAAAGGCCTGGGCAAAGTGTGGAACTGCTTGTTTCTCATGAACAAGGATATGTGCGGGGCAACTTTGATTTACTCCTACTGTACATAGACCTTGTAGCATCAAGTGTTGAGCCATGCCATCTCGTGGGAGGTAGCTAATATCCAAGTGGCAGTTCATGCGGCTTTTCACAAAAGAAATTTGGTGACGGCGGTGAGCCGACCGCAAGTCAGCATCTATAATATATCTGCTCGGTTGTTCCAAACACGGGTCACTGCGGGAGACTCTGGATATGATATACTGTGTGCAAGGTCATCTGGTGATGCAGCACGTCTCGTTGGGATATAAAGAGCCTGCAGGACACCAGTCTCGAAGTTGACACAAAGGTGACGGGAAACCGTGCTCCGAGCTTGATTCCCACTTATTCTGCAGCCTGTGCATTAGTGCTTGAGTCATGTCTGCCCAAACGGAAATCTGATGTATGGTAGATCGACTAAGTAGTCGTAGGACAATGTGCCGGTATAGGCGGCAACGATTCATTCCATCAACTCGCCAATATGCAGGGCTAGCAGTCCATGCGACAGTCGTAATGATTGGAGCGAGTAGTGAACAGAAGCGACATGCCAGGAAGCTAAAGAAAAAACGAGTGGCTGTCACCGAGTCACGAGTCACAAGTTCTGTTGTCTTGCCTGTTCGATTTTCACTTGGGGGGAAGGCCCGGTACTCTTGGTCGGTTGTAACAGGAAGGTACCTACCCACGCTACCCACGGCCACATGACACCGATAGGAGCATGGACAACCAAAGACAGGCTTCTCGACGTCCTTGTCACGTGGCACAACGCGACATATTGACATTCGGTGACACGAGGGATGCTTGCCTTGAACACGCGGTGAAGGTGTCCAAGTTCTGGTCCAGGTCACAATCATCACGTGGAGTGTGCGTGGAGGACGTGGACGGTGAACGTATCAAGGAAGGTACAAACGGCGGTACTCGCGAGAGCAAGGGCAGGTACCTCAATGGCAAGGGTAACCATTACCACTGACCACGATAAGCCCTGTTCAATCTGTAGACATCCTGGGAAACCCCAGCCGCCACCAATCGAGTAACGATAAGATGCCCGTGGTTCTACGACCAAGCTTCAATCATCCAGTGCTCATATCTTCAGTTGTGTAATTTACCCGTACGGCTGAATTGAAGCTCCGTGTTCCTCTCTTCATGTCGAAGCGATGATTGACAGGTAGGGTGAGGGGCTCTATCGGAGTCTTGCGGAGGAAAAGCCCTATGACTCGGGGGAGAACCCTGTGAGATGGCTTGCATGGGTCTTCTTGGTAAGGATGACCACTGCTGCACTGATGGCACAGTGAAAGAAGCCATGTCGATCTTGATGATAGGCTGACACGGTTGGCACGACTGGCCAACGGCAAATGACTACATTCCACTAAAACATCAACGGCGCCCGAGCTACTGCAGAGCAAATGGCCATTCAAGTCTTGGCACCATCATTGGCTGCGGTTCCTCCCGCTGACTGACATTAGACTGATTGAACCTCAACCGACAAAAGTCTTGACAAGTCAAGTCGATTTGACGTCTACAACCCCTCCCACACCTCCCACACCTCCCGGCATCCCTTCTACACTAACCTCAACGCCCTCGCATCTCTCATCCACCGACGTCCAATAGGCAGCCTCCTCCAAGACCTCTTGTTCCCTCTGATCGCTTCCTCTACCTGCCTACCTATCTCAGTTGCAGGGTCCTGCTGTGGCCAGAACGCCCTGTTTCCGTCACTGCCCACTCGTTACACGTTGTTCCTGGCCTCAACATCCAACGACATCCGATTCGGGACCTTTTCAGTGACTCAATCTGCTCCATGAAGCTGGCTTCACAACGCACTCGTCAGTCTGACCATGTCTATTATCCTGACATGTCACTGGCACAACGACCATGGTCATTCCCCATTGTGCCAGGGACGGGCACGGGCACGTACCCTGCCATCACTTCTCAAGATGGTCCTCGACAAGCCAGAAATGCACAGCATTAGAGTACATCGGGACACCCAACCTCAGACCTCGTGACGGGAGCCGACTACCTACAGTGGCCAATGTTGAACCGAACCGAGTCCTCCTCTCCGATCACCACCACCCTACATGTTCACGCTTTTGGCAGCTACGCATGAGATCCAGGAATCTGGGTGTCTGTGCTTTCCCAGTGTCTCCACCGCAGAAAACAGACTGATGTGCTCCATCATTCGTACGACCCCATCTCGACGACGCCGCTCAGGGTCCCGGCCGACTGCCTTGGGTCATTCTTCCCTGCGATCTGTGTCGTGACCAAAGTAGTCGAGAACCACACCGGGATCATGTGGGGCTTTTGGGCCAGACTCGTTCAACCAATCCCGCCCACGTCGCCCAGTTCCTGCAGACCTTCAAGCAACATGTTCAGTCATCCTCTGATCAAGTCGATCCACATTGGTAATGGCTGTAGCGTGGACCAGGGTCTATCGGCACGACAGGGGTAGCTGCAGGCGTTGGAGAACGTCGGCGCTACCACGTCTGTTGTTAGCATTCGTCAAGCCTTGCTCACTGCTAATCTTAGCCTGGAAGCGCCATCCCACATCCTCGACTCTACAACCATCCAATCAGCCTCGCATTCTGCCACACTTCCAGGCCATCTTGCCAACCTCCACTCTACACTATCGACCACCAGAATGGATCAATGTGCTCGCTTTACACAGGAACCATCCCATTCGAGCTGTTTACCTATGCCTCAATCCTGCATTCCCCTCTCGACCACCAGCCATTCCGCCAATACCAACCGGGCGTCTACACAGATGTCTGCGATATTCATAGATACAATGGACTGCCTTCGATCCTCATTCGTCCTCCCTGCAGAACATTGTTTCCTCCCGCATCTGTCCATTCCGACCACCGTGCAGCCTCATGCTACCAGACTCGACATTTCCTCGTCTGCCAAATATAGCTATCCCCACTTGATGAGATCCCGCCACAAGATCTTGTCCCAGTCTCTCATAAACAACATCCTCGGCCAATGTTGTCGTGATTCCTCCAAGGCCGAAAGTTGCCATCGCTGCTGCTTCTTCACCTCGACCTTCCCGTTGCATAGACACGCACACTGCTGGCCGGTGTTCGCAATCACTCTCTCGTAATAACTTGCAACGGCCTCGTCGATACAGCGCTCGCCCAACTGTTTCCAGCCTTCCTGGTGGAGCTACCAATACTCATCCTTGCCCCTCAAAACCGCCTTTCCCTTCAATCGAGTCTTGCCGTGAGCACTAATCACCATGGCTCCTGCCGTCGAGAAGAAGGTCGCCCCCACAAACAAGGACTCGCCCGGCAGCAAGTCTTCCAAGATGCACCGAAGATCAAGATCAGGTAAGGCATCACAGTATCACCTTCATCTCACTGGTCCGGCTGCTGACCGGGACCAAGGCTGTTTTACGTGTCGTCTGCGCCGCAAGAAATGCGACGAGGGCAAGAGCAAGTGCAAAGCCTGTCGCCACCTGGGTCTCGACTGCGAATACAAGAGACCTCACTGGTGGAGCAACAGCGACACCCGTCGTAAGCACAAGGAGCATATCAAGACATTGATCAAGCGAACCAAGACCTCGGAGAAAAGCATGAGTACTCAGAGTCAATGTATGTTGCGACTTGAACCCCTGCTCTGTATGGTGAGAGTCCTAACCACAACATCAGACCCGACATCCCACCTGCCACCCCCTGTCTCTGACGATTCGCAAGACGAATACGACCCCGTCTTTGACCAAGGTTTTGTAACCACCCCAGGTCTTTATGAGCCCTATGGCTCAGGTCTCTACATGCCCCATCACGACTCATACAACCAAGGTTACCCTTGGGAAATCGATGTCAAGACCGAACGACATACTTACATCAACGATGAACTCGCACGTCGGGACTCGTCCATCTCCACCTTCAACACTTTCGCGCCCCCCCCGCCTCATGCCATCCTCCCGTCCTTTATCGGTGACGAGATCAACCATTTTCATTCGACCGATATTCGACATCCGACATTTAACGTGGATGACGATTTCGACTTGAACTACTTTGGGGCCTCACACCTCATGCCAGGATCCCAACCACAATGTTCCATGATCCCGTTGGAGGATTGTGACCGCCCGCTCTTCGACCACTTGCTTGAAAATGTCCTGCCACTTCTGTTCCCCATCCTGGAAGCCAACCAACCCGGCTTCTTCAGAGCCGATGTCATCCTTCCCGCACTTGAGAACAACAAGGCTTACTTGCATGCTTGTCTGGTTGTCGCTGCGACGCATCTCAAGTACAACAGCACGACTGTGAGCTTGACAGTCGAGGATGATCTCTTGAGACACAAGCATGCCTTTGTCAAGACCGTAGTCGATTCCCTAAATCACGACATAAACCACCATGAAATGCTCGATGCCTTGCTTGGCATTGTCTCGTTACAAGGATGTATCGGATCAGCGAGTCATCATGAAAAGGAGCTGATTCCGTGGCATCAACATTTCCAAAGTGTTGGGGACATTGTCCAACGGCTTAATCTCACCGAGGCACTTGAAAACCTTTCGCAGACAGGAGGACAGCCGTCGTTCAACATGACGCTGACCGCATGGATCGACATTTTGGGTGCGACAATGCTCGGCAAACCTCCCAGGTTTGCAAATTCGTACCGAAATATGCTCTTTGCACGAGCTTCGGCAGGACTCGAGAGGTTGATGGGCTGTGATGACCTCGCCATGTATGTGCTCTCAGAGGTGGCCTGTCTGGACTCTTTGAAGATGAGAGGAACGCTCAACGACATCGAGATATGCAGCCACGTGACCTCGTTGGCCAAAACCCTAGATGCAATTGAACCCGAGGACAGTTTGCAGGGGCCCCAGATACCTTATTCGCGATCAGGGGCGCTGCGACCCAAACAGCTGTCAAAGACCATCAGTGCAATATTCCGCAAAGCAGTCCGGATTTATCTCTGTTCTCTGGTTCCAGAGTTCAACCGTTACGCAGATGCCATTGTCAATCTTGTGTCTCAAATGGCTGACCTCATCCACTTCATCCCCTCTGGACCTGCTGGGTTCGACCGATCGTTGGTGTGGCCGATGCTTATTGGCGGCGCCAATTCCATCCCGGCATCGCCGTTTCGACGCGTTCTTGCCGAGCGCTGCGAAGCCCTCGGCGATGGCGCAGACCACGGAAGCTTCGGGCGAATGGTTCGCCTTTTGCATGAAGTGTGGCGGCGCAACGATGACATTGCCATTTCTGCGGGAGTATGTGAAGCCACTCCGGTCACTGCTGGGAGCCCTGGCGGCTCCATCTCGACACCAATCGCCTCTGCCAATGCCCCCACGACAACTACGAGGAACCAAAACGTCCACTGGCGGGATGTTATGCAACAAACCGAATGGGACTTTCTCCTGATATAATTGGTCTGCCACAATGTTTGAGTGATTTTCTGTTGATGGTCGCCGTTCATCCAGACGATTGCCATTAGCAAAATGTCGTCCTTGACCTGCGCAAGATCGGTCATATCGGAGTCAACACGAATCATTTCTCATTGTCCTTTATCAAGGACCGATAATGTTATTCATACACTCACTTATCCCCATTTATTGGTAATCTTTTCTGGCAAAGGATTTGTTTGCGCCTGGTCGGGCTCAAGAAGCCTGAATCAAAAGTCTTGTTTTTCCTCGGCAGGGGCGTTTTGGCAAGCGGGAACTGGGCTTCCCCTTCTCCGCCATGGCATGGTAATGGCGCAGGGCGCAAAAATCATGGCTGGGCTCATGGGGAATCGGTGCGGCCGGAGCAGCACAAGTTTTTGGATTGGTATTAATGTGACCACTCCAGCCTGGGGGAGGTCTGGAACAGAGATAGTGGTACAGCGGCAAGAGGAGGATCCAGAACATGATACCCACAGCGAAGCAGCATGCTACACCCCGTGGCACGTGCAGTGAGAGGTGCCTCCAATGTTACGAATTTCGTTTCTGTTTACGAACATGATTGTAGGGCCACCAGAGCCAGAACCTCGGTGCCTTGTGGGCTTGGAGTTGGGGATGATGAAAGAAGACGTAAGCTCGACTCAGACGACGCAGGCAGGCACCACTTGGGTGGAGGACGCGGGAAACATCGAGAGAGTACTCGGATAGTCACGAGAATAATGTCAAATTACAGCATGTGGTATCAGAATAGTTCCATACTGAATAGCATTGGATGAAAGGATGTTGGCGGCAGTTCCCATTCTGCTGGTCTCTCCTGACCCTGGGACTCAACAGCCACGGGCAGCTGGGGACCATAGCATTGGGCTATTGACTATGTTTTGTTTTGCTCTGTTTCATTGCACCCGAGCAATAGATCAGTACATACTAGGGTCTATTTGAAGCTTGGTGGTATACATTATAGGGACCATGCTATAAGTAGGGGTATATAGACTAGGCTATATGGATGCAGCTCTGTGGACGGAGGGTACTAGGGGCGGATGGGCGTGGATTATGGTGGGTACCTAGATACGGTCCCTAGGTATCTGTCTCCCTACGTACCTGGCAAGGTAAGGTAGCGGGGACGACGCCCATAGGAGAGTAGGCCTGGCCTCTGCACGACGGGTTATGTGGCTGGAACCTACTGAAACTGAAAGTCAGGGTCAAACCCATTCGAACCCAACCATGGTCCGCGGACCATAATCTTGGTCGAAAGGCAATGTGAGAGCCGCACAAGTGTATGTGCGTCGGTACCTACCTACCTACCTATAGGTACCAAGTAGAAATATGTCAGATTCTTTCTTGGCGCGTCATATGCTACAATTCACAATGCCAACATAATATGTAATTCTATAAGTCACAGCATAGCTATGAAAACCCCCCAGATTCCCAAAGCAAGAATGCATCTCTTTTCCCAGTACTAGCCAGCGCTGGAGAGACCTTTATTCAAATCATAAATACCCCCAGCCCTCCGTGGCTTCTGGTTTGTGAATCCCATCCACACATGTTAAAAATCCTTTCACCATTTGTTACTTCGATCCATGAGAGCGCAAATTCAAGTCGACACAGTTCTTGTACCATTGGACGTGACCTTGTCCTCGCCCGCCTCCACCACCGCCCAAGATAGAACCCACCGCTCAGGCCTTCACCTTTTGTGTCTTCCTTGCCTTTGATCATCTAGCAGCATGGGGTTAAGGATGATGATCTATGACGACCTTGACAACACCATGATTAGGAATCAGCTCTTGACTTCGAGCAAAGGCAACACCACAGCCAGGACAGCCGCCCCTCAACCCCAACATTGGTCCGGAGCCTTTGGGGAAGGACAGCCAACTTTGAACAATCCAAGGGAGAATACCAGACCAGAATCTGACCATCGCGGACCAGGCTTTCACATCACCCAGCGATTGATTGATTTGGGAAACCCAGGACAAAGATCATCGGGCCTGGCCTACGGTCGTAATGGACAGGAACATAATGCTTTTCGCCATGGTAGCTCACTCCTGAGCTCGTCAACACATCAGGACATGAGCCTCTCCGCTGCGACTAATCCCGTCATAGGGGCTCACCCTGCCTCAAGGGATGATCAGATGTTCGTAGATGACTTCGACAAATTCATGGCGAGTCACACAGAGCCTGCGTTTCTACACGAGGCAAGACAGTATCAAGAAGGTACCGAACCTTACCTCTATGAAAGATCTATTTTGGTGCTTACAAGGCGAAAGCCCTCGACAATGGTGTCAAGTCCTATTCATAACAAAGGCAACGTGTCGGAGTTCTGTCGCATCGCAATTGAACGTCACTGTGGTAAGTGTACCATTGATTCAATCTTCTCGAGAGCTGATGCAAAAGCCCCGCGTCCTAGATCAGGACCAATGTGTCATTATGTGCATGTGGCATGTCATCCAAGGCGGAGTAATGATTGACGACCGCTAGGAAAAAGGAAAAGAGAGGAGTTGTCTTGGGGTGAGGGTCGAAGGTCAACGTTTGTACTTTGGGTCTATCACTTTCCGACTTCAGACTCTGGTCTCTGAAGAGTAGCTAGGCGTTGATGACATTAATAGATACACTGCGACATTCTGCACGTTATCCATGAATTATCTTCCAAGAGAGAAGAGAGAAGAGTTGACGGGATGTATGTTGTGTGGTAGAGTCGGTAAACTTGCCACAACGAGCCACGAGTGGTCCTGCCATTCGTGTCCTTGTGCCTTCCTGAAGGTGACGAGCGCGCCTTCCTCAACGGCCTAATCATTTGTCACGTGTCTGCTTCTCGGGTTCATCAATCATCATTCTTCCCATACCTAATTTAGACACCTAGATGCCTGAAAATCTAGACATCTACAATCCATAACCTTCACTTAGATCCTATACGACCACTCAAAATGGATTAGGATCCCTGAGACTCTGTATTGCGCCCTTCCTGTACAAGTCAGCTCTTTCATCTTCTAATCATTGAGGGCCATCCCATACCAGGACCAGCTCGATCATCACCTCATAGCCGTGCCGCACTGTCTCATGTTGACGTCGAATCCACCTCTCTAATTTTGAATTCAAACATTTCGTTGGACGGAACCGAGCTCTTCTCTCTCAGCTTGTCCGCAGTCTCCTTGCCTGCCACTGGAACTCGATATTCAAATACCTTGTTTGGCCCTGGGGAAGTGCCATCTGGAAGTGGGTAGGGATATGGGAGATACTCGGGCAGAAGGCCAACCTGCCGCAGAGCACTTCCCTGATCCCAGGAAATGTGCTCATGGTACAATCGGTCCCCTCGAACGTTAACAACCGCCATCATAGGTATCTGTGCATATTTGCCAGTCGGAGGAATGCCCGGTAGGCTACCCAGTTAGCTAGGGGCCTCAAAATGATAACAGACACGACACGCCGACTCACAGCCAATCAATCTCTCTTTGATGCGTGAATTTGAAGATGAACTCATCAATCACCCGGTCAATTCCGATAGTCCTACTGATCAACTCGAGTTCCGCATCGTCCGCATTTTTGAAGATAAAGTTGTCTCGATAGAAGGTCGTCAGTTTGGCCCGACCTATCCCACCGGTGATCTACGCCCGTTATCATTCAATTCTTCAGAATCTGACTGGCGGAGCTCCAACTTACCGTGGGGATGTGGTTGACGTAAGGCTCTTGCACCATCGTGCTCATGGTGTGCTCGACTGACCGATCAGCAAACTCGTAATACGTGTGTTCATCCCAGATTGTCTCGAGATCAAAGTATGGCCCTCCCGTTAGAGGTTTCAAAAAGGTGAGGTTGCGAGTGTGAGAGACGGACTCGGACGAGTAATGGAACTCGGGAGTGAATGGAGTGGCAAACTTGTGTGATTTGACGGCCGGATAGAAATATGTTGTCCGCTTCTCACCCCGTTCAGGGGCCCCGGATGAGCCACCAGCCAAATGCTGGATCACTGGGATAGGGCAACTGGCCAAGGTCGGCTTGTCTTGGTCTTTGGCATAAACCACCGCGCCCACGATCGAAGGTGATTGCAACAGTTGGGGCGCCGCGGTGTTCCAAAGCTGATCATCATATACTTGAACTCCCCTCAGCAAGTAGTCCTAAGACCCATAGGCCAATGCGTAGCGCTTACCTACTATTCCAACTTTATCCTTTGGGCTACAAGCATCACATCCTTGCAGCACCTGGAGAGCTCTCGTTAATACGTCCGAAGACTTTTTGAGAGCGGCTGCAACAACTTCCACCACAGCGTAGCCTTCTTCTGCCCACTTCAGCATCGGCGACGGTACTCCCTCAGTGATAGTCAGTTGCGAGCCCTCCAGAGTATCTGGCACCAAAATGATAAGTCCCGGCCCATAACCTCGGCGTGACAACGGTGGCAAAAGAGATATCCCTGTCTCCAGCCTGGAGAGTTTGGCTTCTGGCAACGCCGCTGGCGGTTTGGAGATGTCGGCGTACATGGTGCGTCGGTTTAGTGGGATCTGAACGAGCAGGCCGACAATGTGATAAAGTGCTCACAAAGACAAGTTCATTCGTACCAAAGGGAATCTTTCAAGTCTATAGTGAAGAGAGACAGAACACGTGGTGGGGCTTCCACCAAAATCAGTCCACGATATGATCGACGTCACAGACCAAAAATGACCCAGACCATTCTTAAGATCATAATTCTGGTCCTACAATCTTACTTTGGAATAAACTCGAGCCCCTGGGCTTATGGTTCGGTACCTCAGCCGACATGAGATAGGTGTTTCTGCCGAGGGGAAAAGTCAACCCGCACCTAAGTAGCTAGCTTCCGGGCGATAACCAGCCAATGTCCTACCTACTATTTCCGTCTGGTAGGTCACAGATTGGCCGTGTGCTCCACGCATATGAGTACCCGTACAGTACACCTCCCGGCATCGGTGGGGTTCGAGATGTCCGAAGTCCCTTATCGGCCACCCTCACAATCCACTTGGTCCACCTAGTCGGCTGATATGAGGGCCCGAGGGCCCCTAGTTCCTTACGTACCGTACATGACCAGTCAGAGCACTGGTCTCTTGGTCTGGCAGGACTGGTTATTACATATTGGCATCCTCAAATCCCTGCCCAAGGTTGCAACATATGCTTGGAACAGATTCTACAATTCAGGACAACAACATGACTGAAGAACTTCGAGATGTTCGGCCCATGTTCGACCTGAACAAACGCAATTATGTGGTCACTGGAGGGGCCCAAGGCATCGGATTTGCCGTGACACGTGCAATATGCGAGATGGGCGGCAACGTCGCCGTCATGGACATTCAACCCGCGCCGGTGGAAGAATTCAAGACGCTCGAAGCTCGATTTGGAGCTAAGACGATCTACATTCAAACTGATGTCACTAAGGAGGAGAGCTTAAATGCGGCCTTTGTTCAGGCAATCCAAGAATTGGGCAGCATCGACGGGTGTGTGCCTGCAGCTGGGATCGCCATCGACAAACCATTTGTGGACCAGACCTGGGACGAGTTCACGCGCATCCAGGAGATCAATGTACCGAATTACTCATGTCCAGTCCCGGAGAATCTACCACTGACATCTGACGTAGGTCCGGGGAACATTTTTCGCAACGCAACTAGCCGTCAAGCAGATGATCAAGCAAGGGTCTGGTGGGAGCATTGTCTTGATAGCTTCCCAGTCGGCGCACATTGCTCTGCCTGGATATCGCATGGCAGCGTACAACGCATCTAAGGGCGGCGTCATGATGTTATCCAAGGTTCTAGCTGTGGAGCTGGCGCCACACCAGATTCGAGTCAACACCATTTCCCCGGGTTTCGTCGACTCTGACATGACGAGAAATGTCCGCGCGACCAAGAGCAAACGAGAAGGTGATCAGATGTGGCTCGCTCCTCCCAATCAGCGGCTGAGCACCCAGAACGATCTGACGGGCGCGGTTATCTACCTACTAAGCGATGCGTCCCCACATACCACTGCCGCCGACATCCCCATCACTGGTGGCTTACACGCAGGGACGATCGACGGCGTGATTAGCTACGAGTAGATTGCAACAGGACCTGTCAACCGTGTGATGTCAAGCTCCGTCGTCTCATTACAAATCATGAGACCCTTTACGCGACGGCGATCAATGGCCAGATCTACTGTATAACACATGTAGAATGGACAAGGGAGAAGAGTGACCTCGATGCCCGAGCGGCCAGGTCCAGGCATATCACGTGACAGCATCGCTTGTACTAGCGTCTTAGCATTCCCACAACAGTTGATGAGATGGACAGTACGGAGTAGTAAAAGTATTTTCCATTTTCCACATCCTCCCAAGCTTCTCTCGCTTCCAGATCGCTCTTCGTGGGTCTTTCCAGGCACTGGTATTGTTGGTCACCCCATGCTCGACTTCTCCACTGAGGCACACGCGACCTCTGTTGAGCCTTCGTCTTGGAGAAGGTCAGATAAATGCACCCGCCGCCAACCCTGATCGACATCAGATCAGACAGGGATATAACATCAACTTATTTGTGTAGCCCTGTTCTCATTCAAGCCCGTCTTCAGAATAGTTCATGTTCACACCAGTGTTGACACCACATCCAAATGTGGTGTCAAAACTTGGTGTCAACACTCGTTGTGTCTGATGGTTCCTAGCACTATCGACGAATCACCTAAACTCGCTATCAGCTGACGGGTGTCTCCGACCGTGAGCCTAGCAACGCCACCAGAATTCTAACTACAGTAGCTTCGCGCATAGTCCAGGCCTAGGTAGAACCCCTCCCCCCCCGTCAACCCTGCTCGGTCGTGGTGCCTAGGAATGCGGACCGCCGAAGTATCTCTTGACATCCAGTGACTGGTTCGTTGTCAACACCGTCCTTCTAAATAGTCGCCTATCTCAAAGATATCGTTGTCACCGCGGCCCTCATCCCCCTTGAGTGTGCAACATCCGCTGCCCGTCGGTTGCGAATTTCCATACCTAAGCAACTCATTCATTATAGAGAGAATGCATGGTTGACTAGCAAGGTGGATTTCTATTGTTCCTCTTTCAATCTCACTTCCAATACGTGTCCCGACGAACCATCAGACCTCTAGAGGATCATCGTACCTCTACAGCCATGGTAGAAACCTTTGATGTCGTCGTTGTCGGTGCTGGTAAGAGTCGCCAGCAGTCATCGATAGTGTTTTCCCAACACGACTGACAAACACCCCCTTCTAGGCTGGTTCGGGTTGGCAGCGGCCAAAGCTTATGTAGAGCGTCATCCTACCGATAAAATTGCCATCTATGAGTCCGCAGAGTCTTGTGGAGGAACATGGGCGCAAAGTCGACTCTACCCCGGTCTCAAGTCCAACAACATGATCGGCACTTATGAGTATCCTGGATTTCCCATGAGCGAGGACAAATATGGTGTCAAGCCATTCACCCATATCCCTGCCGCCACCCTGCATCGTTATCTTACCGACTTTGCCAAAAGCTTTGGCCTGTTGGATAAGATCCAGTTTGACACGACAGTGACCATGGTCCAACCCAGCAAAAGTGGCGGATGGCAATTAAGCCTGACCAACGCGAATGGCACATCCATGGTCGAGACGGCCAAATTGATCCTGGCCACCGGTCTAACGTCAGCTCCCAACATGCCACAGTATCCCAAGTCGGACACCTTCGGCGCGCCACTCTTTCACGCAAAGGACTTTTGCAAACAAGCGCCGCACCTCAAGGATGTGAAGAACGCTGTCGTCGTCGGGGCAGGCAAGTCGGCATTCGATGTCACTTATGCGATGGTCGAGTCCGGGGCAACTGTGGACTTGGTGATCCGCCCGGATGGCAAAGGCCCGGTCTGGATAGCCCCTGCCTTGGTCACACCGCTGAAGAAACGTCTCGATCAACTGCTCAACGTCCGTTTCATGACGTGGTTCGCGCCGTGCCCCTGGGGCGGCGAAGATGGATACCCGGGGATTCGCAGATTTTTGCACGGCACGGCCATGGGTCGAGTCATTGTCAACATCTTCTGGAAAGTCCTGGGCAGTGACGTGATTGCAGCCAATGGTTATGACAGCGACCCACGCCTTCACAATCTCAAACCCTGGCATTCGGCATTTTGGACTGGCAGCGGCCTCAGCATCCTCAACTTTGACACCAATATATTTGACATGGTCAAGGATGGCAAGATTCGTGTTCATATCGACAACATAGATCACTTGGAGCCACACACCGTAGTTCTGAAATCAGGCAAATCGTTGGAAGCGGACGCCATCATCTGTTCGACTGGCTGGAAGAAGGAATCGTCGCTCAAGTTTGCCGGGCTGGGCGAAGAACAATTCGGACTGCCGTATTCAGAGGCGACCAAGAGAGAGTTGGCCAAACAAGCAGATGCAAAGGTCCTCCAGATGTTCCCCCGCCTCGCCAATCCGCCGGACTTCGGGGTGGATGCCAAAGAAGCAGAGCCACTGCGACTGTATAGATTTATGGTCCCGTCGACAATGATGGAGAAGCGGAACCTTGCATTTGCAGGTATGGTTTCGTGTGTGACAACGTCCATTGTCGCAACTGTGCAGGCACAATGGATCGTGACCTTTTTCGACGGGAAGCTAGACCGTGTGGCCAAGACACAGCAGGAGGTTACAGACGAGATCATGCTGCACACGCAATGGGGCAAATGGCGATTTCCCTGTGGATATGGCGCCAAGTTGCCGGACATGGCCTTTGAGGGCTTGCCATATATCAATCTTCTCATGAACGATATGAAACTCTCGGTCAGGAGAAAGGCCAGTCTCATTGCAGAGCTCACCTACCCTTACATCCCACAAGATTTTGTTGGTCTGTCGGAAGAGTGGAAGTCGAAACATGCTTAGGTTTAACGGAATCTCAGTAGGTGTTTTGATTTCTCTCTCGCCCATCGCAGTGGACGTTTGGGATGCTCTGCGACGGAGGGCCGGTTGAGAATTGGCAAAGCGTCATAGATTGGACAAGCAAGCAAGAGTTTAGTTTAGAGACTTGTTTCCTGATGTTTATTCATTGCAGATTGACCCATTTTGGTTATATTTGGTCAAAATGCGTCTAACCAATCCAGCATGTGTCGATGGTACACTGTGAGCAATAATGTATACCCACCAAAGTCCTAGCAATTTTTGTTGAAGAGCCGATATCTACATGTTATATCTCTCGAGATTATCCCGCATACTGTGGCTGTATAGCCCTCCATCAGAAGGGTACTGTTGAATAGCCAAGTCACCATTACACCATCCTTACATTTTTGTCGCTCGAACCCAAAGAAACATGCGTCTTGTAAGGCAACAAACGCAAGGAATTTGTCATTGCAGCTTCAAAGGCCAAAAAAGAGAGACGCTTGAAAAATTCCCCGTAGGAGAATAGGAGAGGTCTTCCCAAGCCTTGTGGTAGCCTTTAGCCGCCGCGGCGGATAATGCACCACAAGTCATACCGCGCCAGCGTAAAAGGTTCACATCACCAGAATTGAGTTCATCGGTTGCAGGTGGACAATCGCCGAGAGATCGACAGGTGCTTTATCCGCCAATGCAGCATCTTTTCCAAAGAGGCATAGCATAGTGACATACGACTCGTCTTCTGATACAACAGGACAACTGAGGAGCAAGCAATACGTTGGACCACCACGTTAGCGGATGGATGCTCGAAGTGTACGATGGCCTATTGTTCTTCAGCCCGGACTTCAAGATACGACCACATCCATGATGCCGTCATTGCTCTCCCATATCCGCTTCCGCTTCCGCCTCCAGGCCTGAGTTTTCTCTCCCATCCTCCCATGACAGCACGACCTAACGGTTGGGCCATGCGTGGGCTGATTGTACGCGTTTGTGATCTCCCGCTTCGTACCTTCGCACCCGGTTAAGTTCGGCTGCTGGTCTGCCAATGTAATGGTGGGTTGGGCGTCTATCCGTGGTGGTGGTAGTGTTGATAGTGGTGGTTGCGGGGTTTGCTCGTCGCCAACTGGATAAAGTGAGGCTATGCTGGCATGAGCCTCTTTGATCTGGCTACACATGTTGACATATCTGTTACTCCTTTGAAAAACAGCCAGACAAATCGCCAACGACAGGTCGTCGAATTCCTGAATAGTGTCAACAGTCGACGAAGCTGACATCAATCACTACTGGGCCGCCTCTCAAACATTCGACGTTGGGCTCCCCGTAAGACAGCATACATACCTGGGACCCGAGCGGAACCTATCATCGATCAAAATTTTGCCTGCTTTCACAAAGCCACTCGTCTTACCCTGACCATCAGGATGGGCTCTCTGGCACAATCCTGGCGGCCACTGTCTGTCGGCGTCATCGGCGGGGGAATTGGTGGCATGAGCGCTGCCATCGCACTCCGTCGCGCCGGCCATACCGTTACCATCTACGAACGCGCCGATTTCGCCGGCGAGGTTGGAGCATCAGTATCATGCGCCGCCAATGGCACGCGGTGGCTGCACGAATGGGAGGTTGATGTGGCCAAAGGAGATCCTGTGGTACTAAAAAAGCTCATCAATCGTGATTGGAAGACCGGCGAGCCTGTCAGTGTGTATGATCTGGACGATTATGAGGAGAAATGGGGGTTTGTATACAACATGTTTCACCGGCAATACATGCATTCGATGCTCAAAGATGCTGCCATAGGAGAAAGCGGAGTGGGTGTACCGGCCAAGTTGGTTGTAAATCATCAGGTAGGTCCATGCCCGAGCAACTTTGGAATCCTCCAAACGAACATCGGCCGAACATGGCCAAGGCAGAAATCTCAGACTGACTTGTCTCTCCAGTGTCAAGATATCGATGTTCCTTCGAGCACGATCACGTTCAAGAACGGCAACACTGCCACCCATGACCTGATCATTGGCGCCGATGGCATTGGGTCAGCCGTCCGAGGCATTCTGGGCATCAAGCCCGCCAAACGCCCGGCCGAACAACAATGTCTGCACGCTAATGTATCGACTGAGGAAGCAGTCAAAGCTGGCCTGGTGGATTATTCACAAAATAGTGCATTGGAATACTGGGGTGGCCAGGAAGGGAAGTGGGACAAGATTGTACTTTCGCCATGCAATGGTGGCAAGCTGCTTTCATATTATTGCTTCTTTCCTAGAGAGAAGGGCGACTATAGCGGCCACACGTGGGGGGCCGAGGATAGGCCCGTCGAAGAATTGTTGGAGCCATATCCCGAACTGGATCGGCAGGTTTTTGCGCACTTGAGCATTGGACAGGAAATCAAACCTTGGAGGCTATGGGTGCAGTAAGTCTAGTCCTCTTCCACCTGACAGACAGTGTGTTGACAAGTTGTCAGCGACCCATACCCATATCTGGCACGTAACAACATCTGCTTGTTGGGAGATGCTGGACACCCGGTTTGTCACAACACCCCAGGGATGGTCATGCTCACACTGACACACGCTAGATGATGCCACACCAAAGTCAGGGCGCCTGTATGGCAATCGAAGATGCTGCCGCACTGGGAATCATTTTCAGCCAAAGCTATTTTGATGGCGATGTAACAGCAGCACTAAAGGTGTATGAGGAAGTCCGTCTGCCACGGGTGACACGAGTTCAATCGGCGGCCGCTAAAGCTGCATATAACATCAATGAACGGATAGGTATGTGTGCACCTAGCTGGTGGACCGATCACAACTCGATCAACTCGCTGACACCATGGACTGTAAGGGTTTTCCACCAATACCAACATCTCCACATACAAAGTGGAAGACGAGAAGAAGAAGTTGACGATAGAGGAGATGAATGCGTATGTTCAAGTCAGAGTCTTGTCCGAGAGTTGAAAAAGGCTAATCCCCCATCAGTTACGACCTGTACAGAGACATTGAACAGAAACTAGCCGTTCACAGAGGCCATGAGTATTGCGGAAAATTTCTGAACGGCTTACCACTCGGGATGAAGCTACCCAATGGCGTGACCGTGGGAGAGTCTTAGGGCAAGACATTTGTCAGATCCACAGTGTTGAGTTTGCTGCAGAATCAAGACTGCATTGAGACTTGAAAGTACGTTTGTGCCGAATGAGGTCGAGAGACCAATGAAATGGTTTGTGTTTGGACTGTCGGGGCGAGTGTACCGCGTGGAATATCTAGCATGCAAAATATGCAGGCTCCGCACTGAAATGGCATGTCATTCCAGCGCAGAATTTCATCGTGGTGTGAGCGAATCTCATAGTGGCATGTAGCAAGGGTCGGATTATGGAATTGCTGGTGCAGGTCTCGCAGGTTGCGATCATCTGTGAGGCGAGGCGCAAAGTGTGACGAAGGTGTGATGGCTGCGATGAACGCTGTAGCTGTACGAGCTGAAGGTTACTTGAGATTGAGTCAGGCGATCTCTGAAGCATAGGGTTAGCAACCAGTGCCCCATATTGACTATTGACATCTTTGATCTGAACATGTAACAGTTTTGTCAGCCTTTAAAGTGCAACGGACTCCAACCTACTTTAAGGGTAAGACTTGGAGGCTGAGGTGGGCCGAGGGCTTACTTCTTGGTCATCCCGTAGAAGCGGAACACCCCAGCTGACAAAGACTTCTCAAAGGGAGCAGAACAGACAATGCCTGGGGTGCCTGGTTCAATCGGGGCGTGGCGGAGGTGATGTGCATAGTACCGGCAGGTTGATGCATGGAATTTTTGTTAGCCACTCATATGTCACATGGTTGCATTTGGGCTGAGATTGGGATCTCAGTCTCAAGGACCATGCATGGCATCATTGGCACGATTGGCATTGATGAATTGAGGGTGATGGAAGGACGGTTGCAAGTGGAAATGGGGAGAACGACGTACTGGATCAGGCGTTCTACGGGATTGATGGTGCTGTATAGTGTGGCAGCAGTTCATGGCCAGCCCCGGCCTCCTCTCGAATGTTCCGCTCTTCGTCTTCATAAATACCTATTATTGCCAAACCGTCGCTTTCCGACCTCCTGTTGACCACTCACACGACGAGAACTGTACCAGCTGGTACAGTTTTCGCCTGCTGATTAGACAACCCAGTAGCTGTTTTCGATCACTTTACCGTGCGGGGCTTGGGATACCGAACCTTAGACCTCTGTTTCGCCATCGTTCTGAGTCTCCCTCTTCAAAGTCCACAGGGTTCGGGCCTAGCCTCGTGTCCGCAATAAGGGCATACTTGGTAGCGGCAGATTGCGAAGAAGGCAACCAGTGGAAGACGTTTAGGACGATGCATTCGAGTCTCGACGACGATGGCAGTGCACCTAGTCTGAAAGCACAGTCGACTGACTGGCTGCTTCTCTTTGCTAGACCGCAAAGGTTACGTTAGTGATGCTGCCAATCATGGAATCACATCGTCCCGTGTCCTGGTCGGTGTCGGATCGTCAACGCCTTCATTTGCAGGCGCTTTGCTCAAGATATGGTCAGCTGTGGGGGTGTCACAGTGGGCCATAAGGGTGGGGCATCGTATTTGAGGGGAGACCACACGTTGCTTCTCCCGTGTGTGTCTCTGCCATTGGTAGCTGCCACTGGTTTCCTAAAGGATTGCAATGGTAGACCAGCAATCTTGAGTCTGTCTTGGGACGGCCTTGCTTGTTCATGCCCGTTGTTACGTCTGTTCCGCGAATTACGCCGTAGGACTTTGGCGATTGAGGGGGCTATGGCAAGAGGATGTAGCACAAGCATGTTTAGGGAGAGGTCTTGTTTGAGGGCTTTCTCCTTTGCAGACTGACGCATAGAGGATGAATTGTCCAGATGCTGCGGGCGTAAAGACCGATTTGATCGTTCAAGGTCATACGATATTGGCTGGTGGCGCATGCCCCACGCATCCACACCTCGTTGAAAAGAGGTCGTCTCAAGAGGAAGGATGTCGTTGGACGTTGGACTTTGGACGTTTCTGCAGGATCTGTGATCAAAAGTGCGTGTCGCGCGATCACGATGTTTATTCGGGACATCAGAGGCAGTGCTACATGCAGCCCGAACAGACGCACATGGTTTCAGAAGTACTCAAGCCGCAAGGGTTGTCATATAAAGTTGACACAGGTTGGACTGGTTGACATGACTGAAAGTAATTATCAGCAACCTGAGAGGAAAATTTGATCATTTTTACGCCCATAATCTGGGTTGAGACACCAGCTTTAAACGATACTGAACAAAGAGAAAAGGACATGGCCTATCGTGCTTATCAATGCAGGTATGCTGAGCTATGACATTCTTATGGTGTCGCCGCCTCACTGATGGATGAATGGATAGGATCGACAAGAAGGCGAATGGTCGACAAGAGCCTTTGAGTGATGAGATGCCATGTATGCTCAAGAGGTACCTCAATGAAAGCCATGGAGTACATGATCACGTTCACCAATGGGGAAAGCAGGGCGTGAGAAGGGCAGCATTGGATGGGTGGAATAAAGTTAACAACCAACAGAATGGGCGCATGAACAAAGGTCACGACATGATGCGAAGGCTGGAAAGGTACATGGATGTCATGACAGACGCAGGGGAGATCCAAAGGCTCCAAGAGGAGATGTACAATGGTGGAGGCGCAGAAGGGACAATGCAGGATGGACACGAATTGATACGATCATCAGAATGAGGCATTGAAGATTCAGCGTGTCAGCACGTGATCAGGCGAAGTGGGGGGGAGGGCCCCGGGGGGGTAGGGGAGAAGGCAAGAACGACTCAGCGAGAACAGCAGCAGGTGTGCCTTCCTCCGTGCATAGACACAGACTTCAAGTTGGGCAGGAACACAGTACGAACATTGATTAGCAACTCGGGGAAAAAGGGAACAAGAGAGGAAACGGCCATAAGGGCCAAGGGGTCGAAGGGCCCCAAGGAAAATGATGGAGGATTGGGACCTGGGAGGCGGAGGGACGAGGAGGTACGGGGAATACCTTTGGGCGAAAACAACGCCCAAAATGTCCCGGCCCAGGCACCATCACATCACCAACCAACATCAACAATAACAACAGCCCAGGAATAGGTTTGCAGTGCTGCACAAGACATTGGATTGGCTGTTTGGCGGGTTGACTTGCTTGACGCACTGTCTTTCTATACGAGTTACCTATGTACTGTACTTCTATCATGTATGGAACTTTATCACTTATGTAAAGTATAATCTTCATCCCGTCAGTAAGATCAGTTCGACCTCAGTCATTTCGTCTCCAAAACTCCACAATAGTCTTCACAATCTCCTCGCCCAATGTCACGGGTACTTCATGCCCGGCATTGAAGGTAACAAACTCGACGTTACCTTCCAGTGTCTCCCGGGCGTCTTGTTCGATTTCCTGTTTGACGATGATGGGGTCGTGCTCTCCTAGAACGACTAGGACCTTTTTATCGGTTTGATTGACTCGGTTGTGCTCCGTCAGCTGCTTCCCTACCACGCGCCATCGATCATGCTCCGTTCGCGTTGGTCCATGACGAATGCTCGAGATGAAGGCGGGCACGAAGCCTGGGTGGTGATCGACTTGGTACGCGACCGCTGCAACCACGGTAACGTTTGGGTACTTCTTGGACAGAACTGCCTGGGAGTTGTGCTCGATATTGACTTCGGCTTTCACGGCGTTGGTGGCGTCCACGTTCGTATCCTTGGGATCTGGAGGCGCACTCAGAGGCGTTCTCAACCGGTTCCGTATGATGCGCTGGATGAGGGACTCGGGGATGATGCCCTGTTGATACAACAGTCGATTGGTGGGGGTGATGTGTTCGGGACGCAGCAGACCGGCCGGCGCAAACAGGATCAGCGTGTCAATCAGATGAGGAAAATAAGAAGCAAAGGTCGTGGCGATCCCTCCTCCCAGTGAATATCCAATCAGGGAGAATTTGCCCGAGTTAGCACCAGTCCACGAGAGGGGAGATGATGCCAACACTAGCAGTATCTGGGTGGTAAAGAGTCGATTGTCGTGCTCGAGATCATCAGGCGTGTCCGAATAGCCTCGACCGAAGAGATCAAAGAGCAAGACTCGGCAACCGTTGTCTACCAGATGTTGAGCCACCGAGCCCAATGCAATGGAGGGGGTGCTGATGCCATGCACCAGCAGGACTTTTCGGCCATCCTCGGGGCCAAACTCGTAAACTCGGATGGAGCCATACGGAGTATCAACGTCTCTGGCACCAGGAAGGACGTCTGGTGGGTAAGGGAGCTTGGACAACTCATCTGTTGAGAGCGTGGGTAACAATGTTGATCGTGGCGATGGCAGCACCTGGCCTTTTCTCCGAGTTTCGAAAAACCCGCGGGCAAATGCGCCCAAAGTGAAGAGGCTCGCCCCAGCTAGAACCAGACGCCATTCAAGTCCATTTGGAAGAAGTTGTGACCGGGATGCCATCTTCCTTGAGCTCTCCAACAGATCAAAGGCACTAGGAGATGGTGACCACGACAGTCCACACAAATGTGTTACTGAGAGATTTTTATTTCGACACCTCACGTAGATACCTGAAGCACGAGTATGTTCCTGTTGTAGCTTATAAATGATGGATATGTTTGATAGGGCTATGCATGGGCGATAAGCCAACGCCAAAGATGCCAATACCATCAAGAATCTATTGCCTCGGTTGAAATATTTTCTGCCAATCGCATGAGTAATGGTACCTAGGTAGGTAGTAGCTAGCTACCTAGCAGGTAGGTACCTAGCTACCAGGTACCTTAGATAAGGTCCACACGAGTACATGGAGAAGAACTCAAAGGGCGCTCTAGGCACTCAACCAGCCTAACCACGGGCCTCGGGCTGGAGAGGCACGAGCGCCCGAGCGCCCGAGTGCCCCGGGGCTTATCAATAATAATAACTCAGGTGCTCTATCTACCTACAGTACCTCCCAAGGTACAGATACAGCAACCAATCTAACACCACGTTCCAAATTTTGTCCCTCTGCACTGACTATTAATCACCACGACTGGCGGAATAATGATATTTAGGTACTTTTACAATATGTACGTCAGCCACATCAATAGCTCGGGGTATCACCTAGAAACACATTCCAATTTACCTCTTTTCCAGACTCGTTCGTTACAGAGTAAACTCCAACGCTTTGCCGCCCGACCGGTCCTTGCCTTTGTTTCGCTTGCGCTTTTTCCGCTTCGACGTGGGCTGTTCGCTGTCGCTACTGGAAAATTGATCAGAACCATCCCCGTCTTCGTCCTCCGACGATAAGTCATGTTTCTTGGTCGTTCCACTCCAGCCACCACCAGGGCGTCCCTTTGCTTCGGTCCACACTTTGACAATTGAGCCCCCGCCAGTGACCATACGACCTTGGACGTCAAATCCCAACGCAACCACCCCATCAATCTCATCGTGCTTCGAGTCAAGATCGTTCATGACCCCGTTGCGCCCGATGCGAATGAACCGAACTCTCCCATCCTCCAGTCCTGAGGCTACCAGTTTCTCGTTCATCTTCAACTTACCTGCCCCAGCACCAAACGGGACCTCGACGAGACTGTCGATCCCGAGGCCGTCCTTGTCCACCACGATTCTCTCGTCCAGGTCGCCCCAGACGCCTCTCTCCCACAGACTGATCACGCCGTCACCTTGACCAACCAGAATCTTTTCACCCACACTCGTGCCACCCTTCCTGAGGTCTTGAACAAGCGCAATGCTTGTCAATTCAACTTCTTGATCCTCACTCGTGGCTATCGTTCCCTTCCGCAAGTCGGTCACGGCCAACGTCGTCCCCCCAACGCTGACCCACTGTTTCGGGAATCCACTGGTGCTCGTCTCACTGGCTGGTAACGGCACCAAAGCATTAACATGTTCGGCGCCATGAGGTCTCCATTTCTGGCTGGCTTGCGGGGAAATGTCTTTGCTTTGCAGTCTGAGATCGTGCAGGGAGAGAGAGCCCAGGTCGGTGCCGAGTAAGAGGGTCTGGGGCGACAGAGCATGGAGAACGGTTGGGCCATTGTCTTCTTGGCCACTGTGGTCTAGGAATGCCATCTTACTGACAACTTTTCCAGTCTCGGTCATAAAGGCCTTGACCAGACCATCCGTACCGGCCGAGTAGCCTATCTGTCCATCATGACTCAGCGTCAGGCATCGACATGAACCTTTGTGTCTTTTGGTTTTCCATAATGTATCTATTGAACCGAGCCCACTCTCCGACGCACTCGCACTTGAAGATCTTCGTAATGATGACAATACGGGTACAGATCCAGTGCCATTGATATTGTTTGTGGTTTGGGTAGCTGACGGCTGTTCGTCCTCCACGTCCGAGTCGGTTGGAAGTCTATAGGCATGCACGTGTCCAGAGGCCAATCCAGAGAGAAACAATGGCTCGGATGGATGAAGGACTTGGCAGAAGAGATCGGAGGGTAAGGGGAGGGTGCAGATGGTGTCGAACATGGTTAGGATGACTGCAAGGGAGTGAAGGGAGTGAAGGGAGTGAAAGGCGTGCCTGGTTGGGGGCAGTGGTGATCAAGGCATGATCAAGGCATGGTATTGAGCTAGACAGGAGAGTCAGATAATTGCACAAGAATGAAGATAGATGTGACTTGAGGTTGTTGTTCTGGTCTTGAGCTTGAGCAAAAATCGGTCGAATCGAATCTTTTAAAAGTCGGAGTGGCAAAGAAAATCCGGGGTGACAAAGTGGATAAGCTACAAGTACTGTGATGGGATGGCGTGTATGGCTAGGGGGAAAAGCAACCGCCCAGGCGTCCCTGCAGGTACTCATATGCCCACAACATCAAGCCCCTCTGTGCCTGGCTCCAACTAAAAAATGACGCCACGGGCGCCTAAGAGACCTAAGGCAAGCCTCGGGACACCGTCCTGTGAACGTCCCTCGTCCATCTAAGTAGCCCAGAGTTAACACAGACTCTGAGCGCAAGAATTCTTCGACTTTTCACCTTCTCTTCTGTGACCTCAAATCAGGCGACGATGAAAAGCTTTCCAGGGTAAGTCCTGCTACCCGTCAAAAGGATCTGGTTACTTGATCGCCGTGGTGGCCTATACCAAAATAGAAATCGGCAGAATTTCGGTGTCAGTGTAAGTTGCTAGGGCGGATGGGCGGTTTCTTTAGGGGATGACAGGATGACGTCGTCGCGTGCGATCTGATACCGCTTCTTCCCAAGACCACTTGCTACACAGTCCAGTATCTTCCTCGCTATTGATGCTTCTTTCAACATGACTTTTGGCCCTTCTGCCCTGCGGGTCGCAGGCAACAGCCTCGGTGCTGAAGTCAATATCGACGAGACCACCGCTCTGCTCATACAGGATGATAATGATGCTGGTCGACCAGTCTCAAATTGTCATGCGGAAGAACAGCCTCACGGTCATGTCGTCGAGGGGGAGGACAATGAAGAAGACAAGCCTCTGCCGATGGACCAAATTCTCGCTCTCTGTGCAGCTCGCATTGTTGAGCCCATTGCCTTTTTCAGCATTTTCCCATTTATCAACCAGATGATCTGGGAAACAGGGCAAGTCGCCGAGACGGATGTAGGATTTTATAGTGGTTTGATTGTCCGTCCCCAAAAACCTTTGTCCTTCCGTAAGCCCAACTGACCATCTCCCTTTAGGAATCGCTTTTCTCTCTAACCCAGATGATCCTGATGATACCCTGGGGCTGGACCGCCGATCGACTGGGCCGCAGACCAGTTTTGATCTTCTCCCTTGTCGGAGTGGGAGTCGCTGTGGCAGGCTTCGGCTTTGCAAGCGCTGTCTGGCAAATGATTCTTTTCCGTTGCTTTGCTGGTATATTTGGTGGAACTGTTGTGTAGGCTTTCATTCACCCCTGATAGGTGGTCACTCGCCTACTAGCAGCCCTGTCTGAGGCCGTCACCAAGTTGACATCCATAATGGCACAATGACTGACCCTTGATTACAGCACCATTCGAACCATGATGGCAGAACTTAGTACACCCAATACTCAAGCGCGAATCTTCAGCTACTTTGCATTCAGCGGTAACGTGGGAATATTCCTGGGCCCTCTGATCGGCGGAGTTCTCGCGAATCCGGCGGCACAATACCCTCGAGTGTTTGGCAAGATCCAGTTCTTTCATGAGTTCCCATATGCGCTGCCGACCTTGGTGACAGGGTCGTTGGGAATCATCGCCAGTGTCATTTGTGCCATCATTATCAAAGAGGTCAGTCCAGTATGTGCGTGTTCTAAACGCACGAGCTGATCCCAACTTCCCTCGCGAGCAGACCTTGACTAAAGCATCCCATGCCAACGGAGTCACCAAAACTGAGAATCCATCCATCCTTGGTCTCCTCCGTGCCCCAAATGTGTTCATTACCCTCTTCATCTACGGCCATCTCATGGTGCTAGCCTTTTCCTATACAGCCATTCTTCCCGTCTTCTATTTTACCCCTGTGGAATTGGGCGGGTTTGGCTTTACGCCGCTGCAGATTTCCATATTCATGGGCCTCGGTGGTCTCTCGCAGGCCCTGTGGGTCCTTCTCATATTCCCGTCCCTCCATGCTCGTGTTGGCACCGAAGGGATCATGACCTGGGCCGGGAACGCATATCCTTTTTTCTTTGCTTCGTTGCCTTCGTGCAACATACTCTTGCGGTATCATTTTACCCTCGTTTTCTGGATCCTTGCACCAATCTTCGTGGTTCTCGGCTCTGGGGTTGCCATCTCCTTCACCGCAGTCCAGCTTGTTATCAACAATGTTGCTCCGACTCCACGCGTCCTTGGCACATTAAACGCTATGTCTCTGACTCTGGTCAGTGGTCTGCGGGCGTTTTCGCCGGCGCTGTTTGCCAGCTTGTTTGCCGCCAGTGTGAGAAGCCACAAATTTGGTGGGCATCTCATTTGGATCTTGATGATGGCATTGGCGATTGCCTTCACCGTCATGTCAAGATGGACCCCAGACGTGGAGGGGGCCAGCAAGTCGAGCAATGGGAATGGAGTTGGAGTCAAGTATGGACAGAGCCCGATGGAAAATCGGACGAGTGAAAGTGATCAAGAGCCAGAAGAATAGCGACGGTAATGACATATACGGACGGACAATAGAACGGAATTTTGGACTTGGATGGGGATAGACGGGCTTTCTGGGTTTTGGTCACCAGGAAAAGAGGAGGGAAAATCAAGTGTTGGGGAGTTGGAAAGGTTTGGTCGCATTCATCATTGCCTATGGCGGTCTACATCGATTTCGATCTGCTTGTGGAGTTCGCTTTCTTCCGAGGTGACCTTGAGAGATGAGGAATCTAACTCTCATTAGACGTAGATGCCGCTCTACAGATCCGCGCGGGCATCTTCCCCGGCCCACGCTCTCCGGATGAGCTCTCTGATGGGTCCTCGCTGGACTTCCCTTGGGTTGGGATATTGATTGCTCACGGCAATGTCGGCCGCTTTGTCGATATCTTCCTCCTTCATTCCGTAGTCTTTCAGGGCTCGCTTCACCTTCAACTTCTCTAGAAGGACGTTGAGACCTTTGGTGGCATCGCCGTCACTTCCGGGAAGGACTGCTGCAAGTTTGGCCATGGCGTCCGGGATTGCCGGAGCATTATAGCTGAGGGCGTGCGGGAGAACAATAGTGTGGGTTTCGGCGTGCGGGAGATTGAAGCTTCCACCTAGCGTATGGCAGAGCTTATGGTGCAGGGCCATAGCCGAACTGCCGAGACAGACACCGCAGAGCCACGCACCGTACTGCGCCTTCTCACGTGCAGCTTGGTCGGAAGCGCTTTGGATAATTTGTGGCAGTGACCCTGCTAGAGCTTGTGTGCCCTCGATGGCAAGAAGGGAGATGATGGGGTTTTTGTTCTTTGCATATAGTGCTTCCACGGCATGGGCAATCGCGTTGACTCCGGATGTGGCACTGAGAGACGTTGGCAGGGTCATGGTCAGATCAACATCATAGATGACGGTGCCCGGCAAGATCTTGGGGTCGGACCGTGTTGTCTTGCGACCGTCTTGAGTTTCGCCCAAAATGGGAGTCATTTCACTCCCGGCATAGGTGGTTGGTATGCAGATGTGATAGAGCCCTGTGCGCACCGAGATGGCTTTTCCCAGGCCTATGGTTGATCCTCCTCCTATTGACACCACCAGGTCTGCAGACTTTGTCTTGACGTAGGACAAGGCTTCTTCGGTAACGTGGGAGGGGGTATGCATAGTGGCATTGGAGTAGGTGCCTGCGGGCTCGATGCCCGAGGCTGAAAGGATTTTGGCGAGGTTTTCGACTTGGTCGATTTGCTGAGGTGTTGAAAGAAGGAGGGGCGATTTCAGTCCCAGTCGTGTGATTTCTTCAGGGAGTTTGTTGATACTTCCTGGCCCAAACACCACTCGTCCGGGGTTGGCATTATACTCGAAAGGATCCATGATGACAGGATTCTGAGCTGGAAAGGGATTTCTGAAGGCCCAGAGACTGCTGATGAAGGCTACAATTGAAAGTGAACTGACGAGAAAGAAAACTGCCAGGCCTCATCGGATGTTTTTGTGCCAGTCGCACGCAGTCAATCGGATAAATGCCTGGGGAGGAGTGGGTTTGAGGGGCTGCCGGAGAGGCGAGGGGGGGCGACGTGGGGCAAGTCATCGGATGCTGCACCTCCCCCAAGAGACGTTCCATTACTAAGCATCCACTGACTGCCTCCAAGTCATCCGTTCTCGCATAACAAACTCGAAAGACTTGTCCTGTGATGTTGACATTGGGTTGACAGAGTTACCCTGAGTTGGTTTCCCAGAGATAAACAACTGCGATGAGCGCCCAGCTTGCAGACAAACCAATCAGGAAATATCGAAGTCTGTTGGAAATCGTAATGCCGTCGTTGTAGTCAGTCATCAGAGGCACCTTTGCCTTACCGTGCCAAAAGTTTGTTAGGTGTCTATACGCCAGCGCCATACAGAGCGAATTCACTGAGCTTAACAGGAACATGGTCGTTTTGGAATCGGATTCCTGGGTTGCTGCAAGATACACAGCTGACCCGAGGGAGGACAAGGTCTACACAGGGCTTCATGTTAGCTTTTGTTGATCTGGATTTCATCTGAAATTGAACGTACCGCCAAAGCTCCGCTTGTCTGTGTTGTTCGCGTCTTGTGTAGTTGGTTGGCGGCTATATTCGAGTATTGTGCCGCCTGCTCTGTCTGGTCTTTATGTTTTTGAAGATTGTAGATTGCCATCGCTGAGAGCAGACCACTGTAGACACTGGCCGTCGCCTGGCCCACGTGATAGAACGTCGGATATAGAGACATCGTTGCACTCGCCAATGGGTTGTGATACTATGCGGACGGGAAGAGGATCTGGCGAAGATGTAACTTGACTGTGTTGGTTTTGGGATGCGAGAATCCTCGTGATATGAATGACGTCATCCCAATCTGGCAAGGTCTTGTTAGGCAGGAGCGCAACGTGACGCAAAAATGGTGGGAAGGTGCGACACAAGCAACTGGAATCAACGAGTTATGCGAGTAAAAGGTGGACAGGTACGTTTCTGGATCGTATACACCGCGTTCTCTTGGATGAAATACCTAGAAGATACCTGGCCTAGGGTAAGGCATAACAACCTAGGAAGACAGTCCTCTGTCATGCTGCCTCAACATGGGACCGATTCATCCTACACAGTAAGAAGCCCCTCTCGCTCTTCAACCAGGCTCCCCTATCCCACATCACAATCTCTACTCCATTGTCAGCCCCAATCCCAATCCCAGACAGACAAAGGCATACAAAATGTCGCCCACATCCAACACTAAACTCATTGTACGCAAGTGGCCCGAATCAGGAAAGACAGAATCCCCCCATGTGTCTTACAAAACCCACTACGCCAGTAACCATCGTCGCAAATATCGCATACAACACAACCACCATAGCCAATGATCAAATCGGGATTGATTTTTTTGTGGGCGTCGTAAAATCCCCTTTTTCCCCGATGCTGGCAGGCCGTTGAAGGACAGTGCAGAGGACGCAAGAAGGATGTCAGAAACAGTGAAAACCCTCGAAATCTTTTCAAAATTTGGCCTATGCCACGTAGAGGAAGACCTCCACTTGGGTGACGAGTATCCCGATAAAAACCACCATTTGGACGTACCATCAGTTTCATGAAATGTGCCCATCATACCCAGTAGAAAGCCTTTCACGAAGTACTCGCCAGTCATTGAACATTTCGAGTGAATCATCGAATGGATTTGGGTGGCCGGTGAAGCGGGAGAGACATCCGGCGACAAGCTTGCAATCATTCCGATTCAGGCCTTTGACCGCGTTCATCAACCGAGACACTGAATAGGCCAAGTGACACAGAGCGTCCGTATTGTTCAGGGCCAGGATGATGTAGAAGAGCTCAACCGGTGAAATTTCTCGCTCAGCCTCTAGTTGATCGACCTCCTGCTCAATGGCTTGATATATGCCAATTCCGTGCGATGCTGATTCGACTTCTAACTTCAGATTCGCAAAGTATAGAAGCGAAGCAAGCTTCGACCTGGTGGCTTTCATCATTGAATATTCGTCTGGCATGGCGCTAGAACGCCGAAGTACTCGGCTGATCGAGTTGTTGATCTGATTGGGTGGCTCGAAAGATGTCCTGCTGGAGATGTAGCCTGAAGTGATGTGCTCCAAGAGAAGAGATAGCTCTTGGTGTGGGTGTGCTGGATGGGATTGCTCAAGACACTCTTCGGCCGATTGCTGCCCGAGTGGTGTGACAGAAGCATTGCAAACCAGAGCATCCAGCCAGAAGAGGAAGGTGAAGAGACCTTCTTGGGTGCGTAAACTTCGAGGGCCACCGTTGACGTCGATCATTCGTTTCAATCCGCTCCAGTGGAACTTGGAAAGAAGATACTCATGGCGCAGCTCCTGTAAGTTAGCTAACAGAGCTACACCCAGCATTGTCCCTCCAGTGGGAGCAGAAGGAGACAGGGCAATCTGCTTGCCGATCTCACGTAGGGCCTGAACCTCTTTTTCGCGAGAATTGATTGAGGATCGCGCCCCTCGTTCTTGGGGGAAATGCGAAGATGAGATGGCTAAAAATGCATTGAACGAAGCGGCGCTCGTTTTGAAACATTGCAGCCATTTTTGTGGCACATCTGATCCCTGACCTTCGAGCATATCTATGCCACCCACTTATCAGCTTCGTCATGGGTAGCAGAACAAACCTCAGTGACTTACACCAATGAATTAGATCGTCTTCGGAGCTACTAATAAGCAGCTTAGGGATTGTAATCACGTCGTCGTTGGTGTCGCCGGCAGGCAAAATGAACTCATCATTTAGGCTTAGCGAGGAGGAGCTCGGTGAGCTCGGTGAGCTCAATCGTACAATCTCCTCGGTCTGTGAAGAGTCCGGAGATGTTGATCTTGCTTGCTGAAGAATCGGTGACCTTGAGCGTCTTCGCTCTGGTGGAATTGGTGAACAGTCCCAAATATGGATCTCTCCGCCGTGGGTACTCTTCACTGTGGGAGCCTTCTTAGCCTTACCAATTGCTGCCCGTTCTTTCTGGCGACGATGAAGGACATGGATCTTGATGGCTTCTTGTGCCGCCCTTGAATTGGAGCCAGACGTGATGAAAGTGAAGACAGCCCGATCCGCCATATCCGTGAGGCAGGTGCGGGTTCGCTCAGGGTCAGAATTCCAACTTAGTCCATTGCCGCGTGAAGACGTGCCGCTATCTCGAAGAAGCAATGAGGGTGAATCAATCAAATTGAGACATGGGATCCTAGAATGGTCTAGTCCGCAATGTGATAATCATGTCGAAATCAGCATTTGGGAAACGATTTTGTGAGATACCGCGTGTTTGAAATGCCCTCACCAAATTGCATGCGCGTGGACGGGCTACGAAGAGGAGGCGTAGGTCGCCTTTACTCCAGGACGCTCACAATAAATTGCCCGACTTTCCTTGGCAGTAGCCCTCGGCCCTGGATCTGGGCCCTCGGGGCGGAGTTCTGGCTATGACACCAATGGACCGTGCACCCACAATCTCGGCTTCTAGGTGACGGATTTTAGCTCTATCGCCCACGAAACCCATTCTCAACCTGTTCTCCGATTGCTTTGGCATTATTCCAAAAGAAGGCTGTCGGGCCCAAAAGCGGAAAGGTGATATCCGTTCGTATCCCATCCCTTTCCAAGACGAGAACCAGTAATCCTTCAGCAAAATACAAGCTCTCGATAATGCATTCATGTTCAAGGCATCAACTCGTCACCTGGGGAGGTATATCTATTTCGGAGATATTCCTCTTCTACTGCCAACATGTATAAACCAATCTATAGTGCACGTTGTGTTCGCAAATTGGCAATAACCCTACGATATCACAATGTTGCAACTCAATCCCGACCCTAGTTTTCATTTCGAATTACTGAGAGTCATTGCCGGGGCTCGCGGACTCGGCGCTGATGTGGGAGAAGTACTCAACGTCTGCGAAAAAATTGTGCCCGGCGACTTTGAAAGCTGGTATCGCGAGTTCCGTGACCTTGGGGACTGGGTAGAGTCCACCATCGATGAGGATCGTGACGATAAAGTATCTTTACGCGACGCCTATTGGAGGGCATCCAGGTATCATTTTGCCTCGGCCTTCTTCTTCCAAAAAGAATCAGAGGACGACAGGGCCTCCACCATCTTCGATCGATGGAGAGTCCTATTTCAAAAGGGCACCCGCCACATGGAAATCCCGCCCGAATACCTCACCCTCAAAGCCGATGGCTTTCAGATACCCGTAATCCTTTTCAAGTGCGCTACCGACGACAAGCCTCGGCCTGTCCTGATTATAGGAAACGGCTTGGATGGTTCCATGGAGGAGATGTTCCACATGAATGGGATGCAGGCGCTAGAACGCGGATATCACGTCGTTCTTTATGAAGGCCCTGGCCAACCCTCTGTCCGTCGGGCACAGAACATTGGTTTCATCCACGATTGGGAAAGAGTTGTAACTCCCATTGTTGACCATCTCGAATCCCAACCTTATGTGCAAAGCAATCAAATTACACTTTTCGGGAATTCTCTCGGGGGCTACCTGGCAGCTCGAGCTGCCGCATTTGAACAGCGTCTCGCAGCTGTTATTCTTGTCGACGGTATATATGACGTGGGCGACGGTCTGGGTGATCTTTACGGCCCAGAAGCCCTCAAGCTCTATCAAGAGGGAGATCAAGAAGGCTTCAATAATGCAGCCATCGCCCTTACCAAAAAATCTACCAAACTCAGATTCCTGATCAATCAGATTTCCTGGGCATTCATGTTAGATCCTTACCAAGCTCACCAGGTGTGCAAAAGGATGAGCTTGAGAGGTATCGAAGACAAAATCAAATGTCCGGTATTCATTGCAGGTGCAGAGAACGATATATTTGACAAGATAGACCAGCCAGGGGCAGTGAAAGCAGCACTTTCACACCTTGGCGAACGGGTAATCCTCAAAAGATTCACCGCCCAGGAGGCTGCAGATGCTCATTGTCATGTTGGTGCGACTGCTTTCTCCAATCAAGTAATCCTTGGTTGGCTTGAAAACCAGCTAGGAGCAACTTCAGTAGTCAATGGCCACGGACACTGAGTCTCGCTATTGATGGGAGGATGAGGTCTAAGTCAATTTGTCCCCACAAGAAGTCAGATCATTATTTCAAACAGTGGGATGCATTCCATTAGAGAAACATCTGGAGGGATATGGTGGTACATAGGATCCGATAGAAAATTGTTGCACATTAAGACGGATGTTTTATTCCTCTGTCGGGCTATCGCATATTCGATAGTGAAATACAGCAGCCATGTTAAGCATCATATAAATCTGTACTTCGATCGCTGCTCCAGAAAAAGCCAAATTTGATACACGAAAATTTCTCCAGACTTTCCAACGTGATTGTTGTTCAACAAGAACTGAGGGGGTCCAAAAGAACATTTGATCACTACCTAGTTTCTAAAGTCATGTGCTGGATACTCTAACAGAGCTAACGACCCCAGACCAACTTTTCACCACTCCTCCATGATGTAAGGTGTTCACCTTGGTCTCGCCATTGCCTCGAGAAGTTCACCAGTCTTCTGTACTTTGAACTTCTTAGCTGGTATCAACACGAACATCATCACACAAATCTCGTCGAATGAGTTATGCCAATCCTGTATAATGTAAGTATAAGAACGCCTACTCACAGGGGAAGCGTACATGGATTGTTCCCTGTTGAACAACTACATCGCCCTGTCGGAGAATCTTTTTCACTCCGTCATCGAGTGTTAACTCGATTTGTCCCTTCAAGACTACCCCGAAATCGACGCTCTCAGTCCGATGGACAACGTTCAATTTATCTTCGCTGAGATCTTTGACGGGAAGAAAATGACAGAATCTGCAAGTTGCACCAGACTCATCTGCGAATGCAATGTTCTGTCCATAGTAGTCGACAAACGGCTCATTGAGGTCTGCTGGGAGGCCAGCAGTTCTGTAGACATTAGCCATGCCAGCATTGCTGCCTCCTGGTGGTTTTCCCGTCACTGGGTTTAAAGATGTCAGAACATCGTCAACTAGGAAGACAGCTTTGCCCTGGTCATCATGGCCTGTTCTGAGGTTAGGAATATTACAGCGAACTTATGGTGACTCGAGTGCTCACCAGTCACTACTCGACGATTTTGCAGAGCGTCCATTATTGTGGTCTCCAGAATTTGAAGTTTGGTTGATTGAATCTCGGGAATCGACTTGGGAATGCCTTTCTGGTCAGAACAGGGTCGGGGTCTTAGTTCAGAACTCCAGCAAGTGATGAAGCTCAAACTAATACCAAGATATATCACCGAGGGATCACAAATCCCCAGGAGCTCACCGTTGAGAACGCGGCTATGCAGCTACTTCGGTATATTTCCGCCCCTACCTGCCGATTGACAAGCCCACGTATGTGATGAATATCTAAGACTTATTGCATCTAGAGCATGGTCATTTGAGTTCTCCAGATATGTGGTCAGTCTAGTGGAGGATGCAACCATTCCGCTTTGGGTCATTCAGGATCTTTTCTGGTTTAGTCGTTATCTGCCTAGGCTATCTAGTGGGGAATCTGCCAAAGGCAATTCTGATAGACGGCAGCTTAAACACTCTCGACCTTCACCTAAACTACTCGGATGGACGTTCTCGACAAGTTTATTGCCGACCGGCGTGGCAAGAACTCCCCCTCAGGTTGATCAATGCCCGAGTATAGACCCATCGGCCATCCTTATCAGTTGCGGGGATCGAGAAGCAGACTTCAAGGATCAAGTGTCGCCCGCTTGGAGAGATATCTACAGCTGAGAATCGACATATAATGAGCAAGACATTTCGCTCTTGAAAATCGTCAACCGAAAGACAAATCTCCTCCTCATCTCTTGCCTTATACCTTTTCAGAGTTCGGATATTTGACCGCTCGACACGTTGTTGAAGACAGCCGTTCGCTATGGCCGAGAAAGACGTAGACACCAAAGAAGACATCGTTCCCACAAATTCCCAAGATGGAGAAGTTCTGGAGCATGTTGAGCCCTTTGACGAGAAAAAGCTAGTCAGGCGCATCGACATATTGTGAGCAATGTTGTCACTGCTACTTCACCAGAGATCTTTTTAACGCTGGGCACCTAGCATGATACCCCTGTTGGCCAGTCTGCCTTTTCTCAACTATCTGGACAAGTCATCTCTCAGCTTTGCGTCTATCATGGGTATCATCGACGACTTGGTGGGCATTTTGCTTCTAGCTTACTTGCGAGATCTACTGACACGATGATTCGAATACAGTCACTTACAACGAATCAGTATTCTTGGGCGAATAGTATCTTCTTTTTTGGATACTTCTTCTTCACCTGGTTTGCGTCCTGGTTCTTTGTGCGACTCCCTCTCGGCAAGTATATCTCTGCCACACTGTAAGCACGTCCTGACATCTGCTTTGTATGTTGTGTCTTTGTTCATTGTATCTGACCGTCCAACCCAGACTGGCCTGGGCTATCTGCATTGGTGCAATGGCAGGGTGCCAGAATTTTGCAGGTATAATGGTGGTTCGCTTCATACTAGGCGCAGCTGAAGCGTCAATTCTTCCTGGTTGCAGCTTATTGACAGGCATGTGGTACAAAAGAGAAGAGCATCCTCTCCGACACGGCGCATGGTTCTTTGGTACATCCATCGGTGTAATGTGCGGCGGTCTTCTTGCATATGGGATTGCTCACATTCAAGGAGGCATTGGCCCATGGAGGGTAGGCCCTACCTCCGCCCCAGAACTCTCCAAAGGCTAACTCTCCATCCAACAGTGGATGTTCATCATCTTTGCAATCGCAACCGTTATCTGGGCTGCATTCTTGTTTTGGGCCTTGCCAGATACTCCTATGAACGCTCGATTCTTATCGCCCGAACAAAGACTACAGGCTGTCAGTCGAGTCCGAGTGAATCGCCAAGGACTGAAAGACACCACGTTCAAATGGTATCAAGTCCGCGAGGCACTGCTCGACCCCAAGGTTATTCTCCCAGCCTTGATCTGTTGTACTCTTAGTATCACCACGGGTGCCTTAAATGCGGTTAGTTTAGGCTAAATCCCATGTTTTGCAACATTCACTGACACTAAATGGCAGTTTGCACCAATCATATTGGTCGGATTTGGTTTCAGCAGACTTCAAGCATATCTCTTCAATATCGCCGTGGGCGGCGTCCACGGTGTATTTATCTTGTCTGCTTCATATATATGCACAAGATGGGCCAATGTTAGATGCTATACCCTTCTTGTGGTCATTAGTATCAGGTAAGTCTTTGTCTCACATACGAAACATCTGCTTATTGTCCTCCCAGTCTTATGGGAAGTCTTATTGTCCGGCTATCAACGGTGCAAGGCGCACGTTTGTTCGGCTTCTTGTGCTACTTTGCCCATCTTCCGGGCCTGTCTATCTCTCTCTCGTTGATCGCTTCCAATACGGCAGGATTCACCAAAAAGAGTGTTGGCACATCAATGTACACAGTCATGTACTGTGTTGGCAACATTTCGGGGCCTTTCCTCTTTCAGGCAAAAGATGCTCCTAAGTATATTGTAAGAGCCTCCAAGAAGCATGCAAAATCTGAAGTATTAATCAGTTTGTCTAGGGTGGTTACAACGGCATCATTGGCTGCTTCGTTGCGTCCCTGGTGTTTGCTGCACTGATTCCATTGGCTGTCATCCGTGAAAATCGTCATCGTGACAAAGTTTATGGAAAGCCTGAGAGCAGCACGACTCAACAAGAGACTAGCGGTGATCTGCCTGTTTTGACTGATCAGACTGATGGAGAGAACAAAACCTTCCGCTATGTCTGGTAAGCGGTCGGCCTGGACGTCGAGCAGATCGAGGAGGTCTGTCAGTCTTACTCTTTGTCCAATGGGTGGGGAGTGGTACATTCATAGTACTAGGGTTCAACACTGTCGCGCCTTGCAAGGCCCAAAGTAGCTACTACCAAATAACATCCTACAGTCTGTTATAAACCTACAACATGGGACATGTCACGTCACCTTTTATCTATATCTTTCGCAGCTCAGAGTAACTAGAATATAGACTGCCTTAGAATCATTGTCTTCGGGGGGCTGGGTCACCAGGGCATTACCTACGGTACTAGAACTTTCAGCAGCTGCAGAAGTATGACCTCTCCGACTTGGAATTCCTGGTAAGCCGTGATTGAACGATCTCGGCAAGATAAAAGGGGTGGAACTCAGCAAAGCTGCCGGCCTCAGTAATTTGACTGGGAGGTGGCGATTCACCATACGTGCCACAGGAAGGATACGAACAATGATTCAGCTACACCGGAGTTTCCGAACTAATGGGAGTGCCATCGTCGTCCTATCTCCGATATGTGTGTGATGGTAGTGGCTCGCGAAGCAAAGCTTCGGTTTACGGAGATAGCGTGCCTTGCATTGGCGTATATCATGGGGGTTCAGTACAGTTCGAGACCCTGGTCTAAGCCAGATTGAGGTCTGACTTCCCGTTTTAGACATATCTGTCCTTCAGAACTATCGAGTGGTTTAGCGGTACGGTTTGCACGCATTTTTGCTAATCGAAGCCAAATTTCTGAGACGCCTATGACTGTAGACAATATTTGCTGAAACAAGTCCGCATAATCAGCATGCCTTGCGGGGGTTGATGTATCGCCGAAGGATGATGAAGGCGATCTGGTGAGGCCCACGACATGGCCCACAGCAAGTCATTTGAGGAGTAGAGGACGAGTTGATTGTTTAACTTTCGCAGTCTGATTACTTTATGACTCGAGTTTTCCTACTCATCTTTCCATCCTGTTCAAAGACCTCCTCAAGGTCACAAGTGAAGGACCAGTTTCATCATGGGTGACGCTGGGTATGTTGTTGAAGAACACTGGCACTCGAAACCACGCCATGTTCGAGTGATTTCGATTGGCGCTGGTGCATCAGGATTGATGGTCGCGTACAAACTGAAGAAAGAGTGTCAAAATTATGATTTGGTATTGTACGAAAAGTGAGTGGTCCAGATCCATTGTGAGTACGGCTGTCGCTGAGAAGTGAAAGGAACCCTGAAATTGGCGGAACATGGTATGTGATGTCTAGGGAACACAACTTCTGCAAAAATTGACAAATTATAGGTATGAGAACCGATATCCTGGGTGTGCCTGTGATGTGTAAGTATATTTGATTCATCCCTTCGATGAGTCTACGACTGAGGTGTCCATAGTCCTTCACACGTCTACACGTACCCATTTGAGCCGAATCCAGACTGGTCAGAATTCTACGCAGGATCTCGAGAAATTCAGCAGTACTTTATCGACTTCGCAACAAAACACGATCTGAACAAGTACATTCAATTCAACAGCGTTGTTCAGTCGGTCACCTGGATGGAGGACCAAGGAATGTACGATGTAGAGATCTCGCGTCAAGGGAAGATAATCCATGACTTTTGCCACATCCTGATAAATGCCACTGGTACCCTTAACAAGTGGAAATGGCCTAGTATCTCAGGCCTACATGACTTCCAGGGGACGCTTTTGCACAGTGCCAATTGGGATTCCAAGTTGAGTTGGCAGGACAAGACAGTGGCCGTGATCGGCACTGGATCATCTGCGATCCAGATATTGCCACAAATTCAACCAACGGCGAAACACATTGTCACGTTCATGCGGTCTGTTACCTGGATTTCGCCACCGATAGCAGAGGACATGCTTAAACAAGCCGAAGCTGATGCCGGCAATCTCGGGGGGAACCTGGCCTCAACATCCCAACACAGGTACACCGACGAAGAGAAACGGCGCTTCCGGGAACACCCTGAGGAGCACTTGGCCTACCGCAAAGAGCTAGAATGTCGATTTAATGGCATGTTTGACTTGTTCTTGGCCGGGTCCGAGGTATCCAAGGCGGCTCAGGAAAGCATGCGACAAGAGATGATACGCCGTATCGGTCCTGGAAATGAAGATCTCAAAAAGCGGCTAATTCCTCACTGGCCCCCTGGATGTCGACGGCTTACACCGGGCGAAGGGTATCTAGAGGCTCTTGTCAAGGACAATGTTACCAGGGTTCACGACGAAATCTCTCACATCAATGCAGAAGGCCTGGTGGACGTGACCGGAAAACTGCATAAAGTCGATATCATTGTTGCAGCGACAGGGTTTGATGTCACTTTCAAACCTTCTTTTAAGGCATTCGGAGTAAATGGGGTGGATATGCATGAAGAGTTTGATCCTTTGCCTAAGGTGTATCTCTCCATGGCAGTGGCTAAGTTTCCCAACTATTTTACTATCAACGGCTTCCGGGGCAGCTGGGCCGCAGGCACAGCTCTGAACTCGCATGAGGCTTGCGTCAACTATATCGTCCAATGTATGCATCGGATTCAGAATGAGAACATTCGAGCATTGGAGATCCGACCCGAGCCGATCGAGGACCTGTATCAGCATATTGATGAGTGGCATAAACGCACTGTCTGGAATGCGGACTGTACAAGGTGAGTACATCGAGCTTCTCAGTGTGATGGGATACTGAAACCCTGGGATTAGCTGGTTCAAGAGTAAGACTGCCAGGAACAAGTTGATAATGTGGGGAGGCTCAGTAAGTTGATGTCATGTCTTTGGGGGTGGTCACCAGACTCGTGCCTAATGGAATGCAGAACTTGCACTATCTCAAGTCGCTTGAGTTTGTTCGATGGGAACACTACGAGTTCCGATATCACACTCGCAATACGTGGGCCTTCCTCGGCAATGGGCAGGTCAAGGCCGAGATCTCCAAGGAGGTGGCACGATTGACGCCGTATATACGGAATTCTGACGAACCATGGAAGATAGATTAAAGATAGATTAGCTAAACAAGTGCCGTATGATCAGGCCAGGACTCCAGGACCGCCATATGCCAGGATCACGATGGAACTTCTGCTACGTTGTCGGTCACGTGAGCAACACAGTCCCGGCCCTATAGTTCTCATCATACAGATATACTAGCGGTCCTGCTAATCGCCATTGAGATGTTTTGTTGATATCCTCGCTAAGAAGACGAAGTGGTTCCGTCCCAGTATATATTTGGTCTTTGGTCCACAGGCGGGATGGTATCCAACAAACCAGGTGATATCACGTGATGAGCGATGGGGCCGAGGGGCCTTCGCCTCATTCTCGCCAAGACATGCTGTTTAGCCACTGGACAAAGATTTCAATCAATGCTGATTTCCATTCTCCCTGATATACATCAACCGTCAATTGAGGGTGATCATCTCGACATGAACTAGACGTGCGCCATTTGACGTGTGGCTTCCGCAAGAAAAACCCCTGGAATATGGCAGGGCAGATCAACGAGGCGCCGATCTTATCAACGCCAGAGAGTCATATCCTCAGTGAGACCATCGACGATGTCGTTCTTCACCCACCAGACGCTTTGACGGACGATCAGATACACACACGTTATGAAATTCAGAGAACCTTGGTTGAGATTCGGCAGCAATCATGGCGGCGGGTAGCACTACAGTTTCCGGACCACATGCTACCTCACTCGTCGCGAGTGTTTCAGATGCTCTCACGGGGATTGCGCGGTGCTAATGCCACCCAGCAGTTTAAGGAGCCAGTCATGCCGGCCGATACTAATATTCAAGGCCTGTCTCTCCAAGACAATGGACCTGTGAAGCTGACGATCCTTGGCGATACGTCGTACGGGTCATGCTGTGTGGACGAGGTTGCTGCAGAGCACACTGACGCGGATGCGGTCATTCACTATGGAAGGGCATGTCTTTCACCCACAGCGAGGCTACCGGTGCTGCACATCTTCACAGTCATGAATCTAGACCACCAAGACGTGATTAGCCAATTTCAGGGTCATTTCCCAGATCTAGGTGCCAAAGTCATCCTCACTGCTGATGCTCCGTATGCGACTCATGTCGAGCCTATTACACAAATACTGGTCGAAGCAGGCTATCAGAGCGTGTTTGCTGCATCCATTGTTCATGATCCTTCATCCTCCATCCCCAATCGCACGGTTCCCAGTTCTGTTGATGAAGATGCCACCACACTCTCTGAATGGCACCTCTTTCACATCTCAGAGCCACCGACTGCATTGCTACTGACCTTGACCTCGCGGGTGGCCAGCGTCAAGATCTTCCACACTTCAAACCAAGCAAGCGGTAGACCTGACGTCGATCGGCCAACTCAAATGCTTCTCCGTCGGCGATACGCTTTGATCACGTCACTGTCCACTGTGTCGACGTGGGGAATCTTGATCAACACCCTTTCAGTGAAGAACTATCTGAGCATTCTGGATCACATCAGGCGGCTGGTCTCCTCGGCAGGCAAAAAGTCGTATTTGGTGGTGGTGGGAAAACTCAACCCGTCCAAAGTGGCCAACTTTTCCGAAATTGGGGGATGGGTCGTGATTGGATGTTGGGAAAGTTCACTGATCGATAGCAAAGAATTCTACCGACCAGTCATTACACCTTTCGAGTTGGAATTGGCACTCAAGAGCGACGAGGAGCGAGTATGGACAGGTCAGTGGCGAGGCGATTTTCAGAACGTGTTAGAGTCGGCATCAAAGGCTGTGCCTAGGCACGCAGGGAGGGATGATCCAAGGCATGCCTCTGAAGAGCGTGTTGGGGACGATGAAGACGACGATTGGGAATCAGAACCACCTGAGTTCGACCTTCGAACGGGTCGATACATCTCTCGCACTAGACCGATGCAAAGCAGTCGCACAGTGGGATCAAATCCGTCGTCCACGGTGATCAAGCTTCAACGAAGCGACCTTGTGACGGTCAATGGCGTCGCCTCACCTGCGGCTGAATACCTCTCTCAACAGCGCACGTGGAGAGGATTGGGTAGCGACATGGAGGTCCGGTACGAGGAGTCCAATGTTGGTAATGCGATCGAGGAAGGACGGTCAGGTGTGGCGAGAGGTTACACGGTGGGCGAGTCGACTAGATCATGAACACCGGTGAGGCTGCCTCTACCAGTCATGGCTATGCTTACATTTGTAGTTTGGACACGAATGGACGACATAGATTAAACAGAGGGTTCACCAACAGGCTAGGTAGACAGTGTAAAGAGCTGGTGTAACCTTCGACTTGGATCTTCTGCCGCACGTTTTGTGTGTCTCTTACCAAGGGTGATGACTTCGTCAATGGCGAGTGCACGTGACCAGTCACTGCCAGACGGCAGGCATTTATTTTGGGGGTCCTTCAGAACTGAAAGGTTGGAAAATTGCACTGATGATTAACTAGCAAAATTATTGCAAAACAAACTTGGTGCAGACAATGTTAGAGCAAGTGGTCTGTCCAACGCGAGCATTCTTTCTCGTACTCGTGAAGATCCCTAGCAAAGTGCACGAATGAGATGACAAGATGAATATGACGACTTGGCCAAGATTGGCATCGTTTCAATTAGGCGAGAGCTCATGCATGCATACTCGTAATGAAGCTGCATTCGGGTACTCAGAGGCCGGCGACATCCGTAGCAACTAATGCAGGTGACATAACGTGCGCATAGCCACTCATAGTTACGTGGTTAGGCGGGATTTTCAGAGCTTCAAACACCTTTTGAAAAGCTTCGAGTGTCTGTTACTACAGTACCTAGGTACCTATGGGTACCTACATGCTGATGGGCTCACGGCGGGCCTCTCGGCCTGGTAAGGGGCGCTGTGGGCGTCATGTTGGTAGTCCGCGGAGCCCGCGGGACGTGGTTGACATCATCAGAGACCCCCATTGAACCCCCGCTCCCGATTAAACCACCCATTGACCATCAACATTTACGCCTATGATTCTAAGTACGATGAATCGGCTTGTTTGCGGACTTAATACGAACGCATCTCGTTTCTGTTCAGCTGCACCAGTGGCACGACGCACATTTGTTTCCACATGTCACCATGGTTTCTACTAGGCAGTGGATGGAAGGCCTTGCGAACAGACCTTACCTATCAGTTCCACCCTCGGTGCACCATGGTCCCACTGTCATTATTTGTGTCAAGCATCATTCGTGAAAGGGTACACAATATTGCGCTCTTTGTCTTTTTGTCTGAGGCTTGGATCAAGTCTTGATCAGCTTCACTCGTGAGGCACTGCCGCATTTGATCATGGCCCTCTAAAGCTTTTTACTGCTCACTGCCCTCGCCAACCCAGTATATCCATCATTTCCTCTTTGCAACTTCCCTTTTTTTGGCCCTCTACCACTGATCTCGCCTCCATTGACGTTGATACTGACGGCAGGACCATCTCGACAAGACTCGACAGAAACGATTCTTCACGACTGCAACTGCCGTGGTGGATGATGAGAGTTGCGCTTGCCACTTGTGTTGCCAGCGTCCTGTTGACGGCAGGCACCAATGGTAGAGTCCCCCTCCTTTCCCTTCCCTCTCTTCCTGTTCTTACGTCTGACTCTCTTCCCTCCTCCAGCATACGCCATCTCTCCCGAAGAAGCATACCTCGAGGCGTTGATCGCAGCTCGAAATGTCCCACGCGCCCTTCCAAACTCTCCCAATGGGTACACCCCGACTTTCCTCGACTGTCCTGCCGACCTGCCCTCGGTCAGGAGTGCCGCAGAGCTGTCGCCTAACGAGACGTCATGGCTAGCCACAAGGAGGAACAACACCATCCAACCCATGCGCACCTTCTTGGATCGTTTGAACATCCCCGACTTTGACGCTGCTTCATACATTGACTCGGTCGCCAATAATGCTTCTGCCTTGCCTAATATTGGTATTGCCGTCTCGGGTGGTGGCTGGCGCGCCCTTCTGAATGGTGCAGGCGTTCTAAAGGCTTTCGATTCTCGCACCGAAAACACTACTGGCAGTGGTCAGCTTGGAGGACTCTTGCAGTCGGCTACCTATCTTTCTGGCCTCAGTGGTGGTGGCTGGCTCGTGGGTTCCATCTTTGTCAATAATTTCACCACAGTCGAAGCCCTCCAGGCCGACGATACAGGTTCCGTCTGGGAGTTTGGGAACTCGGTCCTGAGTGGGCCTAGCACCCGAGGGATCCAGGTTCTAAATACTGCCCAATATTACAGCAGTCTGGCCAGCGACGTAAGAGGAAAGGACCGCGCCGGATTTGATACCAGCTTGACTGATATCTGGGGTCGAGCGCTCTCCTTCCAATTGATCAACGCTACAGACGGCGGCCCAGCGTATACCTGGTCCTCTATTGCATTGACGGAAGCTTTCCAGAACGGCGATACCCCATTTCCCATCATCATTGCCGACGCTCGCGCTCCCGGCGAGACCCTGATACCGGGCAACACTACCGTGTACGAGTTCAATGCATTTGAAATGGGTTCCTGGGACCCGACATCCTATGGCTTCATTCCCACACAGTATCTCGGCACCAATTTCACTGCCGGTGACATTGTCGATGATGATCGCTGCGTGGTGGGATTCGACAATGCTGGCTATATCATGGGTACCTCATCCTCGCTCTTCAATCAATTCCTCCTCAACCTCAATGGTACAGACATTCCTGAATCTCTCAGGAACATCCTCGCCGAATTCCTCACGTCCCTCAGTGCCGACAACAATGACATTGCTGATTATACCCCCAATCCCTTCTATCGCTACAACCCCGCCACCAATCCATCGGCCAATTCCACCCGCCTGACCTTGGTTGATGGGGGCGAAGACTTGCAAAACATTCCCCTGCATCCACTGATCCAACCCAACCGCAATGTCGATGTCATTTTTGCCATTGACTCGTCTGCCGATACCATTTACAATTGGCCCAACGCCACCGCTCTGGTGGCCACCTATCAACGTTCCTTGGCCGATGTCGCCAATGGAACCGCCTTCCCCAGCATCCCCGACCAAAACACCATTGTGAATCTCGGATTGAATACTCACCCGACCTTTTTTGGATGCAACACCAGCAACATTACCAACGGTGCCCTTGTCCCTTTGGTCGTCTACATTCCCAATTCACCTTATGTCACATTCAGCAACATGTCCACCTTTTCCCTCGAGACAAACAACACCTATCGAGACGCCATCATTCTCAACGGCATGAATGTGGCTACGATGGCCAACGGCACGGTCGACGACACCTGGGCCACATGCGTCGGCTGTGCAATTCTGAGTCGTAGCCTTGAACGAACCGACACCCAGGTTCCCGAGGCGTGCACTCAATGTTTCAACCGCTTCTGCTGGAATGGAACTCTCGACAGCAGTGAACCTCCACCATACGAGCCAGTCCCGGTCTCTGGAGAGATCAACATCGAAAACCGTGCCACCACACTGTCTGTGGGCTGGGCAGCCGCGGCTGTCGCGGCTGCTGTCGCGATTTCTTCGATTTAGACGGTCAGGTCACCGACGACCGGCGTTTCTGTGGTTGTTGTCTTTGGTGACAACAAAATGAGCACTCTCACCACTGACGCATCATGTATCAACATGTGGATGAGAATCTAAAACGCGCACAGCTGCTCATCATCAGCTTCGAGATCTAGTATGTTTTGGGATATGGTGCATGGTCATTTGGTCAGGAGGGGTATTTGTCACTGGGGATCACGAAAGGGCGACATCCCGCTGTCATGAGAGTTTCAAATTTGAGTAGATCAACACTTTGATACCAAGTTCTGCGTTGAGCATCTCAGTTGCGAGCTTCTAGAGGCGTTGACGAGATTTGAGGCTGCAATGACAGCAACGAGCCTTGGACACATCAAAGGTCCTTGGTGCAGTTTTGAAAACTTGACAGTTGCGACCCCCCGGCCGTTCCTTCCGTGAATCAATATGTCTTTTTCCGTCGTAGCTTCCTTCCTTGTCAGGGTTTGTATCAGGCAACCTGTTCCAAAAGGCCCAAAGGCCAGATTGTCGTTTCAATTACCAAAACAACCATGATCAATGTTGACAAGATGGTTTGTGTGGATGGACTGTTTGCACGACGCATATGGCTCATCACCTGCAAGAGACCTTCACCCTCTCGAGTGATCTGCGCTGCGGTTATCTCGGCCTGTGCAGCTTACCTCGCTTGCAGTTCCTTCACGTTGAGAGCCATGCATCAATGTCTAGCAAACAATGCAGTCTATACGCCAATGGCTTTGCATACAGCAAGGCTATATCTCGTACCGACTGTCCGTTGCAACCGCGGCCATTGCTCGGGCGAGGTGGACATCTCCAACGGGGGCCTAACAGAGATCCTTTAGGAAGCCAATCAGGTCGAGATATCGCACTTCCATCCCCAAAAGCACGCCCCATCCGACTCGGGGTTTTGTCATCTAGAAGACTTTGATTGCCACCATTCTCACTCGAAGTCCCTACCCGGACAGCCACCTTTGGCTCATGTGGGGATGCAAGTTGGAGAACCCTGGCACACCAAGCACGTCGTACATCCAGATCCTGCATTGGCATGGGAGAATTTCCGCCTAGGATGATGATGGGAATGGGGTTTTGGCCTTTTTGTCAATCCCAAACATTTGACGAGTCATATTTGGCTCATGACTTCTTTGTTGCTTGCTTTGTCAGTCCATCTATTGACGCCCTTTGGCGACACATCTCGACTTCCCCTCCCGAGCCTCCGTATATACGAACAACACCGAGCGACTGCTCTGCCATCGACCTGACGTAACATGAGATGACGTCTGCAGCTAGCTCATCAAGCTGCGCAAGAACATGGTTGAACGAGTTGAAAGGACATTGATGTCCCATCCTGACCCAAAGTTTCAACATGAGAAATCCGACGCCGAAAGCATGGCCTCTGTCGAACGACCAGTACCAATAGTCGGAGATTGGACTGTTGACAATGTACCTATTCAAAATGAGAACCCAGTCACGATGCAAGATAGTCACGGTATCAGGTACCAGTACCTTACCTTCGAAAGCGTCATTCCCTTGGAAGAATATGCGTCCTCACATCCAGACGCCACGCCCCCTCCAAATCTTCGCAAGTTCGAGTCCCCATTTGGTTGGGGCTCAAAACGCAAACTCACCGTTCTGATCCTTTCGTGCTGCTGTACATTTTGTGCCGCCTACAGCGCTGGTGCATACTCGATTGCCGCCGAGCCTCAGCGAGAGCGGTGGAATTTGTCAGTGACGGCGTTTGCGACTGGCGTCACCGCCTGGGCTATGGGATTCGCTGTATCTCCAATGTTCCTCGCCCCCTTCTCCGAGATCAATGGTCGAAGACCTGTCTTCATCGCATCGGCCATCATGTTCCTCATCGGCCAGGTGGCGTGTGCGGTCACCTCGTCATTCGCCGTCATGCTCGTGTTTCGCTTCTTTGTTGGAGCAGGTGCCAGCACCTTTGCAACCATTATTGGCGGTGTCATCTCCGACATGTATCATGCCGAAGACAGGAATGCCCCAATGGCCATTTACAGTGCTTCAGCGTTGGCCGGGACCGGGTTTGGCCTTTTGGTGCCTGGTTTCATCATCGGCAGGGTCGACTATCGATGGGTTTACTACCATCAGATCATCTATCTGGGATTCTTGCTTTTTGTTCTATACTTTTTCTTTAGCGAAACTAGAGGATCTGTCCTTCTCAGCCGGAAAGCAAAGTTGCTGAACCAGTACCTGGACGAGCTGGAAAAGCGGGATTCCTCACCTCAAGAACCCAAACCTGACCCGGGCACCTCACGACTGGTCCGTTACAAGGTCGAAGCAGACGAGAATCGATCGTCGATTGGGAGGATGCTCTATGTCTCTCTCACTCTCCCCTTCACCCTTCTTGCAACCGAGCCAGTGGTCTTCTTCTTTTCCCTTTGGGCCTCCTTTGCCTGGGCTGTCTTGTACATGACCTTCTCCGTCATCCCTCTGGTATTCACTACCCGCCACAACTTCAATACTCAGCAGAATGGCGCGGTCTTCTCCGCGGTCTCCATCGGCACCATTCTTGCCGCTATCTTGTCAATCTACCAAGAAAAGCTCGCCAAGCGTCGCTGGCCCAAGTTATCAGAAAGCCCTGAAGGACGGCTCTACTTTGCCTGTCTCGAATCTGCACTATTGCCCATTGGATTGTTTTGGTTTGGCTGGACCACTTCGTCGTCGATCCACTGGATCTCTCCCGTATTGGCCATCGGATGTGCTCAGATTGGCATCTTCTCCATCTACCTGGCTGTCTTCAACTATCTTGCCGATGTCTACCATCGTTATGCCTCTTCTGCCCTTGCGGCCCAGGGATTCATGCGCAACCTCATGGCCGCAATCTTTCCTCTTTTCACCAACCAGATGTTTACAAATTTAGGTTATCCTCAAGCCAGTAGCTTGCTGGGAGGCATTAGTGCTTTGTTGACCCTGGTTCCCTGGGTTCTACTTTTCAATGGTGAGAAGATTCGCGCGCGGAGCAAGATTGCGAGGGAGATTCTTTCGTCTCCATCAAGGTCGTGAAAGTCAAAGTCAAGACGTGACAGCGGCCCCTAAAATGGACTGGAGGGTATAATGAGCGATCGGTTTGAGTCAGCCCTATTGAGGCGTGACATTCCGGACCATCCATTGTATAGTAGAACAAAATCAGGTTGTCTATCGTGAGAAGCGACCAGGACCAGTCGACTGAGTCAAAGTGCGAGCTTCCAGAACTTTTATCGAAGTTCCAATATATCTTAGAGTAAACTCCATCTGTGGTTATACATGCTTTCAGTGTTTAGGGTCATCCTCAGCGTTGACCTGCCAGCCGTCGTTCCTGCACTTCGGTGAGGGCTCTACTTCCGGATAAGAATGCGACAAGTCCGATCGCCGACAATACGGGGAGGGTTTTGAAGAGATTCCAGGTGGTATAGTAGAGGAAAAAGACGCCCTCAATGCCGATGATGCTCCCAACGAACAGGGTGTGAGACAACGGGGCGTCTGACAGTGCCTTAGAGACGTGGTCGACATTGCCGCCAAGATATAGCCACTAAGAACAATTAGCACTTCTGGTCAGAGAGCAGATCTCAGCTTCGTTGTGACGAAGAATCGCACTTACCGCGCCAAACAGGACCGGTAATGTGGCCAAAACAGCGCCGAGAAAAGTCAAGGTGATGACGATGTTGGGGCTCTTGGGGTCTGCCCTGAAGATGTGGTGTATTTCCGGTCTCTTTCCATATCTGATAGGTTTCTCGGTGGATGGAACAGTTGTGCTCCCCTCGAGATCGATGCTGAGGGAGAAGGCGTTGCTGTTGAAGGCCTCGGATGTACCAAAGGAACCAAGGATAATGCTGGCAGTCAAGGGAGACGAGCCGCGGAGGAACTGCACGGGAAGGTCTTTGTGCGTCTAAGCATGGAGAATCAGCAGGCCACAATATACAAGTCTTGAGGGAGGTCTGCCCACCAAATCCAATTTGGCTTTACCCGATTCTTTGACACTGAAGGGGTAGGAGATGTCTAGGTTCGTGGCAGGGTCTTGCAGGAGGAGGAATGCCTGATGAGGTCGCTTGGTCGACTTGCCCTCTTGGGTAGTGAGAACAACCTTGAGAGTATCGACCGGCCCAAGCTTGATAGGACTCGTCACAGGCTTCGACGGGGTCAACCTAGGATCGAAATGTTAGCGCAGTGATTTAGTCGCAGTCGGCAACGTTGAATGAGTGAATGTGCTGACTTCTCTTTCAGTCCTCCTCCCACGCCTGCTCCTTTGCCTTGGACGCTCACTGATCCTTCGGTGAAAGACCACTCAGCGGCGGAAACGCCATTGTGGAGGACACCAAGCAGTAGCACTGCCTGTGGCAGCAGCGAGAGCAGACGCATGATTGTATATGACAGTTCGTTGTAGATATCCGATATCAACCTCACATGGTTTATTTCATTGTTTGCAGCCAAACCATACGTCGCCGGATCTCCAAATGCCAAGGTTTCCTTACATGTGCTGCTTTTACACCAAGTCACGGGATGGTTATATCTTTTGAATGCCGCTTTTAGTGACAAGACTTCCTAACTAGTCGCTCTGCCAAGCCTAGAATGCCTCGGTCTCCTTCACAAAGAAGCCGCGACCCCAGTACCCCACAGTTTAGATGCTCCTGCCCGAAGGTGTGGTTGAGTTGCCCGCCTCGGTCGCAACTTTTATAGATACTCGTAGATTCCTACCAAGGTAGCTACCAAGGCACTATTCATCGTCATAACCCAGGAGCCTATTACAAGGAGGATCGTCAGAATAGATGCTTTCCATTCGTCTGATCTCAACATAACGTTTTCTCAGATTCTTTTCTTCAACATACTTAAACTTGAATCGATACCCCATATCTCCAACCGATATCCTACTCTCTTATGGACTCCACCACTACGTTGTTATAAGAAATCGACCATCCAACCGCTAATCATGGCCAAAGGGAACGAGTTGGACTTTGAAAGCCATATTGAATTGAAGGAAATTGCACCAGTGCGCACCCAAGTTTCACCTTTCGAGACTAATTTCCTCATACAAACTAAACTCATAGGACACTTTTCAAAATGTACATCAGCCATGGGTATTCTTCATCACGTTTAATGTGCCGGGTCCGGTCATGATGGCAGAGGCTGCCGCTGCTGCTTACAGAACTGTTCCCGAAGGATTTGTCCTCGACTCTCTTCATACCCAGTTTCTTATTGGTCCCAAGGCCGACAAGCCACTCATCTACAGAGTGCAACGCTTAAGCCAGGGTCGGCGCTTCGCCGTTCGGGTAGTCACCATCGAGCAGGATGGTAAAGCTGTGGTCACCAGTACCATTAGTTTTATGAGTGGTGCAGCATGGAGCGGCAAAGCATTCCAGCATACCACTCAGACCAAGATCCAGAAGCGTATCAAAGAAATTACCCTGGACGACTTTGAAGGCTCGAAAACCGACTTGGGACCATTCATGAAGTTTGAGAGGCTTCCACATGAGCACGCTACACCCAAAGAACATTCAACCACAATTGCCCCTGTCGTTGCCAAAATCGACCCGCCCATGCGCGCCTCAACAGGTGACGCAGCCCATATTCTTGCCGTCATTCATATGTCAGACTACCACGTCATGGATTGTCCTCTCGGAATTCACGAGGTCAATCATGGACAGCCAAAGATCGGCGACTATGAACGGAAGCGTACGCCATTTGACATGAAGATTATGACCAGCCTTAACCACACGATCCACTTCCATGTACACGGTGGTTTCCGGGCAGACGATCTCCTCTACGTCGAGGTCACTTCACCTTGGGCGCGGGATGGAAGAGGAATGATACACTCTAAGATTTATACCAAGGATGGGCTATTAATAGCCACGTGTGTCCAAGAGGTATGCCAGCCGTGTCCTAGCCGTCCATATTGAGACCCACAAACTGATACTGTCTCAGGCATTCTACGTTTTCAAAGATACACCGAAGCTCTAATTGGTCCCCAAAGCCTTGAGACACTCTTGACATGCATACTTGAGTATCACAGAGTTGAAGAGTGTCATCACCAGCGTGCATGGACTGTCTAGAAATAAACTTGATTCCAATATCGAATTACTTGTAATACCACAATACTTTCCCACACAGAAATCACACCTGTGCTATGCAAAACATATCTAAAATCCATGCAACTCCTGGCAGTATCCTCTCTCGCTTGACACGTCAACTTCGGCAAACCCACAACCGCGCCTTTGCACCTTGTGCTCAGATCTAGTCATATTGCCAGGCAGCGATGGTACCATTATTGTAGGGGATTGCCAACGCAGCAACGGAGACACAGGCGGACGGATCACCCAGTGGTACCCATGCGTTGGGCACATTGGCATATACCTGGTAGGCGATGCTACCATGCGTTGGGCAGGCCATGAATCCATCCGCACCGAAAGCGTACGTGGTCACCTCTCCATACTCTGCGCCTGGCGTGTACTCGTACACAAAGGGGGAGCTAACAGCACCTTCAGGAACAACGTTTGCGTGTGCCCCGGTGAAGAGGATCTCGCCAGATGGCAAGACATAGACCTGTTGACCGCCTGGCACCGAAGTGGCCATATCGCCCGCAGAGCGGAACACCGTCTCGTTTCCAGGAGGGCATGATCCTTGAACAGCAACACTGGCTGGGCATGAAGTGACGGTTTGCGGCAGGTTGAGCCAAAACTTGCCACTGTTGGCGTTGATGGATTCAAAGTGAAAGGGCTGGATGTCAGAGCCAATGACAAGACCGTATGCTGATGGGAAGGTCGCTGGTGCGTCAGGATTCTGGCCGGAGCTCCCAGTTGGTGCTGCTGCCACCAGGGCTGGGAGAGCAGCAATAAGCGTTGACTTGATGTGCATCTTGCTTGAGCGACTTGAATAGATGATGTGGTGGGTGGTTAAGACGAAATTTAATCAAATGAATCTCGGTGGTTGTGAATGTCTCTGGCGAATGTGGTCAAAGGGGCTTCGTTGATGATGGTACGGTTCGTCCAGTCGTCGGGTTGTTCAACGACCTTTATATCATTGCCGGCCGAACTTACCTCATGTCCATTGATAGACCTTGGACAACATCTTCAAGAATTAGAAGCCTTGGATCATTGTAACAATTTTAGTGCCTTCAATATCTCGCATGGAGGTAACGTGGTCTGTGAATACTCCGCCCTCTCAACACTACGGAGTACTAGTTGTCGGTATGTAGGGAGAGAGGTTTGCACGTGGTCAGACGGTGGGCGCAGTCGTTTGCTCCAGCGATCCGGGTGGGACCTTTATCCCCGAACCTTTGCGTCCACTGTACTGTAATAAGGTGAGCGAATTGCCCGGGTCGAGGGACATATTGTCTGCATCTAGACTGTATGAGAGCACGGGCCATGTAGTCCACAGCCAGATTAGTAGGAACTCCAACTGAGATAGGTGGTCACAGCGTCAATAAGTGATCTATTTCAGGTGCCTCGAGCCTGAACTTGGTAAAGCCTACCGGTACGGTGCGTTCTCCAGTCTAGACCATCATCTAGGCATCTGAGGTAACATCGCATTTTCCACCTCTTCGTTGTCTGCCTGGCCAGCATGGAGTGACGACATCAGGTGGGCATCTCATTGAGCTCTGCCAGTGACGATGGTGGGTGTGCGTTATTTCAGACTCCAGCAACAAATTCCATTTGGGAGATGGTATGGTCGAGAGTCAACTCTACAAAGGACACTGTGAAGTCATGTGGTAACACAACATTGTCGTGTCAAGTTGCGAGGTGTAGTAGTAGCAATGAGAGATGATGTTGAGGAATGAGGATTGTAGTAATGGTGCCTATGCTCGACCGTGGCATCTGAGAGTTAGGGTGGAGCATTTAATTCGTGATATGCAGTTCGGCTTCAATGTCTGAGAAAACAAAAAGAGCGAATCGTCGGGTTGGATTTGACTTGCCCAGCACGGCAAGCATCTCTAAACAAACTCCCTCGAGCTTTAGGTTTCTAATTGAGAGATGAGGTGAATTCACGCACGTCGAACCCTAGTTTGCCATGAGACCCTGTTCAAATGACCTCCTCACTCAATGTCATCGCCCTGATATCTGGTGGGAAGGACTCTCTTTATACTCTCCTTCATTGCCTTCATCATGGTCATAAACTGATAGCGTTGGCGAATCTATATCCTCAACATGATTCGCAATCATCCGCCTGTGTGGACCCCGACCACCCTCAAGAAGGAGAGGATCTCAACAGCTTCATGTACCAGACAGTTGGTCATTCTCTCGTTCCCCTCTATTCCCAATGCCTTGAATTACCTCTGTACAGAAGGGCAATCTCAGGAAAAGCTGTACAGACTGGCCGATACTATGACCCTACCAAGTCTGCCTTGGACGAGACTGAAGACTTAATTCCATTGCTGCAAGAGGTGAAACGGAATCATCCCCAGGCAAATGCTATCTGTGCGGGTGCGATACTGTCCACTTATCAACGAACGAGGGTCGAATCTGTCGCTATCCGCCTCGGTCTTACGCCGCTAGCGTATCTCTGGCAATATCCTGCCCTACCTCCCCCTCAAGGTCGGGCTGATTCTATCTGTGGTCTGCTGCAGGACATGGCGGCTGTCGGGTGTGACGCTCGGATCATTAAGATTGCCAGTGGCGGCATCCCCGAGAGGCTTCTTTGGGCCAATGTTGGTGACAACAGCACTCTGACTCGCCTTGTAAATGGCCTCTCCCCCTTCTTCCCAGATAGAGAATTCTGGCTCCGTGGAGCTGTGCTTGGCGAGGGCGGGGAGTACGAGACGATTGCCATCAACGGGCCTCGTCCGTTATGGAAAAATCGAATCGATATCGCTGAGACGAATAGCCTCACTATCGCCGATGAAGGCGGTGTTAGCTACTTCAAGATTGCTGGGGCTAAATTGGCGGACAAGTGCGATTGTGATGATACCGCGGTTCATGACCAGTTGCGCATTCCAGATGGATTGGACCCGCAGTTTGCTATCCTAGGTTCTCTTGTTGAGGCTTCTCTACAACCACTAGATCCATCTGCAGAGCTGCCAACTGCCCTTTCGAACCCCAACTTCGATGCTATGATCATAAGGGCTAGCGCAACTTTGAGCGCTGGAAATCTGGTGATAAGCAATATCACAATTGACCCATCAGACCGGAGCAAAGGCATGTCCAGCTCGGCAGCTGATCAAATGAAGGGCGTTGTTCAAAAGCTTCGAGAAATGCTACAATCGTACCATGGCCAGTTGAAACTGGTTCCAACGACTTCAAATATTGTTTCAACTACACTACTTCTCCAAGATATTTCCCATTTCGGGGTCGTCAACTCAATCTATGCAACTCTATTCCGCGAGGGCGAGCCCAATCCTCCAGCAAGGGTGACTTTTGCTTGCCGACTTCCACCAGGTGTCGAGGTCAGTCTCAGCGTAGTCCTGAATCTAGGCTCGAGGGATTCGCTGCGTGGGCTCCACGTCCAAAGCCGGAGCTATTGGGCACCTGCCAACATCGGTCCCTACAGTCAGGCAGTCTGTGAACCACTGGACGATCCGCAAGACCCCAACTGCAGTGTCCATGACGAGAAACTAATTGAAATCGTCCATGTCGCCGGGCAAATCCCCTTGGTGCCACAAAGTATGGAAGTCAAGGACGGCTCGTTCATTGATCAGGCAGTATTGAGCCTGCAACACCTCTGGCGTATTGGACAAGAACGGGAGGTCGATGTTTGGCCGTGGGGAGTCGCTCTTTACAAGTCTCAGAGCGAACCTGGGTCTCGAGCATCGGCAGGTTGCGAGCTCTGGCGACATGCTCACCTTACAGGAACTAAACCAGGTGCTGGGAGATGCGAAGATGATGGGCATGAGAGAGATGACCTAGATGCCTGGGATCTTCAATTCAATCGCTCTGCTGGCTTCCAATCGAATCTGTCAAGAGTGACGGTAGGAGAACACCTTCATGTGCTCCCCGACCCTGGCATCTTCTTAGTCCCACCATCTCCCGAGCCCTGGGTGCCGCCCTACATCTCTGCGGCTGTGACAGCTTTGCCGCGAGACGCACCCATCGAATGGTGGAGCCTTGGGGTGGCACATCTTCCCAAGAGTCCCAACTCACATCGCCGAGCGACCGTTTGTACCCAGCGCTACCCTTGGGGCTCGCTGACAGTGCTCAACATCAAAGCTAGTCTTCAGGAAGAAGGAACTGGCTGGCCTTCGACGAGGCATGGCCAAACGGATTTCGCCACAGTCCTTGTAACGGAAAACTTCGAGTCAAGTTCTCTTGTGGACGGGCTGCGAAATGGGCTAAACGAAGTGCTTTGTTTGGATCCCAATGCCCAGCATATCACCGAGGCTGACTTTAGGACTGTCCATGGAACGGCATTTATCGCGCAGACAGGTGAAGACGCGTGGAGGGCGATAACAAAGCAGACCCTCTTTTCTGGCCTTAGCATCGTGCCATGCACTTCATTGTTTGGACGCGCATTTGTCCAACCGTTTTTGGACCCAGCAAGCAATAGGTCAACGTCGACGCTGCCGTTGACGTCAGATGGCACCGATCCAGGCTGCCAACGGTTGGCCTTGGCTATGACTATCCGACTTGAAGCGAGAGTTGAGACTTGAGGCAAAAGCGCGTTGGTGGTGGCATCTGTCAGAGAGATAGATCTGGGCACACCCAGGCCCGGGCTCGACGTGGCAGACAAGTTGGAGGAGGGGTCCATGGGGCTCATGGAGAACGCCCCCCAGTAGTGGACATAGCTAGTACTCCGTAGTATCCGAAGACCTGTCAAAATAGTGACGCGATTGTGCCAGATTCTGGCGTCTGTGCTTTTCGATGAGAGGATGGACCCCACAGTCGCGTATCTGGATAACAACTCAAGGCTGTATTGACAAACAGTGACGCGATGTCTGTATCTTTTGGCATGTACCCACGTACCCTGCCACCGTCACGCCTCAGGCCACACAAGACCGGAGGAGTTGCTCGTCCACGCCAAAGCTCCAGGTCAGTGCATTCCGTGGTAGACCAAGGTGTTCTAAGATCGCATAGGGCGTAAGGTGTTCTTGGATCTTCAGATGTCACGGGTGAGGGATTTCCATCATTGATCAGTATCTTGGCAAGCATTCAGTCTTTGTCACCTTGCTGATTTCAAGTCGGCAAGACAATAGGCATTCACCATTGATCAAGGTCTGGAGGGGCACGTTGCGAACCTGCGGACAAGCGTTATCAGGCCATGGATCTTCCATGCAAGTCACAAGTCATGGTGTTCGTCCTCACCATGACATTGAATACAGGATGGGTTAAGAACGGGCGCATAATGATGTATCCTCTGTAGTGGTTACGACCTTGATGTGACCCAGTATTACCGCCGGCACACCGCGTGGGACCATTGCTCCATGTTGTGATATTGCCTGCCGCCAGCCAGATCAACAGTAGTTTCCGCGGGCGGCTACAACCAGGTTCTAGTTAAAAAGTATGGCAAGACAAAGTATCGTAAAAATTGCTGGGCGGCTCCATGTGAGCGGCTACCTGTATAGTTACCAGCAGCGCGTGCGGGTGGCATAGACAGGCGCGTAGCAAAGCAAACAGACCAAAGGTCAGGCTTTAAGGCACCGACTGGCGGCAACGAGGTGATCGCAGCGTCTCAGTGTTGAATGGCCTAGCGACAACAACATCTCACGTCATCTGCCGCCAAAGGTCGATCTCGAGGAGACGCGCGCGTGCACAGTCTCGTTCGATTCAGTGCAAAAGTCATGCCGTTTTCGTGGCCATCCATCACCTGCATTGGACCTGCGACACGGCGATAGACCCGACGAGGTACTGGATATAGCATCCTCGGTTCGCGTTCTCAGTGGGGTTTGGTGGTATCGATTGATTGTGCCTTATCGATTGACTAGAGGCGGATGAGGGGCCCCTGACCAAGACAGGTTCTTCTCCATATGCTTTTCCATGCAGGTACTACATCTGCAAGCCTCCAAAGACCTTGTGCTCCAGCTTCCAGCATGGGACATGCAGACATGCAGTAGCACCAGTAGTTAGTTGGAGGTGAGTAACTGGATCCTCTATGGCCAGGAACCGGGAGGGGCAGGTGGGCAGTCTTCGATCTTCTCGAGGTCCTCCAACAACCCCTGCACTAGCTTCGTTTCACCATGAGGTGGCTGCTTAGCCACTGAAAACTTCTTGTCAACCCCTCCACGCCTCGCGCGGGCAAAGTTGAAGGAAGCAAGCTTTTTCTCTTTCGGGACGCGTTCCGTAGTGGTTCGTATCCAGACCACGCATGTTTACCCGGGGACTTTTTTGGAGGATGAGGTGGACATGTTTCTCCACGCGTTGCCAGTACCACAACTCTATTTTTGCACGAAGGCATAAAAATTACAGAGTCTGAGAGTTTAGAATTCTATGTCGACGATGTGGGGATTTCAACTTGATCCCACAGCTTCTGCAATGTCTCTTTTGAGATTGAACAGAAATAGAACAGAGTATGTCAGATTTTTCAAAGTATGAGACGTGTGTCGCTTGTGTTTGTTCTAATGGCATTTTCCCCCAGGACTTATTGTCATCTTTGTCAGGCGAGTTCAGTGGGGGTAGTAATGCACGCCGTTGCCTACGGAGTAGACATGCAGAACTCGTCAGCAGTCGTCGGAATAGCCCTAGAGGATTCTAGTCAGAATAGCACAGAGAGTCCATGTGAGACTAACCCAGACTACCACGGAAGCTTGAGTCACGGTCACTGTTATGGTTGGGGCAAGGGGGGTTCCAGCGGGCATGTTGTTTGTCGAGGTAGTATGCAGGTAGAATCGCTGCAGACCTCGTCATAAGAATTGTCCAGTCGCAAGGCGATTTGAGGCTTTGGCTAGGGAATTTGAAGCAAGCGGCCTCACGGGGATGAATACGGATACACGAATAGAGGCGTGGAGCACGGCACGTTTGTCTGTACCTGCATTCACTTTCGCATTCGCCTAGACTAATTCGTCGAGCGGATAATACGACAGGAAGAAATGACAACGCCGCCCTGGAGAGATCCGAACGGGATACTTGGGCACATGAGCCATGCCATGCCTTACCATACGTGCCCACAAAGGTATCGTACCCATATATCTCTGTGTGTTCTTTACGCGACTCTCATGTACGCGTGAATCCCGTGGCTTGGGTCCTCCGGAAAACAAGGTCCACGCAAAATGTGGCTGACTGGTAAGCACTGAAATACCATTAATGGGCGTTTACCTTTGGACTGGTGGGGGGCCAACTACACGACATTCAAGGCGGCTCGGCAGCAGAAGACTGGCACGGTTGGTACCTTGCCGAAGCTGGCCATGACCCAGAATCCACTCCGATTTGACGTCGATGTCGGCGGGTTGGGAAATTGCGATGATGTCGACAAGACATGGTCGCAGGAAAAAAAAAAGAGACTTTTCATGCATCCCCCTTTTCCTGGACTCTTTCTCTGAGGATTGTCTGCACACTGATGGGGCCCATGTGCGTTCGACTCGATCAATGCCTGCTACTACCGCAGCCAGCTCTAAAGAAGCGATGCGATGAGCATGAATGGGCAGAGGCACGGTACACTGCAGGGTCGCTTCTGAAAACCTCTTTTGGATTCTGGCTCACCGATGGACGAAAACCCCTGACCATTGGGACACTGGTTGCATAGACACCAAGACGAGAATCATGGACAGTTATCAAGTCTATCTCTTAGGGGCGGGCCCCCAGTGATCCCACAATGTTCATGGCGTGGCCGTTGGTATCGATAGCGATAACGTAGCGGTATCGGTATCGATTATCCTGCAGGCCCAGGCCCCAGGCTTCCAAACTACTGTACGGAGTACATACAGCGCCAGGTCACCATGTCACGGGTGATGGTGTAAAGCCCATGCCCCTGTAGACTTATCATTGTATGGGCCGTGACCATTTTCTTTCTTCTGCTCCCACGTGTCTTACCATGTCTAACTTAGCACTAAAAGGTTGAGAAACGAATCACCCAGTCTCTTGGTCCCAGGGGTGCCACGTCGACCATTCGTCTATCTTCAATAGATGATAATTCAAACTCGATGCATTTTGATAATAGTGCAGTCTTCTAGTAGTACAGTACATGGCACAGCAAGTGTGCGTGGGTGGTTGGTACAGACACGGGCCCTCAGTGTGGCACATGACGCTCTGATAATTTCGTGCCCCGTGTGTTATGCTTGTTCTCTCGCACTCGCGTCTACCTCGCGCACTCATCCACAACAGTTGAAATGACCCTCTCAGAAATCAATGGGAAAAAATGTTTAGAAAGAAAAGACAATCTGGAAGAAGTTGAAGAAAAATCATTCCACCCATCCTCCGCACCACACCAGCCATCGAGCAGCAATTGCAGCAACAGCGTCCATCCAAGAGTGTACAGCCAGTCTCATGCCCATCTCCATGATTACCATTGTAGCCCAAAAAGGCAATAGAATACACGTCGGTCGTTAGGTTTAAGCCCGGACCGCCAGTCCAGCTCGGCAAGCGATGCACAACACCTTGGTGCCATCATCCAAGCATGTAGCCATTTTGAGTGCCAGGGCGCTGTTGCAATATCAACTGTCATCTGGTTGGTGAAAAATTTGCCACGGCTGTTGCAGCAGAGAGGACCCCCCGGTTAATAAAAGTCTTGTTAGGGTCTGGTCAAAGGGTCTTTGTTCATTCGTAAGGATCATTTCGTCGTCTGTGATAACAAGCTTCTTCTCTGTAAATATTTTTGGAGTTCGTGATCTTGTGTCTCGTGAGTCGCAGGGACTAGTGGATATTTACAGGGATTCGTCTCGCTTGCGTTTCTTGAGGGCACGCTTGCTCTCTGAAGAAGATGATTCAGAACCACTGCTGGAGGAAGAGGCCAGGGCAGCACGTTGTGCAGCCTCATACAGAACATGGCCCACATCTTCGTCGAATTGATGAGGCTGAAGCTCACCGGTCTCAAGGACGCCCATGACAATAGCACCGGCACCGTGGGTGCGAGCATGCTGAGCGAGATTGTCAGATCGAGAGAACTTTTTGCCACACTCATTGCATTCGAATGGCTTGTCTTGAGTGTGGAGAGATCGGTAGTGTCGCTTCAAGTGTTCCTGACGACGGAAGCGTCGAGAGCAAAGAGTGCAGACGAATGTCTTTGAAGGGTCCTCAGTCAAGGATTGTTTGCGGCCGCGGCGTGTGGCAGGAGTGTGGGCAGCAGACGAGTTGCCGTCTGTTTGAGCGGAGACGGCATTGTCCTCTGGAGAATCTTGATGGTCCTGGGTGCCATTGGGCGTGCCATGATGACCTTCGGCGTGGGAGTGGTGATGAGCATCAGCGTCGGCCAGATGTTGGAATTCAAAATCACTGTGGAGAGAATCGGAGCGTTTCATCTTGCGCGAGGTCTGTTTGCTGGAGCAGCAAGAGGCCGATTCGGAGAAGGAAGACACGGGAGGGGAAGGCAGTCCGCAGTTGGCAGCAAGATCTTCCTCGTCAAATGATCCGAAGCTGTGGACAGAGAGAAAGTCTTCTTCTTCGCTCAAGGATAGCTTTTGTCTCTTGTCACCGTTGTATGCAATCTCGGCGTTGGTGAAGTTGACAAACCCAAAGTCGTCCTCGGAATCAAACTCGGTCGAGAATGAAGTGTCAAAGGAGGGGTTGTCGGCCAGCGTGAAGGGATCGTGAATGTCATGCTCGGGTGTGAAAGGAGGCAGGGCGTACTTGGGTTCCTCGTCTTCGACAGTGAGGGTTGGCAGGGGCGGGAAGCCGTGGGCATGTGCGGGGACGACGACGGCAGGCTCAAAGGACGTGGACGTGAGCTCTCTCAGGTTGACAAACTCTGCGACGGGGTACACGGACGGAGAGATGTGGGATTGAGATTGAGATTGAGGTGATGGTGTTGGCGTCGCGGGACTCAAAGACGGAGAAGTGCAGTTGCTGAGGCTCCTGGTTGGGGCAGGTACGACGGCAACTGTGGCAGGAGCCGAACTAGGAAGAATCTTGGCATCTCGGCTGGGGAAAATGTGAATTTCTGCAACCAGGCAATCAATCTCAGGTCAGTTTCATGCTCGCACAGTTTCACCGCCGACAAATTATGTTACGGCAAGTGAGGAAAAAAGGTAGGTAGGTAGGGTAGATGCTTTGCTGAGGGTTCGGGGATTCACTTACGTCCATTGTCTCCTTGCCAGTCGTCCAACAGAGGCAATGCCTGCATTTCCTCTTTGGATTGATCAATAGGGAGATTGAAATACCCTGATGAGTGCATGTGGTGAATTGGGGTCTGTGTGATGCTGCTTGCTGGTGGGCTGCTGGCCGTACTGGGACAAGCTGACAGACATGGGGTCGGAGGTGAAGAGTGCCTGCTCTCCAGGTAGTGTCCATGTTCCATCTGTCCGTTGTGGTCATACACGATTTTGGGCATTGGCATCGAAAGGGTCAATGGTGGTGAGGCCTTGGGCGTCATCATGTGCTGTGGGAGGAAGTGTCCTCGTGCAAACTGAGGTGCCGGCCAGTACTGGGGTGGCATGAAATGCTGAGGATAGTGTGCCATGGGGCTGTACACAGGCTGCTCACTCGGCATCGGCGTGAACACGGCATTATGTCGTGCATCCGAGTCTGGTCGATACTGGTAGAATTGAATTTGCTGCGCGGCCATTGGGTATGGAGTCTCCATTGCAATGGTCTGAGAGTCTGAGAGGTCGAAGAAATATCGACTTTCTTTGCAAGTTGTGGTACAGGTAGATAGGTTGATACAAGAAAAGATCAGGTCGGGTCCACTGGTATGCTTCTGCTTCTCCTGGCTACGAGCTGGACATGTGTATATGCAAGTAGGCTGCTGGTAACCGTGAGAGAGAGTGTGATGGTTCCGAGGTTGTAGTAAGAATGCTCAGCGATGGAGATGTTATACAATGTTGGCACAGGCTTTGGAAGGAAGGACTGGATGTTTGTTCAGCAATACTGGTACACGGTGTGGTACAAGGACAAGTGAACAAGATCCGGGACTGGCCTGGTCGAACAAGAGATATAACAGAAAAGAAGGTGTAGATCGCGGGGATCAAAAAAAAGAGCGTCTTGACTCGATATGAGGAACGAAGAGAGAGGATAAGAGGTGGGTGCAAGGACGAGCCATAAGAGAGATCGCTAGATGGCCTGAGAGTCTGAGGCCGGGCTGTCTGTTCTGTGGCCCTCGCCCACCGACCTGGATCACCGTCTGGATGGGGCAAGGTGGATGTGTGCAGGAACGGGCGCTGCGATTCGGGTCCGTCGCGATGACCCATGTCACAGGCGAGGGTGGTGAGGATAGCGTGGTGGATACCAAGGTCTCACCACAGTCACCACAGCCCAGCCCGTCTCAAAGCCTATCACCCACTAGCCAGACCCACCCCCTGCCAGCCGCATCCTTAGAGCAGCAACTGGATCGACACCCTCGGGCTTTGGTCTGGGAAGCTGCTGGTGGAGGGGAGTGGAGGGAGTGGTGCCAGTGCTGCCAGTGGTGCGAGTCGTGATGGTGGTGATGGTGGTGAGAAACCCTCCCAACCCTCAAGTGTCGACACTCGACGTCTGGGCTGTGCTGGCTGACGTTGCCATTTCTGTCACGCATCACTGATATGCACGGGAAATTGCACTCTGCTGCTCACCACACCATCTCTGTTCTCTGCTTGCTTCTTTTCCTTCATAGGCCATGACGCACCTCCATCCGCCTAGATACACTGTCATCCAAGAATCCTCATCCATAGGTCGACCAGTCTAGGTGGATCAAAGTGTGATGGTCTGTATAGAGCCCGATGCGAGCAATCCTATGATGGGCATCCCACACTACCCTCTACCCTCGACATGATCCCATTGGCAACCTAAGTCCAGTGAATCACCAGACAGCGCTTCAACACTACCTTGTCATTCGTTCCGCCTGCTGTACACACAACATAACGAACAGTCTGAACGTACGGGTGGTTGTGTGGATAGGCGCTGGAAATGGCCCCTCTGTGGCCAAAAAGAACCTACGGAGTATTGAGCATAACATGTCGATCACGACACGCCCTCGGCGGATCAGACCTTTGCATCATGACTGGCCCTGACCACAGGCCTGTTGACCCTATCCTGTACTCCGTACGTAGATACCGCGCCTGGGCAGGAAAACTCGACTGCGGCAAATCAGCATGTCGTATCATACGACAGCTCCCCATTAACAGGGCCTGGTTGCACAAATCTTTGTCGAATCAATATTTCGGAATGCCATCTGCCATTCAATTCACTTGCCTGCTCCGTCTCGCCCAGTGCTGCCAGCCTGCCAGGGTTTCTAGGCCGTTGGCTGCCAGTCGTCACGGCCCATCAACGCGCTGATGCATGACTGGACCAGCCGCGGGGCCCACGACGCCAATCACACACGCGCCCTGAATGCCCAGCTTGGTGATGAGCTGAGGCCTGCGTGTCTCGAACCGGCCAGTCCACGGGCGATCTATTCTGGGACTTGGCCACAGACATCTTTTCTATACCACTACCTAGCATCATAACCTTTCGTGCCTCAGTAATCCGTGACCACTCGCCTAATATTATTATTTGGGGCCAACATCATTGTAGGTCCTAGAACCTTTTGCACAAGTTTGAAATCGAATCCCTACTGGCAAATCTGGAAACATTTTACGTAGTGCGTAGTGCGCGTGCCCTCTGGACCGTGACAAGGACTTCAATATCAGCCGATGCTGACGGTGGCCACGGATCAGTGATCATCACACATTCTGTGAAATCTTGTGGTCCTGCTGCTTTCTTTTACACATGCGTTGCGGAACTCTCGATCGCTCGGGCCAAGGTGGCGAGTCTGTAGGGTGCAGTAAGCTCCCGAGTTGAGGTGAGGGGTTGTTGGCTGCTTCCGTCGGCTGCCACCCTCAAGTCTCGAAGTTTGTACAACGCCGAAGAAGTCATGTCTCAGACTCTGTAGAGCCACTGCCGGAACCTCTAATGCGTGTGCCTATGCAGGTACCACTTTGTCCCGTCGTAAAAGCGACCGACACTGGCCGAGCTGCAGACGCAGAGACATCTCCGCGTCAAAGATGGCTGGAGGCGACTGGTCAATGTGCCACGGTTCTATCGCGCGTCTCGCTTCTGCACCTTTGACTTGGCCTTGCTCTACCAAAGGCAAAATCCTCGACGCGACACCGTGTCAAAAGTGGCTCACTGTTGCTTTGTCCTCTCTCGGATTTCGCCTCGTTCTTGCTGGCGACTCTATTAGGCATTGATCCATTGTGCATCTTTGCCAGTACTGGGCATACATTGCGGCTCTCGCTATCCACGAAGCCTGTATCACGCAAGCAGATAGCCCGAGTGCCCTGCACACCAGGTGGCTAGCTGGCTGGCTGATAGGCGTCCAGGTGGCCTTCCACTTCCCTGCGCACCTTCAAGTCTTCCAGCAGCCTACTGTAACCGAACATGACAAGACACTTCTCTGATTAATGGCCTCAGAAAACGTGATTTCGCCTGCGAGATGCTTTGCATCCCTCTTCGAATCCATAAAAGGCGGCAAGGCGGGTCGACAGACCGGCATGGCAACCACCCAACTCCCGTCCTGATGGATGAACGGCAACCACAGTGGGCAACAATTGCGTCCTCCGTAGCATTTCTATGAACCAAAGACCGGCCAGTCACGCCAGTCGTCAACTCTGATCGAGTATCTTTGAGACCAGCGTAAGCCTGTGTGGGCGTTCTGGTGGGCTCCCAGCGTCATTGCTGGACGACAGACTGAGGACAGGGACCAGAGTCAGAGCTCCAAAACCAAAAGGCCCATAAAATCGCAATACGGTGGGTGTAGGCGGGGGATTTACGACAGCACTTGCCAGGGACTAACGCGTATCGATAGGACGCGGCTTGGGGCTTGGTGGTTGGATTTTGTCGTGGGTGACAGTCCACCCGCCTGGCTCTCAAGCATTGTCATTGCTCCAACCGTCCAGCGCGGCTTGTCAAGTGGCTGCCATGCGCGTTCAGAGACAGGGTCACGGTTCATCGTCTCCACGCCATCCGCTGCCAAGGACTGTGCAAATCGTGTCATTATCGAGTGCCATGGGCGAGCTGGCATCTGTCTGCGAGTGCCGCCTCAAAATGTCGTCTGTCTAGTGCAGGGTTCGATGGCGACCACCGACAGTTTACGAACTCGCACAGTTCCAACTACCGTCTGTTTCCGCCTGGCCCATGTCCACCGAGACCTTCTAGCTTGTCGTTCTGGCCCCAACACAGTCTCAAGCGACACCAATCATGCACCCTATTATGATTGCTACAAAAAGGATGTCGACATCGGCACCGGTCCTTCCCATTTGAAGTTGGTGCCTGGACGCTAGAGTCGAGTAGGCTGCCTTGAAAATCAAGAAAAAGCAGCATTATGTTGTCCGAAAGCGGATGATGGCGTGGATTTTAGGCTGTTGATTGAGGATAGTCCACATCGACTCTTGGGCCGTTTGAATGGTCGATGAGACCAAGATTGTTAGGCATTTGCCCAAGAATTGCCATCCAGAGCACCCATGCATAGTACACAGGCACGACAGGTGGCCGACGACACTACTCGTGGGCTGGGTCAGCGCCGCTTCCCGGCGATCCACTTCATGGGACGTGCCCCCCTGGATGGGCCCTGTATCCCTGCGTGAGCCGGGCGGCCCCAGCTGTGGTTCCGTCCCATCTTCCATACCCTCCCGTCGGTCCTGGCTCCAGGCTAGAACCAGATGGGACTAGATCGTTTCCAGAAGGTTGGATTTGATTCGAGAACCTTAAAGGTCTACCTCGAGCTGGCTAGCACCTAACCCAGTAGGTGGCAACATCAATGCTCATCGACCCGGGGAAGAAGAGACTGTCTTGAGTACGCATCGAACCCTGGCACCCTGGCACCATCGTTTGAGTACAGAGGCACAAATACCTTAGCGCTAGCCCCCTCCCAAGACTAGTTTACTGCAGGTACACCTGGGCAGATGGCAAGGTATGGTCATGATATTTTCTGGACGATCCCATCCTTTTAGGGTTTACACTCATGCTGGGACTGACGCAGGTACAAAGTCAATTCTTGGGGGACTTTCCCACCCACCACCGTCGCTCGTGGAATTTTTGGGGAACAGAGAACCCCAAGACCTGCAACTCACGTTTCAGGTTTGAGGCGATGTGGCGATTACTGCGACTATCACTCCGTGTGGGATCAGGATCGCTGTTAGCTACATGTGGGTGTCTTTGGTGCTGTAGCATTGTCGTTGTTGCATCTGCAATGGAGTTCTTTTTTTTCATGGCTGGTTTGATTTCTTTTTTGCATGGAATCCTAGAGATAAGAGGTAGACCTTCCATTATCTTAGCCTGTGTTCCTCGAGTCGTTCTGCAGTAGTTAGTGTCGCACCAAGAACCCAAATTTGGAGACGCCCAGGCAAAAGACCCTAGCCTGGCTTCGGTAGAGGCAGTGTTCTCGCACGAGCGAAAGCCAGGATTGCTCCTCAATCACTCAGTGACGACGGTTCTTAGTTGATTGGTCGACTACAGAAGCATCCTCCAGTCTCTGGTTCACGGACGAACCAGCAAGGCAAAGAGGTGCGGAGGGACGACGTAGCGCTTCCGGGGAAATTGAGACTCCACTTTGGTTATCTTCTTATCGAGAGACGAAAGTAACCGTCAGGGATCCAGTGGAAGGAGGTTGGCATGGTTGGTAGCGTTGCCACTACGAATAACTCTGGATTGTAGGCAAAGTCTTTGAGCATGCTCGGCATGCCACCATGGTATACGATTACACATACTCCGTACTTGGTGCTACTCTTGCCACCATCTTCGAACGCCCTGGCATGATTGAGATAGCCACTACTGTACCTAGTCCCTGCTGCCCATGGCCCTCCATACATATGTATTTGGGTGGCACATATTCAAGGTCGACACGTTGGCCCAGAAGCGTTGCACCCACCACGACTGATACTGTACATTGTTCTGTAGGAATGTTCTGTGGCAGGGCTCATCTTGCCACCCGTCCTGCCGAAGCCTGTCGATTGCTGGTTGCTGTGAAAAGTTGACTTTGCCCAGATCCACGGGGCTTGCATAACCTCTGTGAATCGTGCGGTCGTGCTCTAAGCCAGTCCACGCCTCTGGCTTACCCTACTTGTACAGAGCGTGAGTACATCCCTTATCGTAGGGATGGTTAAAAGACAGTGGCTGAAGAAGGATGAATAGACAATCCATCATAACAAGCTGTAAAGGTCCACGTTTTAACACGAGTTGCTCCGACGCAAACGAGCAACCTTTTTAGCGTCATTCTGGTCTGAATGCTCTCCCACTATCGAGTTACAATACTACCCCATAATCGAAGCTGTTGAGTTTTTCAGAGATCGCCGTACAGTATTGAAGAAATGGGTTGGGATAATCTTCCCTCATTCCTCCTCTTGGCTGTCCCCGATGCTCCCATGATGTTTCTTTCAAAAAGCCACCGGGAGGTCCCAGCTTGTGGTATCTTGCCAGAATGTCTCTGCATGACATCGCCCGCAAACTTGTGTCTATTTAAACCACTTCCTGCTCAGCATCCTCACAATGCCCTCTCATCTCGTGCTAAATTTCAGCAACGAGACAAAAGCAACCGTGTAGCCCCTTTGAGGGTAGTTCCCGATGCAAGTCTCCCACGCCTCTAAACCAGAGAGTGTGAGGGAGGTGCAGGTAGAATTGCATGGCATATCCTCCAGTAGAAAGCGAGGTATACAAGTTCGTTATTATTGGCGACCAGTAGATCGAGAAGCATGTGGACTCGAGATCGAAGTCGCCCGTTTCCCAATCGGTTTAGGACCCTCAAATTTGTATGCACGCAGGACCCATTCTCGGCCAAAGGGGACTTGAACTTTGCTCGTTAGGGAAAGGCATCGCAATTTGACATTATGCCCATCTTTGGGTTTTGGTTGCAAGCATGCAAGCCACTTGGAGCTTCTCACTATCATGGACGCGTTTGCACATGGGATCCCTGCTGCTCCCGAAAGATGATTGCCCCTGTCCTATACATATGCTTTCGTCAAAGGTTGCCAAAGAACTGTCCACCATTCTGTGACGAACTCTTGGTCATCAGTGGCGTCATAACCTCGAATCACATGGGAAAGCATGGCTCCTTCGGGGTACTGAAGAAGAGTATACGGAGTTTGTCAACGGATGGACTCGCCCAATAACGCTAACCATTCTAAGCACGGCTGATCGTCGACGACTTGCACAAATTGCAATTGAATCATCGCCGTGACTCCCCCAAATAAGTATCATCAGTGGGTGGCAGGCCTTGAGGAAGCACGGCACATCTCCAGGCAATGCGTTCGACATTTCTCTAGCACTCCCACCCGCTTCACACCGCGGTCAGGTCCACTCTCAGCTCCCCAGTTGTTCATCGTGGTGCAAGCAAGATCATGACATAATGGCAAGACTAGGCGAGCGTTTTGAATACTTCAACTCATATCTTATCTGGTGGACGTTGTCGACATGTCACGTCTAGAGTTTTCATTCACTACGTACCACTCGCTCCTGTCAACGCATCATTCCATTATCTACAGGCTTTGGCGTGCCTGTTGATCGCTCCTGCAATCAGACTTGACGCGTCTGGCGTGACCTGACCAGTCCATGCTGCATCATCGTCCCAGTATCGAATCTGTGCTTCTAGGCTTAGGTGACACATTCGCGGGCTTCGGATGGCACACGGCATGTATTTGCACCAGACTCAGCTTCATCCAGACGTGGGATTCTGTGAGCCCATCCGCAACTGTCGCTACTTCAGTGGTGACTTCGTTCTTCACTTCCATCTTATTGCTTGATCTCATGGTGCGCAGCTACAATGTTATACGAGATCGAAAGTCTGGCATTTCCGTCGCTTATGACTTGATTCTTATATCGGCTTTCAGACGACTCTGAGCCGTGCGAGCTCCAACGCATCATGTAGATGGCGAGAATGCGCACCTGGGCTGGAAGGGCCTCGGATGGGGTCCACGCCGGTTCCTCGACCGTGGTCTATGTGTACTGACCTTGTCGTCATATGGAGTAGATCTGACCTGACATTAATCGACCTCAGCCCAGGTGGCCCATGCGTAAAAGGCACAGACGGCTTGCGGCACGCGAAAATCCGACAAGAGGGTGTGTCGAGGGCAGACGTAATTGTGCGCGGCCCATGAACTTTTGCCAATCACCGCGCTGGAACACCCTGTTGCACCTAGCAGATGGAGCTTCATGCTGGTCGAGTCCGGCGGTTCAATTTTCCACGATGCACTGTTGTGCATCAACTGACACAGATTGATTGTAGCCACTTTTATAGAGCTGGCACACAACACCAGCATTTGACTGCCACCACAGCAGCACCGACAGACAAAGCTTTGGGGTTGGGTTGGGTTGTTTCAGGCAGTCGTAGAGGGCAGGAGAGCCTTGACGGACCATTGCTGCACGTATCGGTGCGGCGGTCTCAACAACTATATCACTCGATAGATGTTAAAGGTCGATGAGGAACTTACTCTAAATTATTCCACCTATTTTGGAATGTCTCTCTGAGTGTTTGCGGTCTTAGATAATCGACTTTTGTAGGTGTACCGTACCAACGAAGAGCGCGGAGAACCAGGTCCGGCAGCATCACCCAGAATAGATCTCTTATATTCTTGACCACAAATGACCGAAAGGATAAGAGACGGGAAAAAATGGTCTCTTGAGGCATGGTACGTCCCAACAACCAATATTACTTCTCAATCAACAGACACATCGGGTTTGTAGTTGTGGCTTCAGAAACAGAGTCAATGAGATCATGCAAAGATCGGCCGCTGAATGGACCGAACCAGCTCATTCTCTTCCTATCATGTTTTATTCTTATAGGTTCATCATCAGCCCATGAGATTTTATTTTGGTTGTCAAAAGGAAGAGAAAAGTCCCATCATGAGATGATGGAGGCGCAAAAATGATGCCAAGAAATATGTATGTGCTAATCCATAAAGAGACTAGCGCTATTACAAGTCTGCCTCCATCTTTATCAACCACCAAATCTTTTTCTGCGCCTTTCTTTTCTTCCCTTTTCTCTCTTCGTGCGGCGCTGCCACAATCAAATCAAACCCCCAGTGTTGCTTGGCCGGTGATTCATACACCCACGCCGTGTCCAAGTGTCAGTGGCAGCACAGAAGAATTATAAACTAATTGCATCTGATCTCGTCGGCGATAAGAGGAGAAGAAATTCTCCTTGGCTCTTAGTGGTTCTTCATCCTTCTACTTTGGGCTCGTCGGATGTACGTGTCCCTTTGCCTTTGGGTGAGGGGACATTCCTGCGCCCGTTTGTGCGTGGGGTCGGACATCTTGTATTATGGGGGCTCTTTGCCTTTATGAGGGCGGCTGATTCTTGCGAAAGGAAGACGAAGAGGAAGAGGGTGGACTAGGACCCTCAAATATTTGTTTCTGTTTCATTCGTCTATCCATATCTATATGAAATGCAAGGCCGGAAGCATGGCCGATTGATCATCTGCTCGTATTCTCATTTCAGCCGGAGCCAGACAGGTTAGAGGACGATGCATGAACCAGTTTTGGTGTCGTTGCACTTAGTCGCCCTCAATCGTCTGAAGCAATCTTCTCAATTTTACCATCTCTCTTCTCGCCAGACTCGCCAATCACTCTAATCCGATCGATCCGCACCTTTTCGTTGTCTCCTTCACTCTCCACAATGAACAGCACCAGGCTCGAAACATTTTGGAACTTGACGATTCGCAGGTCCAATTTTGCCGTATTGGTCTTGGGATCCCAATCTTTTTCCGACAGGGTAATTTCCTGGACGGCCTGTGCATCTTCTGCTTCATCGAATCCAAGGATATGAGGTCGGTTGGTGTAGATTTTGACATGCTTGGGTCTGCTGGGTTTCTCCTCATCGTCAGGGTTTTGAGCTAGCGACGTGAGGTGTATTGACTGGATCTTCAATGTGGATTGGAAGGGAATGTAAAGCATGAGTTGCTCGTCCGTGTCACTTTCCACCCAATCTTTCGGATCATCATGACCTGTAGCCGTTCATGTCAGTTTCTCGTACCAAGGACTCCTCGTCAATTTGCAAGCTGGGGACCTTGTGAACTACCAACCTTTAGGTTTATCACCACTAATCAGACCCCGCGCAGAACCATGGTCCGAGTCCCAATTCAAAAGTTCCAAGCCCAGGAAATCGACTTGGTTCGTGACATCGACATAGCCCCGAGGCAACTCTGCACCAAGCCAGGTGCCGCCACTTGAACCACTCTGGCCTGCGCCGTCGGCGTCTTCGCTGTTCAGCCGATTCGCCTCATTGGCAAGATCCTTGACCACGGCGGACAACTTCTTAGGATCGGCACCTTCGATAAACTCGGCTTGTCGCGCGTTTTTGAAGACGATGAACGTGGGCATGGCCCGGATGTTATACGACCGAGCGAGGTCTTGTTGTCGGTCCACGTCAATCTTGACGAAGGTGATTTTGTTTGGCTTGGAGAGTTGAGCCGAGAGTTGCTCGTAGATGGGGGCAATCTGCTTGCATGGTCCACACCAGTCGGCATAAAAGTCGGCGACGACAATGGAGGAGGAGGAGAGGAGGTTAGAAAATTGGGTGGTCGATTGAATCTGTACTGTTTTGGACATGGTTTCGACTGGAGCAAGGGGCGGGGAAGAGGCGTCCTGTGGGGAGATGAAAGAGTATTGCCGGACACAGTGTCCCAGAATCAAGGTCGATAAGATGACAGGATTGTATTCAACGGTATCAACGAGTACAGTCTTGCGAGTGAGGTGATGCCAACGTCTGAGGTTGATGGTGGCGCGGGTTACAAATGATGAAATGGTACCTTGGAACCTAAAACGGTGTTGCAAGGCTGTCAATTACCCGATATGCTCTAGGGCGGCGGACATGGCTTCGGATTGGTCAGAACTTCTTGACGAGGCTGCCACTTCTCCATGCGGAAATAAGCACGAATAAGATAATCACAAATTCACGCCCAGTACAGGTCAGGTAGTTCATCGTCCATAGACCACCCAACATATCGAGGGCGAGGACGCCCAATATCAATAATCATAGCGTGTTGTGTGAGCATGCATAGTCTTGGTTTACAAGTTTTACAAATTCTCGCCCGGTATCAACATCCACCCTCTACGAGGTGGAAGCCTATTAAATACTGTTGATTATATATACTTTCAAAAGCCATCTCAAAATTCCGTCTCAAGACCACCAGCCTTGTTGTCGTCATCGTGTTCAAATATATCCTTCACACCATGTGTGCCTCGCTTCACCTTGCCTCTCATCCAGTCCAAAGTCCTCGCTCCCTGCCACTGCATAATTCCCCGATGCTTTCGGTGCAGCTGTCTGTGATGGTCTTTATAATCCTTAATTTGACCTCGAACTCCTCGTTCTCCGTCTTCGGAAGGATTACGCCCGTCCGTGTCGACGAGAGCGAAAATGGCGTCTTTGGTCTTAGACACGGGCGTTTTGGCTACTTTGGTAGGATTGCTTTTCGTGCCTGTTGCAGTATCCGAGTCCGAGTCCGAAGACGAGTCATTGGTGTGATGCCGAAGCTTCTTGTGATGTGATTTCGGGTCAGTCCGTGAAGGCTTTGGGCTCGAATTGGGATCGTTTGGTGAGTGAGAGTTGCCATCGGCTTCCGAGTCAGAGTCAGAGTCAGAGTCAGAATCCACTTCCGAATCATCGCTGCTGCTGTCATCAACCATTCCCTCGTCGTTGGCCGTGTCTAACACTTCCATCACATTCCTCACGTCCCCGTTCTTGCCTTTGTTGGCATAGCTTTTGTGATATCCGCTCAAACCTCGCCAAAATTTCAACCTTAATTCAATCTCACCCAACGCTTGCTCTCCTTCATCAATTCCATCGTATCCATAGCTTGTGGTTGCCCGGTGGAAGTTCTTCTTGCCTCCCCGCCATACCTTTACCGTGACAGTGGTTTCCTCCTCGTCAGGAATGTCCTTCAACCAAAATACACCAAAGGCTGTGGTTGAATCGGGTCCAACCGTTGATTTTCGGAATTCCACAACGAGAGGAGTCGCGTATCGTTTACGTACGGCAAGAAAGACCGACTTGCGATCATGCTTTGGCCGCCATCGCACCATATCGTCTTGATGGTCGTTGGTTCCCGGTTGCATCTTCGCTCGCATCAGGTTCGTCCATATCTTGATACGATTGCGCGTGAAGCTCTCCTCGCCGCTATTTCCATGATCAAGGCTTTTCCCTTGGACAGGACACAAAACCTCGAGGGTACCATAGTTCCAGCCAATCAATTCCTTGGGAAGTTGAAGATCCACGCTTCTCCAGACCATGCTGACTCTTGCCCTACCATAGCCGATGCCCCCAACAAGCGGATAGCTCTCCATGACTTGGCTTCGTGTTTCGAAGACCCGGCGTAAAGGGAGGTAGATCATCCCAAGCAAAGCATCGTCCTCACGTTCGCGATCATCGCGAACCGAAATCATTACTTCTGCAGTCTTCCAATCCGCAATGAAACGTTCAGTGCCGGCATTGAAAAAAGGTTTGGCGTTCTTGGGCTTGGTCCGAGTACGGTAGATCTTCTGATGGTTCAGAATGATTGAAGCATAGCTGCTGGGCAGATCATTCGATTGTTCTGCTTCATCTTCTCGGTCTCCCTGCTTGTGATCTTTGTCCCTTTTTTGAAGACGTTCTACCTCCAGTCCGGTGATGTTATGTATTTGGATGCTGAAGATACCAGATCGATACTCGTCCGGCGGCGGAGCGGATATGATCAGTGCATCTTCAAGATCCTTGTAATCTTCTTGCTTTTGTTGCCTAAGTTCTCGACCTTCATCTTGGGCGGTCGCTTCTCGCAGTTTATGTTCCGCTGAGTCGCTGACCCGCTTCTTCAAATCTCGAATGGTCTTTATGTTGCGGTCTTCTGTCTGTGACTTGAGCTGTGCGTCGGTGATCCTCGTCTTTTCAAAGTACCCCACGCTCCATTGTAAAGATCCTGGCATCTTCTCGTCGGGATCCTCTCCCACAAATCGATCTTCGCGGTCGTTCATCCGGTTCTTTGTCTTGGGACCGTGCATCAGCTCACGAAGGTCAACCTCCACTCTTCCCAAGTCGTCATCGGCCGTGTACTTGTCCGAGTCCCACAGCTGGAGTCTTAGCTTTTCATCTGCATTCAATTCTTCCGGGGTGACGAGAATGTGACTCCATTCATGCCAGCTTGGCTCTTGATCATCAATAATCACTCTGGTGCTGGAGACTGGCTTGCCAAATTTGCCCCAACTGACCGTCACATAAGCATCACTCGCTCCTCTCAAGGGACCAATGCCACCATCCCCTTCTTTGAAGCCGCGAGCAGACTTGATGTAGATCATAACCACACCCCTGGCCACTGAATCCTTTTTGAAGTCGTCTCCGATTAACATGTCCTTCAAGTCGAGGGTCAGACTCTTCGGCGCGACATACTCAGCCAAGGCTGCATCAATGCTACTCTGCACAAAGGAGCTGATCAAGGGTATGTCCATGATATTCAGCGCATGCCGTGAGAGAGGGACGCAGCTCAGATCTGCCTGTGGTTGTCCCATGAACGTCAATGTGCACAGACTAAAAAATGGCGGATCAGGTGTGAGTTGTAAGCGCAGTCGCATGGTGCCAATAATGCCACGCAACTCGACCCATATGGGTACGGCAATGCCACCAGGCAAGTAGAACTTGAGATACAAATGCGCATTTTTGGCCTTTGCTTGAATGGACTTTCCTGAGGAGCGAGCACGATAGGCAAATGCCAATTCTAGATTGACAAAGTCGCCCTGTTCGGCTTCCATACCCTCACGAATGGCTTGTCGCTCTTGGTCTTGTTGCTGTTGTTTGCGATTATCTCGGGAGGTCTCCCTGGGGACGTCGCTAGTGGCTTCGTCGGTATGATCGTCGTTATCGACCTGCCCTTGACCCTGGACAGTCCGATCATTAACACTTTCATCGCCAGCATCCCTCAGCTTCCCATCTGCATCGACAGATCTGCTAGCGGCCCCAGTGGGCAACCAATTGATACCCAGTATTCGGAATGACTCACTTCCCTGGCCTAGGTCGTCTACACTGACCATGCGAATGACCCTGGGAAGAGAAGCCTGCATAACATCTTCAAGCATATCGCACATGGAGGTGAAGAGGTCCGGATTGATCAGGGGCCACACGGACGCAAGAAGATTGTTCAACCAGGAGACAGATTCGGGTACCAAGTTTTCCTGTCGATTGGTTTCGATCTCTTCAGATCTTGCGGCATCCCATACCTCGTCTTTCCAGACTTCTTCAACCTTCTTTCCCAGCCAACTCCGAAGAGCAAAGACGACGGCGAATCCAATTCCAACGGATGAAGACAAGATTGCGACGGCGGGGACTGTGGAGTGTAGAAGCGATGTGGTTTTGCCTTTCTGCTCGCCAAAATCTAAACCCAAGACTTGCACAGCGACCAATGCCACAGACACCAAAAGCACCACACTTCCCAAGCCAATGGTCAAGGCCTGTTGGTACGTCTTGGTCAATTCAACCTTTAGGTCATCGAAGTCGGGCGGTGGAAACAGCCTATGCATTCCATCATGACTGCGCTGTAACTCAGATTTCTCCTTGTCGAGTTGGTCGTTAGACTTGGATGCCCCGGACGGACCGGTGCTTGTTCTTGGGAGCGAGCCAGGGCTGGGCTCGTTCTCAGGGGCGGATTTCAGGTCTTTGACAGTCGAGTCGCGAATGATAATGGGGAGATGGGTGACTGGATCCGTGACTTCTCGGCCGCCATCATTGCGAGATCTATGCTTCATGTCCTTCCGCTTCTGTCGAGGATCAGAATGTCCTGCAGCCTTTTCCGTTGCAGACTTTTCGTCTTTGCCCTTTCTCTTGTCCGAATGAGTGGCTTCAGAGCCTTGGTCTGCAGACTTGTGAGGAGTATCGCCACCTTGCGTCTGAAGTTGCTGCGATTGACGTATGGTCTGGTCATAGCCACCTGTCCCGTTCCGGCCATTTTGTTCTTTTGCAACATTTCTGTTGTCGGCCTTGTACGGATCATGACCTGATTGTGGCGGGTCCTCGCCTTTTAGAATGCCCTTGGCCGCATGGTAGGCTCTTTTGTAATTTGGATCATCACCATCTTCCTTCTGGGCTTCCTCTGCCTGTTTCTGTTGGCCCTCCAATTCACTTCGATTGGCCTTGTACTTCTGGATTGTGGGAATGGGATGATGAGCAGTATATGGGGCGCGGTAATTACGACGGGAAGAATCCGGATTAAAGTCGTCTTCAGATGCCATGGTTATGGTCTGCTCGAGAAGAAGAAGAAGGAGTGGATAAGACAGAGGTTGTCGGCAGAAGCTACTACAGGTGTTGGTCCGGCCTCACCTGGAGTGTAGGAAAAAGGAGTGGGCCAAGGAACCAGAAAATTGAACAAAGAGTACGGCAGCTTGGTAGGGTGAGGAGGGCGGATCGACGACAGGCGGTGGTAAACACACAGGAAAAAAGTCACAGTATCAAGAAGAATGGTACAGGAGTGAGGGAACGTGGCAAAGGCCAACTGGTAAGATGTGTATTGTTGTGTCATAAGTAGTGAGTCTCGCAGCCACAATGGGTAACGATCTGGCGGTCGACGATCAAGTTCAATCAAGGCACAAACCATGGTGCAAGACAAGCAGTTTTGCAAGAAATGGAAAGCGGAGTAAGTAATTTGGGCGTGGATGATGACGATGACGTTGGAGGGCGAGGGGAAGTCGCGGCAGAGGGTTTGAGATGTTCAAGAGGCAAGAAGCAGTGACACGAGTGGGTAGAGATGCACAGAGGGAAGGAACACAAAAAGGATGAGGGGATTCAGCATAAGCGTGATGATGCAAGAGCGACCCAAAGAAATAGACCCAGGCAGGTGCGAGCAGTCCAATCACGGGATTTGACTGCAGACTGGGATTTGAGATTTGACCATTTTTTTTACCATTTCCTGGCTTCCAAGACCATCCTCCACATGGTACTGGTCCAGTCTCCAAAAATAAAAATGGACACTGCCTAGACTCTCCAAATCTTGTAAAAAGCTCAGCCAAGTTCAAGATTCTATCTAGCTAGGCTTGTGCTGGCATGGTTACTTACTTGCCCGGGCAAAGTACGAGTGACCTGAGGCAGGCGCAAAAAGTACACGCCAGAACTACGACTAAGTTAGGCTCTGCTCTGCGCAAACCAAAATTAGGCACTCGAGGTATCATCTATATGTTCTGCTTGCTAATGAGGTCAGGGTAATTCTCCTTTCAACGTCTGGCAGTTCGTTGCATTCTATTTCAGCGAAAATCTTCCATTTTTATTCTTCTTCCTGGCCTCCTCGTCGCGGCAACCAGTCCACCGCTGGGCAAATGCGGTCCTCGGCCACATATGTGATGTGATGACTTTTGCTGTGACTAGACGTCAAATCAGGGTGGAAAATGGGATGAGAAGCTTCTTAGCAACACAGCTACATCCAAGCGAAGTCGCCAACAAGCTAGCTAACCCACTGCTGAAGATGAACCACATTGATCTGGCCTAGCAATACATGCCTCCTGAGCTTGACTGCTCGCTGCGGACGGTCTCTTGTTCGTAAAGGAGGTTTGAAAGTAGAGTAAATGCGACAGTGGTATTATCCGGAACAATACCTCCTTCTTGACCAAGTTTCGCAGTATTGTGCTAGCCTTGGCCCCAGTGTGTGGTCCATTACATCCAAAGCAGCAGGATACACACTAGTGAACAGCATGATGATTCCATGATGATTCACATGACGGGTCAGCCGAGCTCGCGGTCAAGCACGGCGCCCTCAGACTCCAAACAGTAGCTGTCGAAATGTGATGGCCGTATCATAACGCCACCCCAGAATAACACCTGTGAAGTTGCTTAGATGAACTGACAAGTATTTTGGGCGGGTGACAGCTTTGCGAGAGCGGGCGAACGGACAAGAATGAAACTTGAACACCGTCATTCAAGTTTGTGTTGCCATCGTCATAGACTGATAATCATCATCAGATCTTCAGTCGCAAACGCCACCGAATGATTGTCCTGGTCATTTCAAATTCATCCTCTCCTCGAGGCCAACCTCTTGAGTTCCCGCACCAAGCCTACGATCAGCGGACCGCCAATTGGACCAAGAAGCGGCAAATAAACTGCGACTTTGTGCTCATCCGGGAAATAGACTTGTCCAACCATTGATCGGTCGAAAAAAGCCTTGTCGCTGTCGAGGAACGAAGACTTGGCCGACATCAAAGCTCTAGCCCATCGGCTCTCAAGAAAAGCCTTGCTACACTCGGATAGATTGTGGACGGCACTGTCGACGAGCTGTGCGACATTCCTGGGGATGGGAATTTGGCCGAGATGCTGGGCGAGCCGCGATAAAGAGCCCAGATTGGAAGATGCTCGCAAGTAAAGATTTAGAGCTGAAAGTCGTTTGTAGGCGACGAGTCGATGACGCAGAGCTAGCCCACGAGGAGGCTCGTCCGGCTGTGAAATTCCAAGCAGAGAGAGCAATTGAGTCGCAAAGGTTGCAAAGGGTTGGTCAAGGACATCCTTGCTCAAATGATCGGGCATGACCAGTCGTCCAGTCTCAGGATGGGCAGTCAACACAGGGTTGAAAATCTGTACGCCGCCCCATTGGGGGATCAGCCAAGAGGTACCATCCACACCTTCGATATGCAGAGGGATTTGACCCGGAGAGGGGATGTACAAGACAAAGTTGATCGTGGGCCCATTTCCTATCGACGGCGCCAGGGGCCATTCCGCTGCATTGACAAATGCCGTCAGATCATGCTGCTTGAGATATGTGGTGTTTTGGGTGGAAAAGGAATGCACGGATGGCGAATAGGCCGAGTACAGCTGGACCTGAGACGAAACTTGAAAGGACACAGTTTCGGAGAGGGCCTGAAGCAGAGGGTCAAAATGCTGACGTAGCGAGGCTTGAATTTCCCAACTTGAAGGTGCACCTCCTGCGGTGAACAGGGAAAAGGTTAGGCTAAACTCGGGCGACGACTTGTACGCGCGACTGAGCTGCTTCTCAACTTTGACAACTGTGTCGTAGGGCTGAGATTTGAGAAAGGCAGCAGCATTGTGATTGTGGTTCTTAAGAGACACAGTTTGTAGAGCTGCAGCAATCTGCTCATCAAGGTAGAGATCTTGTAATGCTTGCGCTAGAGCTTTCACTCCGCCTGCGGGATGTTTAATGGGGATACGAGCCAAGGCTGTGCTGGGTGATGCATCGAGGTCAAAGGAGAAGGACTCGGTGGTCGGTTCGACGAGAATCTTGAGAGCAGGCTCTCCAAGACCTAGGAAGTTGGGGTCATCGCCACACCGGGTTTCATCGCTGGTGATATTGGCTGAGAGGTCGACCAAATGAAGTCGCTGGTGGAGAATAGGGTATTCGTTGAGATCATCAAGGCTTCGTTGAGTTTCTTGAACAAGACGGTGGGCATTAGGACAGCTGAAGGCAGGCGCACTGATCCAGATGTGAAGAGGATAATTGGAAGTGGTATGCTAAATAGAATAGTCAGCCTAAAACCTGTAGTCAATGTCTCGCAAGATCCAAATACCACGCCATCAGCCCAATCGAGCATATCTTGCAATGGAAGTTCGGCACGGTAGATGGAAGTTGTCTTCCACCATGTTGGCAGACCCAGCAGGAGAATCACGGCCCAAAAGGAGAAGACAACTTTCGTCCGCAGTCGAATGGCCTCGGGATTCTCTGGAGGCGGTTGTTTGGTGGTGGTAACGGCATTCGCTGGACTTTTGGTTTGTTGTTCCATGGTGCTGCGCTGTCGCACTGGAGAGCGGTCAGGGTGTCATGTCGTGGTCTTAGGAGAGAGCGTAATCAACACGCCAATCAGGGTTCTGTGTTGATCAGAGAGGTGATCTCAATTGCGGGACGTTTATAAAGTCAAACACGACAGAAAATGAGGCTCCTCTGAAGTAGATGTCGACACAGGAGTTGAAAGTAAGTGCTCGAGTCATGATGGAAACAGGTCATAACGAACATGACTCGCTACAAGACTCCGAAATTTGTCAACCACCCAACTTCTAGGTCCCTTGCTAACCTGACCTTTGTAACTTCTAGTACTTCTAAAAATGACCCCAATGTCAATACAGTGTTAGAGACATTGCATCTCATCTCAAGGGAATAGGGGAATTTCCGCCGTGAACGGTCCATTCGTTCATATTCCCCTGTGGAGGTTATAACTCGGACGAAATGCTGTTAAGATCACCAGTGCGAGCCAGCTTAATTGTCTCGCCGATCAGCCCAGGGCGACTTGGACAAACACCATATCAGCAAAAGAGGGCATTTTTAGACTCGTTACTGAGCTCAACTTTGGGACCTTGCCCCTTGCGAACTCTCAGCCACACCAAAACTCTGCCATACCCACCGCTCACCGTCTTCAAAGCTGTCTCAGATGTGTCGGGGTATCCATCTTTTCTCCCATTCACGATCTCGTCGCATGTGACATCAAGGGATGCTGCAGGATATCCTACCCGTGCGAGGCTCAAGGTGGGATATGCCAAGTTTGGACTGGAAGAGGACTGGGATAGTGTGGTGAAGTGTGATCCTAAGCAAGGCTTGGTGGAGGCTCGAAGCAGTGACGAGAGCAGCAATGGGCTTTTTGAAGTGCTAAACACCAAATGGCAAATTGCAGCTTCACATCCCAGCACAGAAAACCAGACTGCTGTCAAGTTGGATGTCCATGTCCGATTTAGGAATCCAGTGTACGATCAGATGTTTGCCCAGGTGGAAGGCAAGGTGGCGAGTACCATGGTGTCTGCGTTCGAGAAGAGGGTCGAGGATTTGCACCGGAAGAAGTAACCAATTGGTTTGATTGGCCAAGTAAATGGGTCAGAGAAGAAGACAAAAGCGCGAGCAACATACCAGGGAGGAGATCAAATTGGAAAGGAAAAGAATTTGCAATTCCTTCGCGGCGGCATTGTTGCAGTTGGATGTAGGAAAGGCAGACGGCGATCACGAGTCACCATGCCTCGCGCCTTCCTCGTCACTACTAGAGAGACCCGCCTTTGGCTTTCGCACACAAAAGCCAGAAATTCAAGGGACAACTTTTTGTATGGGTGTCATCACACATAATGGATCTTGATGAGTCCATCACAATTGACATGAAATGGGCAGTATGTGTGGACATGGTGTGATGTATTCAAATTGGCGCCTTTGGATACACGGATCACATTTTAAACCAGGTATTGTTGCTGCACGTCATGGGAGACTCAGACGCACAGAATTTAGGGATGTCCGTGGTCAAGAGACCCTACTTGTAAGATACTGATGATGACTGCCAGATTACCTTTCTCATACTGCAGTATGCAGCAACTTGCAATCTGTCTAGGTAGGAGAACGAACGTACTAGGTACATGGTGACCTTTTAGATAAAGACGGGTATTTCTTTTTGATTGCTCGACACTGGAGTAACAGGTGTAGTCGGCAGTGGCTGGTTATGACCAACCCTTAGATTGAGGGAGGCGCCTGAGCAGCACGAGGGACCAGGTTCAGCAAGATGATTACCCGAGCGCCCTGGTGCTTGTACTGATCACTGACTGACCTACCAGGTCCGCCGGTAAGCAGAAGGCCTGGCCTAGTGGGTTGTTTTCTTGCCCAATTATTGTACCTATTCAACCGTAAGGTACTGTAGTTAGCACAGTAGATAGCAGCAGATGGTCGCCCCAATGAACGCGAGGACCCGCAGGGCCCCCTGTTACCCCCCATAACCCTCTGAGGCTCTATCCTCCTGCCCTCTACTCTCTTTTCCTCATGTCTCTTTAGTGCTCACTAATAAGAGGTAGGGATGCAAGCAAACATCTCCTCCGCTCCTCTCCTCCTCTCCTATCAACCACTCAGGTGGAGATCCAAGGTCGTATCACACCAATCGTCCAATCATTTCCTCATGGCTTCTTCACATCCACCCCAGATTACTGGTAGACAAACATCCTGTAGCCGCCCGGGATAACGCAAGCCACTCAACCCATCAATCAACCCGCATCGAAACGATGTGTTTTCTGGGTTGATGATCCAAAATCCTGCATCTGGCCTCTGTGCCACTTGCCTTCATTTTGGCCCGCTTTAAATCATGTCAGCCCGGCTCAGATCTCATCTTTCCCTTGACCTCGTTGTCTCCTTTGCTGCGCCGCCAGGGTCCCTATGTCGCAGTCCTCATCGTTGACGCCCAATGGCTTACCGGCAACGTGACCGCCTGGCGACCGCGGCCGTGTGCCTTGTACTCTGTTTACTGACCACACTCGTCCGCCCTGCCACTGCTCTTCAGACCGTCCCTGGATCCCCTTGCCAGTCCACATGTGCCAGAGCCGGCAATCTCCAAGACAATGTCGTTTGTCTCGACGCTGATTATGGCGAAAGCGAGACCGGTCGCCTCTACCGAGAATGCGTCTCGTGCCAACTCAACAGTACCGCCATCGACACTGGCAAGAACGAGACCGACGTCGAATTTGCATTGAGTAGGAAAATGCCCAGCATTGTTGGAATAACGAGTTTGGCTAAGAAGAATCTCCAGTAGCCCTACGCTATACCCTCGCAGGGTGCATGTTTGCCATTCCGCGGCCCTACATCTCCATCAGCAGTCCATGTCAAGTATCCTGTCAGCCTCTCAACGACTCTATCGGCTACCAGATCACAGAAGATGATAGCCATCTGGAACCAACGGACGACTTCTGTCGAGCTGGCATTTTCCCCAGCAAAGTCATCGATAGCTGCGCCTTTTGCTATAGTCTGATTCCCCAGCAGCTATTTCTGGCCAACTGTATACAATTCTCCCTTTTCCTCGCTTCCTCCCCAATGCTGACCCATCTAGTTCTGCAAGCCCTCCACATTGTGTGTGTGCAGCCCCCCACTCCGGGAAAACCATTTTTCCCCGACGGTCGAGCCATCTTCAACGAGACCCTGATAGCTGGGCCTCCCCCGCCATCAGAGCACAAACCATCCAGCGGTGGACTTCGAGGCGGATCCCTGGCGCTTGCGATTGCGCTTCCCATTGTGGGTGGAATCCTCATTATCGGATCTACTTGCTGGTGCTGTTACATCTTCACGCGAAAACGGCGCCGGCAAATGGCACGAACAGGGCGAATGAGCAGGATCCATGATGCCCAGGCCGAACAGACAAGCCCCTCCGCCGCCAACTTCAAAAACATCGAGGCCACCTGGAGCCAGTCACAGCCCCCGACTGAGATGCATGCCATCTACCCGATTTCTGTGCATGGCAAACCAGACAGCCCAGGAGTCTCTCAAGGCCGATGGAGTCACCAAACACCCCCTTCCGAACAAGCCACCCCAGTCAGGCATAGCTTCCAAAGAGACGATGTCGGTCCAGGGAAGAATCAGATCCAGGACCCTAATCTTCATGAGCTATATTTCGGAATCGATGAGGATTCTGACGACAAACCTTCAGTCAACCAGACCAATGGACAGTACTATGATCAACAAGCCAGAATGCAGAATCCGAGTCTGACTCTGGGCGAGGAACAAGGTCACATGACACGTGATGATCTTGCAGCCACCTCGCGGTAAATACTGCGTGGTGACGACGATGCAGCTACGAAAATATGAGGTCGTGGAAATGACCACTGATTTCCAGGTTCGATTGTATAGAAACATGAGTTTTGGATGAAATCACCAAGATTAGGTGTCACCTAGTAGAGAAACGAAGTCACGATTCGTGAGCGTGCCCCATCACTCATCCAGCGAGATGAGTGTCATCAGATCTTGTAGAGTAATACCTTTTAACCTATCTGGCTCATCGAATTATGGACGGTCGCAGTAGTTTGGCTCCTTTCTTGTCCTTGCGAGTCAGACTGACTTGGGCTGGCACGTGCACTCCATCCTTCAAGGCGATGCTTGGCAAAAAAGTGGCTCCCCAAAGTTCCAACCGCATCTTAAAGTCCGTAAACATTCCTCATCGACTCACAACTTACACCCTCCCTTTTGCACTTTGTATGTCGCCTCTCATCGCCTTCACCTAAGCTCAATGTCTAAAATCTCACCTTGACTCCGTTCGATATCTTCCTGCTTGAACTCTGCATTAACCCCGCACACCTCAAGCTCCCTCCTCTTGTCCACCAACCATCATGGCCACCACTGCATCTTGGCTCACGCAGAACTTTGGTGATGATGATGGCGAATCTGACACAGAATTCAACCCTGGCGCTGGTGGTGGATCAGATGATGAAGAACCTCAAGAGTCCAAACCCCGTCCTTCCAATGGTCGATCTACTTCAGCCCACCGACGATCCTCAGACTCCGACACAAACGCTAAACGTGATGGAGACGACGAAGACGACGACGCAAAAGATGACATCAATGGTCGCAATGGACATGATGATGGAGACGATGACAACGACCAAGAAGCCCCCGATGGCCAAGACGATGAGGATGATGAAGACGACGACGAAGAGGAGGACGAGGAGGACGAAGTCACAAGTCGACCTCGAAAGCGTAGGAGACGAGGCTTGAATCAGTTTTTTGAAGAAGAGGCCGAAGTCGACGAAGACGATGACGAACTCGAAGCCGACGAGGAAGACCTTGGCCCCGAATTCATTCAAGACACCCATCCTGACGACGATCTCCCTCCCGAAGCCGACCAAGATGATCGCAGGCACCGAGAACTTGACCGCCAACGACAACTTGAGGCCTCTATGGACGCCGAGAAACAAGCTGCCGCCTACAGAGAGAGGTATGGCCGGAGGACAACCACTGCCCTCAGCAATAGTTCCTTTGTTCCTCAAAATCTGCTCATGCCCGACGTCAATGACCCGAGTATCTGGGGAGTCAAGTGTAAGCCTGGAAAGGAAAAGGAGATTGTCATTAAGCTTAACAAAAAGTTCATCGAGTCCGCAAAGAGCCGGAATCCCATGCGCATCTGCTCCGTTTTCGAAAGAGGCGATGGCCCGATGGCGGGTTATATCTTTGTTGAAGCGAGGCGGAAGCTTGACGTTGACGACGCCCTGAATGGAGTCTCGGACGTCTACCCACGCTCCAAGATGAACCTTGTTCCTGTCAAAGAAATGCCTGACCTGCTGCGAGTCACCAAAACAAAGGAGCTCGAAGTCGGTGGTTACGTGCGGATCAAACGTGGCGTCTACACCGGCGATTTGGGAATGATTGAAGATGTCGAATCAAACGGACTCGAAGTCACAGTCAGGCTTGTCCCTCGTCTGACTTATGGTTTGGATGAAGACCAAGCAGGACCCAATGCCGACCCAAAGAGGAAGCGGCCCAACGCTTTCAATCAGCCAGCAATCAACATTGCCAATCGTCCACCCCAGCGTCTGTTCAACGAGCACGAGGCCAAGAAACGTCATGATCGATTCCTGCAACAAAATCGAGGGCTCGTGGGCCGATCTTGGACCTACAAGGGCGATCTCTACGAGGATGGTTTCCTGGTCAAGGATTTTAAACTACAGCATCTGATCACCGAGAATGTCAATCCAAGACTCGATGAAATCACCAAGCTTACCAGAACCGCTGCAGATGGGTCCGAACATCTAGATCTCGAATCCTTAGCTCACAGTCTCCGCAATTCGACCGCGGAGGGTAGCTACATACCTGGCGACGAGGTCGAGGTTTATGAGGGAGAACAGAGAGGAATTGTTGGTAAAATTGAGGCAGTTGTCGGCAACATCATTTCAATCATGGTCTCCGAAGGAGAACTCATCGGTCAGGTCGTGGAGGTCCCTGTCAAAGGGCTACGAAAGCGATTTGCTGAAGGTGACAATGTTAAGATCATTGGTGGAAGCAAGTATCGCGACGAAGTCGGCATGGTCCTCCGGATCAAAGATGACAAGGTCACCGTTCTCACCAACACCAGCAACGAGGAAATTACCGTCTTCAGCAAGGATCTCCGCGAGGCGACAGATGCTGGCGGGGGAAGTGCTGGTGGGAGCAAGTTTGATGTGCAGGAACTGGTCCAGATGGAGTGAGTAATGACGAGATCACCCAGCCCACCTTGACGCTAACCATGGCATAGTCCCACGACTGTTGGAGTGGTTGTTAGAGCCGACCGTGAATCAGTCAGAATCCTTGACCAGAACAGCTCCGTCAGCACGAGGATGCCGTCCCAAATCTCCAAAGTTGAGGTGCGAAAGAATGCCGTCGCAACCGACAAGAATGGATCGGAAATTCGATTGGGTGACGTTGTGAAAGAGTCAGGCGGCGAGGGCAAGACTGGTACAATCTTGCATATCCACCGCGGCTACGTCTTTGCACACAATAAGCTTGGGATTGAGAACGCTGGACTGTGGGTGAACCGGTGCAATAACGTCATCACCACAGCAGCCAAAGGTGGTCGAATCACGGCACCGACAACCGACTTGACGAAAATGAATCCAGCTTTGCAGATGAGAAACAGACCGGAAGCAATGGCGCCTCCTCAGCGTCCTGGACGAGACCCCCTTCAAGGCAAGTTTGTTCACATTAACAAAGGCACCTACAAAGGCCACCGGGCTATCGTCAAAGATACGACAGCCGGTGAGGCCCGACTTGAGCTTCAGACGAAGAACAAGACCATCACTCTCAACAAGTTCGAATTGTCCATCATTGAGTGAGTATATTTCCAGTCCTGCGTAATTGAGTCAAATACACTGACATGCGCTCAGCAACAACTCTCAAAACAAAACCAGATATGAAGACTGGATCAAAATGCGTGGTGGTCCGTCAGCCATGCGTGCAGGTCCAGGTGCGCCAGGGTCTCGTGTCCCCGATGCCGGCTTTGGCGGACGTACTCCTATGGGCGTCATGGACGGTGGACGAACTCCGGCGTGGGGCTCATCATCACGAACGCCGGCATGGGGAGGCGGTGGTGGTGCTGGAGGTGGTATGGATTCCGGACGAACACCGGCCTGGAAAGCGCCATCAGGGTCGCAGACTTCGTATGGTGGAGGAGGCATGACTTCATACGGTGGCGGAGGTATGACATCCTACGGCGGTGCAGGAAACTTCTCCGCCAACACGGGGAGTCGGACACCTGCGTGGAATTCGGGGTCGAAAACGCCGTACGGGGCTGGCGGTGAAGGATTTGGCGGCAGCGATGGTTTTGGTGCTGGTTCTCGTACACCAGCATACAATACATCTTCGTCACGGACACCTGCATGGAGCGGACTCGGCAGCGCGGCAACACCAGCGGCACGGCCATACGATGCACCAACCCCTGCGGTCTCGGCGCCTACTCCAGGTGCTCGGTTTGACGACGATGCATATACTCCATACCTTTCGGCACCGACGCCTGGTGGGATGCAAGATGCTCCAACCCCGGCTCCGCACTATGCTCACGGGGCCAACAAGGATCCCCTCAAGTACAACCGACTTGGAGGCTTTGACGCGCCGACTCCCGCCGCCAGTGCGCCGACACCGTATGCGAGTGGTGCTTTTGATGCGCCGACTCCAGCAGCAGGTGGACCGCGATATGCAGATGATGACGACGAGGACTAGAAGCGCGCGGTGTTGGGAGGAGCGCATGAGTATCAAGATGAAAGCGATCTGGATTGCAATCTAGGGCGCGATCAGGGAAGTGTACCATTATGATGACGCGTCAAGTCCAGACTTTGGATTGCCGCAGGACTGCACCATGGCGGCCGAAATGTGGACTGCTAAAAAGCGAGATACGGGGCAGCAGCGACATTGGTCTTCTTCTAGCACCTAGCTCTCGCAATTTGAATGGGTTACCCCTGAATATTAATCATTCAGTATGTATGATACCAACACTGGCGAAGATTTTCCTGGTCGTCGTTGTAGTTCGCCAATTGCTGCAGAAAAGCATTGTTCTGCAATGTGAATGCCAGAACTTGGTAGGTATGACAGGCGCGGGTATAGAAGCGCGAAACAAAGTACCCTATACAGGCGCGAATGGACGAGAAATTATTGAACAAGTCGAGGATTAGTAGATATGGATTTGTTGGAGGATTCGGTTTCTTCTTGTTTACCATGTTGCGTTTTCGGTTTGGCGGGAGCGAAGGACAACGACGTCATCCATGCATGCATCATGTCGGCAGACGATCACCAGCCATGGCCTACGGAGTACGTGACTACATCGCTTTGATGCCTATGGACACCTTGGTTTTTTGAAAGAAGGGCAAGAATGACTCTGGCCGATGGAACGAGAAGGAGATGGACATCACCAGGAGAAGATGCAGCGGTTCAAGGTGCTGGTGACGGGTGGACTTGGGTTTGTTGGCAGTGCAATTGTTCGCGCGTGCTGCGACCAGCATCCAGAATGGGACATCTGTATCCTTGACAAGCAAATGGTGAGGCCGAAATTGGGTTTGGGGAGAGATGTGGCTCGTCTTTCAGCACAAGGAGCGCTCGACGACAAGAATGAGGGCATGGCAAGCGATGATGAAATACTCGACAAGTCATACCTTGTGAGAAACTGCACCTTCTCCTACATCTGCGCCGACATTACGAACGAAGAGCAGGTAAACTCCGCCTTTCACAAGATACAACCTGACATTGTGGTACATGCTGCAGGGATGATTCCCGCTCTCAGTGAAAGGTACGTTGTCACAGTTTGGTCTCCTCACTCTTGTTTTTCTATCTCGTCATCAAAGACAGGGCGGAGAGGGACCATATCTGGCACAGTTCTGGGGTGAATCTTACATATGAATACCATGAATACTTATGGTCTTGTCATTTAGGTACCACCGTCGTCTAGAGGCCGAGGTCCACGACGTCAACGTCCAAGGAACAAAGCATGTCGTCAAGGCAGCGCGGGACCACGGTTGTCGAGCGTTGGTCTACACAAGTAGCTGTACAGTGGTCACGGATGACCTGGGTCACAAGTTTGCTAATATTGATGAGACGTGGCCGGTCTCTCAACGGTCGTCGATTTATGGCGAGAGCAAAGTCAAGGCAGAGAAAATTGTCCTGACCGCGAACGGCGGGGCTCGAGAAGGATCACGATGTTGTCGGCAAGATCTGGGTAAGGAGACGAGGGGCGGAAGGAGAGGAAGGTCGATGGGGGACATGGACGAGATGGATGGCAAAGGAGACGGTGGGCGCAGGCCACTGTCGACATGTGTCTTGAGGCCCGCAGTGATCTTCGGCGAAGGAGACAACCAGCTCATTCCGTCAATTCATGAGTGCATCGGGCGGCGACAAACGAGGTATCGACTGGGAGACGGTAGCAACCTCTGGGATACGGTGTACGTGGGCAATGTAGCCGATGCACACATCCTCGCGATTGAGAAGCTGGTGTGTGGTGAGCCAAGGATTGAGGATGATTGCAAGGGCGAAGGTCAAGTAACACATGGCCGGGTGGCCGGAGAGGTGTTTTTCGTCCAAAACAATGAGCCCATCTCGTTCCGTGAGTTTAGTGTGGCGGTTTGGAAGGAGTTTGGGCACATCCCGCCACGGCTGGAGATTTGCATTCCAGAAGGATTGGGGTGGATACTGGGCTTGATCTCCGAAGTGGTCAAGCGAGTTTCCGGGCAAGCGACCATCCTGTGTCGGGGGACCGTCATGGACGCGTGTGCCACGCGGTACGCCAGCGGCGGCAAGGCGAGAGAGGTGCTCGGCTATGTGCCCCAAGTCAGCCTAGAGGATGGGCTGAAGAAAAGCTGTTCTGTAAGTGCTCCGTTAGTACAGGGTCCGGAGGCGCGGACTCAGCGTTAGCCGGGTAATCATGTCCACCTTCTGGGGTACAGGAGTTATGTTCAAGGTCGCAGGCGATAGGGCTGGACGCTGGTCAGTTTCCAGATGACAGGCGAGCTTAGGCTGGAATCGGGCCATCTGCTAACACATGCAATGTCGCACAGGACTTTGAGAAGCGGCGCAGGGCCAGACAAGAACTGGGCCGGGGCAGCAAAGGAGACGACGCAGTGGGGGCGAACGGGCGCGAGGCAAGGAGATGATGGCAAAGGAGGATAGAATTGTGACAGACTCGAGGGAGTTGATGTTCCACGCAGTTGCACCAGAGATGAGGTCAGGCAGCACTAGAGATGAATGTGCGACCCAATCTGCCTCGGTGTTGGTGTGGTCAATCTCGGGCTCGACAAAGGGCAATGGAACTTGGTCGGTGATGAAGGGAAAGGAGGTGTCATATCTCGCGTCGTAGGTTACCGTAGGTATGACAAATGATGGTTCTGCATCAGCAATTGTGATGTCTGAGGAGAGAGGCTTGTGGTGGTGGTGGTGGTGGTGGTGATGGCAGCAGATTTTCAGGAATGAAGCGCTTGCCTCACCTCGCGCTGGTTCCACGTGTCAGGTCAGGATCACATGACTGGTTGCCATGGTTGATGCCTAAAGGGAAAGTCAGAAAGGGCATCAATTATTAGGCAGGCAGCCTACTCGACTGCTAGAGATTACCTCGTTTCCTGTGCCGTGAACAAGTTCACTGTCTACTCCGTACTATTTGGCCCTTTTTAGTGAGGTCTTGACATGATAACAATAATGGGAACACTCCGATGACAAGGTGGGACACTCGTCTCGGTGAACAGGGGAGGGGAGAAGGCTCGGGCCCCTTGGAGAACCTAAACTAGGTGCCTAGGTACATGGCTGGTGCCTAGGCCACTGCCTACAGTCTCAAGATACCCGGTACATGTACTTACCTAACTAACTGTAGCCTGTAGGCACATGGATCATGGAAGGTGGGACCCGCGGCAGCATCCAACCACCCAACACAACGGCTCGCAGGGTTCAAGGATGTGCATGCACGACATGAGACAAACGCCCAACATAGCCATGTTCTTAGGGTAGATGGGTACCCACGGGCCACGGTGCCACATCACTTTAGTCTTTTGGGCATTGTACATATGTACTCCAGATGTACAGTACAGGACGATGCGTAATTGGCAAGCATGTCAAGGCACTGTGCATTATCTACCACGCACAAGGTACAGTACAGTACCTTCTAGACAACCCTGAGATCCAGTCTCGGTAAGGATCTTCGCGACTTGCAGGATAGGTTGGTGTTGGCAGAAAAGACCTTACAGAACAATGTTCTTATCCGAAAGATGCCCTTGATCTAATGAAGAATCGTGTCCAGGACTTTTGATTGAAATGCAGACTGTCGTTTCAGGTGCAGTGCAGTAGTAGTGCCACGAGCGTGTTGGCGACGCACAACACAAGGTGGCTTGTCCAGTGGCTGAACTCTCTTAGAAGTGGCTGTACTTGGCCTCCATAAAGAAAATGGAATGCTACAATCAGCACTGGAACCTGCCGTGTGCCATGGACGTCTCAGATTAATGTGAGAGTCTTGGGAAGTCATCTTCTAGGTGGATGCTTTGGTGCCTACGCGTACTCGTAAGTCAACGTCGGCTCTAATGCCTCGATAGAGACAAAGAAGCTATGCGTACAATGAAGGTAACGATCGTTTAATAATAGATACCGACCCTGGCTCCCTAGAGTACCTTCGTGTTGATAATGGCTCCGAGTCTTGCCGTGTTCAAGAACATGTCCCAGCTCACCTCGTACTGGGCGAGTCAGCCAATTTTATAATCCTACTAGTTGTCCTCACTCGAGACGAGTTGACTTGGTAGCCTTCATTTTAGCCCTAGATCAAATTTCTTCTAGATCATCATGTTTTCTTCTTCACCTCGGCCGTACCCTGATGAGCCCGTCGTGGTGATTGTTTCTCGTATCCTTGACCGTGGCCGGGGTCAAATTATTGTCGAGGCATGCTTTGATAACAATCTTTCTTGTGCTCCGCCGACTGATCCCTCAACTAACAGTTGTGGGAACCGGAACGATTCCGCGCATTTAATGCATTTGTGGATGTACAACTGTACTGTTGATGAGCTGGTACTTTGGGTACTTTGGGTACTTGGGCATGAGATGCTTGGGTGCTTGGGTGCTTGGGTATCTATCACATCACTCACGTCATCAAATCCAAAATGGGCGAAAGGAAGGCTGCGAACTGGGAAGGAGAGTCAGGTACTAAGTACCTAGGTAAGGAGCAGTTGTATGTACATGGCAATGGTAGCCAGGTCGATCGCTCTTGCGAGTATTGAACAAATCGAAAATTCAATGCCAATAGTATTGCTCCTTCCGCGTTTTCCCTCTGGCGCGTCTTCCTCCCACTGCGCTCGCGTCAACTCTTCAACCTCTTCTTCACTCACGACAGAAAACTCCAGACAGACACCCAACCCTCATTGTTGGTCTCTTCTCATTCTTCCTCTTCTCCTTATCCTCCATCACAATAATCATCCTCACCAGACCCGATCGATCCTCCACTACAACAAGGTATGTCCCAGTGGCCCCTCTCGTGCTCGTACCTAATAGAGATGATCGCCATATCGCCGAGCGACGATCCTCGGATTGGGCATCATCTAGACCCACATGGCTTCCTGAATGAATTCTCGGGACCACTGATCGACTCTTCCGCTAACTCATGAAACCTAGCTGGACACGCTGGACCAACTTCCACCAACTTGGCTAACGGCCACTGGGCATCCAGGGTCACTCTATCCCTGGTGCTTTTCAACCTCTCTCCATGCTTCCCTGCCAGCCTGGCCTATCGCGTGCCCAATCTCCTCAACTGTGCCCAAGTTTGGCTTAGTTACATCTTACAAGGCGCCACGAGTCACCACAAATCGCCGAATACAACTCCCCTCGATCCCAAAGCCTTGCAATTCCCGCCTGCACCCGGCCATCGTCCAGGACCACACACTGTCTACCGATCAATACAGTATTCAATTCCCATCTGCCGAATTCTACGCTTCGCTCATGATCCCAGTTACTTCCCGAGATACTTCTCCAAGGGCAGATCCCGCCGCCGGGCCCACCAATGCCTTGGTCCTCCACTGACCTACCCACAATGGGCCATTTTCTGCGGGACCACTCTCCGGACAAGCCCTGAAGACCTGGATGTCTGAGTAGTCCAACACTTCCAGTCGAATCGACCTTTCTCTTCTCCTACACCTAACAAGCTCCCCGCCTCACCCGGCACATGGTGCATCCATCGCCGTCCCAGCCTCAGAACGGTAAGTCGCCCACTTCGCCTCACTTGGTCGCACGGGCTGCTCTGCTCCTGCCATGTCGATTCTCTCCTCAGGCAATTGCGCTTGCCGTACAAGTAGATTCGCCGGTTTTGGCTTGAGAATTATACCATGCCAAAGCCTTGTATAGGTTCATCCCTGTTCAAGTTGATTGATGCTTCCAAGCCTCCTTGTCGACCAACGTTCCTTTCACACGCCGGCAACCTGACAACTCTTCCAGTATGCTCTCGAGAGTGCTTCATGTAGGTGGACAATCAACTCTGCTGGCCATTGAGCGATCAAACGGCTTGTTACAGTTGCAAGTCTGTGACGTACGCGGTTTGCATGAAATTAAACATTCTTCCAGAACATCTTGGGAGTGGCGCTATCCTCCCTCGAACCGCTGTTACGATAATGAACCATGACCAATGTGGCGCTGACCCAGAGACCCCTAAACCATCCATTTTTCATCACCATCTGGAATCAGGCACCACCTAGTCACTAACCTCCACTCATCGTCGCGGGACATGGGCAATGCTTTCACACCACCATCCGCCTACCATGGCGCCGGGAACGAACCGAAGCTAATAAGCATGAGGCCTCCTCTGTTTCATCCCCTGTAAATGGTGCCTCTGGTAAAAAGTAGCCTTTGCCCCGGGATCTTGCCAAACCTTCAAGTGGACATCGACGACCCTGGAGCATTGGGCTTTCACTCGAATGCCTCTTCCTCTTACTTGACCGGCCATCAGCTTTGATTCTTAATCGTCAGTGCCGTCCAACAAGTTCATGGAACTCGCCCTGCTGGATCCACGTGCTCAATGACGACCATCATATCAGCATTTCCCTGCATCGGAAACTTTGGTCCACCATAGTGTTTGGTACCGAACTTCGTACCCAATACTAATACTTGGGGGGTTGCCCATTACCCTCCGCCCCAGTCTAGGCGAACCAACATTTTCTCGAATCAGGACGGGAGGCACTCGACAAACCTTTCTCTCCTCTTCCATCCCTCTGACCTGGTTCCTTTTGTTCATCCCTCGCACCACATCGATCATGTTGGCTTTGAACTCTCCCGTCAGCACCCTACACTCCTCATACCCTCCGGGATTCGGCCCTGGGGTCCAGTTCGCTCTCGATCTTGCTGACTCCGCCATCACCATGACCGACAACGACGATCATCTAACCTCAACTTCACACAATCACCCGGCTGTGAGATCAAGTCTGCATGGGGCTTCTCCTTTCGTTCCCCAAGGGTAAGTATCCTGCCCGTCGCCTTCGATCGCGGGCATACTGACCTCGCCGGTATAGTAGATTCGGCCCATGGCCGTCGACGTCAACCTACGATCCCTTCTCAGGAGATCCCGGCCGACATACGTCTCCTGACCGGCCAGAGAGGCTACGAGGAAGGTTTCCCCCAGAGATACACGCTGCGCCGCGTCCGCCCATCACGGCCACTGGGGGAGAATCCTTTCGTCCACTGTCCTTGGGCTCCATATCTTCTGCCTTCACCTCAGATGCTGGCTCTTACCACCAGGGCCCGCCTCCCAGGTCTGATCCAGATGAAAATTTGGCCCTAAGGCGACAAAGTCAAGACAGTTTTGCTCTTCGCACGGCGTCTCCAACGAGCCAAGGTTACAACGACTACGAAATAGAGACTCAGCACCGCATTGGTAATGAATTTAACCGAACCACCCGCTACCAAACTCGCAGAAGACCCTTCAACCAAGACGAATTCGACGGTCCTTCTCAACTGCTACCTCTGCCTCTGCCTCAGCAAGAGCATCTTCGTTCACAGACACTTTCCTCGCTTCCTGTCAACCTGACCATCGAAGAGCAGGACGAGGTCATCCATCGGGTCAACGACATCTTGTCAGGATGCGCCTTCCATTTCATTGCAAAGTACCAATTTCCAATCCCTTTGGAACGTGACAAGACTCCAGTTCGCAAACACTCAGACCGGGAATGGACTGAATGGGCTTATCTCCTCAAACGACTGGCCACAAAGCGTAGAATCCCCGCCAGAGTCTTGTACGAAAACCAGATCAAGCAATTTGTCACCACTCTCGAAAACTCCATTGCTGCCCGGCCGCAGACCAAGGACCAGACGAGGACACCAAAAGATGACCGGTACATGCTGCAACTGATCAGTGCAGGCACTCAGGTCGCCAAAATTCTAATGGACTCACTGTCCATGAAGCAACTTGACGATCTATACAGGCAGATTGAATCCATCATCCTTGAGAGAAGGTCTCGCAACAGGGGTTTGGGATTCCACTGAGTGGCAGGAGGAGGGTGCTCTTTTATTTTCGGGGTTAACCTTAACACATCTGTGTCTGAAAAACTTGCGTCAATTGTGCCGCTCTTCTCACTCTTGCTTTGCGTGGACATTGCGTGGACAACGTACTCTATCTTGATTTTGACCAGCAGCAAATGCAATCCCCCACCGCGCCTCACGATAGTGTACCAGCGCAAGAACGGGGTACGTGTCTTCAAGGATCAATGACTGACACTCACGAGATGAAAAGGTAATTGAGGGGGGGTGACCCTGGGCCTACCACATAGGCCAATTGCAGGGCTAAATGCGCCCAAGAGGGCCTTAGTTCAGTTCTAGCCATGCCGATGCAGACCGCCCATTCTCACTCTACACAATGACTACCTCCCGGGAGAAGGGAGGCATGTGTTGCTACTCTCCACCTCTGAGATCATGTCCATCCTTCCAGTACAGGTTCTGTTGACACCAACAAATCTACACCAGGCAGATATCTCGACTTATTCTCCTCAGAGAGCCGTCGAATACTTCAAAGCGCACTTGTACAGGGAAGCTTTGTCAAAGCAAGTCGTACAGAGGACTTTCCTTTTATCCAGCCCAATCCCTGTGCTTCGGCATCTCTGCGTCAAAAGTTCATCAACTCGACAGAGAGTCCAGAAGACAGCATCAGACCCTATGGTGTCTTGGGAAATTGGCCAATTGTATGTACACGACGAACCCTTTCCAATGATCTAGCCTCTGTCTGGTCATGGCCTCCAGGGAGCCTCAGTCCGTTGATCACCCTCTTTACCTCTCGTCCGTGGGCTCGCATTTGACCATTCACTAATGCCATCCACTCTCAGGCAGACAATACCAGTTTTCTGGCTACCAGCGTCGTGCCTTTCCGACGACGATCAAGGCGACCCAGTTCCAACGTCTCCAATGCTCGAAAGCATTCCTCAACGAGAGCATATGATGAAGTGTTCTGAATCAGAGGTTACTGTATCCACGGGTTATAGGACACACAGTGTTACTGGTTAGCCCGGCTGTGTTCATCCACAGACAGCACTAAGTTGCGGTTCTAGGGTCGATCCAAATGGTGGCTGAATAGACGCTTGGTCATTTCCAGCGCACTGGGGTCGCAAGAAGAAGTTAAATTGTTGGACAAGGCACTTCTGGAAAGGCTTTTACAAAGGCGAGGGTGTGTCTGAATGAAACTTTCTCGGGGAAGAGCACATCCTTTCTACAGCACGTTCGATGATTTGCTTGAGACGAGGAAAATGGACTTGAAATTCTTAAATTCATGCTCAACCATCGCAATGTGATAACGGAGGAAAGAGTCTTTGCCAGGAGAGAAAGCACAATTCCTTGGATTTGCACATATTACGAAGGGACAACCAGAGAGTTATGCCATAATATCTACAAGATCACGATTCTACCGAAGCAATACCTCAAAAGAGAGCTCAGTTCCAGCCATCAGAACAGCGGGAAGGGAGAAAAGGGACACTGGCAATCAGAGGCACTTAGCCATAACTTACCGCCTACTCCAGGGGTAAGACACCGAAGTCGATGCCCATTAGAGGCCCCAGTGAGAGGTGCTGCAGGTTTACAGGTTTACAGACGCAGGCAGTGCATGAGGAGAGGGTACCTTGCCACCTTTCTTGAGCGAGTCACCACCAACTAAATAGTGGCAACATTGGGCTGGCAGATGCCCGCCGTGCCAGCAGCAACGCCTGGGCATCATTGCATGATCTTCTTTTAGTCGCTTGGTAGGCACAGTGGGTATGGATCCTACCCACTTGAAAACTTCAAGCAGACAGGGGTAGAGGGTGCTAGCATTGGCCAGGTCACAGAGATGATGGGAAAGCACTGCGGTGGCACGATTGGGAGTCAGGCTGGTCAAGCCAGGAGGACAATTTCTACGTAAAGTGTTCGCTTAATGGACTGCAGCTGAGGGACAGGGTGCTTTTGTTAATTCACAGGCTCCACTAGACTGATGGAGCAGCCAACGTTAGCATTCATTGGGTCGCGGCCTAAATTCTGCCGCTATTAAGGAGCATTGGAAGGTCGATTGCTTATACACGGATGGATGCCAGTAACGGGCAGCAATGATGCCGAAAATCATGGCATAGTTGTCTGTTCTGTGATTTCAAATAATGTGGTTCATGAGCCGAGCCATGAGGCTTCGGATATCGGATCACAATGTGTCACTCTACCAGGGCTGGAGATCTCGGGCGGACTCGATGCCAGGGGCTCGATTTAAAGATTCAGATCGTATCATACTTCTTCGGCGCAAATTGCTTTCTCGCCTCTGCATGAAACGTCAAGTGATCCGAGATGGAATTCAACATGTGCAGGTGTACGGAACAGCCGGATCGAGTAACGCAACTGTCGCAGGTTTCAAACTCTCTGGATCGAGACGTAGGCGTAAGAAAGAAGTTTTGACTTTCTCGAGACTAGAAGGGTGCCTTGGACTCGATTCTAGTCTCGCCATGGGTGTATGCCGCTGAGATCGTGACAGAAAGTCGGGCAATACTCTGCGGCTGACCATCTGTAGATCTGCAAGTGACATCCGAAACCGTCTGCGTGATGGGACGCGATGCTGCCGATAGTTGGTTGGACGTCTCAACAGATGGCAAACTCGTCAACTTGAGGGATATGCTGGCGACTTCGGATGTCGATTCTTACGACACTGCATCTGAAAGGCTGCCGCTTACTCCGCCTAAGCGTGAGTTGCGGAAACGTCCATTGGTGAGAATCGTGCGCATTTCTTTGTGCGGTCTGTGACTGTCGCAACTACCAGGAAACATTCATCGAGCCACCCCATGCTCTTAGTTGATTTGTTTTTCCTTGTTGGATATCAATGCTCAAGACTGCTTGATATGATACTCTCGCCCTTTTTCGGCTGATCGACGGCCGAGACTTGAGGATCCGTCCTAGGCAGCTTTCTATTCGGTTTGGTCGAGTGTGCTATTTCAAGTGATATTGGTCACTACTCTTGCATAGCCCTCGGTACAGACGAACCTTTAAGCCGGTATCTGCTGGACACAGCGTACTTCCGAATGTTCCTCCTCGCCAGACATTATCCTCGACCGATTGTCGCCTCTCTATAAGCGGGTGTCTGGCTGGCCTCGTCGTGCCGTTGCAAGGCTACAGCTCAAGGAAGTTATGAGAAAGATTATATCTTCGACTGCGTTTGCCCAAGAGTTGGAATGCCATTGTCTCTTAGTCTTGCATGGACAGGTGCGAATGTTTTTCTGGTCTATATCTCCCTGTCGTCTAAACCAATGTGTTTGACCTACGAACCTCCTCCATCGGCCGAGTCTATCTGGGTAACAAAAGCCTACTCCTGTGTGTCAAAGTTCTCGCCAAAGATGGAACACACGGTTCAAGGCCAGAGTATCGTGTGCCAGGCGATCCCTTCGACGGCTTTCCCAATAGGTAAGTACTGACTTAGATAGTGTATCGGAAGTCCCTATCGTTCTCGATAACCAATTGACCCGCAGCTTGTTTCTTGTTGGCGCGATAGAAATGGAAACCCATGGACAATATCAGAAAGAGTGCAATCGCCTGAGATGCGATACAAGCATAGATTCCAGGAAGATAGTTTGGCGCATCTTGAGATCGAAAAACCAAGCTTCCAATGATACCACCTGCCGTTTTGTTAGCTGCTCTGTACGCCAACTAAGGTCTAGGGACTTGCCTATTCCACCCATGCCGACAAATATCGCACTGCAGAATGCTCTTTTCCAGTGTCCACGGATGTTATTAGCTATCTGTCGTCAGTGGGGAGTTCACAAATGACAGAACCGCGGCGGTTACCTTGCCAGGCCATGACGCATGGAATGTTGGAGTTCACCCCCAGGACAGTGAGGAATGCGCCCCTGAAAATGTCAGCAGACATGATCTCGATTTGCATCTGAAACTACTTACACATATTTTGCAGCATTGTTGTTGGTAAAAGCCATGATTGGAAGCCCGACAAGAGCGACCAAGCAATTGGCCACAAGGAGCGGCGCTCGCATCTTGTATTTGTCACCAAGCCAGCCCTGGAAATACATCATAAGTCCACCAGCAACATATGGAGGGGTCACCAAGCACTGTGCTGCCGCCATAGAGAAACCCATGCCTCGTTGAAGAATGATGGGGAGGAAGTATGCGAAACTGTAGGCCACCACCAGAAGCATACAGAAAACGAATCCAAACCCCCAAACCTTGATGTCCAGTCCATTTCGCAGATAGGGTTTGATACTGAAGGGTTCCTTGACCTCGGCATCGTTACGATCTTGATTGATGACCGCCAGGACATACTGGCGCTCCCTCTCAGTCAAGAAGCCACGATACAGCTTTTTGTTATCAGGAAAGCCAACGAGGAAGATGGCGGCCGCCATGGCAATGGCAGCAGTTATAACTCCTTCCATGATGAAGATCTGGGAGAGTGTATAGGACGTCAGTAAAGCAATCGAGTTGAAGGCAAGGGAAACCACCAGTCTTTCAAAGTTTACTCACCCATCTCCATCCTTCGATCCCATTGATCCCGTCCATTTGCATCAAGCCATAGGCGAGAATACCTCCCATTGATCCAAAGACTGACCCCATAAAATACCAGAGAGAGTAGCTGAAAGGTAAGTCAGATCCCAACTATGCAGTGTGAGGAGTCGTTACCGTTTATGCATCTCGTATCGAGGATACCAAGTACTATACAAGGCAATTAGAGGGAAGTCCACCAAGACGAGAGCCACCAACCTTAGGAAGTACATGCATCCAGGAAAAAACCCAGCCTCTAGAATGCCCAGTAAGGCACGAAGTCCTGCAAGAGTGTTCCAGTTTCTGGCAAAGCCGAAACCAAACATAGTCGCGGCCCAAGTGATGGTTATACAGGATAGAAAAAGGCGTGGCCCGATCCACCTGATCAAAACGGTGGCAGGGATCTCGAAAACGATATAGGTTGGGAAAAACGCCAACGTGATGATCGAGTATCTCATTCCAACCGTTAATTCCAAGTCGGTCGTCATACTGATTGCGGTGTTAGACCCCTTCTGCTTGCAAGGCTTTTAGCTCTAGGCCGAGCACACCCACCCGGCAATCGCGGCCGCCCCCACTGAAACGGGGTGAGTCAGTACATCAAGAGGACAAGATGGAGACGAGGACATACAGTTTGATCTATCGATGAGGGCAATACAGTAGACGGCTCCAACAATGGGAAGAATTCGCCAATCAATTTTGCGCAGGATGCGACGCCGGTCTTGTTCGGAAAATTCGGATATGTATGCTGCTTGAGCGTCCTTCTCTTTGTTGTGCTCACTGGCATCTGGAATGACAGACTCTTCATGAACGTTGTCATATTGGGGAGGGGATTTGTTATCCATGTTGGGGTTTGCACGAATTCGATGTACTATTTCTGTAGGTCAAAAGTATAGTTTTTCCAGCCTACATAGGTCACAACACAAAGTTATATATTAGCATGCTATCTCAGTGCCCAGGATTCGTCTCCTAGCACGACCTCGGATGTATAAGCTCGAGGTCAAGTACTTCTACATTCAATCGGACATGGGACAGCGGTGCCGAAGTGTCGATCTACTCCGGTCTGACTTATAGTCGGTCGTGTCAGTATAGGCGATAGGGGTGGGGCAAACTGGAGCCATGTCATGACCCCCCGCACAAGTCCTACCAACCACCGATATGTAGGAGACCGAAATCTGCCATTTTTCAATTTTCACCGAGGTCAAGAGCTCAGTTTTGAGGCTCTGTCTTGAGATGAGTATGGGGCACGGTATTGCGGGCAAACAATGCTCCCAGATTAGAAAGCCGAGGTGACCATGTCGGACGGAGCGTGAACACACGAACATCCACACACATTGTAAAAATTCACAGCATAGTACTTAAGCAAGGTCATGAAATGATCCAGATACTATGTACCAACTCATTCAAAGTTTCATTGAGCGCCACTTCGAACTTTGCACTATTGTCGTATTCAACATGAAGTCAGGCACAATCAACTTTTGGGGGCCGGACCCCAAACTTTATGTAAGCTCAAAAGAAGCCGAGATGGTGTGAACACAAGAAATCTTCTTTGAGCCACCCGAGAAAGCCAAAATGTGGAGAGAGACTGGGCTCAGCAAATGTTGGAGTCGGTAATGGTTCTGGTCCTCATTTCATGGCCGAGGTTGGACAACTATTATTAGGAGGACAACGAAGCACGCTAAGTTGCCCTCGGAAGAAAGGAAACGAGAGTCGAAGTACATAGTACTTTAGCTATTATTCGTGCTTGGTCACGTCACAGAAATGCAACCCGTCCTGTGCTACTATACCTCCTCCTTGACGGAGGCACATTTGAGTATCGATTGAGCATACAGTCACTAGCTTAATATGGCGTTGGCCCGTAGTTTCCCGTAGTTCTGAGTGAGCGTTGAGTTTGGGGGACAAAGCTTTCTGCTTCGACAATACTCAAATGTGTGTATATGCCCGTCTGTACGCCTCGCAGAATTTCAATGGACAACATTGGGATTCTCTTCTCATGTCAGTGACTTGCTGATCATAAGCAGTCTGGGTTTGATGTCATCTCCTCCCTTCACGATTCGTAGCCTTTTAGGAGCTAGGATAAAGCGACTGAAGAGTTGGAGCCGTGGATCATGGACCATGAAAGGCTTCTTTGTGAATATTCAGAACGATGATGCCGCACAGCGATGGTCAATTAGGAGGAATCGATACGAGCACCCATTCCGTGTGGTAACTTACTCGTATGGGTGTCAAGTCGTTGGAGTTGCGAGTCAGGTGCGGGTGGTACCGTACTTGTACTGTGCTCGTACTGTTGTACACGGTTGCTCCACTCATCCAAATAAGGGTTAGCTCAATGTCAGGGCTTGGCAGTACTCGGAGCTTTTAGAAAAAAAGTTGTCCGGTGCAGATCGACGTTGAGTTCTGTGCATGGGCTCCTTGATCCCGGAGCCAACGTTTGTCAACAGCACAATATGAGTGTTTCTCGCACAGTCCGCGGGTCTGCGCGACTCGTGGGCAATCTCACACGGTCTCCTATCTCACCTGCCACGAGACAATGGGTCTGTCATCGATGCGCATCAACCACATCCCTCCGCCCGAGTTCGGCCATCTCACGCCTGCAGAACTCTCAGCTACAACCAAATGGTCAATGGCAGCAACGAAGAGGCGCTGCTGGGGTAGCAGCTGCTATGTGAGACCTGTACTCTTGATTACTTTGGCCATTACTAAACCTTAGTAGGCTGGAAGAGGCTTCAGATCCTGACGCCCTAGCCCAAGAAACCATCCTAGAGAATATGTCCACGCAGGAACTAGAACGCCTTTCCAGGGTCAGGAATATCGGCATTGCTGTGAGATTTCTCCTGTTCCGTTTCCATTGACCCACCACTAATCCCTTCTCAGGCGCACATTGATTCCGGCAAAACCACTTGCACCGAACGCGTTCTCTTCTATACCGGACGCATCAACTCCATCCACGAAGTACGTGGGAAGGACTCGGTCGGTGCCAAAATGGACTCGATGGATTTAGAACGAGAAAAAGGCATCACCATCCAATCTGCAGCCACGTTTTGTGATTGGGTCCGCAAAGAAGATGGAAAAGACGTCAAATACCATATCAATCTGATCGATACACCTGGGCATATTGACTTTACTATTGAAGTTGAGCGAGCCCTCCGCGTCCTGGACGGTGCTGTCATGATCCTCTGCGCCGTGTCCGGCGTCCAGAGTCAGACCATCACTGTTGACCGCCAAATGCGGAGATACAATGTCCCCAGAATCACGTTTATCAATAAGATGGATCGAATGGGGGCGAATCCTTTCAAAGCTGTGGAGCAACTCAGCTCCAAGCTGAAGATTGGCGCCGCTGCTGTTCAGGTCCCCATCGGCACCGAGGACGAATTTCGCGGCGTCGTCGACCTGGTCAACATGAGAACCTACTATGCTGAAGGCGATCGTGGAGAAATTATTATTACAAAGGATGAGATCCCCTCAGAGGTTCAAGAGGTGGTACAGGAGAAAAGAGCCAAACTTATAGAGGCTGTTGCCGACGTTGACGAGGAAATGGCCAACTTATTCCTGGATGAAATTGAGCCATCGCCCGAGCAGCTCAAAGCCGCCATCCGACGTGCGACCTTGTCTCTCAAGTTCACCCCGGTTTTTATGGGCTCCGCCCTCGCCGACAAATTTGTACAACCCATGCTGGATGGTGTTTGTGATTACCTACCCAACCCTGGTGAGGTTTCAAATACTGCGCTCGATGTACGAAAGAAGGAGGCACCTGTCAAACTCATCCCTTATAACTCCTTACCATTTGTTGGACTGGCCTTCAAGCTGGAAGAATCAAACTTTGGCCAGCTGACCTACATTCGAGTGTATCAGGGAACTCTTAGGAAAGGTCTCAACGTCTTCAACGCAAGGAACGACAAGAAAGTCAAGATTCCCCGCATCGTCCGCATGCATTCGAACGAGATGGAAGAGGTCACCGAAGTCGGAGCAGGAGAGATCTGCGCCGTCTTCGGGGTCGATTGCGCTTCTGGAGACACCTTCACCGACGGTCAACTTGGTTACACCATGACCAGTATGTATGTTCCGGAACCGGTCATCTCACTAAGCATCAAGCCCAAGGCCAATAAGGATCTGCCCAACTTCTCCAAAGCCATGAATCGTTTTCAACGTGAAGATCCGACATTTCGGGTTCATTTCGATGCTGAAAACGACCAGACCATCATCTCTGGTATGGGCGAACTTCACCTGGAGGTCTATGTTGAACGCATGCGTCGTGAGTACAAGGTAGACTGTGAGACGGGCCCGCCTCAAGTCGCCTATCGCGAAACCATCACCAAGAGAGTCGACTTTGACCATACGCTCAAGAAACAAACCGGCGGAGCCGGTGACTTTGCTCGTGTTGTGGGCTGGCTCGAGCCTAAGGGCAACCTAGAAGGAAACCTCTTTGAAGAACAAGTCGTCGGAGGATCCATTTCCGAGAAATTCCTGTTCGCCTGCGAAAAGGGTTTCCACCTCTCTTGCGAGAAAGGTCCACTGATAGGCCACAAAGTTCTTGGTTCCTCCATGATTGTCAATGATGGTGCTACCCACATGACGGATTCCAGTGAATTGGCCTTCAAGAACGCGACTCAGCAGGCCTTCAGGAAAGCATTTATGCAGGGCGACCCCGTTGTGCTCGAACCCCTCATGAAAACGGTGGTGACAGCCCCCGTCGAATTCCAAGGAGCAGTAGTCGCCATGGTGCAGAAGCGAAATGCCGTCATTCTCGATTCAGAAGTCGGTGTGGACGAGTTTACCGTCTGGGCCGAAGTGAGCTTGAATGGCATGTTTGGATTCAGTGGCAACCTACGTGCTGTAACTCAGGGCAAGGGCGAGTTTAGCATGGAGTTCAGCCATTATGAACGGGCCCCACAGTTGCTCCAGAAGGAACTTGTCTCCAAATATCTGAAGGCCCAAGCAGACCGAAACAAGAAATAGGCGCCATCGTGGATCGAAAGTTTGGGCTCCCTTGAATGGCTTCGTTTACAAGTCATAATGAAGAATGCGAGTCGTCTGGCTCGATACGCAGGAAGATCTCCCTTTGGTCAAGACCACTCGTACCACACCAATCACAGCTACGACTGTGCTGCTTCAGCTCTCGAAGTATACAAGATGGTCGTCTACGCCAGAGGAACACCAAGGCCGGTGTCCCACGTGGTACAATTTGATTCTTCTTTTCTCTTGAAGAGACCTTTTGTGTCAACTTTAGTTGGCAGGATACAATATTGGTTCTCACGAGAACCTCTGCTGATCGAGATGTGGCCTAGGTCGGGGGTTCTGTCATCTATTCAGGGCGTCTACAACCGGCCGTTCCCTTTAGTGACGACCACATAAGCGCTGGAGGCAGGCAGGTCGGGTGTGTTGTGGAACACGTCCCACTGGCGTCTCAAATTCTACCTCAGCGGCGGCTGTGTCCTGCAAGCACATGTACAATATCAACAAGTCACGCTCTCAGTCTGTTAAAGCGACAACCCCCTCTCCAATAACAACGATAATGTCCTATCTATGGAAGCGTTGTGGAGTATTTGTGTTAGATTACTTCATAACTCGTGCATGTACAAGGAGGCACAAAGTGCTATCACAACGTATAGAACTCTGAATACCTGTCCGGCAGGGTTGACTTCACGATACACGATATTCGCCATTCTCGACGGCCTGTCCTATGGTTGATAAATAACTCCCTGGAAACGAACAATCAAACTACTGTTCCTTGTTTGATGATTAGAGAGCGATAGTGTGCCCTACTAGCCATCAGCAAGAGAGCTTTACAGCGGAATTATGGTTGACCAGCACGTCATGGATAGCCAGATAAGAGAAGAACCGCTGCTGCTCAAGACTCCAGCTTCTAACCATGGCATGGGTTCTCCTCCATGGCGGAACCCGCGAGCTTGTTACCAGAGGTCTTGTGCAATTTAAATACTACTTATTATCAGTGTCCAGTCCAGGAATTAACTTCGTAAGGAGAATGTTGGCCATTGGGTTCAAAATCAGTATACAAAAAGGCCGACCAACGCAAGTGTCGACCCGGGTATATACATGTAGTCGTGTTCATCAATGGGTGATTATGGCTTTATTGCCGAGGCCAAGCCACCAGATTCATATGTTCATGAACCCAGATACCATGAGCAATGGAAGTGGGCCCACGAATCGCGTCCGCGACCGACCAGTCGAATGTTCTCACGAGCTAAAAGCGAGATGTATATTAGTGACCGAGATGAAGAGTCTTGAAGCGACTGCAAACATACCTCGACGATGGCTTTGCTGACCTCCATGAACGCAATGCCGCGGCCTAAGCAGACAAATCTTCCACTTCCAAAGACAACTTCGACGTGTTTGAGATACTTGGCTCGGATGGCAGGGTCAGGGTTGAGCCACCGCTCGGGGCGGAAGATGTCTGCGTCTGGGCCAAAGACGTCCTTCCTCCTTCCAAGACCTTCGTCGCAGATGGCGATCTCGACTCCTGGGGGGAAGAAGACTCCGTTGACCGTGTCACCTTCTGGAGGCGAACGTTTACTCTGCAGACCAAAGAGTGGAGGATACATCCGCAACGCTTCCCAGATGATGGCTTGAAGAAACTCGAGTTGGACTGCCTCACTGTACTTGATGACCGGATAGGAGATCTTGCCCTCAGTGACAGCCGCTTCGATTTCGTTCCGCAGTCTGTGGTATGCGGTAGGGTTTCCAACAAGCAGCATCATGGTTATACGCAAGACTCCTGAAGTCGAGTCGGCCCCGGCGAGGATCTGAAGATGTGCTTCGACCTCTGCCTGGTCTTGGGCCATGCCCTTAGAGATAAAGTGTCCAAGCATGTCTTTTCTTTTCTTCGCATCCGGGCCGTACCTCTCCGCGACGGCCTTTTTGGCGATACCAATGATGGCGCCTTGCCCAACCTTGTCAGTTCCTTTGGGGGCGATCAGTTTCTGGATAAAGCGGCTTTGGATAAATGACCGCAAGCCTTCGTGATTGACAACCAGTTCAAGGACGCCAAAAAATTGATTGGCGATGGCGTGGAAGTCGTACAGGTCGGCATCCGCTTCAAGAAAACCAAAGGATTCGCCGAAGGCGATAAGACTTAGAACGTCCAATGTGAAATACGAAGCCACCTGGGCAATGTCCATGACCTTGCCATTGTAGTTGCGCTTGATGAGATCAAGAAGGCGGAGCAGAACTGTGTCAATATCGGCCTCCAGAGTCTCCACCTCCTTTCCAGAATACTACTCCGTAATAGTGTGTCAAAATTTGAGTCATTTCCATGTCATGAAATTTGGAAGACGGTGACTTACTGCACCAATCATCATTGATCGCATTTCGGCATGCTTTTTCTCATCACGTTCAGACAAGATGTTGTTCATTCTGGGATCAAGTTTCACGCCATCATACCAACCACCACGAGTCCATTTAGAGCGAGGCGCGCTCATGTGTCGCAGAAGCTCGGGATCGTCTGTGACTAGCATATTGGGTCCAATACGAGCTGGGGAGCCTAGTTGCACAGTGGCTTAGTTTGACACCTTGTCGCTACATGAGGCTCTAGCGTACCATATTTCCGGAGAGCATCCATCTGCGCCGTGGGCATATTGGCGGAGACAGCCTGCTTTGCCATCCATAGACTCGTCCAGGCGGCAATGGGAGGGCCTTTGAATTGTCGAAGCTTCCCATGTTGGATGTACGCCGTCACAGTCCAGTAGACTGTGAAACTGAACGCTGCCACGGGAACCAAGATAGAAAGGATAGAGAGCATAATAAACAATCGACCCTCGAGGATTTACGTACAATTGAGTAGATGTCAAGCGTCAGGCAAGGCGGGCCTGTGTAGAGGGAGAACCAAAATCCAGAGTCGCGGGATTTGCAAGAACCTGATCCCGGTCATGCCTTTGGAGAAGATGGTGTAAACAAGTGGAGGAACAAATCCCAGCAATCAGCCAGGACTGGGGAAAGCTGGGCAAAGACTAGATACAGGTTAGTGACCTCGAGATGGATACGTCCAGATGCCAATAGTTTCTGCATGTCTAGATAAGAGTGAAGACGGATCAAAAAGCTGCACACCTGCAGCAGAGACGGAATGGCCACAAACCACTGGAGCCAATTGTCCATGCGTCATGTACCTAAGTGTACTACATCCATGGCGCTTCGCTCTGACGTGTATTCGCACGTAGATGCGTTGTGCTTGATAGCATGGGGCGTACGGGGTAGTTGAAGATCAGCCGATACCTTTACAGAGGGACGAGGGTTGCAATTGTTTCAATGCAGGCCGAATCGACCCAATCAAGACGCCTATGTTGGGCAATTCGTCAGGGTCCAAGAACAGGTCTGAGGGTCCCCCAACGCCGGCGACAGCCGCCTTGAATGAACGCGAAAGCTTTGGCATGATGTGGTGTGCTCGGCAACGCATTCCGGAAGGTAGTTTGTTTTGCCCATCTCACCAAGTGGGCTTTGGTGGGCTCTAAAAGCTGCAGTTGATGCAAGTTTCCAACAATGAAATTCCTCGAATGCTCGGCGGCGCAGGATTGTTCTTCTAACGGCTCCAGCCATTGACCCTTGGAGTCCTTTAGCGGCGGGAGAGCAACACCTCCGCTCCCGATGGTGCGCATGCAGTGCAAGCATGGTCAGTGAGTAGTGATGAAGAAAGAACGACTTTGTTTAGGTACAAGTACCGAGGAACGGGCAAGTCTGCAAGCTGTAAATCATGATGTAAACCACGAACAACACGACGCTCAACTTTTTTCTCTAAAAATCGAATCTCGTAAGGTGACGAGATCATTATGGCATCAGAGGGGCAAGCACAGAACACTTCGACTGAGGTTACAGCCACAACAGACACGTCGGGCACGTCAGCACCCGCTCCCCAGTCCGGGAGCCCGAGTAGAGTCGAAGAGCCACCGCCTGTGGACGCGATTGACTCGAGCGACGCTGACTCCGGTTACAATGATTCTTCGTTGTCTAGCACTGCATCACTAAGGTCGAGCATATACGAGTTTGATCAGGAAAATGGCCGGACATACCAAAGAGGTTCCGAGTACGTGATGCCCAACGATGAAGAGGAGCAACGACGAATGGACAGTAAGTCACGTGGGTTATTGCATGTGCTGGTAATTGACTGAAAGGTCAGTACATTATCACAGCCTTCGATTTGCTATACGAGATCGCCTTTACTATGCGCCTATCGAGAACCCAACTTCAGTCATTGATGTGGGGACCGGGACCGGGATCTGGGCCATGGACATGGCTGATAACTACCCTGCGGCCCAAGTGTTGGGTATTGACCTCAGTCCGATCCAGCCGACGTGGGTGGCACCAAATCTCGAATTCCAGATTTTCGATCTAGAACAAACTTGGGACATGCCGCAACGGTTTGACCTGGTCCACAGCCGAGAAATGAACGGGTTCTCGATCAAAAGCTGGCCAAAATACTTTGAGCAAGCATTTCTGTCACTCAAGCCTGGTGGTTGGGTCGAATGCCAGGAATTCGACCTTGACATCAAAAGTGATGATAACACAATTCCGGAAGACAGTAACTTGATCAAGTGGCAAAACCTGTGGGAAGAAGGGATCCAAAAGGCAGGCCTGACAGGAAGATGTTATCCTGAGAAAATGGTTGAGCAGCTCAAGGAGGCTGGCTTTATCAATACTCGAATCTTGCCGTTCAAGATGCCGACGGGACCATGGGCCAAAGATCCCATGCTCCGACAGTCTGGGCTGTGCGTGCTCGCTGGGATGCTCGATGGCATGACAGGACTGAGCATGAGGGTCTTTACGCAGCTCTTGGGTTGGTCGGTTGAAGAGATGGAGATCTTGCTGGCTAAAGCAAAAGTGGAACTCAAGAACAAACGCATTCACAGCTATTTCCCCATGTGAGTGCCGAATGCCGCCAGTTGCGTCAAGATCGCTAATCCACCTGTTACAGTTACATCGTTTATGGGCAGAAGCCACCACTCTAAATTCTTTCCTCTCGAGACTGAGAGGTAGAAGAAGAGGGACGACGCTTGATTATAACACACCCGAGCCTGCAAGCATTAACATGACACATCTTTAAGATCGACAAGATGACCGAAATCATGGTCTTTGTTCATTTCTATTCCAGTATGATAGGCAGGATAGTGTAGCAGTTGGTGGCCTCTCATGACCAACATGGACACGAGAAATGTGAGACGAAAGGCATGGGTTTTGATAGAATGAAAATGAGAACAGTCGAGTACTATCAATCATCACTTGTATGATTTATGCTAAAAGACCCAAGACCTCGTCCATACCTCTCTGAAATATGTATACTGAGATGGGAGTATCACAGTGCACCATGTAGGTACCATGAGTAGGTACCTAAGGTATAGAAGCCCCCTCGGCCTCCTTCCCAAATCTAAGGCTGGCACAGCGCCTTCCTTGAAATCAAGATTCCATACATGCTGGGATGCACCTGCCTCAATTTGGGTTCTGACTTGCCATACCTACCTACCTTAACTAGGGAGGCACGTACATAGGGACCTAGGAAAGTACTAGGTACATACTAGGTACCTTGTAGGTATGTAAGGTACCTTTAAAAATGCCAAACGCCAAGCTCCCCTCTGCCGCTTGCCGCGAATAAAGTTGACCATCTCCCCATACGTCTGGGAAAGCAAGACTTGTGATTTACACTTCCCACAACCGCAACCACACCCTCATTCTTGTAATCTCTACTACACCTTGTATCCTTGATCACGACTCCCCGTTCGCGTGGCGATTACATTGAATTCTCTTCGCCTTCGCCCACACTCACGATCTCATTGACCATTCCGATTACGCTACCATGGAAAACCACTCCACGACCGACCCCAAAGACCCCGCCAGCTTTCTTTCCTCCATCATCGGTGTTCCCGTCACGGTCAAACTCAATTCTGGCGCGGTGTACAAGGGAGAATTGCAGTCTGTCGATGGCTACATGAACATTGCCCTGGAGAAATGCCAAGAGTACGTCAATGGTCAGTTACGCAGAACATATGGTGATGCCTTTGTAAGAGGAAATAATGGTAAGTCTTCCTGTTCAACCTCATGTGCATACTACTTTGCCGCACTGGCGTCATAGTTTGCCCCCCCCCTCTCTCCTCTATTTGAAGCTTTCGACTGATCCTTTCTGCTCAAAGTGCTCTATATCTCCAGTCATTGACCCTGTCTATTTGCGCGGCTCCTTTCCATCACCCCATGCGCTTCCATGCTACAGATCAAAGCCGCATACTCCACGATCAATACATTCGAGCCTGATTTAGTGGCAGTACCATTTTCAAAAATTTATTGGAAGAGCGAGGGTCGATGAAAGTTGTGAGCTACTCTCTCAAGAGACCCACCAGAGAGTGATGGAATTCCACGTTGCCAATTGTCTACATCATCTTGGGCCGGCGAGCCGCAATGCCTCGAAGAAGGTGTTTGATAAAAACCGATTCCTTTAGAACAACCGATACGAAGCAGATGCTACCCATCAATCTTCAACGGCAATTCGGGGATTTTACTTGTCCAGAAGAACACCGTCCTTCCACGAACGGCGATCCGCCCCTGATCATCTTGCTCGTCCACGTTAGCAGCCTCAAAGAATGTCTGTTTGACTTTGTCAAAAGCATCTTCTCTCAACACTGCAATTTGGCTGAGGGTGGACAATCTGGCCCAAACAGCGTCAGGAGGCAATCGATGTTCATACGCGACGTGCCCTTCTCCAATAGGGAGTCCGAAGATGGGGTTGGCGCTAAACTGCAGGCTCAAAGGATCGCTTCGATTCTGTTCATCAAAGACCTTGCGCCATTGACCGTCACGAAACCGAGGGGTGCCGTCATGGAATGTATGTATCACACTCCGCATCTGATGGCCCCATCCTGGCTGGATGTCCCAAGAAAGCGGAGCATTGTCTGGCAAAACCCCTGAGTTAGCTGGGATGGTCTACAGAGGTTTGTTCCGAAGTTGGTGCTAGAGCCTTACAATCATCAATCTAGAAAGTATGTAAAACTCTTGTCAGCGGGCACTGTTCAATGGTGATGATGACATTGTGATCAAGTAGTAGATGTAATCTCGTGTTGATTTTGTGAGATGATGGGCAGGCTTACGTTCCAAATCACCCCAAAGACACCAGTCGGTTGGAGAATCCTGGCAATCTCATTCAAGGCCTTCATGTTGGCAAACCTTGTCAAGACATTAGAGGTGCAGCTCTTTCAATCTCCGGAGACTTGTGATCGAACCCACCAATGAAAAGCCTGGAAGCGAGATCAGGACGAGTGGGAGGATAAGTGAATAGACGACGGTACACTATCAACATACCTGTGCGGTCACAACGGCAGCAAAGTCGCCGGAGGAGAGATCTGCTAAATCCTCCGCGGCGCCCTTGACCACGGCGACCCGCGGGAGCGACTTGTTTTGTAGCTGTGCTCTCATACCGTCGTGGGGTTCGATGGCGACCACATTGTACTGCTCAGGTCGGTTTGCCAGAATTTCGGTGAACTTGCCCGTTCCAGCCGCTAGGTCAGCAACTCTGGCACCATGAACTCCAGATATTCCTAGTCGATCTAGCAATTCAGCGACGGCCTCTGGTGGATACGATGGTCTATGGGCCTCATAGGCTGCTGCTGAAGCAAACCCTGCTTGTGCGACGTCCGAAATCTTGCATTCCGTCATGGCGATAGGGCCGGGGGTGTGTTTACATAAAGTTGAGTGTCTCGGCCAAACAAAAGGCTTCTCGGTCAGTTGAAATCACCTGTCGCTAGATGGGTATGAGAAGTTTGTGAAATACTTAGCTTGTTTCTGGTCAGTAGGCATTGCAAATCATCATATTGTATGATGATATCCCAGCGTGATATGACTGCGTGGTGGGGCCGAAAAGCGTTGAAGAAAAGATAAGAGTCAGAAGCTTTGGGTGCGGGGAAAACGAATGACTCGCGGATATAAGCACGACATCAGCAAATCATCCCCGCACGCAGCCTCGCCATGTCACCATGTGTAACATCGAAAGAAAAAAAAAAGATCTGATGATGCCTTCCTTATGTTGACATGATCTATTTACCATTTGACGAGTCACGGCGCAACGGCAACGCGGAGGTTATTCACACTGGCAGTTGATTTAGTCCCACTCCTGCTTTTCGATCTACTCCGTATATAGCTCGAAGCACCCGGTGACACCAACTCGAACATGGTCCTCGAGGCAATTCAATACGACCCAGCATCGGAGAATGCACCACCCTCCCTCCGAGTTCTTGACCAGCTGCAACTGCCTCACCGGACCACATTTGAACAGATCAAGACTTGTGAAGAAGCTCACGATGCCATAAAGAAAATGAAAGTGCGAGGCGCACCTGCAATTGCAATTGTTGCAGCACTGGCGCTCGCCGTCGAGGTCGGGTCCTCGGTCGTCCAACACCAGCTCCCACATAGCCCCGAAGAGGTCAGGACCACACTCGGCGGGAGGCTCGACTACCTACAAACAAGTCGACCGACCGCGGTCAACTTGGGCGACGCTGTTGGCAAGTTAAAAGTGGTGGCGCAGAATGCGGCATCAAAGTCAGACGCCAGTGCAGCTTCGGTGGCGCAGGCTTACATTGTTGCCGCCGAGAGAATGCTGGTGGACGATGTGTCGGACAATCGCGCCATTGGAGAATACGGTGCACGTTGGATAGAGGCAAATACCGCTGCTGGTAGAAAACGCAGGTCAGACCGTCATGCGGAGCTGAAAGTCTTGACACACTGCAACACAGGGTAAAGTCCCCGATCGATGACACACTGGGAATTCGCACTAACAATTATCCAGTTCTCTCGCTACCGCTGGGTACGGTACTGCCCTGGGCGTAATAAGATCACTTCGAGCCTCAGATAACCTCACAAGGGCCTATTGTACAGAAACAAGGCCCTACAACCAGGGCTCGCGCCTTACGGCCTTTGAATTGGTCCACGACGATATTCCGGCGACGCTAGTGACAGACTCAATGGCATGTGCTCTTTTGGCCAAAGAAAAAGACAGTCTCGCGGCAATAGTTGTTGGAGCAGACAGAGTAGCCGCGAATGGAGATACAGCAAACAAAATTGGCACATACTCTCTCGCCGTCCTCGCGCGACATCACGGCGTCAAGTTTCTCGTGGCAGCACCCAGAACGACGATTGACCGTCACACACTCTCAGGGGCAGACATCGTCATTGAGCAAAGAGCGCCAGAGGAAGTCACTAGAATCAAAGGCCCCAAGGTGGATGACAACGGCAAGATCCTGATTGATGAGGGTTCAGAGTTGATCAGTACCGCTGCCAGCGGGATTGAAGTGTGGAACCCTGCCTTCGATGTGACACCAGCTCACCTTATCGACGGAGTGATTACCGAAGTCGGTGTGGTCGAGAAGAAGGACGGCAAGTTTGATTTTGAAGCAATCTTCACCTGATCCTAGGTGGGTGGGTCATGTGGGTGGAGATATATCCATATCCGGTTGGCGATGATTGTGCAACCCTGCCTCTGGACGTGGAGTAGGAGAGTGACAAAGTTCACGCAGCAGAAAGTGCAATTCTGTCCATGTAGGCATAGATTGTGGGAAATTCCCTTTCCCGTGTAGCTACAAATCCCAAATTCGCTAATTATTAGACTTTGAAGTGTCGGAAGCTAGTTCCTTTGGTAAGGTCGCTTCCACAGATGCCAACAATTCATCAATGCGACTTTCGATACCGTCAAGCTTTGTCTCCAAGGCTGTCGCGGTGGTTTCACCTCTACCGAGAGAAGAACTTTAGAAGTGGCCGTGACTAGCAGATGGGGTCCAACTTACCGGGCGAGTTCTTGGAAAGCCTAATGAAGAAGAGAGAGAATAGTTCACATGGTCAATGGTGAACGCGAAAAATTGCAGGATCTGGGGCGAGATCATGTTGGACCTACCTACCTTTGCCATTTCAGAATTTAGCGACTGAGCCTCAAGCTGTGGCGGAGGTGGTATCGAGTCAGAAACCCGAGAAGCTGTCTTTTTGGAATCCTCTTGCGCCATGGTGATTCTGGTGGACTCAGAGGCAAGCCGAGATTGGGAGGGGGTGCTGGTGGTGGTGGTGCTGAACAATAACCGTGGTGTCGAGGTTGAGCGGCGGGCCAGGAAATGGTGGGCCGGTCAAATCCGGCTGCGAAAAGTCCAGAAAGGGTAAGCGTGTAGAGCAATAAGAAGTGGGTCAGGAGGCACGAGGCGAAGTTAACCAGTATGGATCCTTATTTTCGTGGGTGGGCAGGAGTGGACAGAAAAATAACGAGGACGAATCACTAGTCGTTTGAGGAGGATAATGCAGGGAGGTGTCAGGTCAAATAGCGGTCGGTGATGGTGCGCGAGTATGTTCGGAGTGTCCGTATGCCTGCGTAAAAAGGGAGTTGGCGACGGAGACGGCACATGTTATCGCGACTGGAAGACGTACCAGCCTACCACGGCACCAGGGACAAATACCCAAGGCGACGTGGCGACCTAACTGACTCTCAACGAAGACTTACGTTACCTTAGTCTTACAAGGCACCTACGAGTAAAGTCGGGGGCTAAGGCCACAATACTGAGTCTTCTTACTGACTCTAAGCAAGGCTGGGCGAACCTGAACCGTAACCGCGTAAAAACATCATGATCCGGGTCTTGGCATGATTTACGGCGGAACACATCAAATTCTTCTGCAATGCCAGGTGAAAAGATTGGCGACTGAGGTCCTGTCTTGTCGAGAAGAAAGAGCGGCTCTCGTCGCGTTGGAAAAAGCCAACGTGTCTAAGTACCTAGTCAGTAGGTCCTGTCAAATGTCTCGCCTGGTATCTTGCCCTCGCATTAATCAAGAAGATTGGCGTCTGATAGACCTTTCCAATATGTTTAAACTTGGGGTTTACACGTAATATGTACCTACCTAAGGTAGGTAGTCATTGGTCCATCCAAAGGGAATTGTTGTTCCGCGACTTGTGGCGGTCAGTCACAACCTGAAGAAACCGGAGCGACTGGAATGACTTGAATGACTGACTGTCACGGTGGGCCCCAGGCTAAGTGGCTACCTAACTTACGGAGTACGCATACCTCTTTGTAGGGAGATATCTAACCTGTTTTAGATCTTAGAACTCGCTTTGGCTTTTCGCTGCGGTTTTGGTCTGTCCCTTGACTTTTGCAGCTGCGGGCAAAGAAACTACAGTGGGTGACCCCCCAAAAGTCACGTGCTGAAGGGCAAGAAGTTCCGTCCGATCAGTTAAGAAACTGCCGTCTTGTCACCCACATCTTGACCTCAAAGTTGACAGTGGCGACTGGGTAACTGGCCAGCTGCGGTCAGGCAATACTTGAATCAGGTGCAGACACCTCGGCAGATCGGCATGGTGGATCCGCCTAATCCCGAGTCGTCCTGTCGACTGTCGGCCTACATCCGACTGACTTGACTCTCAAATGTAGTGTTACGTGGTAGTGACTTAGTGTAAGCAGAACAAACTCAATTCACCAGCAGGTGAGTGGTGATGCTCAGCGGACTACCAGGATTGTGCATGCGGAATGCTTTGAGATCAAGGTTTGGCTTGCTCAGGGTCTGGCAAGGGAGGGCAGGGCTAAGTCAATGTTGGTGAAGGTTTACATGATGGCTACTAGGTATTTGATGCCGAAGTATTCCACATGTTGTAAGTGCGGAATGTAGACAGTGAAAATGGAATAAAGGCAGGACTTGGGAGTCGAACTCGATAAGAGGCAAAAGTACTACCTAGTAGGTAACTAGAGTAGGTACCTATAATGAGTACCTAGGTACCTACCTGATGTATCGATACTGTAGGTGTAGTAGGTGTGGTAGAGATGACCCACGTATCAAGGTGCAGGTGTGTTTGAAATGCGATAGTGTGTACTTCGTAGGGTAAGAAGACTCGTGCTACAGTACTACCTAAGGTAGGTAGACTTTCTCTACTGTGCTCCTTAGGTGCAAATATGCATACGAATATGCGTACGTATAGCCCACGGCTACCCCGTACTGTGGCTTCCACCGACTGAGAAGCGAGGCCGGCGTGGGCTTCCAGGTGGGAAATTCCAGGTGTACTCGTAGGCAAGAAGGGCTAGAGGCTAGGGGACTTACGACTAAGTAGGGATCCTTGCAGGAAGAATCAACTCACAACATGTGGGCTTCTCGAAGCTTGGCCCGCCTCGGGCAAGACACCGTTCCACTTGCCAGGTGACGTGTGAGATCGGACATTTCTACAGCCATCGATTCTGATACCAGCCTTGACCGACCTTGAGATCGTGATGTTGGCGGTGATCGAAGTTGTATATTCACCTTCTTGATTCGGTTTCCACAATCCCAACTTCGAACGGCATTTCCATTTGCATGATGACTTGCGCAGGGTCTTTGTAGACTTGTGCGAAACCACGTAACCTACACCCTTGGTGCCTCACTATCCTCACGATCACGACCCTGCGAGCCCCTTGTGCCATGTTCTACCCTGACAGGACTCACCAGTACTTGCTAATTCTTCATAATTTGATGCTTTGCCATCCACGATCGACCACCCTGCTTGACCAAGGTCCATCATTTTGGTTACATTTCTTGCACCGCCTGGTCCCCGATTCACTTTCCCATGCAGCCACGCACCACACCACAGCGAACCACTCGTGCCTCTCGACAGATGTACTCCAGTCATTCCAAAAGTCACTGGCCCGCGATTGATCGACAAGGCTCGCCATATGGCTTTCGGTGTCATTTTGCGTGCGTTGCCTACCAGAAACTCCGCCAAGCTCGATTGACCGACCCCCCTCGCCCCTCCCTCCAAGTCGCATCGCAGATAGAGCACAAATGCCCGAAATCCTTCACACTGCCATCCACTTCTTGGGACCTCTTGAGAAACCCGTTTTTGATACAAGGTCAGGCCATGTTCATTCCGCAAGCAGCAATTGCAACATCATAGACAACTTGTAGACTCTCCGGGTAGTTCCCCAGCCCGTCGTGCGTGAAAGGATAGAGTGACGCACGATGATGCAAGGATTCTATCATAGACCAGCCCGCCGAGGGTCGTGCAATTCCATGTACTGTAATATTCTCGAGCTTAAAGTCATGCATTGTGTCATTGGGCCATGGGTGCGTGTTTGCATCCCACGCAGGTACACCGAGGCGGAGGACCAAATTGGCCCAATCGGGACTCGGGGGCTCTGGGCGATGGGGAGTGCACGGGGAGGATAGCCGACCCCTGGGCGTTAGTTAATCCAATTCTAGCGACAGGCGACTTAGGACCTAAGTTTGATGGGTGAGAACTAGAAAGACAACAACAAGAACAACAACAACCTTAACCTCAACATCAACAGCAATAACAACAGTAACGTGTGGATAGGCTTGTATAATACTGTATTACTCGTTGATCAGTTGGGCTGAATCAAAATTGGCAGCGCTGACAGACAATGATGAACCTCTCCCCATGATGGTCGGTGGGCATAATGCAATGGACCCTTGGGCTTGTTACTTAGGCTGTTGGCTAAAAAAGTCATCGCCGGTGCAATCCCAAAACAACGTCCTCGGGTGGCTGGTGTGGAGCTACCGCATAGAGGAGACCCCCGAAGCTGGCTTGAGCCAATGCATGGCCGCGAATACCAAAGTTTCGAGTGTCCTAACAGCCTTGGTGCTTGGGTTAGGATTCAAAAAGTCTGCATTACCACTGGAACCACTGGCACCACCGGGTCCAAACTATGGCATAAGCCCCGTCCTGAGCCTCGTCACTACTGAAGCAGAAAACTCTAGCGAGCTGATCCCGGTCAATCTTTTGCCGATGACCCAGCAATGGCAGAGTGGGCAGCTGTAGCGTAAGGTAGCTTGTATGTACGGAGTACAGTCAATTCTCAGACGGCGAATCCGCACAGGACAGGCACGACAGGACAAGATGATGGCTGGTGGAGCCCTAGAGCGTAGTGAGCGCGCACTCCACCTAGCAGGGCGGGCATCCACTAAGCCCCGAGTGGACAAGCAACCACCTTAAGCAGCGTGAGCAACAACACTGCTGGTCGACATGCACACCAGGCTAAAAAAGATAGGGACAGTGGTGACAGTCTACAGGCGCAAGGCACCGCCGGCACCCACCCCACCCCGACATCATTTGTCGCTTGTCCCAGGTCCAAGTCCCAAGTCCAAGCCCGAGCCCGAGCCCTTACCATGTCTGACGGGTGACATTGCATGGCCAACAGTGGCAACCGTGGTCAACCCACCGCACCATCGCACCACAGCACCACCGCACGGGTGCTGCCAGTCGAGTCGTGCCCGTCACGCCCGTCTTTGCCAGGCGACCTTGAGTCACTGGTTCCTTGGGCCCTTGGAGACGGTGGGACCCTCCCTCGTTCGTGTTTTTACTCCATCGTGTCCGTCGTCTCCATCTTCCTCCAAATCCAAAGAATTACGTCTCCATGTCACTACCACACTCCGTAGCTTCACCTCGACGATCTTCTCCCGCTTGGCTTTTTCTCTCGAGCAACATCATCTCAATCCAACAAGATGGATCACCTATAGCCTTTTTCGTTAATCCCTTCCACCCATCATCCATCCCTTTCCGCACACTGGCGCTTGTCGCCCTTATTCTTTCATCCCATCGGTATTTTGCTGCTTTCCTGTCCAAGGTCGCATGTTTTGGCGCCTGGTTGACTGTGTAGGCGGTTCATCGACATCACTTCCGCTGCCCACCCCTCCTCTCACATCCAAAAACAACAACCACTTTTCTGTCCACACCTATCGCGAAACCGGGGGGGTCTTGGTTGTCTTGATCGGCTTCGGTCCTATACACTGGGCCCTGACCAGATAGCCTTCAACTGCTTTGAGCCCACCGTTGGTCCACACGATCTTAACGTTGGCCCTTCTTCTTTTTCTCCCTAACCCACCTCGCTCCTCCACCTGATTTGACGCGTGGGTTTCCTTCCCTGCCTTGCTTCCGCTCTGGACCCTGAACAAATGCCCTCAGTTGTTATAACCTCTACCACCACAGCAGCAATATCTTTTGCAACCAGCTTCTTTTCGGACTTTCTTAGCGTGCTTGGGCCAGCACCCGTCATATGAAACACTTGGGAGTAATTCAACCTCCGCTCCAGAATCACCACCACCATCACCACCACCATCACCATCACACCATCACCAATATCACCACCGCCTCGACGTTTACACCTCACTCCTGTCCCCGGAACGCCGTAGTCAACCTGCCTACACTGTCTGTAACAGGCGTGTTGCCATCTCCGGAGCTATCGTCGACTTTGATTTCTGCGTGTGCAGATATCCGTCCCACATGTTTAGAGACCCGCTCGGCATTGTCATCAAGTCCACCGTGCGCGAGGGATATCGCCCCGACTAAAGGCATCCAATCGAGACTTGACCCCTTTGCAATTGATGCCATCTCACCCACGCTTGGATGAGTGACCTCGCCCCCCATCTCCAGCGCCTGGGCCTCGAGCAGTACCTCGACGCCTTCGTCGGCGAAGGCTTCGAATCTTGGGAGACTTTGCTCGACATCCAAGAAACTGATTTGTGAGTTTTCATATGCTGGCGTCCTCGTTCAAGGTATTGATCATTCACCAGTGACGCTCTCAATGTCAAACTTGGGCATCGAAGGGTAGGTTCTGTTCGAAAGGCTTCGCCTCCACATGTGTGACTAACCCTACCACAGAAGCTCCAGCGGGCGATCGCAGATTATCGGGGCATTTCCTACGAAAGACTAATTGGATCCCCGGCTCAAGAGGCGCACCTGGAAACCATCAGAACCCCCGAGGTTGGACTTCTATCTCTCGGCGCTGATCGTGCCTCAGCATCCGCCCCAGAGGCCAAACGAAAATACCGCCGACATCCAAAGCCGGATGAGAATGCACCGGAGCGTCCCCCATCTGCTTACGTCATCTTCTCCAACAAAGTCCGTGAGGAAGTCAAGGACCAAAACCTTTCCTTCACCCAGATAGCCAAACTTGTCGGCGACCGCTGGCAGAAGTTGGACCCCGTCGAGAAGGATCCTTTCGAGGCACAAGCCAATGCGGACAAGGAAAAGTATAACATCCAACTCTCTGCATATCGTAAAACAGATGCATATAAAGACTACATGCAGTACCTCGCCGAGTTCAAAGCGAAGCACGGCCAGCCCACCGAGCAAAAAAGACCCCGGCTTGAACCAGAGTCGAGCGGAAGCATCATTTCCATAAAGTCGGCCGACATCCACCCGGATCTGGTTTCACAAGGTTCCAGCCATAGGCGAACAGGCTCCATTGGTTCAGTGGCGTCGTCCCCCAACATTGGTACAATCCCTGCAGGTCACAACGTCCCCAGTGGTGTCATGCCCTCTCGCCCGCCATTGCCCTCGTCTCGCAGTGGCTCACCTCCATCCACCATCCAGAGTCGGGACTCCTTCCGGCTTGGTTTGTTGTCAACCCACAGCTCTGTCTCCGACGAATCACCCCCAGTCCGAAGTGATCAAGTGGACCCTCTTCAGCGCACAGCAGCCTTGACCATTAATTCTGTTGCGGGGACTCCGCCGATGCAGTCTCAAAGCCTCGGTCATCCGCAAGCCGAGTCTCTGAGCTCTCCCGACTTGGTTGGGAGATCACGGCTAGGATACCACTCGCAACAACAGCAGCAACAACTCCCACACCTCCCACACCATCATCACACTCCTTCTCCCGGTCCAGGGTTGCCTGGAGGACCATTGCATGGTCAGGCTTCGTCGTTCCCACCATCGATGCAAGATCCGTCGTGGCGGAACCGGCCGCAGGAAGGCCGAACCTTTCACGAGACTTATCGACCCCCGCAGCCTTCCCTATATAACCCTAACCCCAACCCCGGCCCGCCGCATTTGGGCGGTTCCCAGCTCGCGCCATTCGCTGGACCGGATCGCCTTTCCGATCTGAATAACCCTTCGATTCTCAGAACGCTCCCCCCTCTTCGCGGAACGACAGCGGCGAGCCCGAGTCTTCCGCACATGGGTCGAGGAGAACAGCCACGGCAATACCCGCCGATGGAGGTGCTACAACGCGGCTATCACGTGCCTCAGGAGAGTCGCTCTCGGTTGGACGCTTCCGCGAGTGATGCTTTGAACACGTTGGCAGGTCTTGCGTCTGGACATGTGCGGCCTGAGACGGCCAAACCGTTTAGCCCGCCCCCGCCCCGCCACCGCCCCGCCCCTCCTTGACTACCAAGAGACGCGCTCAGATAGAGAGCTAATGTAAAGCTCCGACATGTGTCCATTTACCATCCAAGGCAGCAGTAAGACAGGATCTTCGGCTTACACTCGATACATAGATATTCAGATCACTCATCTTGGTTCTCCGCATGTTGATCTACAACGGCCACCATATAGCTGGAGGCGGTCACGCGGCCCTTGTTTGGATTAGCAGAGCTTACGATTTAGACATGAAAGTCACGTGTGTCCGTTCCATCAAGACAATAATATAAACAATATTTACCATCATATAACATGTTAGACTGTCCCTCACTGCATAAAACTTTGTTGAAATTTTGCCAGTAGGTGAGGAGGCACGGTAGCGCGCTGATGACGCCAGTAACGTGCTCTTCGGAGCTATAAGAAGAATACCTTTACTGGTCAGTGGGCGTCCTTGGAGGCCAAGCCTGATGCACGAGCATCGATAACAGCTAGTGAGTTGATAGACGATCTCCCGCGTGCCTTGGATGGACGGGTATTCGGATGAGTGATTAGCCTTGGTCCGCTGATGAGATCGACAGAATGGCTTCAGAAGGAAAGAAGCCAATCCTGCTGGTGGACATCCATACGCTGTAGATGACTGACCGTTGAATCGAGACTCCTCGTGACTGAATAGTAAGTTAGATAAAACTGATTCGTATATCGCAGGGTGTTAGGACATCCTGAGGGTTCTTCAAAACTTTTGGACCCCCGGCCCAGTGGCCCCCTAGAACACGAATACGCATACATCAAAGTATGCTTATACAGTTGTAGTACATAAGGATTATTATATGGATAACGAATCGTTGTAGCCAGCTACGCCTGAGGGGCCCATCAGCCTCGTGTGACTGGACTGTGATGCCCGAGGCTGAAGATGACATCACTTCCACTCCAACCAACTCGTTTCTTACTTGCGTTCCTGCCGTGCCTGCCTCGCCTGCCTCTTTTCTGGACAAGCAACGCAACCCCTAACTTGACCACCAAGCTACAAACCAGCTTCAACATTGTATTAATCTCTGGTTATATCCTCCAACTCTTTTACGTGTCCTTGGACTGACCTTGAACTGTCTTTTGTCCACCACCTAGCCTCATCGAAATCGATCGTCCCTACGACATGCAGACTTGACAGAAGCGTTCATGCTTCGCCGTGGTCACTCCGATTTTGCCTGGTTTCGAGAGCGTACTCAGTCCCTACAGAGTGATTCCTTATCTGCCTATGCCACGATGCCTTCCCCTCCAACCAAGGGGGCCCTAAACCCAGAACCTGCGGATCCTCAGGACCGCGCAGAACAGCATCTTCCCCCCAAGACCTACGCTGGCGCCGTTCACCAGGACCCACCTTCTAGCACTCCTATCAATGGATCTACGCCTCCCAGAGCGCCAGATACCAATATATTCAATGGAGATGTTTCTCACTCTCTTAATCCTGAACCCGCAGACCCCTACGAACGTGCCAATCAACACCTTCCTCCAAAGTCTTATGCCGACTCCGTCAACAACACCACCCTCCAAAACGGACATTCTAATAAGCCACCGTCCGTCATAATCACCAAAACCGACCCTCAACTTAATCAGGAGGAGAAGCTAGTCAATGAGGGATATATAAGCCATGATGGAAGAGACTCGTTGACCAGCCTCAAGGTCGACGATCAACACCGAGAAAGTCTAAGGCATTCTCGACGAACCGCATCTCCTGCAAAGCACAAGAATCTCCACAAGCGAAAAGAAGCGCCGGAGGAATTGGCGAGTGGTCGAAAGGCAGGCGAGGGATGGGAACGATCGGCGTAATGACCTGTCCTTTCATCCTCTCCGAAAACACATGCTAATCTTTGATTGTCTAGGATCCGGTGGGCTCCGCTAAACGTCCCACTGCAAAGACGACTACAAACTTTGGTTGTATTGTGGCATACCACTACAATCCCCATCTTGCTGTCACTCTTCTTCCTGCTCTGCGCCATACCTCTAACCTGGCCTCTGATCGTTCCCTACCTCATCTACACCTTGCTCGTCAGTGAGGATGCCACAAATGGTGCTCTGTCCCGCCGATCAAATCGTCTGCGGCGTTCCAAGATCTGGTCAGCGTTTGCCTCATACTTTCCTGCTCGACTACACCGCACAGTAGAATTGGAGCCACACAGGAAATACATTTTCGGATATCATCCGCACGGGATCATCTCGCACGGGGCATTTGCGGCCTTTGCCACTGAGGCCTTGGGGTTTTCGGATCTGTTCCCAGGCATCACCAATACTTTGTTGACGTTGGACACCAACTTTAGAGTACCCCTCTATCGAGACTATGCTCTGGCCATGGGACTGGCGTCTGTTTCCCGCGAATCCATCGAGAACCTCCTATCCAAGGGTGGGCGCAACGGAGAAGGGATGGGCAGGGCGGTTACCATCGTGGTGGGTGGAGCAAGAGAAAGTCTTGATGCACAACCTCATTCATTGAGACTCGTGCTCAAAAGCAGAAAGGGCTTTGTCAAGTTGGCAATTCGAATGGGAGCCGACCTGGTGCCGGTGCTTGCATTTGGGGAGAATGAATTATACAACCAGGTCGACAGTGAGGAACACCCATGGATTCACAAGATGCAAATGATATTGAAAAAGATGCTGGGTTTCACCATTCCTCTGTTCCACGCTCGGGGTATCTTCAATTACGACATAGGCTTAATGCCCTACCGACAGGCGGTCAATGTTGTGGTCGGGCGGCCCATCAACGTGGTGCAACAAGGAACCAAGGACAACAAGGTGGATGAAAAATACTTGGACGAGGTACATGCCAAATATGTGGATGAGTTGGTACGGCTATGGGACGGCTACAAGGATACGTTCGCCCGGGAGAGGAACGGTGAGCTGGAGATCCTCGAATGATTGGGACGATGACCTGGGCAGACGAGAAAACGGGCATGGAACCTGTTGACTAGGGAAGGCTGGGTCGAGGGACAAGTGCTTTTGACATGACGTTGTGGTGTAGGGCAAAGACCTATCTGGACTAGGCATTAAAATTTTCTGTGTATCCAGTCTAAAAGTGCAATCAATCGACAATCAAATCGACAGGGATCCTAAATGGTGAACTGGACTGTTGGTGTTGAATTCCAGATTGGTGAACATCTCGACGCTTGCTTCCAAGGATTCAACAAGCATGTTAGACACACAGTCAGATCATAGAGGACATCCAAGAACTGAACTGAAGCAGGCATAGGGACAGGTCGATCAAGCAGATCCTCTCTGCACAGTCGGCTGACAGGAGGATGAGATCAAGCAAGTCACGGAGGAACGAGAAGGTTCGCCGACTGGAGGGTGGAATAGCAGAGTGGCTCACAAGTGAGCTTTGGATCATGGACTCTGGACAGCAAATAGGACCTTGATGAAGAGGCTGCAACCTCGACAGCCGACGTAGATTTCGGCTTGTTGACTTTCACGTTCGAGGTCGTTCTCGGTCAAGAGATAGCCACGATGGTCACCGCATCGACAAGCTCGACTCCAGGTGTCATCGGCCTGATTGTAGTCAAGATCCTCCAAGTCAAAGACTTCGACGCCAATATGAGAGCCTGTGCCAACGTCGGAAATCAACCCAGCATCTTTATCCTGACGCATCAAGGCGTGGTCATATTCCGATCGTTGAACTGGGTCGAGGAGAACATTGTATGCGGCGACAATCTCATCGACAGTGTAATGGGTCGTCAGGGCCGAGGCCGAGTTGGAAGTCGAGGTTGACGTATAGGTCTGGGTGGTGTGGAGATGGTTCTGATGCGCATCTGAGAGTGTGGGTGTGATTTTGATCTTGTCTGGATGATGAATCAAGAGAGCACGTCGATATGCGGCTTTTATCTCGTCCTTGGACAGCGTCGATTGAGTCTGGCCATGTTGGAGAGACTCAAGACTCGGGCGAGGCAATTGAAGGATGTCATAATGCGTAGTCTTTGGCGAGGATTCGTTGATGGACATTAGACGCGCACTCGCCAGGTAGACGAGCCGCTCGGTTCAGAATCAAATTGGACTTGTCAATCTCTGCCGTGTCAATAGACCCATGGTCGAGGTCCTTTTTATTGATGCACCAAGAGTATAAGACGGTTACATGTGAGCCAGGTTGTGCCAGGGAGCGTAGTTGTAGTCGTCGTACTCCAAGTTGAGATCCTTGGCGTATCAGACTAGAATACTCCGCACAACTAGACAACGGCGAATAATAACACCCATAGCGTCATTCCACTAGGGGCAGGCGTGGCGGAAATCGCGGGCATGGGGGGTTTACTTTGTATGAAATGACTTTTAGCCGACAGATTACCGATCGATACATAAGATATGATAATGGAGAAGAGAAGTCTTGTGGACTAGTAGTGAACATGGCGATCACAGTCTGGCAATTTAATACAATAAGGCCTCTATGAGATTACACAGTAGGTATTAGTACCTAGTATTAATTACCATCACAAATATCTTGTCATGGGCAACTCCCACATGATCGAGAATACTTCAGTTGTACAATAAATACTGTCTAATCCGTACATAATAGTCCCTACATACAGTAGTGGCGACCCAATTGGAGAATCAGCCCTTCCATCCAATCAACGAAACTTGTTTAGTTATTATGCATCATCTTGTCCTCGGCCCGCCGGGTCCAACCAATCCTCAAGGAGATATATCGGATTTTGTCAGTTTGCCGGTTGACAGCCCATCCATACGAACCCTCACCTCACATTACCTCACCTCAATCCTTACCCCAGAAACTTTCCAAGCGATACCCGTCAACTTTCATGTTTGTCCCGCAATCAAAGTCCAGCCTTCAGCCGGCCATTGGCACTACCAACCAAGCACCGTTCAGGAGCCCCTTCAAAGCTGTGCCACTCATGGGTCCCTCCCCAATTGTCCACAATATGGCACCGTTCATACAAGTTACCCTCCAAGTACCTACAAACGTGCCTCGGCTTCTTTAGCGAAAACCATTCGGCCAGCTGAGGAAGACTGCCTTCTTTGTTGATGTCGAGTGACTTGCTTTAAGACCTAGCACCATCGGCCTTTCTCTTGGTTTACCACCTTTATCGTTGGGCGCTTGGTGTCTCGTCTTCAATAATTCCGTCCATTCTTTCTTACAGCGCCTTTCCTCTACTCAGATATCACTCGATTTTCCTCCCTTCCTAGGCCATCCAACCTCCCTTCGAGTCTCAAGTCCCCATAACACACACTACTCTACAGTCTGCAACCATGACCCAGTTAAAGACCTTCACTCGTGCCGAAGTGGCCAAAAACAACAACCCAGACGAATCCCTGTACTGTATCATCGACAGTCAGGTCTATGACCTGACCGACTTTGTCGACGCTCACCCCGGTGGCAGCGTCGTGCTTGCTCAAATCGGTGGCACAGACGCTACCTCGGCTTTCTATAACTTGCACCGTCATGAAGTCTTGCAAAAATATGCCAACCTTCGCATCGGCACCATTGAGGGCGAAAAGCCCCAGGTCATTGATCCCCAACCGGGGGATCTATCACAGGTGCCTTACGCCGAGCCTCTCTGGTTGACCCCGGCCTTTAAGAGTCCCTACTATAATGATTCCCATCGTCGACTACAGCGAGCTCTTCGTCACTTTGTCGACCACGATATCTATCCCGAGGCTCAGGAGAAGGAGTTGGATGGTACTTATATCTCGCAGGAGCTGACAGATAAAATGGCCAAGAACAACTTACTAGCATTGCGCCTTGGACCCGGCAAGCACCTGCACGGGCGCAACATTTTCGATGGCGCTGTCAAGGGAGAAGAAGTAGACTACTTTCACGACTTGATTGTCGCCCAGGAATTAAGTCGTGCCGTGGCACGTGGCTTCCAGGATGGAAACATGGCCGGCATGATGATTTCCTTGACTGCTGTTCGCCAATGGGCCAACGACGCTGCTTTGAGGGACAGGCTCACCGAGGAATGCCTGTCCGGTAAAAGCTTCATGTGCCTTGCCGTGACTGAGGCTTTCGCTGGCAGCGATGTTGCCGGTATTCGCACCACCGCCACGAAAACCCCGGATGGAAAACACTATATCATCAATGGTGAGCATTTAAGCACTCCAACATTCCACCATCTGACCACAACATGATCTATTCTGATGCATTAAATAGGAACCAAGAAGTGGATCACAAACAGTGTCTGGGCGACGCACTTGGTAACGCTATGCAAGACCGAGAAGGGCTTCTCAGTCATTATAGTCCCAAGAGATGAAAATGTTGAAGTCAAGAGAATCAAGACATCTTACTCGACCGCGGCGGCCACCGGCTTCGTCGAGTTCAACAACGTCAAAGTTCCCGTCAACCACCTCCTTGGCAAAGAAGACAATGGATTCATCGTCGTCATGAGCAACTTCAACCATGAACGTTGGGCCATGACCTGCTCCGTGATTCGATGGATGCGCACTGTTGTGGAGGAGTGCCTCAAATGGACTCATCAACGGATCGTGTTTGGCAAGCCGCTGATCTCCCAGCCAGTCATCCGCCAGAAGATTGCCAAAATGATCTCGCTGACCGAAGCCTGTCAGTCCTGGCTGGAGTCCATCACCTACCAGATGAATAACATGGACTATGCGACTCAATCCAAGCTGTTGGGTGGTCCCATTGGTCTGTTGAAGTCCTACTCGACTAGGTGTGCACACGATGTCGCCGATGATGCCGTCAACATCTTTGGTGGACGAGGCATCACACAAACAGGAATGGGCCGCGTGGTGGAGCAATTCCACCGCACGTACAAGTTTGACGCCATCCTGGGTGGTACGGAAGAGATTTTGGCAGATCTGGGTGTTCGACAAGCCATGAAGCAGATGCCAAAGGCTATGCTTTGAAGTGGGACTGCCCATCCAACCGTCTTTCAATGGCCGGTACTCATAAATCTATGCAAGCTTGTCATGGGCATCATTGAGGTTGCAGCCAAGGTAAATTTGTCTGGCGCACCATTGGTAGATACATCTGACGGACGAGTGTCCATCTTGTTGTCGTTCTCGGTCGGATTCTGCTCTGCTTCGTCATCGGTAATTTCATCCTCTTCGTCCTCGTCGCCCTGCTCATCCTCGTCCTCTGCTTCATCTTGTGGCTCAATTAATTCTCTGTGCAGACCAGTCCTAACAGACTCGATGCCCTTCCGGACTTCCTCCAGCGTGTAGTCAGCACCCCATTTCTGGCCACGCGCAATCATATTGGCACTATGTGGGCCCCATTGCCAAAGTCGGTCGCGCTCAGCTTCGGCCAGTCCGACATGTCCCTGCTTTTGTTGTCGAGAAGCAATGTCCTCACCGTCCGAGATCCAGTCTTGTGTCGAAGGTTCGAGTTTGGTTCGGAGGAGGGTTTCTAGGATAAAAGATCGTTCCTTGCCTGGAAACTGAGGTAATGGATTGACAAGGGTGGAAGAAAAGCTTTCACTGTGGGTAGAGAGCTGGTCGGCTATTGTCTGTAGATTGCTTGAGAGCAGGTTTGCATGCGCTTGAAGAGCCGGCCTGGAGACCAAATAGAAGACTTAGCAAAATAAGTCCAACATAATTCAACCAAAAAAACCCCTACCAGGAAGGAAGTCCAGGATTCTGTGAGACTTCTGAGCGGAGGGCGACGAGTGCAGTGTGAAGAGAGAGGAGCAGCTGCCGGGTTTTGTCGAGAGCACGAATCTGGTCCTGGTCAAGAACAGACATGGCCAGGAGGATCGCACTGGAAATAGCGGAGAGCTAGTATCTTTCAAATCGCATCAAGTCGTTTCATCTACAAGCATATTGGAGGAGGCAGAGAACAAGGCGCAGAGAGTCGAAGAGGCATCAAATTATGGTAATAATGTGGAAGTCACGATCAACAGGTCAAGCATGAAGTTGTGCCTTCTCCAATTATGGCCCTCGGCCATGGGGGACGCGGAAGGAACAGGCCTGGGGGAGACGAAACCTGGGCAATGAATTAGGTAACTTAGCCGGATCCGCTGTTTTTCCAGGGCGGCAACTTCGGGGACAAGACAAGCAGACAATAATGGAAGCTGCGATGGAGGGTGGATCCACAGCTTGTCAATTGACTGCATCTGATATTTCAACAACGCTTCAATCATCACCCACCACACTTCGATCCCAACACCAACACCAACACCATCCCCTCCTCCACTCCTCCTCCTCCTCCTCCAATTGATCTGCTGCAGCTGCAGTTGCGAGACACTCCACCCCTTGTACATGTCTTGACAAGCTTGCAATGGCTGCTCCGGCAGGCCCTCGTCTCCTACTACCCTGCTTCGCCTGCTGTCCCGCTACTTCGCCGTCCATCAATGCATTGTCTTTGGTTCGCAGACTAGGCAGCTCTCCCCATAGATGGGCGAGGACTCTTCATGAACGAGCACATCAACCTGCTCGCTCCGCCAGGGATCCGAGTAAAGCACTATTTCATTCTCGGGCTTTCATTCCCGACTATTTCTCCGCCAACAGCTCGATAGAACGAGGATGGATCACCAATGGCTTGTTGGCTTCCATGCGCACCGTCTCCGAGTCTCCCGCTCGCTCCTCCCAAGCCTCGCACACTCTAAACAGTGTTCAAAGATCTGCCGAAAACGACCCCCACCACAGCCTCAGAAGAAGCCACACCCTCGATCGAACCCCCCCTCCTCCTCCACCTCCTCCGACTTTGGTTCAAGATGATTCCCAGGGTCAACTGTCATCTCAGGGTGCTTCAGTAGCAGATATAGACGAGGCCGCAGAGAATCTGCTCCCGCACCGAAGGCGTCAGAGGCGGAAGTCCCAGCAACAGACAAGCTCCTCTGATGGGTCAGACAAGCCCTCCACGCCCTCCGACTCACTCCCCCTAGACGCTTCGTCGCAGTTGACCTCGGCCGCAGCAGCTTTACCCGCCTCGGCCAGCTTCCGCCGACGAGCTACAACCTATCTGTCCCTATCAAAACCTCGCCTGTCCTTCCTCATCCTCCTGACAACGACCTCCGCATACTCGCTCTATCCCATTCCTGATATTCTCTCAGCCACCACTTCAGCCGTAGAGTCTTCCTTTTCCACATCTACCATGACCTTGGTTTTTCTCACCTCGGGCACTTTTCTGTCATGTGCTTGTGCAAACACTCTGAACATGCTATTTGAGCCAAAGTATGATGCCCTCATGACGCGAACCCGCAACCGGCCCCTGGTACGAAATCTCATCTCTCCTCGAGGTGCAGCCTTGTTTGCCCTGCTGTGTGGGACTTCTGGCTTACTGTTGCTCGGCTTTGGGACCAACCCTACCGTAGCTGGTCTGTCCGCTCTCAATATTTTTCTCTATGCCGGAGTCTACACCCCAATGAAACGCATTTCTCCAGCCAACACCTGGGTTGGCGCAATCGTGGGTGGAATTCCTCCGCTAATGGGCTGGTGTGCCGCCGCTGGCCAAACTGCCACTTCCGAACACCATTCCTGGCAGGATCTGCTCTTGTCCGAGGACGCCGCCGGTGGTTGGGCCCTCGCTGCTCTGTTGTTTGCATGGCAGTTCCCCCACTTCATGTCCTTGTCTCATACCATCAAAGATGACTACCGCAATGCTGGCCACAAGATGTTAGCGTGGACCAATCCGGCCAGAAACGCTCGAGTGGCGCTTCGCTATTCTGTTGCAATGTTTCCCATCTGCGGCTTTCTCTACTGGTCGGGCTACGTCAACCCTGGATTTCTCGCCATCAGTACGGTCTTCAATGTCTGGATGACTAGAGAGGCCGTGCGGTTCTGGAGAAAACAAGGTGCCGGAGGCAGCGCGCGAGGTCTGTTCTGGGCCAGTGTCTGGCAGCTCCCTCTCGTGCTCATTGGGGCTTTGGTGTGCAAGAGAGGAATCTGGGATGGCTTTTTCGGTGCAAAGGACGTACACAGTATTTACGATGAGGATCAGGATATCGAGGATGGCCCGTCACTGGGAATGCATTCAACCCATGCTGAGCAGCGTCAACAGCCACCTGGTGAAATCAATATGGCGATGATGGGGTTTAAAAGACCGACGTGAACGATGGAGGCTATCATTGATCGATTTACGGCCAAGATTGGTGGTGTCATGTTGCAACAACAGCAACGGACTTGCTCTACAATTGCGGGGCTAAGCTTTTCCACTTGGAGATCATCCGCGACATGCATATCCGGTGGGAAACTTTCGTTCTCTGTTCAACACTAAGATGAGAAGCGCGTCATCCAGAGGCTGTTGCCTGATCTCAGGCATGATGAATACCCGATTTCCAAACATGTGTGGGGATGTTGCAGGCCTAGGCGACGGAATCAGCAACACATACCTAATGTAAGCTACGAGTAGAGTCTCCGAAAGTCCATGCCATCTCAACAAAAGGTGCCGTGACAACAGGTGTCCGGCCGGACACTACGGGGCGGGGTTGATTAGACTCTCATCACAAACTCTGTACCACCACCATGTCCTACTTATACTTGTGCACGCTCTGCTGTCTTGATGTTGGCTCAACTTCGCACATCAGCAACCCACATGCGATTCGGCTTGAGTTGACCATGCATTTCACCATGACACCAAACTCCCGCTTCATCATATTGACCTGGCTTCTCGTCAATTGCATTAACAAAAGTGCTCTTGCGGCCAAACGTCTGAGTTATAATGGGCTTGCGCAAACGCCCCAGATGGGATGGGTAAGTCACTTGGGAGGACAACGATTCTCAAGATTGACGGACCATTGCAGGATACATACAATGCCTACGCCTTGGAGTATAATGAAACCACCATTACCACCAACGCGAATGCTCTCGTCCAGCTTGGTTTCCGTGACCTGGGGTACCGAGTCGTGATTTTCGACGATGCCATGACCGAGCTCAACCGCAGCTCAGACGGGTCGTTGGTGGAAAACGCGTCCAAGTTTCCCTCGGGCTTAGCCCAGATCGCCGACAATTTGCATCGAGACGGTCTTCAGTTTGGTGTGTACAGCTCGGCTGGTCGGTTCACATGTGGTGGATATCCGGGAAGTCTGGGATATGAATACACCGATGCAACGTGGTGGGCCAGTCTGGGGGCGGACTATCTCAAATATGACAATTGCTACAACGAGGGACTCTCGGGGACGCCGAAACTCAGCCAGGACCGATATGCGGCCATGTCCAACGCCCTCAATTCGACGGGTCGACAGATCACATACAGTCTCTGCAACTGGGGTGATGACAAGCCATGGGAGTGGGCTTCGACGATCTCCAACTCGGCCAGAATGAGCGGTGACATCAACGACGGGTTTGATATGCCAACTGCGAGTTGTCCATGTGGGCCAGACGAATATTATTGTCAAGTGCCGGGCCACGGATGCAGTGTGATCAACATCTTGGGAAAGGCTAGCCACTTTGTGAGCAAGAATCAACCTGGCTATTGGAATGATCTGGACATGCTCGAGGTTGGTAATGGCGGCATGGACTATGACGAATACAAGCTTCACTTTAGCATGTGGGCGGCAATCAAAAGCCCATTGATCATGGGGAACAAACTGGATCAGTTGTCAGCCCAAGACTTTGGCATATTGGTGAACCCTGCAGTGCTCGCAATCAGTCAAGACCCAGCGGGGAGTGCGATCCAGAGGCAGCTTGTGAGGCAGGTCAACGACAAGGACGAGTATGGGTTCGGAGAACTACAGGTATGGTCGGGGGAGCTCGACAATGGTGACCAGGTGGTGGCGTTTCTAAACATTGGTAACTCATCCACGACAATGGAATTCTCATTGGTCGAGGTGTTTGGAGGGATCAGGACGAACAAGAACGCTCAGAAAAGGTGGGATCTCTTTGATGTCTGGGGCAACGAGACAGTCATGAGCAACGAGGTGGCGACTCAAATTCTCAATGGAACTCTGGCTGCTGGGGATGCAACAGGCTACTATAATGCCACAGCAATGTCGTGGTCCCAGGGACTCAATCAAAACAACCCGCTCTTGTTTGGGACGCCAGTGGGGACAGTCCAGCCTGGTGAGATGCTATCCGCTGAAGTTCCAAGACACGGGATCCAGATGTGGCGGCTGAGAGAAGCGAATATGTCGAGCAGAAAGCGAGATGAGGTGTAAGGAAGTGAAGGGTGTTGATGGGCGTATGGTTGAGCAATTCGAATAGAGCAGATGTGTTGCCTGAGAAGTATGAAAAGTATACGGCATTTAGGAGGTATCTACATAGGTACCTAGTACCTTATATAACCCCTGTGTGGAAGTGAATGAGAACATGATATCACGTGTCTCACGTGTCTCACGTGCTACACGTGACGCATGGTTTCTCCTATTGTTTGGGCAGGAACGACCTGGAGGGAAACAATCTTCTCTCAAGAATCTGCCAGGAGGCGCATGCAGTGTATGATTGACCCCTGAGTTGCCAAATTGACGTGAATCCAGGTCCCAACAGCATCTGACTGGATCGCTAAAACGCAACTGAAGAGCGAGAGGACCGTATCTCAGGCTGAGGGGCCGCTGGATGACCAAAGGTCATGTGGAGGAAGAAACAGCCCCACGAAAATCCCACTCATCCCAAGGGCCACCACCACAAACCTTTGACGTCCTCCACCAACCGAACCGAATGAGATGCTGCACTTGTCCTGTAGCAAGTCTTCTATCCACCCTCAGCCTCCCAAGTCAAGGGTTCCTCGCGCCAGGAACCCGACCATGCCGTTGAGATGCGCCCCATCCTCGTCCTAGCACCGTCTCCCAGTCTTTGGCCCACCAGAATCTGCTCATCCTTTCTGCACAACACCGGTCTTCGGACCTCATCTACTCGACCATCCCTCTTGACCTGCAAGACCTCTGGTCTCTTCAACCTCCTCCCCGGTCGATTGCGAATGGCGTCAACACTCCCCTCGTCGCCCGTCTTCCAGGCCATTGCCAAACACGACCCTCAAGCTCCCGCCATTATCCACAGCACCTCAAATAGGACATTCTGCTATGGGAGCTTGCTTCACGATGTCGCTTTTGCCAAAGACAAGTTGTCTGCTCTGGTCTCTGGCCGCTCGCTGGCTGGTGAGCGTATAGCCTTTCTTGCAGAAAATGGTTATGACTATGTAGGTGCGATCGCCCTTGATCCCACATCTTGTCTGCACAACAGTGTCTCTAATCATCCAACTAGTCACCTTCCTGTCCATTCTATCCCACAACGCCATAGCCCTTCCGCTTGCCCCGACCCATCCCGACTCTGAACTACGCTACATCCTCGACAACAGCAAGGCTCTGCTCTTTCTTGCCACGGAGAAATTTCAGGAAAAGGCCAACAAGGTGGTGCAGCATAGCATGGAGCACATGCCCCAGCTAGAGATTTTGTCCAAGATCGAGACAGGTGCGGTCTCAGCTGAGAATGTCAGGTTTAGCTCGGACACTGCACAGCAGGGTGGCTTCATGCTTTATACCTCAGGCACCACCAACCGGCCCAAGGGGGTGGTCTTGTCGACCCCCACCATCACCGCTCAAGCCATGTCTCTGATTGAAGCCTGGGAATACCGTCCATCAGATCTTCTTCTCCACGTGCTGCCTCTACATCACATCCACGGCACCATCAATGCCCTGTTTACCCCATTGATCGCCGGCTCGGCGATTGAATTCGCCTATCCCTTCAACGCCGACACCGTGTGGAAGCGACTGGCCGCTCCTTTTCTCCCACACTCTCCGCCCACCAAGAAGCCCATCACCTTCCTGACCGTGGTCCCCACCATCTATAACCGACTGCTCGCCTCCCATCCACAGCTTGACGCAGATATGCAAGAAGCCACGCGGACAGCCATCACTCAACAGCACATGCGCCTCAACATTTCGGGCTCCGCGGCATTGCCGACGCCCATCAAGTCGGCATGGACCAAGCTGAGCAGCGGCAACGTTCTGTTGGAGCGTTATGGAATGACCGAAGTCGGCATGGCCCTCTCATGTGGTCTTGCGTACGAGGACCGAGTCGACGGAAGTGTGGGCTGGCCATTACCGTCGGTCGAAGCCCGTCTAGTTGAGAGCGAGACTGGGCAAGTAATTGAGCTAGGCGAGGAGCTCACTGCGGACGGAAAACTTCGCGAAGGAGAGATCCAGCTGCGAGGACCAACCATCTTCACCGAATACTTCCGCAATCCCAAGGCGACGGCTGAAGAGTTTGTCGAGGGAGAAGACGGCAAAGGGAAGTGGTTCAAGACGGGCGATGTGGCGACGCGCCAGGTGGTTCCTGGAGCAGGTCACAGCCAGCAGTCCTGGGCCAAGGGTCCAATGTATTTCATTCGCGGACGCAAATCTGTTGATATCATCAAGACGGGCGGAGAAAAGGTGTCTGCCCTCGAAATCGAACGAGAGTTGTTGTCGTTGGCAGAAATCAGCGAGGCTGCGGTGGTGGGACTACCGAATGAGCAATGGGGCCAGAAGGTGGCCGCCGTCATTGTCCTGACTGAACATGGTCTCACAGCAGGGAAAGGTGGCAAGCAATGGAGTGTTATGGATATGCGCAGAGCCCTCAAGGACCGACTGGCCAATTACAAGATCCCACAGGAACTGATGGTGGTGGAATCGATACCCAAGAATGCCATGGGTAAGATCAACAAAAAGTCTTTGATCAAAGAGATCTTTGGCCCCAGTGTTGCAGGAGCCTGAATGGAGCCAACACGAGTGCTCTCTTTGTATGTCATGTACAGATATGTTGTTTTCCGTTTTCCAAAATTATACACTGTCGTGTGAGGCATTGGGTAGAGAATCCTACCATGGACCATGAAGACGAGCCAGACATGACTTCCCTACTCCAACATCTCTCATGCAACACCATTTCTCATGATGATAGCCCTCCTTGAAAAGAGATGCCTAGATTGGGTACCTAAAAATGTATATCAAGAAGCAAGTACGCGCCAATACGATTGTGCCTTCCTCTCTGGCAGTTTTCTAACCTCGCTCCTGCCCGGTTTTCTCGAAAGTCAGTTGGTGGTCGCGCCTTCTCCAAATTCCAATCTCGAAATCTCCGCGTCTCGAATAAAAATATTCCTTGTCAACATTTCTCCAACCTTAACTCTCACTCTCTCCACACCTTCCACACTCTCCCACCCCTCTCTCCCTTTGCTTCTCTTCGAAATGATTCCCCTCAGGCATTCAGCCAAGATGAGAGGGGTCTCAGGGTTTACTATCCTCTTGAGCTGTAAGAACCTACGCCATTCGGTCTCAATCTGTGAGGTATACCTCGGAAACGCCTTGAGTTGACATATGGGAGTAATCTCTCATTCCATATCTCCCTTGACCATTTCCTACAAGTTTGTTGCATTGTTCGCTCACATTTACACTGCCCTGATACAGCCCATTCACGTCGATTACTGATCCCTAGACATTAACCTCCAGTCAAGTCTTGTGCTGTCAATGCTCGATGCTCGTTAGAGTCTTTGCCAACACTCGATTTCTCCGACCAAAATATCCTAGAAGAATATCTCAATCAAGACCCATTGTTTCGCGACATTTCCACACTGCAACACTCGTCAATATGGAGTATGACAAATCAACCGTCCAGTCCATCCCAAATCCATCCACCACCGCCTCCGACAAGTCTGACTTTCGCGGTCACGCTCGTGTTCCTGGTGAGGTTGTCGATACATCGGTGCTCAATGAACCCATCACCCTGCCCTTCTCCGGCCGCATTGCCAAGAATCGCTTTCTCAAGGCTCCTATGACCGAACGTCTCTGTCAGTGGAATGCTGAAGGCGAAGATATTGTAAGTCTTCCCCTCGCCAAGTCCCAGCCAGTTCCATCGGATGGGCATGACTTGCTAACATGATGGTGACATAAAGTCAAACAGGGGAGTACCGACCCCAGAATACTTGCATTTGTATAAGCGATGGGGAGAAGGTACGCGAATTGCTATGCTTTTTATATCTATCAATGACGTTTATTGATACTCCCCATGTACCCTTTCCTTCCGCCCGCTAATCTTGACCCTTGTATTAGGTAACATCGGCATTATCGTCTCGGGAAATACTATGGTCCGTTATGACGCTGTTGAAGCATACGGGAATCCAATTCTGGTCGATGACCATGATGGTCGTGTCGCCAAATTCCGAGAGGTCACTACCGCAGCCAAAGCCCATGGGTCTTTGATTGTTGCTCAACTCTCCCATCCCGGTCGACAGGGCTCCAAATACCTCAACCCGAACCCCGTCAGCGCGAGTGATATCCAGCTAGAGATCAAATGGGCAGGTAACGAATTTGCCAAACCGAGGCCATTGGAAAAACATGAAATCAAGGACATGGTAAAGAGCTGGGGTGAAACTGCCTACCTGTGCTATCAAGCTGGGTTCGATGGCGTTCAAGGTAAGCGGTTGATTGCTTCTCCAGGATTTCTATTCTCGATCCAAGCCCACACTGTTTCTACAGCCGTCATTCTCTAAACCCGTCTCAACAGTGCATTGCGCCCACGGCTACCTCTTAGCCCAGTTCCTGTCTCCCACAACCAATCGTCGAACGGATGAATACGGCGGTGAAAGCCTCACCAACCGCTCCCGCATCGTCTTTGAAATCATCGACGAAATTCACCGTCGTGTGCCTGACCCCAGCTTCATCGTCTGCGTTAAACTTAATTCTGTCGAGTTTCAAGACAGAGGCACCACCACTGAAGACGCCCGCGACCTCTGCCTTGCACTCGAAAAAGCCCGCGTCGATTTTGTGGACCTTTCGGGAGGCACCTTTGAGGGTCGCGCATTCGAACATAAAAAGGAGTCAACTCGTAAACGTGAGGCATACTTCATCGAGTTCGCTGAGATGATCCGCCCATTACTCAAACAGACACGTGTCTATGTCACTGGGGGGTTACGCACTGCGAGTGGAATGGTCAAAGCAGTCCAGGATGGCGCGACCGACGGAATTGGCATTGGACGTCCACTTGCCGCTGAGCCCTTCCTGTGTAAGGAATTGATTGAGGGCAAGGTGTCTAGCGCAATTGAAAACTTCATGCCTCTTCCCTTGAACACACAGGCAAGTGGGACTCAGTTGCATCAGATTGGACTTGGTCACGAGAGCATTAGTGATTGGAGCGTGGAAGCCGAGGTCAAAAGGTGGACTGAAGCTAACGAGGCCGAGACCAAACGGAAGATGGATATATTGCCCAAGGTCGACAGTTCAGGGTACCCGTCCTTGACGGCTCATAGTGGATTCAGATATCTGATGGCGTGAAGCCTGGAACATGGACGAGAGCCATTGCAGGGCCAACCTGGGCCGAGGGGGCCTAATGTAAGTAGACCAAGCCTATACCAAAGCCTGAGATCGCATCCGTTGAATATATGCATGAAACATGAAAAAGCCCATCCAAACAGACACATGCATGGCAATGACTAAACAGCTGGAATCATGGCAAGCAGGTAGGAATGCACAAAGCAGAGTTCATCACGGAAGGCATTTAACGGATGCCAGAGTGAGCCAAACGTGGAGAATGAAAAAGTAATTTGTCTCATTTCATGCTCGAGGTATCCGAGTGATCCAGAAAACAATCCGACCACGCAAAGTCGCCACATTGTTTCGCCATGTTGACCAGCATAGACTTCTTTTTGTGCCCTTGAGGGCCTTTGCACTAAGTGCACATCTCATGCTTCCACCATGGCCTCCCACCAGTGACGACTTCAAGACCTAGCGCCATAAGCATGGCAGCAACGTGGTAAGAACCAACAATTGGTTCTTGCCCCTTGTCCGGTCTTCCCATAGCTATCTCTAGTCTCTAGCTTGCTTTTCTTCACCTCGCCCAATTCGCTTCTAAAATTTCTGGAACGACTTGACCGCCTTGCCTGTTCGGGGAAGGACGCGGAGGACGTTGAATCGGACCTAATGGAAATCAATCATCAGTAGCCATCCATATATCGCTGCAGTGTGCACAAATTTCTTTCCAAACTCATCACCTCCACACAGATCAGGATGGATTCAATGCTTACAGTCTTGCTGAGAGGTCTGCATTGACCGACAGTGACGGTATCGCCCTCTTCGACACGGAAAGCAGGAGAAACGTGAGCGGCAAGGTTGGCGTGTCGCTTCTCATAACGGGCGTATTTGGGGACAAAGTGAAGGTATTCTCGGCGGATGATCAGTGTTCGGTGCATCTTGGTCGAGACGACTTTGCCGGTCAGGATACGTCCTCGGATTGAAACTTGGCCGGTGAAGGGGCATTTCTTATCTGTAAAGGCGTCATGTTAGAATCGATTCGGAAGGTAAAATCTGCTCTGTTGCCCTCCGGAATCGTGTTCCAGGTTGCAAGACGCAATCTTGAATTCTTTCGGTCTGAGACCTCGAGAAATTCGAGATATGACATTCTCTTCGAGCATACAGAGATTCCTGGCTCACTGACCGATGTATGAACCCTCAATGGCGGTCTTTGGTGTTCTGAAACCCAAACCAACATCCTTGTACCATCTTCGGCCACCCTTTCCAGCGCTTCGGCTCTTTGAGGCAACCTTGTGGTTGAGGAAGATGTGAGGCTGCTTCTGGTATGCGCGCTCGGACTGAACGGTCAACTCGGTCGCCATGCTTGCGGTGTTGTAGTTGACAGAACGGGCGCAGGCGGGAAAGGATTGTCGTTGTCGAGTTTGTGGTTGGAAGTCGTGGGTTGCAAGCGAAAAGCCGCACACCAAAATCTTGCCAGTGTGCGAAAGTCTTGGCGAGTGGCAGACGCCAAGAAAGTGAGGCCGGTACGCACGTGACTTAGAACCTGCAAGCACGTGTGGATCTGATGTCAGGTGACTTCGTGGACGTTTCCCGGTTTTGGCTTCGACCCAATCGGGACAAAGTTTATTTACGCGACGATGGATCAATACATACGGAGTACAGTTATGCAGCAGGTGCGTCTCTTCTGTTATGGTCAACGGCAAGTGGAAGCCAGGGCGGGACCTCGACTGATCTCTCTCCATCCTTCACTCCACCACTACTACCCACTCCTTCTGTTATTCATTATTCTTGCCATCTCTATTGCTTTTGCATCTGTTCACTTCCCCTCAACCATTTTGGCGTGCGTCTCAAAATGGACGACTCATCCGTCCATCAACGCTCCTCGAAGCTCAAGAGCCGACGCTCGATCGCGCACCCACCCTCTGCCCGCGCCGCTGCCTTGAAGGACAATGCAACCACAGACATTGCCGCCCTCCAGGCCGAACATGGCAGTCAACAATTGACCAAAAAGAAATCCCGTGGGAAAAGTCTCGGACCTGGTGGTATCGAGGCTTTGAAAGAAACCTTTGCCAATGCGGCCAAAGTAAATATCCCATTCTGCTGAACGGTCTTCAGTCGCCGTATTAATCTACTCTTTAGTCACCAGCGCCCTTTCAGATACGGTCCATACTTAAGCCAACAATTCCTCTAACACCCCCAAAGGCGATCCCTTCGTTTGACGAATTGCGCAGAAGAAGCACAGGCAAGGCTAATTCGCCTGTAAAATCTCATGCTGAGGAGCTTCTGATCGACTTCTCCACCCCCGGTGTCAATCGACCAAACAATGAGGACATTGCTATCTCTGGTGCTCATGGTGTTCTTGATCCTTTCAGCCCAATCGCACGACGAAGTCCTTCAGAATTGACCACCGAGTCCCGAGGCCAAGAACTAGATCATGACGAGCTCAAGCGGCAACAAGAAAAGAAAGCAATTCTGGAGAGGCGAGCTGCAAGGCGAAAATCCCTTGCAAACAGAAGAGTCTCCTTTGCTCCAGAGGCCACTTTACATACCTGGAGCGTAATGGAGATGCCGGAAGACTCCACAACTAGTTCTGCCTCCAACTCTACTCGCAGACAATCATCAATGACAACCGCACAGTCTCCGATCAAGATACCAGCATCGCCAGACGTGTCGACTCTTCCTTCGACACGTCACGAGTCCATGGGCGAAGATATCGTCCAGGAGTCTCCGGCGCACCAACGGGACCTTCACCAGAAGAAACGACGTAGGAGAAGTTCTGGACTAGCTGAGCCTGTGTTGGATGATCTACAAGACCAAGTCTACTCTTCAAGTCCTTCGGGTGATGTTCTGACCAACAGCAGCCCCATGAGAGTCGAAGATGGTATTGAATCATCCGACGATTCAGATACGGATGGAGATACTGCCATGAGCATCGATGACGCGACTGTCAACACGGTAGGCTCTCAAGAGTCGTCATCAAGCACCCATTCTAGCCTCGAGGGTCGTCTCCGGCAAGCTGCACAGCAAGCCGGGACACGTGGAATCGAATACGACGAGAACGGCGAAGACATGTCGATGGAAATGGTCACTGGCACAGTTACACATGCATTCCAGCCATGGGCACGAGGAACAAGTGAGGGCAGTGATTACACAGCCATGCACGACCAAGAGAACATTAACCCATTCCCAAACAGAGTTGAGCAATATGGAGGGCCACATGCTCAAGTACCACCATTTGATGAACACGATCGATTCAATGATCAAACACAGGACATCAGTATGGACGTCACCCGTGCTGTAGGCGGCATTCTTGCGAATCGAGACTCGACTAAGAAGGAGGTCAATCGGTCCCCGAGCGCGCGTAAGAGAAGCAGCATGCATCGCCGTCGATCTTCAGGCGCGGACTCAGCCTTCGATGAGACCATGGAGTTCACCGTTATGCAGGGTGGCATCCTTGGCTCCGATCGAGATGATCGCACAGAAAACCTGACCGAGCCAGGTATGACAATGGACTTCACTAGCGCTGTTGGCGCAATCTTGGGCAGCTCCGCTAGAAGGGAGTCCGTCTTCCCCCAGCCATCCGATATCATCGATGATAACGCCACTATGGAAATGACCATGGCTGTTGGTGGCATACTACCCCCCATTGAAGAACAGACGGAACCTGCTAGTATGATCGAAGAAGAGAAAACCGTGGCTATGGATTTGGCCCGCGCGGTAGGCGGCATCATGGGACAGACTCCTGTGGCAAGACGATCAACAGCTAGAAAATCACTTGGCGTTGATCTCACTCCTGCAACAATGAATACGGCGATTCAATCATCAATTCCTGAGGCTGCTGAACCGGATCGAACGCCGGAAGCAAATCCTCTTCATGTCGCTCCAACTGCGTCGGAAACAGGTAGCCCTAGTCTGACGCTCAAACCAAGACTCTCTGCGAGGTCTCAGCGATATGCTGGCAGCGCTTCGACAACACCTGCGACAAACCCAAAGGTGGTAACCCCTGTCAAGTCGGCAACAAGAGCACACCATGACACTCCTTCAAAACAGATTACGCCGCTTCCAGTTCGTGCCGAAACCCCGAACAAGACTCCCATTTCCGCAAATGTGACCCATAGAGGTGCATCACCAAAGAAGTTGTTCAAGGCGGAGATAAAAGCGCGTGCCTCACCAGGCTCCGTTGTGCGTGAAGCCAATATAAAAGGAAACTCTCTCTTCTCCCGAGACTCGGAGACTGGCCAACAGACTCCGAGTGTTGTCCTGCGGGCGACAAAGCAAAGCTATACGAAAAGAAGATCTAGTGGAGTTGGCGTGGACAAGGACGGAATTGGGTCGCCACGGATCTCCGAATTGCTGGATCGTCGAGCTTCCATTGGCGATGCCGCACCTCAATTCCACGTAGGAAAAGTCAAGGGCCCGGGATTGCGATTCGAAGACCCCTTACAACTTCAGAACGAAGTTGAGCTCGAGCGCAAGGAGGAACACCGACGTGAAAGTGGCCGCTTCATCATGGAACAGGAGGCTGACGAGCAGCAAGGCGAGAACACGACCTTGCAGCTTAAGGACATGATTCAAGCGATGTCACCCAAGAAGTCCAAGTCCAGGAAACTAAATGGAAGAAAGAGCCTCGCCATAGGCGGAGCCAAAGGTCTCCTTGGGAAAAGACCCATCGAACTTGATGAGGACGAGGACGATGGAGCAGACTCTACCCCAAAACGACTGAAGCTGCTGTCTAGAGATGGTAGTCCCGTGAAGAAGATCCATCTCCCGAAACCTCCCAGCAAGGACGAAACAACCGGAAGACTTGGGGCACACCTTCAGCAAGCGCTCCAGGATATGAACGGTTGCGACAAGGAAACACCAAAGATCGGACCAAACTCTCCCCCCGAATCGAGACTTGGACAGAGTCCGCCGACTATCGGTCGTTTTAGAAACGCTGAATTCGGTGATGGGGCAAGACCAACCTCGTTCGAGGATAAGCTCGACAATGTTGTTGGCGCTATTGATATCAGTACAGCAGAGATGTTAGATGGAGTGGACGCGGCGGAAGAAGAACAAGAGAGAATCTCACTCCAGGACTTCCTCAACATGACCAATATTCACTTCATTGAGCTATCGACGACCAAGAGACGGCAAACAATGGCAAGAATATCAACCGTTGGACAGTCGGACGAAGGATCTCATCGGGATGGTATGGAGGCAGCCTTCATTGCTGCCACGACGACGCTGCCTCTGCTGGAGTTGTATCAACATGCCACAAGGGAGCTCAAGTCATACATATCAACGGGACGAAAGATTGTTCGATCGATTGAAGCTGAAACTCTTGCAGAACAGCCACTCCTGTTTAGAGAGTATGTCGACGCTCGTCCAGATGTCAAAGTGATCATGGACAATCAGTTTCGTAATGGAAAAGCGAACGCCCGTCTTCAGAGTAAGGAGGGGTGGTACCAGTGGCGCACGCAGCTGGTCCAAGGTCTACAGACTGGCTTGGAAGGGATAAGCAGGAACATGAAAGATGACCTTGAATCACTCTGCGTCCAAGAGCAGACCCTGGACAGAGTTGTCCCTCTCATATTGGAGCATGAGGAGGAGCTTGAAAAGCAGAAGCAACTACTCGACCAAACGGTGAAGGAACTGGATAATGTTGATCACGAAATTCTCGATCGTGCTCGTCGAGATCTGCGAGCTGCTGACGCATATCATCTTCAGAGAGCTGCCCTGCTGGATTCTTTGCGAAAAGACGTGGAGGAAAAAGAGGAAGCTCTTGCCTCTGCAGCCGAACTCAAGGTGGAAATGATGGAACAGATCGCTGAAGCAGATCGTGTGACGGAGGAGCACAAAGGCTGGCCCGCTGCAGTGGTGACTGAGTTCAAAACCAGAATCGACAGCATTGAAAACGAAAGCGGATGGCGCCTTCTTACGGCCGAGGAAGATGTCGATGAGTGCAACGATTTTGGTGTTGCTCTCACAATGGTGCACAAGGGTCAGCTTCGACTATTCTTCTACCCACAAGCCTATCAGGCGAACAATTCAAGCAGTAGAAGGAGATCGGGGCGCAAGTCGGCGTCTATCTCGGGACCTACAGCACCAATCAGCCTTACTTATGCACCGACAACACAAGATGGAGAGAGCGACCCCACAGCAGTGCCACCGACAGAGAAGCGATTCTTTCTCCAATTAATAAGAAGTCAGCTTCACGCCTTTTCCATGATGCCGAAGGGAACAGTCGCTTCAGCGACACTCCTATCCACTGTATCAAAAGGTTGGGATTTGGCTTGCCGTGTGTCACAGGAGATTCGGCTGCTCAATATGATTGGAGTTGCAACGGCATCGATTCTTGGGGACGAGAAGCTTGGTGTGAACGTAATGTTGATGCTCCCAGGCCACGGACGAGTTGACGTTGAATTTGTTGTTGCCGTCACAATTCTCAACGACGGTAGCATTGCCGCCGCAACCAATGTCAATGCATCTGCTGTCTATGGAAGCGCATCGGAATTTCTCTCAGGAGCAAAAAGCAGGAAAGTTCACCAGGCTCTTGGCAAGGAGATTGAGACGAGACACTTGGGCGATGGCGCATGGGCTAAAGCCATCCAAGGCTTTGAGGCTTGGTTCACAGTCCAGCAGGAGAAGGCAAAGCAAGAAATGAATGCAGAACCTCGAGAACAGATTCCTGCTCCTATAGCTGAAGCTCAGCCTCTGCTATCGCCCTCAAAGCCGTCCAATTCGACTACCCCAGCACCAAAGCGATCACCTCTGGCGGCCAAGAGAACCAACTTTGTTCAGAAGAAGGCTCTTCCTGTTCCCAAGCAGAGATTAGAGAAGGCAAACTTCAATGCGTCTCAGACTTCAGGCTCTCAACCTCATTATCAGTCTGAGAAGGAAAATTTTGACCCGGCAGCCTCGATGAGCAAGGCAACTACAATAACTGGCACTGGCAAGGGAAATACCGACGATTGGAACGATAAGCCATTTTCGGTCCCTAAAGCCGCAATTCCGCCTGCGATGCAAGAAGCTATGATGATGCACACGCCTATCAAACGGATTGGAGCACTCAGACGGAGTCCGATGTGATCTCGAAGAAAATTGGCAGCCAGATACGGCTGGAAATCCGAGGCCTTTACAGTGGATGTTTTGCCAGGACGGCTTGGACGTTGGGTTTGCGAACCTCGGCGGAAAGATGGAGAGTGCTTTGGTCTAGAATAACGACTATAACAATGATGAAGATGAATATGTCGAGTTTGTACACGCATTCCAGCGAGCGAGTCTATTGGGGAATGGTAGTATGTAATTGGAATCTTGAGATTGAGTTGCAACATGGATAATCAATTAAAGTGTGCAAAACCCGCACCGACTGAATTGTTACCAGAGCATTCCGCTGTCAAGTAAAATGACGAGTTGTGTCAGATGCTACATTGATTCCATAAGATCGAGTTCTTTGTCTTTTGTGACTGGGACGTAGGGAGAGATGTTATTGAAAAGTCGAGTCAGTATTAGACGTAGATGTATTAAGGAATATATGCTTGATGGCAGGGGTAGCGTATCAGCCTGGAAGTGATGGTCACAAACATCTCTAGCACACCCTAAGTAGGAGAATAGACAGACAACCATTACATCTGAGGGACAACCATTCAACATGGCGCAGACAAGCCAGATATCGACTTTTGATACCCAGAATTGTGTTCTTGTCGTTGCCAAAAATAAACAACCAAGCGACATAGGCAATCCCAGTCGCTATGCTATGCTGGGCTAAGCTTAAATACGTATCTTCGTGTGCAGAGTGCCCAAGCCGAGTAGGAGATGGCTTTCTTTATAATATTGGATAATGATCCTCCTGTACTCGTTGTCACCCTAGGACCTGAAGCTCATTTTCTCCTTTATCGCCATCTTTGTCGCCTTCTATCCTCAACGATTTCCTTTCCAACCTGACAGGCTTAAATTGATGCCAGCAATTGGGTGCTTCCAGCACGTATCGATTCATGGCCTCTCTGAACCGTCTTTTATATTCCTTGGGACTGGTGACCGTGGGACGATTCTTGCCGCCTCTAGCGAAGCCCCGATCTTTGATCCAACTCTCCAGTTTCTTGTCCCATGTGTACGTCCTAATGCAGTCAATGATGCCGACAACAAGCTCCTTGCGAGTTTCATCAATGGCCACCATCAAACTGTAGTCCATGACATTTTGTCGGGCGAGAAACAGTGTATCATTGTGAACGGACAGTCGCAGGAGTTTCTTGCTGTGTTCGCGGGCAAATAGAGGTGACTCATATATGAACTCGACCATGTTTTCGTCCAGGAGGACCTCGTTCTTTTCCCCTGTGGCGTTGATTTTGCGATTTCGCATGCTTCCTTTCAGATCAAAAATCCTAGTCGGTATTCGATCGTAAAACAGGTTTTCCATGAGGACGAGAAACCAATTATACTCGACGCCAGTGACTGGATTTTTGATAATGATTTGGTAGAACCCCAACATCTTCGCAATGACAGAGGGCAACTCGTGAAAGAATGCCTCCGACATGATCTGGAAATAGTTGGGAGCGAATTTCAGAAACGATTGTGTTTCGATCGGGGAAAGGGACTTCAAAACAAAGCGATCATCCAGTGTCTTCAGAAAAAGTGATTTGGTCTTGCCTCCTTTAGAGTCCCATTTCAGACATCTCGATAATGATTCGATGACTCGATCTGCCACACCACATTTCCTGCGCATGGCATCGAATTGTTCGGCGAAGAAGATTTTGCACAGCATCTTGGCGGGGCCTTCCTGGAATTGATATTTTAGATGGCTGCCAGTTTTGCGTAACAACGAGTGCATCACATCTGCCTGGAGTGCATCCGAATGATCGTGGCCATTGATATCAAGGGCGTCGCAGTCGTGAGCCTGGCCTTGCATATTTGCAAGCATCGTCTTGTAGTCTTGTGAGTCCAAAGCGAAAGCAATGATTGAGCTTGGCTCGTCCTCCCGGACAACGATGTCACAATCAGCAAAGATGTGCTCTGATGCTGCGAGGGGGTATTCCAATGGTGTCCAACCACTTGACGAGCGTTCTGCCCAGAAGTTGGTGAGCATTTTCATCAATGACGTGCGTTCGTGCTTCGGAAGTTCTTTCATCTCCATATCCTCCTGAGATAGACGCAGGAGATCTTCTGGCGAGTCGGGAAGGAAGACCTCCTCCGAAGCATCATCAATATCACTCCGGTCCTCTGCCTCAGATGGTGCATGGCTAGAGAGATGAATATCCGCCTCTGTTTCAGTGGCATCAACTGTAATACCTTCAATGTGGAAGCCAGGCCCGTCATGCTTAGACGTATCAGTCTCGGCCATACCTTGGGCAGTGTTTGCCGTTGCTCCCGGGTCTTGATTTGGATGATCACCCATGCCAAAAACATCGTCAGTGTCGCCCTTTTCGTCAACAGCTTCGTCTACATCCTGGTAAATCTCTACGATAGCTTTGGGGGCAGCTGCAGGATACCGGGATTGACGACTTTTAGCGGCACGAAGCTTTCTCTCGCGGATCCGCTCACGTTCGAATTCGCGACTCAATTGTTCAAAATGTTTGGCGAGATTGGAAACACGAGACTCCTTACGGTTGGTGATTGCCCGTGGTATCAAGGACTGTCCCTTAGCAAATGTATTCCGCTTGAGTTGACCGAGACCTAGTCGTTCAGAAAGCTTCTTTTCGGGTGCGTTGGAAGCAGAATCGATACTGCCAGGAGAAAGGGCATGGCGATCTTTGGGTCCTCCATTCATGATATTGGCCACTGAGATTATACTCGAACTCGCTTGGTTGGAATGTAGACGAAGAGTGGCGGAGCCAACAGGTTGAGATTGTGCTCGGACCAAGGCAGGAGAAGTTGCTGTGCCTTCTTCACTGCGGCGAAACCTCCGCGGTGAGGTAACGTCTGGCTTTGGGGTAATGAGATTTCCACTTCTCTCGTTTGTCTCGGACACTGGCGGACTGCCGTCAGGAAGCGAGATGACCGCAACATCTGACAATACCGGTGGTGACTGCTGGTGAGCGGTATCATTAACTGTGAGATCAGTTGGACTTAGCGCAACTGTCCCTGGAACACCCAAATCGCCATGAGTTGCTAAAGCTGGAGTCGGGCCTGACGGCAACGCTAGGTCAAGATGCTTGACATCCTCCACATCACGAGGTCCGTCCAAAACTGAGGGTAGCGTTTGTATATCTGAGCTGCTAACTTCAACCGGCAAAGGCTGTTCGTGCTTTGAGGGAGACGATGAAGCATGTTCCTCTAGCACAGACTGAAGGACATTTTGAGTCTTTTCCGGCGATAGCTTAGCAGCTTTCTGAATCTCAGGAACTACCACCTGGTCATCGGCGAGAGCATCTTTTTCGGCACTGGCATCGTCCGCGGGAGGTGTAGTACCCCCTTCATCGTTGGAACCTAAGGAAGTGACGGAGACGTCGCGGTCCAGAAAAATCTTCTTCAACTGTAAGGTTGCTAACCTTCTGATATCTTTCTCGGACGGGAAGTAGTTCCTTTCAAAATCTGCAAAAATTGTATCCCATTCGGAGACCTTTTCCTGCGTTGCGCGAACGATAGCATTGAAGGGTATAGTTTCCCAGTATCGGGAATTGGTGTATATCTCCTGGAGCTGCTTGAACATGCCTGCATGCTCTTCGTTGGCCTTTTTCGTCAAACGTTCGATCTCGGCTCGACACTCGTCGAGGGTCTCTGGAAGAACAGCCTCGACATTGATGCTTCTCAGACGTAGTTTCACAGAGCCCATGAACCGCGTGAGGCGGTGTTCCATACGAGTATAGAGCTCATTTCTGAATTTGAGATCGTTGTCAACTTTCCAGGTAATCCTCATTCTTGGGACAATGATTTCGAGGAGCTCAATTGGATCGTAGTGCACACGCAGTGCGAAATCCTTGTATCCAAAATAGCGCAGATGATCTCGATGCAAATCATGAGGGCATATGCCCGCGCGAGCGTGCAGGTCCGAGCTCCAAAATGAAAGCTCAAGATACTTGCCGAACGAGTACTTCCAGGTATTGGGAGACATGGGTGTGACGGTGGTCTCGACGCCACAAATCTTGCATTGACTCCACATCAAGATGACATCGTGATAGCCTCGCATTTTGGAAGGATAGGGCTGCACGAAGACGGTGATCTGCGCTTGGCCATGGACGTATTGCCGGTGATGCTCATACATCTTCTTCTCACACGTATCAGATGCGCAAGTATCGTCTGCGCGGAGACATAGATCTTCCACGTATTGACCAAGCGTGCAATCTGCTTCAAATTCGGCGTCCACTTCATGTTCATTATAGAAGCTGAAAGCCAGCAGATCGGGACCAGAGCATGGCACGGAGGTTTCGGTGGAAACTTGGCTGAAAAGAACCACAATGTTCTGGTGGGCAAAAGGATCAAAGAGGTTACGGTTTCCAGAGAGATATGTCTCCCATTGTTTCTTCTGCGTTTCGTAATTGTGCGCAGCTTTGTCGTATTCGGCGTCATGTACAGCATGTATGATCTCCCGAACTTTCTTGCTGGCACCTTCGAGCGTTCGATGAACCATTTCGGGTGATATCAAAGTGAACTTGTTGCTTTTGCCTTTGTCTTCGATGGCTTGTTCGGCGGACATGTCTTGGTCACGCAGCCTTTTCAAATAAGCAACGCGCCTTTCCAATTCTCTCGCCCGCATCAAGAGGTACGGCGGCATGAACCTGACAAATGGAGACGCGGATAATACCCTTGTCTCGTGTTTCAGGACGAGGTCCTCGTAGAACGTTGGAACGGGAATGTCATCTGGAATATGTGCAAAATCAGTACTGTCCAGTCTGACGGCCGGGCTAAATTGATCTTCCTTCTCGGCAAGGGCAATATCCGTGGTGGCCACCTCCACAGCAGTCTTTGTTTCCACTTCTGCAGCACCATGTGGTTCAGCAGAAGATTTAGCCTCCTCTTCAGAAGCCGAGTTGGATCCGTGTTTCTTTGCATAGAGAGTTGTTTTCTCTGCGCCAGTCTCGGATGGTTTGTCTCCGACTGTAGTTGGTATCAATGCCCATTCATCACGCATCAAGCACGTCTCCAATTTGAGATTATAAACCACATAGACCATGAACTCTGTCACACGTTTTATTTTGGCAAGTGTCTGTCGATCCGCACCTCTGAGTGCGATTGTGCAGCCAAGTTGCGGCGGACAGCCCGAGAGGTAGACATAGGTTTTTTTGCGTCCGTCGGCCACAAATGTCTTGACCTCAAAAGAATCACACGTGCCGAGAGAACCTTGAGAGGTGAGTTTGTCCATTGAATGAGCAACGCGAGCTTGGGTGCACCTAGATACGGCATCGAGGACTGCCGGCTTCACGTTGAAGATGGTGGTAATCTTGGCCTTCTCCAAAAGCTCAATGGCAAGACCTGAGATGTTTCGCTGGGCTAGAAGGACGTGTGGCTTGAGTGCAGCAATCCTTCCCACCAAATTCTCGAGGTATTCCCTTTCTTGTCGGATGACGGGATCCAGACTCATAAAGTGCTGTTCGTGTCGAGCATATTCCAATGCAAAGGTTATGATGAGGATCTTGGGATTTGTATAATACCGGGGCATGCTTTTCAGAGCAACATTTTTGGTGAACACCAGGCCAGATATGTAAGCGGTGTCTCCGGGTTTGCCTCCTGGGATTTTCTTGAGTTTGACATAATTTCGGATGTCAATATCATCGCCACCTTGAACATCTGGATCCACATCGTCGGTTGCTTTCAGCAGAATCGGGATCAGGGCATCCTCCCAACTTGACAGTTTGCTGACATTGGCATCTTTGAGTAATTGTTGAAGGAGACGATGGACATGCTGGATGCTAGCACGGTTCAACTCCATAGCCGGAGCCGCAACGCCGCGCATTGATGCACTTCGAATCATTCTAGATCCTCCGCGGAAGGGTCCAGGTGTATCAATGGTACCATCTACTGTGTCGTCGGGGGTATTGGGAACGATGATCTGCAGTCTCTCTCTTGTGGTCCGGGGAGTTGAGCGTTGGTGGATACTGCTAGAAACGCTGAGATTGCGCTTGCGCGAAGATCGAGGAGCATCAAGACGAGAGCTGATGACGCTGGTGTCGTCTGTATCTTTCCCCAAGCTGAGGAAGCCCGCAATGCTCCTATCTCCGATTCGAGAACGGCCCTTCCTAACGGCGGCGAGGAGACCACCAATAGCAGTCCTATCATTATCAGGTCCACTACGAGATAGCTTCGTGTCGGCAGTATCAATCACGGATTGCTCGTCTTCGCTGGAAGGGTCATCGGAAAGGTACTGGGCTAGGTCAGGGTCGATGATGCTGTCTCGGTGGAAAGCGGAGGTCTTGGCGGCCTTTGGGCCATCATCTGCCAGTCGACGCTGGAAGGGAACACGATCTTCGTGATAGGCCTTGAAGCTTCGAATATGCTGGTGACGAGAATGATGACGTTTGTGGCCATGGCCGATAGAATGGGTGGCTTTCAGTGATCTTGAAGAACTGGGGCGAGGCAAAGGTCGATCGAATGTGTCAAACTCCAAGACTGCGGAAGACCCATCGACACCTTCAAAAGCGCGACGGACGGGAAAGCTCATTATAGGAGTCTTTGCCATCTGCTCGAGAGACTGAGACATGACTGAGACGTTGTCGTCGTCAAACCGAGCAATGGAACGATTGACAGGCGGACGATCAGGGGTTCGTGGGCGTGCGGCTGAATCTGTCAGGGCGAACTCCTCGACCGAATAGTCGGAGGAATCATCGTCATCGTGAGAAGTGATGATGGATTCACAGGGCTTGCATACACGCACAGCACTATTGGAACCAAAATAACTCCCTGTGATGAGAACAGTGCATTTGCTGTCGAAAATTTGCCCACATGTGCGACAGTGGTGCTTTCGTCTGAATGTGGTGAAAGGCTCGCCACAATGGAAACAGTCTTTAGCGTTCTCGTCTCTCATCCAAAATTCTTTGCTCAACAGCCTGCTGCGCAACTTGTTGATCGGGCGAGGTTGCGTAGGGGGTGCAGCGCTCAAATCCGGTCGAGTTTCGACGGTCAGGATTCGAGATAGACCTCCAGGAATAGTAGAATCAGACGAGGATGTTCTTGACGCACGAAAGCCCGGCAAGCGCGATTGCGTAACCTTGGGAACGAGCTTTTCACCGTGTTTCCGGTCCGACTTTGAGGAGAGCAACGACGGTGATTTGAGAGCAGTGGCCTCTGCACTTTTGCTGTGGGAACTTGAAGGGGTTTTTGAAATAGCTGCATTCTCAGCGAGCAAATCCAGCGGACTTGTGTGTTGCTGCTTGAGAGTTGCGGCCATTTCGTGTTTAGACGATGTCACGCGAGATGCAGATCGATCTTCGACATCGATTGAAAGCGTGGATGGAGTGATTGAATCGGAATGGCTCAGATGGCTGTGGGCTGAGGCAGCGGACAGAGCGCGCTCGTGGGAGCTGGGGATGACTCGTACAGCGGGTCTTTGGGTTGGACCCAAGCGTGGGGACGTCAACATACGTCCGGCACGGTCTGAAGATGCACCGGCATTGACATTGTTTGAGAAGACGCGACGTAAGCCATCTCCATCCGCTGACGACATGTGAAGACGATCATCATGGTGAATGGAGTTCAAGTCGAGTCCTGAACCGGTGCGGTTGTGTGTTGTAGAGGCAATAGCATGAATGTTGAGTTCAGTAACAGCAGGGAAGACGAGGTGGGAAGATGGGTGTGGAGGGCCGGTGGGTGATCGTAAGGCGGGGGTCGAAGGGCCAGAAGCCTTTGCTATGCTTGTTGCCTTGGAGGAAATCTTGGAAGATTGCATAGAAGGAGGGTCAACCAGCACTGGGGAGTCGAAGGCGAGCAGCCTGGGGGATTGGACTTTGGATGCCAGGCCTGAACTCGGCTTAGAAGGAACACGGTCCTCTGTGAGAACATGTGTGGCCCGAACAGAATCATTCTGCTCGACTGGTTCCTTTGCTGCTCCAACAGTTGCTTTGATCTTGTTGTATAATCCTGATAACCCGCCCTGAATGTCACCAGCCAAGGTCCGATTTTCTGTGGGGGATGTTGCTGGTGGAGGGTCGGTGTATTCGTTGAATACGGTCAAGTTGTTGGATTGGGATGCGGCCGAGTGGATGGTGTTGAGGGCCTGGTTGAGAGCTCCTTGATCGAGGTCGCTAGATAACGAGGACTTTGAGTCTTTACGGGGCCTGCGACCGAGAGGGAGGAAGATGGAGGAGGCCGACGGACTCTGGTTATCTGGGATGGTGGAAGGCATTTTGTTGTTGCTCTAGTCAGCCCGGAGGCTCCGCAGCCAGGAGGTTTTTTATAAGTCAGGCGAGCGGAGTTCATACTCATGACCATAGTCGTTGTGGTGTGGTCATTGATGATTCGCCGAAGGGCATGGTCAGCATCCAGGCAAATGAGACTTGGACGAACAACGTGATCGTGGCGTGCATACAGCAGAGAACGTGACCAAGTGTATATTCTGGCGACAAGAGAGATCTCTGCGAGCGGGACGCGTTGTCTACAAGACCGTCTACGACGAGTGTCCTTGTGAAGAACGCAGGTTCTAGGTTGAAGGCGACAGTGAGAGACGGTTGAAGCAGTTAGCAGTTGGCAGTTGGCAGTGACAGATGTGGCTATGCGGGGAGAAGTGGCGGATGTCGTGGTGGCGTAATTCATCTACGGAGTATATAGTCACGTGATCAGGAGCACCGCGCTTTCTGCACCTGCCGCAGTTTAGTTTTAACGCGTCGACGTGGATGGAAGGTAGGCACAGAGGGAAAGAGCAGACGTGTCGCGCGTGTGTACCGTCCACACCGTCATACCCTCAGACCGTGGATCCCGTGACCCCTCACAACAACATGACATGATACAACAGATTCAACACCTCAAACATGTTGTATTCACAAAAAAGACCACACCAGCCACTTGCCCTCCAGTCTGCATCCCGTATGCGTCCACCTCAAGACAATAGGTTCTCGCTGGGATCTTTGCAGTTGCCGAGTCTTCACAGCCAGATGTCGATATCCCCGAAGATCTCTCTTCCATCTCGTTCCTCAATTTCTGCCGAGTCCGCTGTCAGGCTGTCCGCCCACTACCAGGCCCGTTCTGTCTCGGAGATGGCCAAATTCAATACTTTTGATATTCTCTGATAAGTTCTAGCCATCATGACCAGTTCTTTCTCAACCCAGCCCTGTGTGGTTGATCAAATCCTCCCTCCCATCGTCAGCATTACCTCTGGTCGTAGCCTCTCGCGAGACAACACTTCGCTGAAAAGACTACTCTCGAATGCACCCTCTTCCATTTCACAGGCAAACCCCACAACTCAGCGTGAGAGACAATTTGCCGGTTCAAACCACGCACCGCCTCCGAAAGATATTGAAAAGGGGCAAGAGGAGGTTGAGGTCACCGCGAAGCACAACCCATCCGATCAACTACACTTGGAACTGCCTAGCAACGACTCCAACAATGCATCATCCCAGATACCTGCACAGCTCCCTTGCCAACTCATCGGCCACTTCAGGCGCTGGCGGCAAGAATCCCTCCAGGGAAGGCTGTTGCCCTGCTACATATCAATAATCCCGAAAGATCAACAAGCAATACTAGACTCAGACAATGCATGGCGACCAGCTATTGTTGGCCAGCCCAACCTACCAGGAGATGTGCCTCCCAATTTGCTGCAAGAGTTGTCTTTGAAGGCCGAAGGCCAATCTGATAAAGTCGAGCCCCGCCCTTCTATCCTAAATTCCCCTTTATCGTCACCGAAGCAAGCCTCCGAAATACAACTACCTGCGCGACCTGCTCTACCTGAGCATCCCGATGACGATTCCGATGATTCTGACGAGTCAGCAGTGGCATGGTCCTCCAGTCCCCCAACCCAAGATCGTCGGAACAGACTTGCTGATCATGCAGCTTTCGAAAACAGGGACGATGAGTCGTCAGGCACCGATAGTGAGGATGCACTTGGTCATCTGCCACCTGACTCCAGTCCACTACAGTTGCCGGCATTTACGAACGACAGGACGACCTTTCTCCCCAAGCCAGGAAGCCAGCTTTCAAGCAAGCCCAACACTATGTCTGAGCGCACAGAGGAAAAGGCCTCGGACGGAGATGAGAAGAATCAGAACGTCAATGTTATTATTGATCCATGTGCAAACACGAGTCCCGACTCGAATAATCTCACGCAGCCCGAACATCCAAAGCCTGATGAAGCTCCAGAATATGGCCAATCGTGCAAAAGTCCTCCACAAGAGCTGCGTGTAGCCAGCCCACGTGATGAAATGCCTCAGCCGACAGTCCCAGTGACAATTGAGCAAGATATGCGAATGGATGGAACAAATCCTCATCTGGCTGGCGGAGCTATCCAGAAGGTCCAGGTGAAACAAACGCCACGCCCTGGGAAGGAAGTCCCTGCTGATCAGGATTCAATCCAACACGTAGACCAGCCAGGAAGACACCGCAGTCTCCCGGCCGATGAGCCTGTGTCAACAGCCTTCGTTCCAGGCACCTTCGACGACAACACGACCCTTGGAGAAGTAGTTCGTTCGCAGCCATACCCCAGCAACGATCCTGCTTCCCCAGGACTTAGCCGAGGAATACAGTTTCAGCATCCAGGCGGAACCCAACGCCACGACTTTGCTCAGAATATAGCGTCGCCAAAGGTGAAGAGCGAAGCTTATGGCCTGTCAGCTGTGCATGCCGGAAAACCCCTAGCCTCCTCCGATCAAGGGACCGAATCGATGCAAATATGGACCACAGCCCCAAACCTCGAGATGTCTGAGGATTATGAGATAGGATCCAGCCCTCCAGACCACGCCATACTTCCCGACAGCTCTTCAGGACCCTCCAACGACAAGCACGGAATGAGTCGCCTTCAGTCCTACCTCTCTGCGCTTCCTCAGACTATTGAACAGAACAATAGCAGCAACGAGTTCCGTCGAAAACGAGCTAGCGAGGAGAAAGATGCACCAGCAAGTCACAAGCACCCACGGCCTGCTCAGACTTTGCCCTCATCCTCAATCCGGGACCCAGATCTTGCCGTCATAGCCCAAGAACTACGAGTTCACCGCCGGGAACATCTCACCAAGTGGAAGAAACCTGCCACTCGCAGACAAGATTCGTTGCACACTCGTGTTGACAGTTCTGCCTCCAGGGCAGCCTCAAACCCGTTGGCGGGCACAATATCCAGAAGTCGTATGTCATCACAGTCACTCCCAGGAGCTCGAACATCGATTCTCCAAACGTATGGAGACGATGAAGAGGGCCAGGCTGTCGTGCGAACACACCGCACTGATGTTGAAGCGCCTCAGACGTCTCTACAATTACGCTCAACTTACGAGCGACAGCTTTTTAGCGAATATCAGGCGGCTTATCCAGAGTACGCTGGATCTTTATCACATTTCCAACAGGCAATGCGGCTGTTAAGGCGTACATCTCTTTCAGGCAAAGGATTTCATCCTTTTTTGTTTGACGACGCCATCTTTCATCACTATCACACCTATCGTGCGTACAAGGCGGATGAGGTCGACGATTGCGAGGACGCCATGAGCTTTCACGAATTTTATAATCAACGTATCACGCGTCCTTTGCACGTCCTAGGTTTGATCACTCTTGAAGCCCTCCGTTGGGAGGAATCGCAAGCGCCGGTGCCGAGGCCACAGAAGAGGCCGTTACCCCTCGATATGTCCGAGGATGATATGCCTCGACACTTGGAATACGGGATGGACGGTAGTTGGAGTGACAGCCAGGGTGGACCGACGAGCCATGTAGCGGGGACTAGCACTGAACAATCACAGGTCATGACCCAAACGCCTGGGGCACAAGTTTTACGGCGCAGGTTGGGCGCCGAGTCGCCAGACCTGGGGACGCCATTGCCTCGTCAGAAGCTCCAAAGCAGCGTTCCACAGTCGCATCTCCAAGCAGCCAGCGTCAGCTCCCGGAAAGGCATCGAAGGTGGCCGGGTCGATCGGCGCAGCGATCCTTTACCTATTTCCAAAGTACAGACTCCCGAGTCTGTGCGAAACCATGTCCGGAAGACACCGCGGACAATGCCAAAAACATTCACCATCACTGCCGCCGCCTTGTCGTCGCCAGAACCGAGAGCTGCTCCAGTCAACAGCAGAATGCATTCGGAGGCACGTCTTGAAAGTAAAGCAGCGCAGAGTCATTCTCCCACACAGACAAAGGCTCGGCCCATGCAGCCCTGGTGGCAGGAGGCTGACACTCCGTTTAAACGGTTTGAACGGCAAATGAGCTCCCTACCAGGCGAATGTGGGGCTTTAATGAAGGCGAGGCCGGAGGCGATTGATCAGGGAATCAACATTTTCACTTGGAGAATCTGAAAGTATGGGAAAGTATGGAATGTGAAGCGAGAAGTGTGGCATGACGGGAGAGAATGTTTGTGCAGGATTGTATACATGACAAGTTGTGGTTCGGTAGCTTTCGCGGTATAAGACCAGAATGGGCGTCTGTTCAGGTCGATGGACCGACTTGCTAGAGCATCTCCAATGGGTTCTGTGACAGCGACATGTATGTTTCCTGCGCGACTCACGAAGTCAAAATACTACCTTGAACGGCGCCAGCAACGGCCACGAGGGTACCGGTAGCGCCATCTCCGTTCTTGTAGTACCAGGCACTGCTTCCGAGATAAAGCAAAGAGGTCATACCGACGATAATACGGTCGATGCCTGTCCAAGTTGCAGGCGAGCGTTGTGACAGCTGGTATGTGTAAAGACCTTTAGATCAATCGAATGGTGAGCAGGACAGACCTTGAACAAGGAAGGAATGTGGGGAAATAGCGTGGGTATGCGTACCAGCGATGGCGAAGAAGACGGATCCTTGATACCACCCGACACGAGCGTAGGCGAACAAGAGTTTGGGGAGGGATTTCCACGTTGGACTGGCAAAGATTTCAAATCCTTTGACCTGTGGAGTTGTCAGGTAATCAGCCTAGGATCATGGGGAAAGGTGGCAGCAAGATTGGTCGATGTGGGCATGTGATGTGGTTTAGTTGGGGGAGAGAGGGAGATGGCTTACAGTATGCCCGGCAGCGATCAGGCCATTGATGATGCTTGCGGCGAGAGCAATGCGAGACATGATGATGATGGTGGTGGTGGGGGTGGTGGTGGCAGTAGCCTGAGGGAGATGTGCAGATGGAAAGTGAGAATGTCACAAGAATGGAAAGTGAGGAGGTGAAAAGTGTGAAAGGGCAAGAGCGATCAATCAATTCAATAAGAGCCTCGGAAGGGAAACCAGGAGAAAAGTTGGGCAACTCAATTCAATTACAACAATAGCTTTTGTGGCTGTCTTAAATCAAGACTTGTCTCTGTCGACTCCTCTCTTCATCTCCTTCTTTCAGCTCTTGACACGCTCCCCAGACCCCAGTGCGGCTTACTACCTCGTACTTGTTGGCTGTCATCATGGCAGACATACAAGTGCCGAGGTGTTGAAATCTGGAGGTTGACCGTTTTTGCGGGGATGAGTTCTTCCGGCTCCGATAAGGATTGCGTACGTAGCTTATGCAGGCAGGCGCGATAACCATCACAGAATGCCCCCAAAGTCGTTGTCAAAATCAACCACCAGTTCCTCTACAACTCGTCGTGACGCAGGTACATCTTCTCCACCTTGACCTTCACGTCTTCAGGCCAATAGACGTGACTCCCTCCACCTCCCCATTTGGTAGATGGCAGGTCTGTTCGTTTCTCCCAGATGGCCGACGAGGGTAGACGATCTTTCAGTCTCTCACTGACAGCGTCAACTTGATCCATGATCCTCATCAGGTTTCCGCCAAGTACGCCGCGCATCTCCTCTGGCGTCCATCCTCGAGACAGAAGCTCAGCCACCTGTTTGGGTCAGCAAAAGCATATTTTATTTCATCCATGTTCTACTTACGATGTTGGGGTATTTGCTGGCATCCTCCAGTCCTTCTGCTGTGAGATACATTCCGTCGTAGTCTGACGCGATCCCGACGCGGTTTCTCCCAATTTTGCCCGCGATATACTCAATGTGGTTGGCGACGTGCGTCGTGTTGGTTCCCGGGTATGGGCCGAGGAAGGGTGGGAAGAAGATGGATTGAACAACGCCATCTTTCTGGCCGGGTCCATCTCCAATCAATGCGAGCACATCATCTGGCACGTTTCTTGGGTGGTCCCAGAGCGTTCGCGCTCCTGAATGGGTCCACACCACCGGAGCCTCAGACAGCTCAATGGCTTGTTTCATGGTTGCTGGAGTGGTGTGGGAAAGATCCACCATGATCCCCAGGCGGTTCAGTTCTTTCACCAGCTCTCTCCCCAGCTGGGACAGCCCATTCCCCTCGTGCACGTCGTCCAGTGGTGTGCCAGGTCCCACTGAAGAAGCAAATGCGCTGTGGCAGGTATGAGTCAGGGTCAGATAGCGAATGCCCAGTTGACCAAAGATGCGTAGTGCCCCCAGCGAGTTTCCGAGCAAGTGAGTGCCCTCCATACCAATGAGCGATGCGATTTTGCCCGCCCTGAACGCATCCCATACTTCGGAAGATGTCCTGGCATACTGTAGGTCCTGCGAATGTCGGGCGATCATGTTCTGGATAATGTCCACCATTTCCAACGCGTCTCTCAACCCATTAGTCGGCGTGTTGAAATCCGCGCCAGGGTCTTCGTCCACCACATCGTAGCATGGCGCCCAGACAGTCCAAAAGGCCCCTCCCAGTCGACCTTCTCTCATTCTGGGAATGTCGACATGCCCGGGAAAAGAGCTGTTCAGCTGAGGCAATGCGTCCAGTGGTCGTCGATCTAGTCGATGTGTCAATTAGCCCTCGCTCATTCCATGACAGAACGGAGAGTCATCATACGCAAACTCCTGATGATCTGAGGCAAGTCAATGTGCGTGTCAAGCAATGGGCTCGACTCCATCAACTCGATGGCCTGGTCAAGAAAGTCACTAGCATCGCTCTGCACTGTTGAAATCAAAGCGAACAGCGACACGGCTGCCCAAAGGTCAATCTTGACCATGTTGACTCGTATCACCACAATGAATCAAATCCGAATGATTGTTGCACTCTAGGAGAAGATGGTATTTAATATCACGATAGAGAGCGATGCGAGAGCGATGTACACATGACACTCCTGATCATCTGGCGCGATCCATTCTCCGTTGTACTTGTCCGTCGCTATTCTCCACCAGCAAAGTGTCATTGTATTGGTCTTCTCCGCCCTTCGGCCCTTACAACCCGAGGGCCCATGATGGTCGAGGGGTCGCAGATCCACCTTTGGGGTAACCCATGTTCCCATGTACGATACACTCATCATGGTCTAGGTTATACGAGTATACGAGCGACCATATTAGGCAGTTCACCTTATCTTAGTTAGCCTCAAATCCTCCAATCGATCTAGGGATTGACAAGCCGTGTTTCTATTGTTCAAAGTAGTCCAGGCGCACAAGCTACAACCTCCCAGCTCTCTGCCGACTCTATGGAATACCTCTGTCTTCTCCATGAAAAAGTCTGAGGATCGCCGCTGCCACAACCACGCCATCGTGTTCCAGTTCCGCCGTTTCCTTGCGGCGCTCGGCAAACTCGGTGTTTTTGATTCCTCCATTCTCAATTCTCAGATCCACCTGTCGCTTGACCATCTTTTCGTCGAACCCAAGATGTCCCTGACTAGTGAAGAGACGATCCTGCAGGTAAATCCCCTGAACCTCGGTGTGATCTGTTGTGCCCCAAACCTCAACCCGGTCGCTTGGGTTGAGCAATTTGGTGGTTCTGTGTGACGGGACCGTGGTCACATGATCTTGGTGCATTTGGTGAAGGTGGATGGTTGGCTTGTCAGTTCGAAACAATTGCCTGCCCACGTCTGTCAAGTCGATATCGGTATGTGCCAGTTCCCAGTGGCCGTCTGGATGAGACTCCACCACCCCTCCCAACATTCGGCAGAGCACTTGATGTCCAAAACAAACGCCGCTGAATCGCAGATGAGGTCGTTCCATCCACAGCTGTTGCAAGAGCTTGACCAGCTTGAGGATCCACTCGTCGTCGCCATGTGCATCGTACATGCTTCCCGTGATCAGGATCGCTCTTGTGTCTTCCGGGATCTCATCCGCAGTCGGGACGTGGCCGGCGTCTTCAGAACCATCTTCCACTACAAAATGCATATCAGTCTCCACCTGGAGAGGCGGACGGTGAAGACTGCCGGCCTCAGTGAACAGCTCATGGAGGACGTCGCCAAAACTGCCCCGTTCGACCTGTGTCTCTGGGTGAGGCTCGTCTGTCTCCAAAACAAACAATCGAACAGTGTCTCGGGACATGGTCAAGTCAAGAGATTGAAGCGAGGGAAACGGTCAGTCGAAGAAAGATCAACCCTTGGTGAAGACAGAACAAATGAAATCTAAATATCAGAAGAGTGGTCGGGGCACAGAAGTTGGATGAATACATGGCCATCAATTACGTAGTCGATGGTCCTATGTCTGTGGTTCCTGATCGGATGGAACGAAAACCCACAGACACATCCCCAAACTTACCATAGCAACGTGGCGCCGAGACTGGGCATCATAGGGCTATTGTCTATAATCAGAAATCCTGAGAGAAGCATTTGATGACAGTACGAAAAGTCCCGTCAGTCTCTCTGCTGGGCGTACGTCTTGAGGCAAAAGCTGTGTTTCTCACCTCCTGCCGAAAGAATCGAGGGACTCCATCTGATGTCATGCCAAGACCAAAATCACCTTTTCAGAGTCTTGGTGAGTACGGCGGATCATACGGTTCCAAGAAACATCTTGATCCAAAATCTCAGAGCGAGTGTCACCATCCTTGAGGTCTGGACCCTCCATCTGCTCCGAACTCGGCCAATTCACTACTGAAACCACTCCAGCCACGCCAGCCTGTAGGGACGGTGAGTCACTGTTACCTTGGACTGGTCAACGGCCTGCATGAACAGGGTCGTGGGCCACGTCAGAACTTGAACATGATTTGCTTCACATCCTGGCACTCTACTTAGACTTTGTGGACACGGCTGTTGCCTGCATCAATTCGGTTAATGAACGACTTATCAGATAAGACTGTGAGTATTACTAGCAATGATCAGATACCCGTTCAACATCTTGCCTTCCATCTCCCTTGATCTTTGATTGCATCTCTGGCAGGCTGGACCTCCTCAAAAATGCCTTCGAGTACTCTGCTACTCTGGTTCCTCTACGTGCTGGCGGTGACAGCTTCCGTCGTCCTGCCACGCTCAGATCCGTGCAACCGAAGACAGACCAAGGAAATTGATGATGCGAATCATTTATTCAATGCTATCCACTCATCCATGCGACAATGGGGATCCTCAGTGAACCACAATGGCATGTCCTTATTCCTAGCTCAAGTGCCCGCAGGGACCCAGTTCTATCATGGCACTCATACATCGACTCCTGTTCAGGGTATGGAATGGCTTGCCTTTGAGCCTGAACACGCCAGGAACTTCGCCGTCAAATTCCCCAAGAAAAATAGGCGGCCCCCACCACGAAGCCAGACATATGCCGCAGGACCACGGGCCGCGGTGGACAAAGGGATACAGTACTCTATCACAAAGGATGGCATGGCTGGGGAGGACAGCCCTGAGCGACCTGGTCTCCTGGAAGCCATTTTCGGTAGTCCTAAAGCCCCGAGACTGAGGCCGGCCCCTTCTCCTATGAAGCCTGGCTGGCTGCACACATATAAGACCAAGGCTTTGACCCCCTTACTGTATATCGACGGCATGTCGGCAGGAAAGACATCCAAAGGAACACTTGACGTTCAAGACATCCTTCTTCTTAATCGCACTGATGCAGATGATGACCGATTTTGGGAGTATGAGCGTGCTAGTGGTCTGTGCAAGCTGTCCAAAGAGCGTTGGGGAGGCAAAATCAAGGGCTTCATCCGCATGGAAGCTGGATTTGAGATCATCATGTGCTCCTTCGACCAATCTCTCGATTTCCAGACGGCCACCCGAGCAGGGTCAGCACTATCCAAAGACTATACACCATCAAGGTCCATATGGAATTGGATCCATGCCGTGGCCTCACGCTACGACGGCATCGGTGGCCACCGTGTTACTCTAGACTACAACAACTTCGTCACGGCCTTCAGCCATGACATGGATCTATTTCTTCCAGACGCTCATTTGCCCCGACTGACTAGCACCTCAGATCAAGATCTAAACACTCTTCGTTGTGAGCTGGACAAGGTGGTGAATGACTGGGACAGCACGGAGGATTTGAGTGCGGGACAGTTTACAGATTGGCAAAGTGTCGCAGACATGATCGTGGCAAGATATGCGACCGAGCTGAAATACTTGACATCTGGGAGAATTGTGGACCGAACTCATTTTCTCAAGGAGCTCGACAGGCTGCTCGCTAATTTCATTGACTCTGATGCACGAGATTTTGACGCCGAAGTGGCACGCTGTGTGGCACAAAACATGCCAGGCGGGCAAGTCAAACCGAGCTCGATTGCCGGTCGTGCCTTGAGTTTGGTGTCGACCAGGATCTGTTCCACACTCCTCCGTGCCTTCAGCACCCGTGTCGATGTCGCTCAGGCTGTGGCTGACATACAGTCACTCATCACCTATTTGGACTGGACCATATGGAAACGCTGCGACCAATGTGAGTTGGGAAGGATTTGTTTTACTCCGGTTTGGCCATTCGGCTCCACTCAAGACTATGAACATCCCCAATGTCGCAATGAGTCCGAGTTGCAGTCTTCGTATGGCTATTGGGATGAGCGCGGTGCGATGCCAGCAATGTAAGCGGTCGACTGGTCTCTCCTTTCCTCACGACGCCCACACTGGAATGTTACGAGGACCGGGAAGCCAGATGGATGGAACTAGTGCTGGCGAAAGAATTTTCTGAAGATCTTGAACGCGGCATATGTTCCGCCTGTGATTACTGAGCCGAGTAACCAGGTTAATATTTGCTTTTGGGATTGTGACTTGATAATGACCTCGCTGTATCGTGTATTACTGAAACTGACGCGAGAATATTGGGTGGCCCATCCCAGGCCAGGAGCGTAATGGTACAAAAATTCTTCGATCTGCTTTCGCAGTTTATAGACAGGGGATGTGACTGATGATCTCATCTCGGTGTAATTGGCAAGTGCCAGATCGGCGATGGCGTGAGCATCGGCTTTGCGTTCATCTGTGTAAGCGGCAAGCGCTTCATCGACGCGAGACAGCTGATCGAGCTTGGAAAAAAGGACTCTGACAGATTCAAGGCCGGCATTCATTCCCTGACCATAGAAAGGCACCATTGCGTGTGCAGCATCGCCAACGATGACGACCGAGTCGCTGAAATGATAAGGAGAGCACTTGATATTGATCAGAGGGAGATGCGGATTTCGTCTGAATTGCTGAACCAGGTCATCCGGCCGGATGTGATCAGTCACACCCGGGAAGTATTTGTCGAATGTAGCCACAATTTCATCTTGACTGCTTTGTTCAAGCCTGTTGAAAAGACTAACCGGGCCAAAGAGGGTGCAAACAAAGGACTTGTCCAGGTTTGGTAAAGCAATGAACATGAAGGCTCCAGCTGGCCAGATATGGAGACGATTCGGATGAATGGCGAAGTCGCCGGAAGCGTTGGGGGCCATTTTGAACTCGCACCACATGCAATCGATATATTCCTGCTGATAATCCAATCTAGCAAACTTCATCATGTGGAATCTAGTGGCGGAATGAGCACCATCGGCGCCAATCATGAGGTCAAAGTCGATTTCGATTTCTCTGGCTCGGCCAGAGGATGAAGGTTTATCCATCATCTCAAACCATGCCTTTTTCTTCTGAAAGTCCGCCCCGGTCAACTTGTGCTGGAAGAAGAGCTTGACATTAGGCAGCGAAGCCAGATGGTCCAGCAGAATGTCGTTGATCTCTCCACGGTCAATGGAGCGCTGATAGCGACCGTGTACATCGTAGAGCTGGGACTGCTGAGAAATGGTTCCCGTGGCTGAACGAGTGTGAATCATTCTTCCATGCATGGGAATGGTCCGTTCCAGGATTGATTGAACAAGCTCATTGTTCCCGGTGGAGCGAAGTGCGTGGATGCCACGTTCTGACAAAGCAAGATTGATTGACTTTGTGAAGTTGAGCGGCTGCGTTCCAGCGTTTCGGAGGTCTGGGTGCTAATGATTAGCGAGTGTTCTAGACCTGGAGGAATAGAGGTGCGGACACTCAGGCACGCTGGAACGGAGATTTTGAAAGGGGAAAGGGGACCCCTTGTCTTGGATAAGGCGGTTAAAGACGTGGATGACATACCTGGTCGAAGTTCGTAGACATGGACTTGATACCCTCGGGACGACGCAAAAAGAGCAGCCAAGGCGCCAACAGGACCAGCGCCCACAACGACAATGGTTTTGCCAGCCATGACTATGATGTACTGGGAAACGAGACAAGTCGATTCCCAAGCACAAAAGAGCCAAAGCGGTGGCTGAGAGTAGGGGGCGAACTTGAATGTGACAAAGCAGTAATAAATGTGGGAAGGTGATGATGGTGAAGATGTTGAAGTCTGTGCTTACTCAATCGTCGGAAGTACCAGGATGCCGGGGAAATGGCAAAACTAATCTTCCGGACTTCGGAGCAACGCAGCCAGGAAGCAGGCACGGCAGGCGCAGAGGCACACAGGAAACGGCAGGCGTGAACCACAGTCCGGGAACTGCCGTCGTCGCGTGGTTGAAAGCATGAAAGGCAGGAACGCATCAAGACGCAACGCAACACACACTCCCTGAGTCTCTAGCGACTGCCATTATTGCTTGTCGTTGGAAAATCCCATTGCGTTTCGCCACCACTGTCGCTGGCCTGCCTGCTCCATCATCGCAGCCATTGCCTTGACCGTGTCGACTTCTCTCAGTAGGCCTAGTTGGCATGCAAAAGAGGGCTCAATCTTGCCTATGGTCTCGTCCATGGCCTCGACAGGTGCTGCAAGTTGGTAGTCCTTGTACCTGAGATGATGCACTGTGTCGACCCAGCCCTGGACGTTGGGCTTATGCTCTCCACAGACATACATCACCCCTGGAATACCACCTGAGCGCAAAAGGGCAAAACATTGGTATGTCTTTGCCGCAGCCTTCAGCCGAGCCACTTTCTTCCTCGAAGTGATGTGGTGTGTTCGAAGCAAGGCATGGAACATGACCAGGGAACGTGCTGATATTGACCAGGTGCTTTTCACGACGACAATCAAGTGGCCAAGACACTCTATTAGACGACGATGCTTTGGTCATCAAAAACCACCCTCTAGGCCCAGGCATCGAGCCAGGTGGCTTTCAGCTTAAGATTCTGGCTAAAGCTTCACCCCACTGAACTGGGAGCCTCTCCGGAAAAAACGGCACACACAGACGGCGCACACGTTCCGCGGTTGCAGCAGCCAAGACCTCGAAGTGGCATGGAGTACGGAGTACATGGGGTCCATGGAGGGTTGACTCGTGGAGGTTCTGGGGGCCTGGACACTGGACATTGGCCCCTAGGCCGAGGGGCCGAGGGCCCCAGTGCCCCCGTGCCCCTGGACGACCCTCTGCCTCTAAGTACCCATAGGCACACCAAAATAACAACATGGACAAGCCCAGGCGGCTATACGGAATGCTGGACATTCGCCTCGAAGGCTCAGGGTACGAATGTACGACAATCAATGATGGACTTCCACTTCCCCGCACTAAAGAATCGAGAACAGTGGGAGCATCAGCCATCCACCCCGAGGCCCCATCGCGGCCTGGTGCCATTAACTCAAAGGCTCATACTCCGTACTCTCTGAAGCGATCGACCTCCTCCCCAGCGGGTAATTAACAGTGAAACGGTGGTATCATGCTGGCACAGAATCGCCTCGATCGAAGCACAACACTGCTTGATCATTATTCCTGCCATTAATATTCCATGCAGTCTTATAATACCCACGTCAGTCGGCAGAAGAAAAAGCCCGAAGAACCTCAGATGGACATGGCAACAGCAATCGTCAATACGCTCTCCACACCGCGAGCCTCGGTAAATGTCAAATCATTGTATGAAGGATCACATCCCTCCCATTATGGTTGGCTGGCGGATCAACGTTCCAAAGTGTTTTCAAGATCCAATGCATCACTATATCCACTCATTGCTTAGCTGGTGGACTTGTCCATGTCCTTACCGTTACAAATCCATTTCTTCAATTTTCGACTCCTTGATTCACACTGACCTTTTTCTACGACCCGAGGCCCCTATACCAATGGTTTCGGCACCGTTGCGAACTTCAAACTCACCTCTCAGGACTCTGTTCTGTCCTTGTCGTCGCTCTTATCTCAATCACGACGAGTTCGCGGCACTAGCTACACTCGCCTCTTGACACCTCCGTCAAGTCCATTGTGCTTAAGGGTCGCCATGTCCAGACCTCACCATGACTACAAGTCGAATCAGGATGTCGAAAATGATTCAACGCATCCTCCCCTTCCTGACGCACCTACAGAAGAAAAAGAGTCGGTTGGTGCGAGTCAAGTTCCCATCCAGCCGCCGACAGTCATTCCTCCAGCTCCTGCCACCGCAAAGGACGGTGGACTCCGAGCATGGCTCCAAGTTCTTGGCTGTTGGCTGGTATTCTTCAATGTCTGGTATGCCTCAAGCCATTTCTGTTTTTGTCTCCTAACGTTGACCATGGTTTCTGAAGGGGCTTTACCTTTGCCTTTGGCTTGTTTCAGAACTATTACGAAATGGTTCTCTTGCCAGATATGCCGCCTTCAGCCATTTCATGGGTGGGCACCGTTGCCTCTTACCTCCTCATCCTCACTGGTGTCATATCAGGCCCACTATTTGACCTGGGGTATTACAGGATTATGCTGTTTGGTGGAGCCGCAGCATCGACATTTGGCACCATGATGTTGTCCCTCTCCTCGCAGTACTACTCAATCATTCTCTCGCAGGGCATTCTAATGGGCCTCGGCTGCGGCGTCTTGTATATCCCTGGCCTCGCCTTAGTGAGCCGAAGCTTTACCAAAAGACGGCCTATGGCTTTGGGAATCGTCACTTGCGGCGCCCCTGTCGGTGGTATCATCTATACCATTATCTTCAACTCGTGTATTGACTCTATCGGCTTTGGCTGGACCGTTCGCGTCATGGGGTTCATCATGTTTGCCTGCTACGCTGCCGCCTTCCCTTTGCTACTTTGGAATACCGGCAACACCGGCGACATTTCGAGTGGCACGGCAAGGAAAATCTTCGACAAGAAGGCTTTTGCCGACATTGGCTTTTGGTTGTATACGTGGTCTAACTTCTTCGTAAGACCTTCGCTGCCTTCCTTTCCCAGTTGTGTGGGCATTTACTGATCATCCTCCGGGCAGATATTTTGTGGCTACCTAGTACCATTCTTTTACATGCCCAGTTTCGCAGAAACCAGGATCGGAATGTCGAGGTCTCTTGCTCTGTATTCTATTGCCATTGCTTCCGGTGTGTCGGTGTTTGGCCGACTGGTAGCCGCCTATGCCGCTCAAAAGGTCGGAGTTATGATTCCCTGGATCGTCTGCGTCGTCTTGTCAGCAATCATGTGTCTTGTCTGGATCGCCATCGAAACCCAGCAGTCTTTTCTCGCGTTTGCCGCTCTATACGGTGAATTCCCCCTTGAACTTTGGTCATGACTTCTCACATGCTCATGGCCAGACTTATATTGACTCTTTCTAATTCGTTCCTAGGTGGTTTCTCTGGTGCTCTGATCCCACTCCCACCCACTATCTTCCCCGTGGTATGCCCTGATCCCAAAGTTCTAGGAGCTCGACTCGGTATGGCACAGGCAATTGGAGCCTTCGCATCGCTGATCGGAAGTCCAATAGCCGGAGCTCTGGTTAGGGGCAACGATGACACCAATCCCAGCTATTTGGGACTCCAGCTGTTCTGTGGAATTATGATGCTGTTCGGCAGTTGTCTTCTCGGCTGTCTGTGGCTGTTTTTGGTCAGAAGAAGAACCCACACAATCTGGATCTGAAGCAGATACAACACCACAGTCTGGCCGCAATCGTCGCCATCACTCTACACCTCTCTCTAATCACCCGGAATCCGCAATTCCATGTGGCTCATCTTTGACACCGGATTCGCCATGCTGAGCATCTGAGGACCAAGACCTGGGGACGCGGTTCAAAGCATATTTGCTAATTTTTCGGACTTCCGACACTCGACAAATCAAAAGATGGGCATGATACCAGAGATCCGGTTCTTGTTCACCCACATGTAAAAACGTGGCAAAATGATTTTTGCAGAGGCTGCAACCCTACCTGCATCTCTACCTGTATCAATTTCATCAGCGAGCATTGTTTAGCCAGCAACACTTGATACCCCGGTAGAGGACCTCATCGAATTTTCAAAGGCCTTCACTTCCACCATCGATCGAATCAGCATCTCCGCTCCGACCTTTCGAGCGCACCGATTCTCTCGTCAACCCAGGGTTGTACAGCGTCGCTCCGGTTGTGTCAAGTCGATTCTCGGCCGATACGGACGAAACAAGACCCCAAACGTTTCCGTATTCAACGATCCTCCCAAGTAACGAAAATGCAGCGTAATATGGGAGCAGAGGCCTCTCCAGCCTTGGGATCTGTTGAGGGAGAGGAATGCACCCTCGACAACGGCCTGGGCAAAGACGATCTCTGCGAAGGCGCCTTTGCCCACAACGGATGGGATAGCGAGGTCGATTCCCGCAGCAGTGGGGACAGCAGCGGGGACATGCGCATCAGCGCGCAGATGACTCTCTCTTTGTTTACCATCACCTCCCAACTGTTGGCCATGATAAGGAACCCACGAGTCAGGATGACTTTCCTACAACAGGATATGAGAAAGCGGTTGCCTTGGCATTTGAGGAGGGTGCCGAGAGATGGGTACGCAAAGTACGAGTCCAGAACATATTTTCGGTCACTGGACACAATTGTTGAGGAACTGGAGGAAGAATGAACAGGTGAAAGCGGAGCATGTTGTACGGGGAGCAAGACACTGAGCGCATGCCGAAAACGGCGCCTGGAAAGCTGGATGAAGTGGTTGTGCATAGCTGCAATCGCTGAGTTCTATACAATAAGTCGGACAGGCCTCTGAGAGGACGAACCAGGCAGCCCTGGTGAGACGTCATACAATGGAACCATTGCCAAAGCTTGGATGATGCCGTGTTCCAAAGAATCTTGTTAAGCGTTTCTCTTGGGAAATTTCTTCCAACCTCGACCGTGACCTTTCTGTGCTGATAGTTAGCATCCACACGCTTGAGCGCTGACAGAAGTTGCTGCATGCTTACCGACTTCCACTCGCTAATGAGGGCAGGCATGTTCTCCATGGCCTGCCTTCTCTTCTCCAACCTCGCACCTTGCGTCCTCTCCCATTTGTGACCTTTGACTTGCTGGCCTTCTCCCGTCCCTCTTATACGAAGGCCGTGCTCAATCAGTCTCTGTTGTTTGAAAGCCGTCGACTTGGGCCCTATCGGCAGAAGCTCCTCCACTCCATACTTTCGCGCTAACTTCACCAGGTCTGCCTGTATCCTTAAGCCATACTGCGGGCCCCTCCATTTTCCTGTTGTAAATATTTTCCTGGGCAGGAAGGGATTGAGGTGTTGTTTGGCTGGCTTCGTCGTAGCTGGAGACGACGTGGTCTGAGGCTCTACTGTCTTGACATCGACGTCGGGGGTGTCGTTTGAGGATTCGGGTGTTGGTGGTAGTGAATAGTTTATTGGCTGCGCTTGTACGGCTTTGCTGACACCGGGGGCAGAACGAGCTTCGGCGGCGAGCTTTGCAGCCTTCTTAGTGAGAGGAATCGTCATGCCAGTGGCTTTGGCCGAGTATAAATGAGGAGGAAATTTGCGGAAGAATGACGTAAGTCGCAGTGGAAGATCTGCTGGTAGTGATTGAAGTGAAGCCATGCTGAGAGGGACGCCAACGGTGAGTTCTGTGTGGGAGTTGTCGAATCAAGGTGCTCAGTGCTCGGTGCTCCAAAGTGAGGATTTGACACACGCTTGAAGAGCAAGGGGACAGTCCAAAAGAGGACAAAGTGCTGGAGAGTAGACTGCTAGACACCAAATTGATGCGGTGACGACAATTGGCATTGAGAAACTCAGCAAGGAGAAGTGGTTGTGATTTTGGTGTTTAGTGGTGATGAGTTGTTAAGGTCTGATAAAAAGTGATACTCAAGTCAGTCGCTCTTGCCCTTGCGAATCTCAAGTCCCTTCCGCATCTTCCCCAAAAAGTCTTGGCATTTATTTGACTTTCCCAGCGCAGGCTTGAGCGCAGTCAGTTTGTCTTTCTTGATTCACCTCATCCTACATATTTATCACAATCTGCCCTCTTATCTAAGTGAGGCTGGACAATTATTGGTAAATCAACCTCTTTAATTACTCTGGCAACTCGCGAAACCTGAGATTCATTCAAAAGCTGCACATACTGTCCAAGCCAGCCTCGCGAGCGTCCTGATGGACGCCTATGGTTCCAACGATGAAGAGTCTGCAGAGCTACGAAAGCTTCTCGTAGAGGTGGTGGGTACCTTTCGCGAGCATTCTGTCCTGAATCCTTCCGCTAATGAAATTACAGAACGAGGACTCGGACAACTTTGAGATCTGGGAGAAGCTGGTTCGAGCCAGCGAGACGCTTGAAGGCGGCATCAATCGCAACTCCAGCTCACAGGCAATCACCACCGTCCGTGATGTGTACGACCGATTCCTCTCCAAGTTCCCTCTATTCTTTGGATACTGGAAAAAGTATGCAGATCTGGAGTTTTCCATAGCTGGGACCGAGGCTGCCGAAATGGTGAGATGCCCTTTGGCGCCATGGCCAGTTTCTTCGATGCTAAAACAATACAGGTATATGAGAGAGGCATTGCCAGTGTGACAAATTCCGTCGACTTATGGACCAACTATTGTGCCTTCAAGACTGAGACAAGCCATGATTCCGAGATTATTCGAGAGTGAGTATACAATGCAATTCTTCCCACTTCAAGCAACAACCTAAACACAGCACGCCATCAACACGATCTACCTTTCTGCAGTCCTGCTGGTCACCTACGACTTGTTTTTGCCTGTCGCGATTGAACCTCTAAACTGGTGAGATCGTCTCGGCTCAGCCCTCTGCTAGGCATGCTTCTCACATTTACCAGCCAGATGCGTTGATTTGTTGTTTGTTGTGGAGGATGGAGGTCCACTCATCCGTTTGATCGGTTTTGCTGGCCTTTTTGTCACGCGGCCAGAAATGATGCACAGGAATAACACATCATCTGCACGTACATCCACCTACCCCATTTTGCTTCTTCTCGATCCACTCCACCCTTGGGTTGTTTCTGGCCATACTAATGTCTAATTCGCAGCCTTTTTGAACGCGGTGCTGTGAGCGTCGGCCTCGATTTTCTTGCCCATCCGTTCTGGGACAAGTACGTTGAGTTTGAGGAACGACATGACGCCCACGATCGCATCTTTGCCATTCTTTCCCGAGTCATCCATATTCCCATGCATCAGTACGCCCGCTATTTTGAACGATATCGCCAAATGGCGCAGTCTCGACCCTTGGCAGACCTCATCTCAGCAAGCCAGCTTACCCAATTACAGCTGGATCTAGAAAATGAAGGCGCCGGCTACAAGGCGGGGCGAAGCCAGGCCGAAGTGGAAAGGGAATTGCGATCACGGATTGATAGCATCCATCTGGACAGCTTCCGCAACACCCAGACCGAAACGACCAAGAGATGGACGTACGAATCAGAGATCAAAAGACCATACTTCCATGTAACGGATCTGGATGAGGCGCAGCTCACCAATTGGCGGAAATATCTTGACTTTGAAGAGGTGGAAGGCGACGTGGCTAGAGTGCAGTTTCTCTATGAGCGCTGCCTCGTCACTTGTGCACAACACGAAGAGTTCTGGCTGAGGTATGCCAGATGGATGCTGGCGCAGTCTGGTAAGGAAGAGGAGGTTCGCAACATCTACCAGAGGGCGTCGTGTCTGTTCGTGCCTATTGCCCTCCCAGCTACTCGGCTGCAATACGCCTATTTCGAGGAGTCGACAGGGCGGGTGGATGTAGCCAAGGATATCCACGAAGCGATCCTTTTCGCATTGCCAGGCCACGTCGACACCATCGTGTCACTCGCGAACCTCAACCGGCGCCACTCGGATCTCGAATCGGCAATTGCAGTATATCAATATCAAATCGAGCACGCGGCGATTGAAGGCGCAGCCAAAGCGGCTCTGGTTTCAGAGTGGGCCAAGCTGTTGTGGAAGACCAAGGGCTCTCCTGAAGAAGCACGTCAGCTGTTTCAGAAGAACCAAAACTACTATCTCGATAGTGCGCTATTTTGGACGAATTATCTCCGATTTGAGATTGATCAATTCAGCACCAGCAGTGACGCTGAACATCAACACCAGCAAATTCGACGAGTGGTGGACGAGATTCTTGCTAAGGGCACGCTTCCAGAAGCGACAACACAAGAGTTGGTGGCGCTTTACATGAAGTACTTGATGGAAAGAGGAACAAAGGATGCGGCCCAAGAATACATGGCCTTGGATCGAGAGATCAACGGACCAGCCTCAGTGCAAAAGTCGCACAAATCACTGGTCGAGGGGGCCAAGATTCCAGGAGTTATCAATGGGCAGGTAAGGCAGAGCTGTCATGTCTAGGGGATCGATTCAAGCTAACATTATTGATTAGCCACCACCAATACGGTATTCTTAAGAACCAAAAGTCTACACAGTATATCAGGCTTGGACACAGTAACATGAAGCCCAGGGGAAAGGGAAAGGAGCGTGAACCAGACGTTCGTGGAGTTATCGATGTGGTAATGGCTCATGAACCAGGTTCATCTTCTAGGATGAGCGAGAGGTTGACCGCGGCTCTTGTCGTCAACACTTCTCAGTCAGTGTGAGTGTTTGTAGCTCTAGGAGAAGTACCGACTATCCGATAGCGATAGCGGAACATGATGGTCATACCGTTCTTGATCTTGCATTTCCCGATGATATAGGCGACATACGATGAATGAGTGTTTCCGAGGGCACGATTTCCGTGAGCTCGTCGTGGCCGTATACACCTCGTATATTCGTGCACTCGTCAACTCGTCAACTCATATCTCCTGCAGGTGCACAACATCAACAAGGTCAAGGCTGATTTACCAAAACACAAATCGTAGGCAACAGGAATGTCTGCAATTCTAATTGGATCACTAGTCGCGCATATTTCCCAAGACGGCAACCTGCAGGGTTAGCAAGACCTGGACGCTTGTGTGAGAGAGAGAGAAATTCGCGATCGAGGCCGAGCGTGGGTACCATCAAGTATATCGCAAATCTGGCAAATCTCGCAAATATGTCATTGCAGGGATGGACTTAAGCGCCATCCCGCGGCTCTGGCTTACGGGATCAGGTAAGTGGCACGTCCCCCGGACTTTAGCATCCATGATTGTAATCATCTCGCACAATCATTGGTGTCTCCTTAGCCTTGCCGAGCATAATTCTATGGAGGGGATCGAGATCACAAAGCAGACAAGATCTGGGATCTGCACAAGCACGGTGACAAGCTGGTGTTGCTATTGAAATATAAATGGTCAACATGTCCAATCTTGTGCTCTGTTCTGATCTTTGTGTACACACCTGCAATTCACTGACTACAATCGAAGAAACCTTACTTTGAGTGACAAAAAGGCAGACGACTGCGCTTCAACATCATGCCGGGTTATATACAATTTATCCGTGGGCAATTTACAGAACCACCAGTGCCCTCCTTCGATCTGAGCGGGCGTACCATCATTGTAACGGGAGCCAATTCGGGGCTCGGCTTGGAAGCTGCCAAACTCCTGATCCAGCTCAACTGCAGCACCGTTATCCTCGCATGTCGAAGCATCGCAAAGGGTGAGCAAGCCAAGGAGACCTTGGGCTCAGTGAAGAGCAAGAATGGACAGAAGCCTAGCATTGTCGTCATGGAGCTCGACATGTGCTCATTCCCCAGCATCATCGCCTTTTCAGAGCGATGCAAGGACCTACCACGTATTGACGCAGTCCTCTTGAACGCCGGCATCGTGCAGAAGGAGTTCAACGTCATCCAAGGATACGAGCTGACTTTACTGGTCAACGTCGTCTCGACTTTCTTTCTGGCGGTCTTGCTAACCCCTATCTTGCAAGAGTCGGCCAGAAAGTACAACATCACACCCAACATCGCCATCACGGGCTCCGCAGTCCATTTCTGGGCCAAGGAGAAGGATGTCACAGGGCCACCGGATGGCAAGATCTTCAGCACTCTTTCAGCAGACAAACACACCGACATGAACCTTCGCTACAATCTCAGCAAGCTTCACGTAATGCTTCTGGTCAAGTATCTTGCCCAAGTCTTTGAGACCTTGGCCCAGAAGGATTCCATTGGAAAGCCATTGGTGGTTATCAATCATGCCGCTCCTGGATTGTGCTGGACGCCATTCTTCCGGGAACAGGGGGCCGTCGCACGACAGATTCTCAAACTCGTGGCGAGGTCCGGTGAGCACGGAGCAAGGACCTTGGTCTACGGCGCCGGAGCAGGCAAAGAGACCCACGGCCAGTACTTGAGCGAGTGCCAGATCAAACCCGCCAGCGACTTTGTCCAAAGTGCCGAGGGGGATCGGCAGGCGAAGCGACTGTGGAAGGAGTTGAGCGGAGTGTACGAGTCGTTGAAACCAGGGTGTACGGCTGGGCTGCAAGTCTGATATAGGACATTCCTACCTGTGTCACTTGGGCAAATGGGACCCGGTTTTGATGTCAAGCGTTCTCTCCTGTCACTTGAGCTATTTGCGAGTCAAATTTGTACAGTTATTGAGTCAAGTAAAAGGGAGGAGGAGAAGGCGAAGCGTGGAAGAAGATGGAAGAGATACCCAAGAATTGCCAGATTTGAATAATTGCTGAGGCATGATCACGTGGTTTTGTGGTTAAAGCGGCTCCCATAATGGATTCCCTCGCTGCTTTTAGACGTGACTTTTGAATCTTTGACTCTCACGACTTTCATCAATCGATGGCGACAACAATTTATCTTGTACCTTTCGGTGCCATTCCGTCTCTCTTTCATATTTGTCACCCTCCATCTTGTGTTTTCGCACCTGGTCGCTTCTCTGGATCTGTCAACTTCGACCAGTAGCAAATCCGACAGACATTAAGAATTCCCTGCCCTCTCTCATCTCTGATCTCATCGGCTTCCAAGCCACGACGCTCCACCTCTGGGAGATGCAATCATGACTGATATTATGGTGAACGGCCGTCGTGAGAAGAATATCCCAGCTCCACCTGTTGACTCAAGGTCAAGGCCAGAATCTCCTCCGCCGCCTCCGCCAGACGCGAATCTTCCTCCTCCACCTCCGCCGATCTCTTCTGATATTCCCCCTCCTCCGCCTCCTACAGAAAATGGACAAACTCCCCAGCCACCAAAGAAGAAGGGGTGGGGTGCTCCAAAGGTCCCTAAATCAACCCCTTTAAGTGTCGAGGAACTGCTACAGAAAAAGCGCGAAGCGGATCTCGCAGCCAGCAAGCCAAAGTTCCTGTCCAAGGCAGAACGAGAACGCATCGCTCTCGAGAAAAGGGCCAGAGAAGCCGAGGCTACCAAAGCGGTATCAACCCAGATCAGGCCCATTCACAGCGACCTATCCAAATCACAATCTGCTCCAGAGTCCCCCAAACCCCACCCCTTCCCTGCCGGCCCCAAAGCCCAGAGAAATGGCGACATTCCCACAGGCCCAGCAGCCATGCGGGGGAGGGATCGCAACAAGGACTCGAATTTGACCCCACCCGTCGCGCCCAAGTCAGTGGCTTTTGGCGGAGATTCCAAGGCGCAGAAGCGTCCGGCCGCTGAAGACAAGAGTCTGAGTAAAGAGTCGGACTTGATTCGCGAGAGATACATGGGCGCAGATATGAATGTGTCGACTTTTTCCGCCTTGAAAAAACGCCGTCGGACGACGGAGAAAAAGTTCAATTTCGAGTGGAACGCCGAGGAAGATACGACACCCGATTACAATCCATTGTATGCCAACCGAGCAGAGGTCAACTTCTATGGTCGCGGAAGGCTCGGTGGATTCGATGATCAAGTCGCCGATGCAGCAGCCAAGAAATACGCCGCAGCGTTACAGTCAAGAGACGTCGAAGGAGGGGCGACCCGGGCTCAGGAGATTCTGGAGATGGAGCGAAGAAGAAAAGAGGAGTCCCACCGGATGGCGATTGACAAGCACTGGAGCGAAAAGAAGCTGGAGCATATGCGAGAACGTGACTGGCGCATCTTCAAGGAAGACTTCAACATTGCAACCAAAGGAGGTGGGATTCCAAACCCCATGCGAAACTGGAAGGAATCAAATCTGCCCCGACGGCTGCTCGAGATTATCGAGCAAGTGGGCTATGTCGAGCCGTCGCCCATTCAGCGTGCTGCCATCCCCATTGCACTTCAAAACCGCGATTTGATCGGTGTTGCTGTGACGGGTTCGGGTAAGACGGCGGCGTTCTTACTTCCGTTGTTGGTCTACATCGCCGAACTGCCTCGACTGGACGAAGATGACATGCGGCGGAATAATGGACCTTATGCCATTATTCTAGCGCCCACCCGTGAATTGGCCCAGCAGATCGAGACGGAAGCAAAGAAATTTGCCAATCCGCTCGGGTTCACGGTGGTGTCGATTGTCGGCGGTCACAGCATTGAAGAGCAGGCGTACAACCTGCGCAATGGAGCGGAAATCATCATCGCCACTCCCGGCCGATTGGTGGACTGCATCGAGCGGCGAATCATCGTGCTCGAACAGTGTTGCTACGTCATCATGGATGAAGCCGACCGCATGATCGATCTGGGTTTCGAAGATCCCGTCAACAAAATCCTGGACGCGCTGCCGGTCGGTAACGAGAAACCGGACAGCGAAGCGGCGGAAGATGCGCGGGCCATGTCGCGGCATCTCGGCGGCAAGGACCGGTATCGGCAAACCATGATGTATACGGCGACGATGCCTACAGCGGTGGAACGAATTGCGAGGAAATACCTCCGTCGGCCGGCGATTGTGACGATAGGTAACGTGGGAGAAGCCGTGGAGACGGTGGAACAACGGGTGGAGTTTGTGGCGGGCGAAGAGAAACGCAAGAAGCGACTGGGCGAGATCCTGAACTCGGGAGAATTCCAAGCGCCCATTATTGTGTTCGTCAACATTAAACGCAACTGCGATGCTGTGGCGCGTGACATCAAGCACATGGGCTTCAGTTCGGTGACATTACACGGATCCAAGACGCAGGAGCAGCGAGAAGCAGCATTGCAGGCTGTGCGTGACGGCAAGACAGACGTGCTTGTGGCGACAGACCTGGCGGGCAGAGGTATTGACGTACCAGATGTCAGCCTGGTGGTCAACTTCAACATGTCGAACAACATTGAAAGCTACACGCATCGGATTGGTCGAACAGGTCGAGCAGGCAAAAGCGGAGTTGCGATTACATTTTTGGGCAATGAGGACACGGACGTCATGTATGATCTCAAGCAAATGCTGCAAAAGAGCAGCATCTCACGGTTACCGGAGGAGCTGAGGAAGCACGAGGCTGCACAGCAAAAGAATCAACGGTCAGGAGGAGGGGGTGGGAAGAAGGGAGCGAGTGCGGCAGACGAGAGTGGAGGATTTGGAGGGAATAGCACTAGTGGTTGGTAGATGAGATATCATTGTATCAGTTGTAATCTTGTACAACAGCAACAAGCATGTCTAAGTACAGCTAATTGATATCTTTGCTCTCGTGTTTCAAACTCAAGGTCACGCCACGTGCTTGGCAGTTTGACAGATTATATATATCTGAGACTTTGAACTTTGAAGCTTGACGGAGTAATCCGTCAATCCCTGATCCGAACCATCCCTAGATTCTTTTGCAGTGGCAGGGTCCATCATCTACAGAGCCCACGGCGAGGAGACCATGGACGGTGAGTATTATGACTTGGGCAAATTCACCAAGACCATCTCAGGTGGAAATGCTGAAGCTCAAAAATGGTTTGACAGAGGTCTTGTGTGGAGTTATGGTTTCAACCACGAGGAATCGGCATTGTGCTTTGAGAAAGCAGTCGAGGCAGATCCAGAGTGTGCCATCGGATATTGGGGATTGGCATATGCTCTAGGGCCCAACTACAACAAGCCGTGGGAATATTTTGACGCACAGGATTTGGCAGAGACGGTGAGGCGGACGCACCAGGCAGTCCAAGATGCACGACAACGAGCGGGACAGGCGTCAGACGTGGAACAGGCATTGATCGATGCTCTGAAATTCCGTTATCCACAGTCGCAACCAGCAAGCGACTTTTCCATCTGGAATGAGCAGTACGCCGAGGCCATGGTGGAAGCTCAACGCCGGTTCCCAAACGACCTGGATGTTGCAGCGCTTTGTGCGGACGCCCTAATGAACCTGACGCCGTGGAAGCTGTGGGATATGACGACGGGTAAGGCGGCAGCCAATGCACGCACTCTCGAGGCTAAGGCGGTGCTGGACCACGCGCTGGCGTTGCCAGGGGGTCGTGAGCATCCGGGTTTGTTGCATCTTTACATCCATCTGATGGAGATGTCGGCCCATCCTGAGAAGGCGCTCGTTGTGGCGGATCGGTTACGTGGACTGGTACCAGATTCAGGCCACCTGAACCACATGCCCTCGCATCTAGACATCCTTTGTGGTGACTATCGACGGGCCATGGCTTCCAACATGGATGCCATCCGGGCAGATGAACGGTATGTGGCTCGAGCTGGGGCGGTCAATTTCTATACGCTATATCGATCTCACGACTACCATTTCCGCCTGTACGCTGCCATGTTTGCAGGGCAGTCAGCTGTCGCGCTGGAGACGGTGGGATGGCTTGAGAAATCCATCCCCGAAGAGCTGTTACGAGTGGAATCGCCACCGATGGCAGACTGGTTGGAAGGGGTGCTGGGAATGCGAGTTCACGTCATGGTCCGATTCGGCCTCTGGCAAGAGATTCTGGCATTGCCATTTCCTCAAGACAGCGTCTTATACTGCGTGAGCACAGCCTTGCTTCATTATGCCAAAGGGATCGCGTTGGCGGTGCAGGGCGATGTCAACGGGGCCCAGGGGCAACTGGACTTGTTCCGCGCCGCCGTCGAACGAGTGCCGGCGTCTCGGATGATCTTCAACAACACATGTTTGGACATCCTGGCTGTGGCGGACAGGATGTTGCAAGGCGAATTGGCGTACCGACGAGGGGACTACGAAAATGGGTTTCAACGACTACGAGAATCCATCGGGCTCGACGATGCACTTCCATATGATGAGCCGTGGGGATGGATGCAGCCACCAAGACACGCGTATGGAGCACTGCTGTTGGAACAAGATCGTGTCGAAGAAGCCGCTGCCGTGTACCGGGCGGACCTTGGGCTGGATGAGACGCTCCCTCGACCGCTCCGACATCCCAACAACGTGTGGGCATTACATGGATACTATGAGTGTCTGGTGCGGTTGAATCGAATGGCAGAGGCTGGCATTGTTAGACCGCAGTTGGATTTTGCGCTGGCTGTGGCTGATGTTCCTATCAAGTCGTCGTGCTTTTGCCGGAAGAAGAATGTGATGCAGATAGGATAATCAAAGGGAGAGAGTGAGAGGTGATTGTTAATGATATAGAATTGATGATGAAGTTGAGACGAAGCTCACGTGACCAGTGTTGGTTAGAGATGAGGAAGTTGCGTTGTGTTGCATCCCTCCATCGCACCTGCTTTGGTGTGTGCCTTCCCTTTCTTTTCCTTTTCTTCTCTGTTCATCGTGACTGCCGTGATTCTTGTCCAAATCGAAAAAGAAAACCTCTCTTCATCTCTTCATCTCTATCTCTAGATATATCATCTTTTCATCTTTCCATCTCTCTTCATTTCTGGCTCTCCATCTTCATCTCTTTTACATCACCATAGGCCTCCACAATTTCAGTCTTGGCATCCCACTCTACCCTGTCGCCCGATGGGGCTCCCACGGGCTCCCACGGTCTCCCACGGGCTTTTCCTCAGCCCTCGCTTGCCCTCTTCTCCGAGTTCAGTCAGCCCCATGTTCCACACAAACCCCGAGCCATGCTATGGTTTGCCTCCCTGTTCCCCCAAAATCCTTTCTCCAGCCACTGAGATTCCCCAGAAAGTCCATCTTTAAACTTCCAAGATCTCTCGTTGGTCACATGGTCAACTTGTTTCATCAAGCGCAATATCAGAGGTGTCGTTTCTTGTCCAAACTTCCTTCTTCGACCGACTAATCATTTGCCGGTTGATACATACGTCCTTGGGTGCAGCTTGCATCTGCCTCCCTCCAGCCTCGCATCGACATCCATCACGGCCTCGCCCACCCATCCTAAAACCTTAGTCAGCACCGACCAACCACCACCCAGATCACACATCGCTTTGGCCCCGCGTTTTGCCTGGCCTGGTCTTGGTTTTTCGGTCGACGTTAAACAAGAGCCACTATCTTGACATCCACGCTTTCCATCTACCACCGACAGGCATGCATCCAGCCCACTATGGATGAATTCCATGACCTGGTCAGAAGTCAGGCACTTCTCTCCTCTGCTTGCGCTCCTCCCCCTTCCACCGATCCTTCCAACCCTTCCTCCAACCCCGACAAAAAGTACCGTTGCTCAACCTGTGGCCAAAGTTTTTCCCGTGCCGAACATCTCAAGCGCCATCAAACCCGACGTGAGCAGAATCCTCGGACCTTATGCTTTACTTGCTATCTATGTCTTGAACCGGCTAACATCTACCAAAGATACCGGCGCGAAGCCCTTTTCCTGTATCTTTTGTGATCGTGACTTCTCTCGAAAGTGGGCATCTCTCCTTTATCTTCCTGGGCCCACCCGCCTCAGGATCGCTACTAACTTGTTCCTAGGGACCGATTACAAACTCACTACAATCATTGCCAGCGCCGCGGTGATCGACCGCTTCCAAATTCGATTCCCAAGGGTCGAAAACCCCATGCATGCGTCACTGTGAGATTCCCGTTTCCGTTCGCCCCAACCTGTCCACCCAACCTGATCACATCTCCAGTGCATTTCGTCTAAAATCCGTTGCGATGGCAAAAACCCATGCGCACCATGTCAAAAGAAAAATCTGCAATGCGTTCAAAAGTCATCTCAACCCCGGTCTCCAAGTATGTCCCATTTTATCCCGTGACATCCGCCCCTAGACTCCGTGACCCATGCTCACCACACTCCTTTCAGGCCACGACAGCATGGAACTTGTCGACGATCGCGTTTCTATCAAGGCCCTTCTCAACGGGGGCGTCGACACCTTTACTGAAACCTTCAATCTCCCTCCAAGCGACGATCGAGTGAGGAGCCTGGAGCACCACCATCGCAAAGCAAACGAGCAAAATGAGTCTGCCGTCAATTCTCCTCCAAACGAAAGTCCCGATTTCATCGACTATGCTAGCATGTTTGAATCCCCCTTGGGAGCCGACAGCCAGTACCTTGACTTTTGGACCGGCCCCTTTGGGCTAAACCATTCTCCGTCCTTCAACTCCAACGACCTTTCAGCCGACTTGTTCTCTCAAGCCCTCCCATCAGACCTCAAAGTTGACAGTGTGGCGCGAGGCCCCGACTTGCACCAGGCCGATCAGGTCCAGTACGTGGCGGCCCTCCATCTTGCCATGTACAACAAGCTCTGGAGCCTGGCTCTCGAGGCTCAAACCCGACACCAACTCACCAATTACCTTAACTTTCTCCTCACTACCGAACGGATTACCCGCTTCATCTCCATGTACTTTCGTAACTGGCACCTCAACTGTCCCATGATCCACCGACTCACCTTCGACCCGGCGGAGGTCCCTCTTAATCTCCTTCTCTCCGTCACCTTCGTCGGTGCCCTCTATTCCAAGGTCCCGGCCGAGCGACTGGCCGCCCAGAAACTCGTCGACGTCGCTGAACTCGTTGTCTTTGACTCGGAGATTTTTTCCCTCGACATCGAGGCAAGCCAAGTCATCGAGACTGGCACGGTGCCCGCGGTCGAACGGGGAGAGCATGATTGGAATCTATTTCGAGAGCTGCAAGGTGGCTTCTTGATGGTCATTGCTCAGTACTGGGGAGGTGCTCGGATTGCAAAGAGTCGCGCGATCCAGTCGAGATTCAGTGACGTGGTAAAGGCAAGACATACTCTTCTCGTCCTCAAAAGCACTGTTTCTGACATTATCATTTTGCAGGTCTTGCGAAAAATGCGATTACCCCAATCTCGACATCACCCGAGCGACCGCATTTCCGAGGTTGGTTGGTTGCAGAAAGAATCCCGCATCAGGTAAGTCAAGCTTTTCACCGCTCGTTCGCACTGCTTGCTAAATGTGTTCGGCAGAACCATGGCAGCGATTGCGCTTCTCGATTGCGCCATGCGCATCTACTCAAATCATCCTTGTCGTATGATGGTGGCTGAGCTGGAATGCGACCTGCCTTGCAAGGAAACCACCTTCAATTCCGAACACCCTTTTATGGAAGATGATAACATCTTTGCTCCACGGCTCACCATCTCACGAGCCTTTTCATCTCTCTTCCAGCCTCGCGTCAAACGGCGCACATCCTCGGTCGCCATTCCCAAGGAGGAAACCAGTCCGACTGATGATTTCATCAATCTCGGCGAGGCTACTGAGTTTACTCGATTCGACTTGTTCATCACCATCCATTGTAAGTCCAGCAGGTGCCCGACAGACGAACAATATTTACTGACTTGGCCTATAGTCTTGTACACGTATATCGTCTCATACGTCATGACTTTGTCTTATAGCCTTCCTGTTGCATCACTGAAATCGACCTCGGGACAGACCAGCAGCGGCAAGCTCCGCAGAGGTGCCCTGACCGAGGAAATTCGAGAAGCCTTGGGCCAGTGGAAATTGCTTTGGGACCAAGCTTGTGTCCAGGCAGCTGATCAGCCCCAAAGGCTGGCTGGCATGTTCCGAAATGCCTTTTATTTCTGGCTGGTGGCCAAATCGATCATCAACAAGGAAGAGAGCATCCATGTCATTACCACCATGGAGGTCAACTGCGAGGATGCCTTGACAAAGCTGAAGGTTTTGTTTCAAAACGACAATGACTAAGCTGGAGCCACATCGACGAGGAATATATATTCGCACCACCTACAAACACTCGAATACTCGCGTCGACCGATGATGTGCCGAAATGGTCCCGGTGTGCGTTGGAAGATATTGCACCAAGCTTCCATGTTCTTGCAATATCCCCCAAGATATTGTCCCCTTCTGTCAGCTGACAATACTGGAACATTTACAAGGCTAGAGCTTGGAAAGATGTACGGAGTAATGGAAATGGTGCACCGTGATCGAATGAACTACTCCACCACCGCACGGTCCTGTATTTGCTTGCCGAAGTGGCTGTTGCGTAACCAGCATGAAGCATTATTGGAGCCTACTTACTTAGAAAGTTCATGGCTCGATGCAGCAGGCTGACATGGCAGCGCTCAACGCTTGGAGATAACGGCACTTGTTAGAGTGTAATCTCCAGGCCGATTAGATATAAGTAAGATTTAAGCCCCGGGCCTATGATGGCAACCCCAACCCACCTTGTGCATGTCCCGAGGGTCCCCCCAACATCCTCTCATTTAGGCACCTGATGTAGTGTGCTTTAAGTACCCGGCCCCCCCAAACCACCCAAACCACCCAAACCACACCTAGAATCATTTGAGCAAACGCCACAGCATACACACCACCAACGAGGCTATCAACCCACATGTAATTTCTCGCCTCGCTTAGTCCTAAACAAGCGGCCGAATAAGGGCCATCCTTTACGACAGCCAACAGATTCCAGAGACAACAGGCAAAGGCAATTTGCAGCAAGTCGACAGGATGAAGGTGGTGCTCTCTGGCGCGACGGGCTACATTGGTAGTCAAGTGCTGAGTCGGTGCCTAGAGCATCCCTCCATCACTGAGGTCCTGGTTCTAAGTCGGCGCGACATTGGGCCCTTAGCTCAACACCCTAAAGTCCAGGTATTGATGATGAAGGACTTTACTTCCTACGACGACCCAGCCACGACTGCCCAACTACTCACGGCCGATGCTGCCATCTGGTGCCTGGGCACATCCTCAGGCAATTACAAGGTTGACATTGAGTTTCCACTTGCCTTCATCAAGGCCATCAAGGCACGTCAAACCCAGGGCTCGCCAGGAAAGGCCTTTCGCTATCTTCAACTCAGCGGTGCCTTTACCGAACCGCCTCCAAAGGACGGTCAGCCTGAACGGTCACTGTGGTTCTTTGTCCAGGGTAGGCGTATCAGAGGTGCCCTCGAGCCCACGGTCCTCAATGAGTCTTCTGACCACAACGCCACCGTAGATGTCAGTCACTCGAATAAACCTCCGTTCACCGTCTATCTCGTCAAGCCCGGCGGCGTTGCTCCGACTTGGGTCCCTGCCTTTGTAATGAAATACATCATTGGCCAGAGACTCGGTGTCGGCATCCAAGACCTTGCTGCCACCATGGTTGACCTTGTGGTCCGCGGTGGCGACCAGAGAGTCTTCCTAAATCGAGAAATAATCGCGTACGCGAGCAAGCTACACGAGAAACCCAGCGCATCCACACTGTAATAGCCCGTAAAATTGATCAAAAAAATAGCACGGGTATGGAAAAATGGCGCGCTTCCTGGTAAGAGCAATGGTATACCATGAATCATGAAGGTAAAATTGATGCTTTATTCTATCATCGCTCCCTATAGTCGTACACACAAATCATGCAGAACATGGCGCTTTTTCAAATATATCGAACCCATCTATCAAACAGACAACAACCTATCCAGGACATTATTCGTCACGATTTTCGCCTCTTTGCGGGATTGTATGTCTAGTCTTCTTGCTGCTTGACATAGTTGATGATAGCCACGCTCGGACCGGGCCAGCTTCGTTGAGCCTTGAAGAACCAGAGGGCCATGGCGAATAAAAAGACAAACAAGAAAATGGGCCCGCAGTAGTTCATGTTGACCGCGTCGACGGGGATGGTGGATGGGAAAGGTAGGAAGATCATGACGTAGAGAGTGTAGAACAGGGAGTAGATGTTGATGTAAACCCCGTACCGGCCTAGATTCCACTGGCCCAGCACCAGTGACTGACCGCCATGGGTGGACTGATAGCGAGCATACAGCATGCAAAACAGGGCGATGGCGTAGGAAAAGTACAAGGCCATGGACGCCAGGGCGACGATGGCGCCAAACGCCGTGGTGGAACCAATGTTGAGCAATGACAGCAGCATGACTACCGTCAGCCCCAACCAAATCGCCCGGATCGGCACCAGATGGGTTGGGTGGACATACGCAAACCACCGAGGAATGCCACCATCTCGAGCCCAGGCCCAAGTCAAGCGTGACACCGAGGCAATACATGCGAGGACGGAGCAGCACGAGACGATGAAAAGTCCCGTCAACATGGCCGTGGTGGCTCGGAGCGAGCCGGTGCATCGAAGCAAGACGAGGGATGCGGGAAACGTCGAAAAGAGCAATTCTTCGTCCAAAGGACCCATGGACGATAGAATGGCGAGCACCATCGAATAGGCCAGCACACCGTTAAGGGCGATGGACCAGAAGATGGCTCGAGGAACGGCCTGTTTGGCTGACTTGACCTCTTCAGCCATGTGGACAGCACCGTCAAAACCGGTCAATGCCCACACACAGGTCAACATGCCCAAGTTCCATGCGACAAAGTCGTTGTTCCAGCCGGACCACACCTCGAAATGGGTGAACATGAAGGTGCCCGTATGGCGGGTGCCCAGCACCAACAGAACACACATCCACAGCACAAACAGGCCAATGTGCAGCACCCCGGCCACCAATTCGAGCCAGGGCACGAGCGCGAACGTGTATCCGTTGGAGTTGATGACGCCAAACAAGGTCAACATGGCAATCATCATCAGGGTGACGTGCCACTGCTCCGGCACGTAGTTCGGGTTGTTGAGGAAGGCCATGTTCTGGAGGAGCAGCACCGTGATGTTGGTGGTGCCGGCAAGCAGTGACACCCATCCAAACCACGTCATCCACCCTTGCATCCACGTCGTGAATCGTCGGATGTTGGATGGCGCAAGCACGTACGTCCAGTGATATTGTGCTCCGGCGATGGGCACCGTTGACGCCATCTCAGCGATCGACGCCGACTGCATCAGCGCGCCAAAGTAACAGATGACGATGCTCCAGGCGAACGTCTGAGGACCACCGTTGTAAAGGGCAAACACCATGGATCTGAAGCACAAACGAAACTTTAGCCCTGACCACTATGACACTCGCGCAGCGGGATCTGGATCGAGACCAAGCAAGGCTCGCTCGACCCAGAAAAGAAACGAAACTCAAAACTCACCCGTTCATACTCTCCCAGACACACATGTAGGTCAAGGAAAAGGCGAAAATCTGTGCGAAGCTGAACAATCGCCGAATGCGCACCACACTGTTGAGGTCTTCGCCATTGTCGCCCAGGGCAGCATTTTTCGCCTGAGAGCTGTAGTCGCTTTTGGATTTCGAGTTGGGATAAGCGTGCACGACCGACTTGCCCGTGTACTGCATTTCAATCTCCTCCTCGCTGGAGTTTCGCATTTTGGCGGCGTTTGGTCCACAAAGAGACGACCCTGGTACAAGATGGTAAAAGAATTGACTTGTCGATCGGAGGTCCAGAGAAAGAAGTCGTTGAGCGTGCTGGCGATCTCGACTGGTTTATTTGCCAGCCGGGATAAAAGGGTTGTGAGGATGGAGCATCCAAAAGAGGGTTGCGAGGACGGAGCATCCAATCAAGCTCAGGTCCTGGGTTCCCTCGCTATCTACCCCGGCTCAGCAAGGATTATCCTCATGGCAAGCTAGTTGATAGTGTGTAGGAGAGGGAGCCGCGAAGGCATGAGAGCAGAGATAAAGAGAAAAAGCGGTTCTCTCTCTCGCAGTAGATCCATGCTGGCTGAGGGTTTGGTCTCTGGGCGACGTCGCAGTCGGGCGCCGTCTGGCCTCTAGTCCTCGGGGGATGGGCCGGAGTGTCAGAAGACATCTCCACAGCACATCAGAGGAGCTTTCCGACTTCACGAGCTGTCGACATTTGTGAGAAGACGATGACTTAGGGCCTTGCCAAGATGGTCCGGTCCAAGCGGCGGATTCCCAAAAACACGGTACCTTTCTTCTTCATACGCTTCAGCTTGTAAAGGAAGACGCGGGGCGGTCAATTCCGGGAAGGAACCTCTGTTGATCGGCTCCTCCAAGGCTTGGGTGTAGATCAATCATCGCTTTGATCCTTGATCCTCTGTCAAAAGGCCTACCTGAGGGTCTTTAGCTCTCTTAGCCATGTCCACAGTTTGAGGGCCAAAGTGACCCGAGGGCCCCCCCCTTAGGCCTGCACGCATCTGTGCCTAGGAACACCTGCACTACTCGAAATGACACCTGGCTGCGTCTCGTCTAAACACGGCTCGATATGGAGCATTCATGTCCACTCCACTTGGCACCATGGTCGTCCAGCTGGGAATGTCCGTAGAGTGAGCCCAGCGGGACTGTGCTGCCGCAGTAGTTGTCGTCCTTTGGTCCACATTTTCAAACTAATAAATGCGAGTACATCGTGTGTATCTACGGAGTACACAACTGCATAACCCTAGAATGTACATATGTATGGTCGTGTATCTGTGCGTCAAGTGGCTGGAGATGCCGCCGATCTCTTCACTGCTCTATCAAGCGATTGGCCTGAAATTATTTGTCCCTCGCTTGCCCGCATTTACGAGGTTGGTCATACAGTATATTATTGGGGTACATAACGTCTCGTCATGGTCGGTATATAAGGAGTAGTTTGAAGGCACTATGTGCTTACAATTTAAGAACTCGTGGAACTGTAACAAGATCAATGATCTTCTCAAAGTCACTTCTTGTTTGAGAGACCTTGATCCTTGCTAGGGAGACATCGAGTGTTTCTCCAATTCTTGGGTTTCCACAGGCCGTCTGTTGGGCCAAGTTTATGCCAATCCTCCTCTAGACATTGGTTCAACACCTTTAGCGGCGGGGAACCGCGGAGACGGGCTGTAGAATACATGACAAAGTTAATCAAGTGCCCTAATTAGTTAAGCCAGCACCTACGGAGTAGCCATGCCGACTTGTCGAAGCGTGGGAGTTATGCATGGCAACAATATGCCAGTTGCTGTTCTGGAAAGTCCCCCTTGAAGAGTGCATGATCAGGGCCATCAGCATACGCAGAGAAGTATCCGTTGAACCACAACTAGTGCCTCCAGAACAGGGCATAGTATAGCCTACAGTGGACTTCAGAAATAGGAGGCTTTGAGAAGAAGATCTTCTACGTACAGCTGGTTTACCTGCCGCTCCATGCCATATAGAAACTTGATTCAATCTGTAGACAATCAATCAACATTGCTCCAAATAATGCAAGCTTCGTGAACCATGTCATTATCTATGCTTAATGTTGAAACCTGCGGCGAGTGAGTCGACCTGTCAGGTCAACAAGCTTGCAGACATCTTGGATGGGTTCTCCTTGTGCTGTTCGAACCAACATATGGAGATGGTGGGGGCCTATGCATAGCACAAGCACGTGATTGCCCTTGTCCTGCAAGGGGGCCACGCAACCGGGGCATCTCGGAATGAATCTATTCCATACTCTGCAGGAAAATGTGTTCTTCATGCTTTTGTCGTCTCTTTGCTATACAATGTACGTGTACTTACTGTAATCCAAGACAATCAGAGATTATATGCATTCCTATCACTGCTAGAATAAACAAAGATTCAATGTAACGAAATTTGCTGATGTTCTCCCTGTTCAGGCGTGCCACTGCCACGAGAATCCCATCGAGATCCGACCCTGGCACCCCTAGCATTTCTCCTGAAATCGCGCCAGTCCTGCAGGACTTGTGGACCCGAATTAGTGTAATACGTGCAGCTTAGCGAGTTCCCTTGTTGAGTACAACATGCATGATCCTATGTGTACGAGTATGCACATGTGTGTGAGAGGGCGTCCCGCTGTAGCATGACTTACAGAATAGGAGCGCAAACACCGCTGGGAGGAACAAACATGCATACACCAAATATACAACACTCTCGATTCACATCAACGGATCAAAGATTGAACATGTTATCTGACCATGGACCTATTTCCCCTTGGCATTTGCACTGGCTTCTGATCCACAGATATGAAGAACTTTGGTGTCTATTCAGAAATATCCTATATTAGAGCCACTTGTACTCGGTACCTTTTTTAGTCTCGCCTCCCTTCTGTTTTACGTGAAAGTCTATGACCGGGCCACCTATCAAAAACGAGCCAATTTCAACTGCACCTTCAGTCATCCTCGTCATGTCTTCAATATACAACATGAAGGAAGGGAAACACCCAGCAACAGCCCATTGCAGCAAGCTCAAAACACACTCTGGAGATACGGTATGAGAATCACTGACATGGACAAGACAAAGTTTACAATATACTTTGAATTTACACTTCTCAGTCCCTACAGAAGGAGGATCGGACCGCTGCCTGCACTTGGCGGCAAATGGTAAAGTCAACCACGATCCCGGATGATGTTCCCCTTGGGCCAGGAGTTCGATTAGTCAGTCACTGACAGCATCGGACAACATATCGCCGTAGTCGAGGTCCGTGTTCAACACCCACGTTGCAGTTGTGCGGTCGCATGCCCTTGCAAACCGCGTGGTCCAGACACCGCTTGCCCGGTTTTTAGGTCTCTTCTATCATGGTGGAAACAATCCCAGGGCGAATACGAGATTGCATCTATTCGGCCTCAACGATATGCACCTGAAAAGCAACTCAAAGGCGATGACAATCTCGTGGGAAATGGTCAAGATATATCTGGCAGCTGCCAAACAAGGCTTGATTGACCATTTACTCTGTCGAGACCATACTAGAAGGTGTGACACATGTTGCTTGATATGCCGTCATCGCTCTCGCTACGCTTAACCTGGGTGCTTGACAGTTGCCCACTCTCCCCTTGGCCATTGGGGAAATGATCATCTTCCGTCTGCGTCTGCCTCGTGAGCCCGGAATTGGATAGCCTGATCACCTTGGTCTAGAATTGTTAGCCAGATGGTATATTTGCGAACGCCTCAACACGAGTCTAATGCACTTAGTCTTCGCAACAAGCATGTCAAGCAATGCAAAGCTTACGGCCACAGAGCCCTGCGTGACCAAATGGTGCTTTCTCCCGCCCGCAACCGTCATTCAAAATACGAATAAGATACAGCCATGCAATTTTGGTAGCCTTTGGCTTGATGAAGCTCGTCTCGCGGTAGTCAAGGCAAGTGATGTTTTTGTGATCCATGGATTGAGAATGGACATATAAAGCCTCAGGTTGTCCTCCTGTACAGGCCATCTCTGCCCCAACAAGTCTCGATCAACTCTCAAATCTCACCCAAGTCACTCCTTTGACACTTGATCGATTTCGCGAATCCCTTTGGATCCTTCTCCTCGTCCATAATTTCCAATCTCAAGTCAATTCCAGGCGTTCCACCAACATCAAGATGAAATTCCTCACCGCCGGTGCCACCTTGGCTCTTGTTTCCACCGTCTGCGCCGCCCCTAACTGGAGTGACTGGGTCCGACCAGGCGCATGCCCTGCTGCTCAATGCCCAGACGCCCAATGCCCGGATGTCGAATGCCCCGTGGATACTTGTCTCCAACAAAGTGACGCCGAGGATATCGTCAACAACTTCATCGCTTTCCTTGACCACCCGGATATTGCGGCCGCCAACGTGACTGCTCAAGCCTTGCTCGCGGAAGGCTTCTACGAGAAGAGCGACTCAATCAACATGCTCGCTGGACACCCTGTAAGTAGAGATTTCGCAATGGATCACCCGTTGACAGCATCTGACTCCATTCTACAGATCGGCAGTGTCACCTTTGAGGGCAAGCAATCCTACATCGGAGCAGTGCTCAGCTCTCCTAGTCTCGACGCGATCGAGATCATCAAGATCTTCCCTGCGGGCTGTGACCACGTCCTGTTCTACTGGAGAATGGGTGTTGGCTCAAAGCAGATCCCCGTGCAGGGTTTCAACCTCTTCGAGATCGTGGGAGACAACCAGATCGGCAGCATGTTTGTCGAGTTCAACAACATTGGCTGGGGTATCGACATCGGCTATACCGCCTTCAACCCAGCTGGCGTGCAGCTCCCTCTCGCATAGGCCGTTCAGGCCTTGCTGGCTTAGATGCTGACGAACATCTTGAGGGTAACATGATTTGAATGTCAAATTTTCTTCTTGTGGAATTGGTTACCGGTATCTGGGATTCACTCATCGTGTAATGAACTAGGGGCAACACAGAAGCCTCTAAAGGGACAAGTCTCGTTGGACAGGGAAACCCGATATGGCGCCTTGGTTTGGAAAATATTATTTTATTGGACATGATTGGATAACGTGATATTCTGGACAACGTCGAAAGTGATATAGGTCATGCAAACTGGTGAGAAGAGCAGCTACAAAAGGAATGCACTGATCTCATCGTTACGCTTAATAAATGCACGACGTGGCTTTCGTTTGTTAGAGAAAGCTTGATGACTTGAGTCGGCGTCGCCCCACAATCTGTATATGGAGTCAGTCAGAGATGTTAGTCAGCCTGGACTTCTGAGTCAGTTCTCCCCGCTTGGAATTCCCCCAATGTTGCTTCTCATATCCGCGATTGAGTTTGTAGTCCATTGCCTTTAAGACCAGGTATTGGTTTGTGAGTATGTGAAGCCTTAGTCAGAGAGGTGCTGCTTCACCAAGACGCCGAAACTAACGAACGACCAACGACCAACGACGACATAGGACTATCGGAACGATTCATGGCGCTTTGGGTATGCGCACATTATATATGTTGGCAATGTCCATATCAGTGACAAGATGGGATGTGGATTACGAGAATACAACTCTCCACTATCCCAACGTAATTCAACAGGGTCGCTACCAGCTGGAACGGCATCGATATAGAAATACCCGGCATTGGGGAATAAGGTAGGAACAAGCAACGACTTTCGCCATACACACCAAGCCCTGAAACGACAACAGCACCAAAACTTTGTAGATTCCGACCCGAAACTCAGTGCAATATGGCATTCCAACAGCCTTCGTACCGGTTTGAGCGTCTCGACAAGGACAAAGCCAGTATGTGATAAGATCTCGCCTGAAGGCATCGACCTTGTTAGTATTTGAACTAACATGACGGGGCTACCCCGACTCAGTCCTCTTGATTGTGGATCACCAACTGGGTTTGTTGCAGCTGGTCAAGGACTACAGTCCAGCAGAGTTCCGCAACAACGTGATGGCGCACGCGGAAATGGGCAAACTGTTTGGACTGCCGACGATCCTGACCACATCGGCCGAGAGGGGACCCAACGGGCCATTTCCCAAGGAAATCACCGACATGTACCCAAATGCGCCATATATCCGACGCAACGGCGAGGTCAATGCCTGGGATAACCCGGAGTTCCGAGCCGCGGTCGAGGCGACAGGAAGGAAACAGGTCATCCTGGGCGGCATCGTCACCGAGGTGTGCACCATGTTTCTGGCCCTGAGTCTGCGCGAGGCTGGCTATAGCGTGTGGGCCAACACCGAAGCCAGTGGCACTGGCACGCCCAAGCTGGCCGAGGACGCCAACCGAAGAATGGAGGGTGCCGGTGTTCATTTGGTGAGTTTTACCTGACCATCCCCTTTTTTTCATCTCAACTTTCCATGTCCATAAAGGCTGATATGCTTCCTCTCCTCCCTGGAATAAAAGACCGGCATGTTTGGCATCGCCATGTTTCTCATGAAGGACTGGAGAAACACCCCCGGCACTGCTGAGGTCCTGCCATACCTCGACAAGTATTTGCCTGCCTATGGCGTAGTGGCCAGAGCACACGGTGCTGCAAATCAGACAGGCGAGATCGTGCCAGGCGAGCAGCAACTCTTGTCGTAGCCAAATCACCACTTTGAGAAAAGGGTTACTGAGGTGGTCATTCAAGGACTGGTGGAAGGAGGTTTGATCAGATTATAATGAATCATTCTATGATTCAACAGCCTTGTACGGATTCAATGTTATTATACCACAGGCATGTGTCCATGTCTATATGCCTTGGGGCGTCTAAATCACTGTAGCAGATCTCGCGTCTCTTATAAACAAAGGTCATGTTCTCGGATGCCATGTCAAGAACAAGTCCAGCTCTTTCTCAACGTTAGGAATCAAGTTCAACTGACCTCTCCCAAGACGAATATCATTACATATAGGTATGTCTCCTGCTGCAGCTCCTGTCGCTATGCATACAAAAAATCATGTGTTCTCCTATTGTCCGGGTGCAAGGCCGGAGCCCGCAATGAAAATTCCACAGTCACTAGCTTTTGCCATAACGACTGGGAACCGGGGGCACAGGCTCATCTATCTTGTAGGGATCTGGGAATCCCACGTCGTGTAACATCTCGGTAAATGTTGTCGTCGGTCTCGATTTGAGGGTGTTGAAGTTCTGAGGGGCATTCGAACTGGACGAGACATTGTCGCCGTTGTATCTGGCGGCAGCAAGGGTCTCAGGTCCACCAGCACCAGGGTTGGACAAATCATGCAACGATGAAACATCCGAATAGGAACTCAGCGCCCTCTGACCCGTAACCCGATCATCGTCGGGGTAGATGCTGCGATCGTCATTAGCGGGATTCGACTGTAGGCCTGGTGGAGTTTGGAAAGGACTACCCATTGGTTGACCCTGTTCGCTTCGCTCATTGAAATTGTCGCGATCGTTGGCAAATCGAGATGCGTTCATACCACGGAGTGGGGCAATATTGGGGGGTACAGCAGGGACTGTGGGAGGAGAATAAATTTTGATGGTTTCGGCGGTTGATTCACGGGGTAGTCTGCGCTCCGGAGTTACAGGATAGGCCGAACTTGTTGGCGCAGTATTGTGTATGTTGTTCTGTGTTGGAGGAGTCGGCATTTTCCAGTTGTCTTGGGTCGGATCATTCTGTGTTGGAAGCTGGGAATCGCGGCTGGAGAAGATTGATATGGCGCGTTGGCCAGTTCTCCTGAGGAACTCGGTGCGTCCGGAACTCTGCATTGGAATGGGGTCGGAGATTTGCGGTTTGAAAGCTGTCGAAGAACCAGTCGAATTTCTGTTGTCAGGCTTTTTGTGCCGCCCAGTACCGATGACCCAGATCAAAGCCAAAAGAATGCCGACAAGGATACCAACACCAATGCCGCCGGCAAAGATACCCGTGGGGAATTTGTTACCCTCTTTTGTGGCAGTAGCACTTGAGCCAGAAGCAATGACAGTTGAGGCGGTGGAAGAGGATGTAGGAGGGGACGTGGTTGATCTGGAAGATGTGGCTGCGGCGGTGGATGATGAACTCGCGGTGGGGGCACTAGGAGCGCTGGAGGACGCTGAGGACGCTGAAGACGTGGTCTCTCTTCCTGATTTACTCAAGCCCAGGATCAGACTGCATACAGAATTATCATCCCTATTTGAGGCGATGCAGCTGTATCCAAAGGGGCAGCACTTGGAACCACAGGTGGGTAATCTGTCACCTGTTCTGGTAGTAAAAATGGTGGCATCGGGATTTTTGGAGGCATCTTGTAAGGTGACGTCGCAAGGAATGGTGGCAATATTGTTGCAAGTATTTCCATCGGGGCAGCACAGAGCAGATGTGCCATTGTCTAATGATAAACAATTTGTACCAGAGCCACACTTGAAGGCGCCTGGCAATCTAGAGTCGACATTTGTGCATGTATCGACGTTCTGACGGCTCATCAGAGCTCTGGTTTCCGAAGAATCTTGATCGCGGGTGCTGAAAGCCTGGCTGATGGATACCAAGACAACAAGGATCGGGAGGGAGGAAGTTGGTCGCATGTTCTTTTCAAATGCGCTGGGTAGAAGGGAACTGGCGAGAACTAGGCAAGGCTTGCGAGAAAGCCTGAAGGCGATAGAGTATTATGTGAGGGTCAAAGAGGTTGTTTTGAGGCAGAAGATGGGAATGTTTTCGGCAGCGTACAGAGTTTGGAGGTGGGTTTGAGTCAAAGACTTGGGTCGTTCACCAGGGCGGCCATGGACGTCTGAAAAGCCAAATTCGGGAGTGAAAGGACAAACGCCAATCAAACAAAGCAGGTGACGGCAAGGAGAGATGGGCAGAGAGACAAAGAAATGGAAAAGTGCGGTGAGTCGTCACCTTTGAACAAACCTTACAATGACTATGTGTATTTCTGGACCAGGGTATGTCGTGGATGACGAGTGGATGTCAAAGGAGGAGACTGTAGAGTAGGCTCAAGGCAAAGTCTTATTTGTTGGTGAGAAGAGAGGCTGAGAACCAGTCTCGCATGGATATTAGGGCATCAGTAGGTTGAACAAACCGTCACCTTGAAGCTGCAGAGGCCTGAGTCATAGTGCAGGCGCAGGTGAGATGGAAATAGCCCGTTGAGGACCAATGACTGCGGGTCAAGAGGCAGTAATATGAAGATTGAGATCTGATGCAAGCGCAAAGACGTGTGGAAACAACCGCGGTGGCTGAAAACGAGAGGCTGAGAGAGGCCGAGACAGAGGTCGGTAGAAGGATCTGCATGCTGTCAGAGGACACGATGGCGGGATTGAGTGGTGGATGGATGAGGGATGAGGATTGAGGATGAAAAGATTGAAAGATGGAAGATGGAGGAGGTGGCATTGTTGGTTTCAGAGACGAGGCTGTAGACATGAATAGACGCTTATGATTGGCTGGCGGTTCGACGGGCTACGCTAGTCTATTTTGGGACAAATCGCAGGTGAAGTCAATTGCTTCGAGAAATTTGGGAACGAAACTCGTCCATCAGTCCACCAACGTCGAGTTGCAGCACTGCGTAATTCAATCCAATTGTTCCCTGTTTGTGCGGCCATGCGGTAGCCTTACAAACATCTACCCTTCCTCACAATGATCACCCGACCTCTGACGCGGCCCCAGTCGCTTCTTCGCTTTGCCGTCAACCACACTGTGAGTTTCCCTGTACACATGGCCTTGGTTTCTCCTTGGTTTCCCCCAAGTCACCAGAGCTGCCAAAAGCTAACTCAAGCTCTCTAGTCTTGCGCCTCTCGGTCCCAGTCACAGCGATGGGCTCACTCGGTACCTGAAGACTGGAATCAAAGAAAAATCCCAACTTTCCAGAACCTCAAGAAACCCCAAGTCTTTGCCAAATATGGCGTACCGGGCTTCCTCTCCAAGGAAACCTTTGAACAGACCTATGAACAATATATCAAATACCTCGCAGACCAACTGAATGAATTCACAGCCGGTACAGTTAGATCCATGCCCATGGGCCACCTCAATCACTCTACAGCTCTTGACTGACTTGCTCACCTAACAGGCACCGCCGATGAGTTTACATCAGCCGCCGACCTTCACGACCAATGCTCCCACCTCCCCGCGCGAGCCGCCCTGTACAACCATGCCGCCATGGCACTCCACACACAATTCTTTTTCGAGTCATTATCACACATTCCCACCAGCATGCAGCCACGGGAGCCGGGCATCCTGATGCAGAACAACCTGAAGGAAGATAACATCAGCCTGGAACAACTGCGTACTGAATTTCTCGAGACGGCCGAGGCCATGTTCGGTAACGGCTTTGTATGGCTGATGAAGCCCAAGAGTCTTGGTGGACTGACTATCCTGGCCACATACAATGCCGGCTCCCCTTGGTCTCGTGGATCGCCCCGCCGCGACAACCGTGACATGGCCAACCACGATTTCCGCCAGATTACCCGCGACATCCAAGAGGGCAACCAAAACGCCGGAGCTTATGGCAACCATAGCCATAACCGCGCTCTGCACTACGAGGGCACACTACAAGACGCTGAACCAATCCTGTGCGTGAACATGTGGCAGCACCAGTGGCTACCAGACTACGGCATGTTTGGGCGCAAGGCATATCTCAAGGCCTGGTGGGACACGATTGATTGGCAAGTGGTCGAGAACAAGATCAGCCTGTTCGAAATCAACGAAGGCTCACGTTCGAGATCCAACAACATCACCAGTGTACTGGAAACTGCCAGTCGGAGACAGCACTCGCTTAGGTAGTCATGTCTTGCCCAAGAGCCACATGGCGGCTGCCAAACACGTCCCGGCGTGTCTGAAGATGTATACTTTACTTTACTGTACTGTGATTGAGCATAAAGGAATGCAGCCATGGGGATGGATTAAGGAGATCCAAGCCAACGCAACTCGTCGATGTAATTACATAGTCTCGCGCATGTAGGTGCACGCGGAACTCAAGGCCATGTCATTTGTACATCATAAAATTACCATTGATATCCATCAATCCTCCAACCACGCTCCAAGTAGAACACAGCAAGGGAAAATGTGATGTGATGATATTGCGACAAGCCGAGCCACAGGATATATTATTGTAGCATCTCCCTCTATCGTCTCCTGTATCAATCCCAGTATCGAATATTCCCATCCAAGCCACCGGTTGCGACTTTGCTCGTTTCGTGTAGATGCCAGGCCACTGAAGTCACAGCACCCAGGCCTTCGCCGCCGGCCTGGATCTTGTGCCACATCTTGCCCGTCTTCCAATCCCAGAAGCACACAAAGCCCCCTGAATCGCCGCTGGCCACGATCCCTCCATCTGGAGAAATGGCCACGTCGATGGCGTAACCGCTGGTGTTCATTCCTCGAAATCCCTTCTTGCGATTCTGCCGGAACTTGTCCCCAGCCGCGTATACCACAATTTGGTTGTCCGCCGACTGAAACGCCACATATTTGCCCGACGGGTGGGGCGCCGACCGCACCAGGGCGTACATGGACGGGTCCGCAATGAATTTGATTGGCACTGGAATCCCATACTCCCATGCCCGCAGTGATTTGTCGTCCGACGTCGAAATGAACCGTCGCCCTTCGTCCACAAAAGTCAGTGTGTTGATAGGCCCCAGATGGTGATCGTACTCCTGCGTCAGTTCGCCTGAACGAGTGTCGAATTGCACAATCTTCTTGTCCGACATGCCGGCAATGAACTCGTTGCCTTCCGGGTGAAAGCGCAGCGTGTGAGGTGTTTTGCCCGTCGTGAACCGCGAAATGCATTTTCCAGTCTCGGTGTCCCAAAGTTTCATCTGACGATCGTAAGATGCTGAAAGGAAGGTCCGACCTGTCGGATGGAAGTCGGTGTCGGTGACTGATTTGTTGTGGCCAGAATATGTGCGAAGAAGGCTTCGATCGTGGTGAGCATCCCACAAGGCGATTTTCCCATCCGCCGCCGATGACAATAATAGGTGAGATGATTTGGGAATAAAGCGTAATGAGGTGATGGGCTTCTTGTGGAGTTTGTACACGTGAATGAGTTTCTTGGGAACATAATTCTGGACCGACCCAGGCTCTGTCCGCAGGTCGATGTCCAGATCTTGGGGCACATGCATGTATGTTCGTCCTTGGTAGTCGAATTCTGAAGCGCCATGGAACTCGGTAGTTTCATTGGCGCTGGCATCATCGCCGTAGCCGGTAGCCTCCTTCGGGGGAGCTGGCAAGGGTGTAGGGACGATGCCTTCCTCCACCCATTCCTCGTCAGATGCCAGTTCTTGGTCAGCAGCGGCTTCTGCCTGTTCATAGGCCACATCGTCGCTGGTGTATTTGGCCCACGGACCCAGATATGACCCCTCACCGTCGACAACACTGCTGTCGCCCTTCTTCTGTCTTTTCGACCGGATGATAGCGCTATCCTCTTTGGTGTGACGTAGCTGAACAACGTCCTTGCCTCCAAATTTGGCGACGGCCGATTGATCGCCAACAAATGCGCCGTTCACTGACGGGTCCTGTGTGTATCCAAGGCTTTGAAACGTGCGGTGTTGTGTTTTGAACGTTGCCTCTGACATGGACATCTCCTCTGCGTTTCCTGTCAAGAGATTCTTGCGCTTTAAGGCGTTCCCAGTGGAGGCATTGAATGGGTTGACTGGGCCTTGCGCGGGCCGCGCTAGATTTTCGTAGGTGACATTATAGGTGAGAGCGGTGCTGGTGGGATTGGATAATGCGATTTGCAATTGGGAAGAGTCCTGTGAGATGTTAGAAAGAACCTCTTTGTAGGCCGTCAAGGCTGGACCACACCTCTACTAATACATCTGGGGCAGCGTTGACAGATTTGGGAAGCGCTGCAACGGGTTTTGCTGGACTGTTGTCATCATCGCTCGAGTCGTAGCCTTGGCCCAGCAGGCCGGACATGTTGGGTCAGAGAAGTGACTTTATCATGTAAAGAGAGGAAAGCATGCGGAAGAAGGACAGTCTGAGAAAAGCGAGGGCAAATTTGTTGTCGCGGGCAAACAGACGACATGCGCCATGCGCCATGCGGGCGGAGAGATGCAGGCAGCGGAGGCTTCAACGTGCCAAGACACACCAAATGTTTGTGTCAGACGGCTGTTTTAATTTTACTCTGCTCGAAAGATCAAGTGAAAACCTCCCAAATGCCAGACTACTTCCTTTGGGTGAGAAAGCCAACGGTCAGACATCCTTAATTTATTCTATATATTACTTCTGCTCGTTTGATGATCAATATGATATATGAAGAAACTGCATTCACCATTGTTGGAAGCATGGGACCTGTACACAGTCATATCTTGCAATTTATGGCTACTTGTTCTTTGAAACGTTGGTCGCTCACGCAAAGCTAGCTTTTTCGTATACCCCATCCTCTTCTAACTGGAAGCATTTGGTCTACCTCCTTGGGTACGTATTGAAACAGATATAATTGATTGTTGTGTAGCAGCTTGTCCTAGAGACTTTTCCAAGTCTACCCAAGAAGCTGGTAGACGATCAAAGCCGTCATACCAGTCATGGTTCAAACAGTACACCGACAAATGACGTGATTCATGATGTTCTCTCGGAACAGTCTATCAGACGCGCGTTTCTCTTCTTCCTCTTCCCCTTCCTCTTCCTCCTATCCGTTGCCATGCGCTCGGATCTCGCCAAGGGGGAGACAAATGCCGGAACGGCCTGGAGAGCTGTGTCTAAGCTGTAGGAGCCATACCTTTCGTCATATGCAAGGATTTAGGTGAGCATATCTGTGTTCCTTGGACGACATGGTCGTATGTTCTGATCGGGGTCAACATGTCCAACGAATTGGAACATCTAGTCAAAGTGACTGGGTCAACATCGACAGCCTTGCCCGGCATCCAAAGCCCACCAGGCATGCCTTTACATGTGGTACATCGCCATATCTTCTTTGCAAGGAATCCTTATCAAGATGCTCAAGCCGGGGCCTCCAAGGGTATCCGAACGGAGGAGGTGCCTTCAACATAGCTCCGATGCCTTACAGCATGCGGGATCAGACCGCAAGATCAGTTAGACTCGTCTCGAATCAGAGCAACGATCATGCTGTAAAGGTAGAAGAAGAACATGACGAGGTGGAAACCAAGTTTGATAAAGGATTCCTGGTGTTTCCACATGTCAGCGGATTGTTTATCTCATGCGGTTGCTTTGCTCATGACGGTATGCTCACCTTTTTGTGTACATTCAACTTGCGGAAGATCTCGGTTGCATCAAGGAGGTGTTGGTTGTCAATTATCCTGCGACAAGAGTTAGCTTAGCTCTGTTCTTGAGCAGAAAGGTTGTGTGAGAGGTTAGACTCACTTCTTTGCATTAAAGGCTAGTAGAGGCAAGTTCAAGAATATTGCCAGCCAGTAACCATTGATAAGGAACAGGAAGGTCAAGAAGGCATGGACACCGGCTTCGGGGATGATGTAGGTGTTGAGGCGGTTGCAGAGATCGATAGGGTTGATATAATCACTGATCCCAACATGTTAGCGACGAATTGAGGACTGGAAGACGGGGGATAGGGAATTTCTCACCATTCCAAATCGCTGTACATGATGGTGAAGAAGACCTGGAGGAAGAGATTGACGGCATTGATGAGGACCGCAAGCAGGTATAGCCACGCCTCGCCCGACATGGTGAATGATGATTTTTGAGAGAATCTATAGCCAAGCTCGTTGTGCGACTTTGTCTGTGGAAGGCTGAGTGAGGGATCAGTTTATCTCAAGGTGGACAGAGAGGAGAGTTGAGGTGCCGGAAGTGGGTGTGGATTGTGGATAGCGGATGAGGGTTGGATGGTGGGAGAGGCTGGTGAGTAGTAGTAGGAAGTGCGTGTACGTATTAGGTAGTAGTGCTTGCCTTTGCTACTAAAAATCTAGCTATAGTACTTAGGCAGTTGCAGTTGCCGTGTACAGGTGGCAGGAGGCAGGTGGCAGGTGCAAGTGGCGGCGTGACAGGCACACTGCGGGCGCACACACACGGAAGCCGGAGGAATAATAATGCTTGGGATTTGGGGGCGCTCTCGGGCCACGGGGGCCAAGTGCGGTGCGGTGCGTTAGGTGGGGGAAATCGAGGGCACAATATGAGTATTTGTATGGTCCAAGATCAATTGACCTCATAAAAGTCTGGGACAATGTTGGAACCTCAATTACCTTTTCGCCCAATGTATTCGTATCAAGATGTCTTTTTTATCTATTTTACAAGTAGGTAGTAACTAACACAACAGGAGAAGAGAGGTGGCATCAACAGCAAAGAGGCAAATGAAGCCACCGCTGCAGGCCAGGCACACGGCAGGAGCGAGAATTGTTGGCAAGAAATGGGGAAGCCACTAGGAGGGATTGAGGAAGGCGCAATCGCAATGCGGGCAGGCACGAGCACTTATGTACGCATACGTCACATGCTTTCGAGTCACATGCTTGTGGGAGCATATCATGTTATGCAACCAACGTCTACCAATACTGAGTCGGCAATTTCAAGGGGAATAGAGAAAATAAACCACAATTTGGTCAATTAATGGAAATGGACGACCTTGGGACCCAGCCCAAGTATCCAACCTTCCATTTGCAATCACCACATATGAGGTGGCGCAAACCTGGCACTGCCATGGATATCAACGTCAAGCCATTTTGCCCATCCTTTCAATCACATATTGTACATCTCTTTTCATAGTCCGAATGCTTTTTCCATAATCCCCTCACCTCTATGCATAGACAGGAGGCTCCAGACTCTAGCGAAGCCTCTAACAGTATACACCGGTTACCTGATCCGTGCCAGTTGTATTCATAACATCATAAACTCAATCCGGCGGGAAATCGCAGCGGACTTGTACACCCAGCCTCGCACCCAAATGTAATATGAAATGTGCGTGAGGTTCCAATCCCCCACAGTTGTTGTTGAAGTATCGAATTGTGCCCAAAGCTACCGATACCGCCTCTTTGGGCGACCATGGTCCGTAAAGCATCAACATGGATCTGCACCTCGCTGACTTGGCCGAAATCTGCCGTGTATGCGATCAACAATAGGACGGTTTGAATGACGGGATCCGGGCTAATGGTTCCGGACACTCGTAGTTGGTTCCAGAGAAGATTGGTTCCTCGGCCGAGGTTGGCCTGCGCATCGACTTGATCCTGCACAGTCTCCGGGCTGCTGTACAGTTTCCACCGCATTGCGTATGCGTAAGCCAGGAGGAGGCTTCTGGACGCCTCGTGTTCTTGCATATATGCCAGTGCGCCATCTAGCAAGGGTAGTCGGCGATTGTGCTGGCAGTGTGTTGTCGCCCCTGGAGTTAATGAACAAATTAGTGAACGTCTTCCATGGATTGGCTGGAGTTGAGTCGTACGGCTTGGGGAGAGTTTGATGCCTGTATTGCACTTACAGAACTCGAGAACAGCTTCGTCTCGTACATTGTTAGTCGACACCGAGACCGATAGAGTGGTGTCGGTGTCCGGCAACGACGCTGATCGACTGTTCGATGCCTGCGAATCCTGGTCAAGTGGATTGCTAGAGCTTCGGCTTTGATCGGCAGGTCTTTCGATTGAGGGTACAGGGGAAATCGACAAGGAGCTGACACTGCTGGCGGAGGATGTTGGCTGCTCAGAGCGGCCTCTCGCCGGTCGCCTTCCCCACGGCAGGAATCGACTCTGCCCTGGTCGCTGAAGATATCTCGTTCGAGCATCTCGTCTCTGTGCTGCAGAATGGTATGCCGTGTGCCTCTGAATCGCACTCCTTACGTTGGGGTCCTGGCTGTCGACAAACTCGATCGTGTTGGGGCGCCTCTCCCCGCTTGGCTGGCTTGGTCCGGTGCTTTGTGATGACGAACTGTTCTTCCGTGGACGATCTTCGCCACCAGACGACATGTATATGTTTTCGTTTATTTAATGGTTGATTCAATGTTGAAAGTCGTTTGGGTTGCGAAGAGAGATTTCTTCCCGCTAGTGGCAAGGACCATAACTCAAATAGCTCGATGCTGATGGGATGAGAAAGTGATGAGTGAATATCACGAGATGCCCTGCATGTGTCGTCACTCGCAAAGAATTCCTTTTATTGGCGTTAATAACGATACAGCCACCGTGCCGCACTGGATTATGTCAGTTCTAACATGCAGAAGAAAAGAACCAAATGGCCTACCACTAGGCTGTGGCAGGTTTAATGAAAGAAGTACGAGGGTCCTAAATTCCTAAATCTTTAGTACTGTGACATTTATGTACTCGTTCTAGAACCCGCAGGAAACGGTCAGAACTCTCTTGATAAAAATGTCAGCGCTTGAACACAAGGCTACGAGGACAGGCAGACAGGACGCCGATGACCGGGTATTCCTATCCGTGTGCGGGCATGAGGCATATTCCCGGCAGTGCAAATGACCGCTATTTGTGCTGCAAAACTTTGCTTGGTTCGTGTCCCTTGGAGTCCAGAATCCGCGAGCAGTATCTGAAGTTCAACGTCATATCTAATCATTGACTGCGGCGCGATATGCTCAAACGCCGTCGTCCAAGAGGCAGACGCCGAGGCCCTACGCCAAGGGGAAGGGTCAACCGTCACGGACGAGGCAAATGGGCCGGAAGTGAATCGGCGACAAAGCCAAATTAGTGGCGCCTGGAGCGTATGTCCAGGTGATGGTCAACACGAATTCGGACACAAAAGGCTGTGTTGGACCATGGAGCCTCAATTGAAGTCGACGGCAACATCGACAAGTGATTCATCCATTTCTGTCAGGCGAGATTTCGCGCATTGGTCGCTCCGCTCCGGGGCCGAATTTGGAGCCTAAGGCTTGGCATCTACCGAGGCCGACTCCTCCCCACAGCCAATCACGTCGCCCAATTCTGCCTTAGTCAGCTGACTTTGCCACCTGCCTTGGATCGACAAGCCGACCTACCCTTATATCAACATATGCCTACACATTGCCATCTCTAACTTTACTCTGTACCAGGATATATCGCGCGTAGATCTACATGCTCACACGTGTACCACCTTCGTCGCTAGGTTTGGACCCTGCCGTGCCTGACTGATGTCGCGCTTGAAAATAGTAAGCTGGAGCCCCAGGTCGGCTCCAGATTCATGTCCTTGGCCGAACCCAGCGTCGATCAAATACATTTAAGTGGCCTTGAATAACCCAATTTACATCAAAGCCGGGCTCGAAAGTTTATGTTGTACGAGCATTAACCTTTCATCACTTGCCATTCTAATCACAGGAAGCCATGTCCTTACTCATCTCGCCTCCGAGCGGTTTGGTCCAGACCATCCTCCAAGGTACGAGCCGGCATGGGTATGTCCAGCATTGCCCTCCATATCACATCGCTCATGGCCGTATGATGATCAGGGGCCATGCCGGGATTCTTCTTCAACAGGAAAGAAATCCGTGCTTGGCTCACCTATAGTATTTCGTAGATGATGCTTGAAGCCACTCGAAGTCAATGGTCATGTGACCATCACCTGATTATGATCACGTGGAAGTGCAAGGCTGAGCGAATAGCGCGCAAACTCCTCCTTCTCCTGTACTCGTGACCGTAACCCATGAGGTCTGGCAAATCTGCTCCTCGGCTTTCAAGGCCTTGAATCAACTCTTATCCCGGCTCTTGAGGGTGGGATATCGTAAAAATAATGCCCTTAGTACAATTATTACGATTTACCGTGCAGCCATGCAGCAAACTTTACCACCATGTGAGTATGCCTCGACCCACTTTAAATTGACGCTTCCTCCGCCTCACCACATCCTAAGGTTTATAGAGGACATTACTTCGTAAACACTTTTTTGCATCAAGGGGACTTGCTTGCAGCCGTGCACCGTGACACAGTCGCACACATCTCCCTTAATGCGTCAGAGAATCGAATTTCACCTGTCCAATCTACCCAACTATTTACCAAGACCTTCATCGCCATCAGAACCCAACTTCCTCGGTAACGGTGAGTCCAGAAGAACACATCTGATTATTCTACTGGTTTCCACCCGACGACATGTTCCTGAAGGTAACATCAGGATAGTCCGAGCTTGGTCCTTTGAGTAGGTCGTCATCCTTGCCTGTGAGGATGTCGAAAAAGAACGCTCCAACATAGTCTCGCAGAATTGTGAGCACTCGGATCGGATCAATGGTACCGATGAAAGCCTCAACAGCCGGATCAGTCAGGTTCGTCCCGAGGAGTTTGGAGAGGATTGAGAAGTCAGTCAATGTGTTGTGAGCCGCACCGGCAATATCCAAGTGCCACTTTCGACCCAGCTGGTACTCCCAATTCTCCCACCAAGATGTATCTGAGTCCGGATGGTTGGCTGCAGTAATGAGCATGAATGGACGGCTGTTGTTTGTGGTAATCTGTTCTCCCCAGAGACCGCCATCAATATTGCAGGCTGCCTCAAGTCGTGGCTCTGCTTGAAGAGCACCAACTGCTGTGGCGCCCCCCAGAGAGTGCCCAAATATGGCTATCCGTTCAGTGTTCACCTCAGGTAGTCCGATCTGCTCGGAAAGTGTCCTATTGGTCACAAGTTTCAAGACGCTGGAGATGTCTTCAACGCGAGGCGCAAGAAATGTAAGGATGTCGTCCGCAAAGTTGTAATCTTTGGTATATTCCACGAAAGTGCTGTCCGGGTACTCCACCATTGTTGCATCGTAGGGAAAATCGACAGAGAGTATATTGAAGCCCAACGAAGCGATCCACTGTAACATTGCAGCGTAGATGCCACGAGGGGCCCAACCACCGGGTGCATACAATAGAAGGGGTGTATCACTGTTCTCTGATGCCTCAGGGCAAACTTGTAGCTCGAAGTTGCTGAAGCTTATATTTGGCAGATATTGGCCAAATAGTGTTTCCAACGCAAGAGCCGTTCTAGGAGGTAGGTAGGTAATAGTCTCGGTCTCTTCACAGGTGGCTGGCTGATAGAGAGTAAGCATCAGCCGCCGCGGTTGACCACAACCCTCGGCAAAGGGGTCCTCTCGACTTGTGTCTGTATAAGGATAATGAGTGATGTGAACATTGGCCGATCCAGGTGGCACTGGGAACAGTCTTGCTCGCACCAAGGAGCCGAACAATAGGCAAGGTAGTAGAAGTGGAGAACGCATAGTGACCGGCACACGAGAGCTGGTTGGAAGAGGTCGAAGGTTCTTACAAGATGCGATTGTGCTCTTGGCCCACGAGTGGTCAGAGGTAAATATATAGAAAATGGAGCATGCGCACCAATGACCTCACAAGCGAGTGCAGTTAAACAAGCTAACCGTGTATCGTCTGTGAGCGAGCAACTATCCAGCTAACTATTGTACCACTACTGTTTATTCCACCTAAAAGACGATCGTCCATCCGAATCGCCGTCTTCCGTCTTCCGTGGCTGAAGATCAGAACGGGGAGGAATCAGTCCGTCCAGTGTCACTGTAGGTTTCTAGCACCATAGCCGACTGTCACGCTAGGCTGGACAACAGGTGAAGCAGGTTGATTGAGAGTCTAGTACGCGGGTTATCTACAGAGTTCTATTGTAGCCCTATTACCCCTGATCAACATCCTTAGCTTGTCTATAATTTTGCCCGTTCATTAGCAAGGAACTGTCTTCTTTCTGGTCCTCCTCGACTTCCATCACCTGCGAAGGCATCGGCCGTCTCCTTGTACTCGGTACGGAAACGCCACTTTTTCGAGAGCTCAGGCTCGAGTGCTTTGTGGAGAGCAAGAGTTGTATACTTGCCGAGGACTGGCAAGAATTTGAAGGCACTGTGTTTCGATGATCGCAGGTTAGTGCACCAACATTTCTTACTTCAAGGCTACCGCGAACGGTGGTCTGGGGGAGAGGAAAGAACTTACTGCCCACTGCCTCCTCCGGCAATGAAAAGATTACGATAATCTGGGTGGTAGTCCATGATGAAATCGCCCGTGGGCGTGTCGGTGTACCAGCACACAGCAACCCGTTCAAATGGTCGCTCAGCAAGTTCGGGCAGCAACTCTTTGAGGCCGTCTCGCAGCCGGCGTTCCCCATCTAACGGGATATAGTTCTTGCGTCCACCGGTAACCGCAAAAGGTGGCGTCGAAACATCAGACTTGAGGATCTCGCGTTCACTTTCACTTGGGGATCGTTCATAACCCCATCCATGCACGGCCATCTTCAACAGCGATGTGTCTTTGTGTGGTGGGAAGTTGAACCATCCCGTACCGAAATTGACGTAGATAGGCATTTGCTCATATTTCTTCATCTCCTCCGGCGACAGACGAAGGTACGCAAGGACTTGGCCGGTTGAGAGAGTGGAGTTGTACATGGGCACCAGACTGGCTGCCCACGCACCGGCAGAGAGAATAAACAGGTCACCTAGGACCTCGGTGCCGGCCAGAGTTTTGGCAGCGCGAATTGTCCCTGACGTATCTCTGTCGAACTTGACAACGGTGCCAGCACGACCTGACAAGAACGAAACCCCGCGGAGAACGCACTCATCACGCAGGCTGACAACGGCCTTGAGTGCATCTGCCCAGCCTGCTTGTTGGTTGTGGTAGCCCATGAACTCGGGTCCAGCAAGAGGACCACTCAAGGTTGGATATAGACTTCGCGTGGCATCAGCGGAAGGTAATCTTTCCCACGGGAGGTTCGCGCGGTCTAAAGCATTGGTGGCATTCTCGATATAGGTCCTTCCAAGAGAGTTGCGATCGCTGGTTAACACAACAGGCGCGGGAACGAAAATATCTTTGTATTTGGGCGATTTGGACCATTTCTCATACGCTTCCAAGGCCACCTTGAGGTAGAGATCGTCGGCGTAGTCGAATCGAATGACCCGTGAGATGTCAACGCTGGAGCCGTCAGGAACCTGGAACTGGAGATTAGAAGAGCGTTTATCGATAATTGACTATCTTTTCTCACCGGGGGCACATGGCGATCTAGGACGGTGATATTTCGATATCCCTGCAAAGCAAGTTCAAGAGCGGTTGTCAGGCCAAATATCCCGGCACCAACCACGACGATGTTCCAATCTTTCTTCATTCCGTCCATGAGACTTTCTAATTGCGGTTTTCGTTAGGTCTACACTTCTTCTCTAAGCAAGTCCTCGCATCGAGGAGAACAAGACCATATCTGCTCGTTATCGAGCCCAGATTTGAGTCTCTTGGCCGTGTGCCGACTCCCGGGAACCAACATGATAGAGATGATCTAGAAGGGATAGTGGACTGACATCGTATTCTACGGAAATCGGCACTATCAATCTGGCGCAAGCATGAAAGATGGTGCTCGGCTGACGAGGTCGAGCATAACGTGCAAATCATCCACAAAGCGGCAGACGAGGTCCGGGATACGGAGGCCGGAAGCCGGAAGCAGGGATGCTTCCTCTACTTAGTGGAGATGATACCGGACTTGGCACTGACTGAACTTTGCCGCAAGTTGGGATAAAGAGATAGAAGATCTGTTATTACAGGTGTGTCGTACCCCAGGAATAGCGCCCTTCATATCTCCCGATCTGAATTGGTTTCTCGAACGATTTTGAATAATTCTTGTTGAAGAAAGACACATTGGAGTTGTCAATATCACCACGATTCAACCATGTCGAATGCCCAAGGTTCCAGCACGGCGGGCGTAGCCCGTTCAGCTATCAAAACTCCTCTTCTCATTCCAGGTCGAGGTGATCCTATCAACGATGCTATCCTGGTGTACTCTTCAGGCAAGATCGACTATGCTGGGCCTCTCTCAAAACTTCCTAAGTCCCTGGAAGTCCCCAAGGAGCGGACGGTCGAGGTTCCTGTCTTGCTCCCGGGCCTCTGGGATTGCCACGTGCACTTCATTGGACATCTGGAACAGAGTATGGCTGGCATGGTCGCCCCTTCGCAATTTTTGGCCGGAACTCGTACGGCACACGACGTTGCAGCCACCTTGAACGCCGGGTTCACCAGTGTCCGCGAGACTGCAGGCTTCGGGGTTGAGCTTTCCCAGGAAATTGAGGCCGGTCGGCTCATTGGTCCCAACATCTACTCAGTATGTGCTGCTATCAGTTGCACAGGCGGCCACGTCGATCACCATTCCATGCCAGAAAACCACTTTCACGAAATGAGCTGCCACGGCCTTCCTATGGTGACGGCAGACGGTGTCGAGGAATGTATCAAAGTGGTACGACAACAACTTCGCAAAGGCGCCAAGGCCATCAAGATCTGCACCAGTGGAGGAGTTTCCAGTGAACGTGACGACCCACAACACCAGCAGTTCTCTGACGCGGAAATTAAAACCATGGTTGAGGAGGCAGCTCGATCGCAACGCGCTATGGCGGCGCACGCCCACGGTCTTCCCGGCATTATGGCGGCAATTCGCGGCGGGGTCACCACTATTGAGCACGGGACCTACATCAACGACGAGGCGATTAGACTGATGAAGGAGAAAGGCATCATCCTCGTCCCAACCCGTGGTATCATTGAGGATGGCTTGACAGTAGCCGAGGTGTGGTCGGAGAAGGCATACGAGAAGCTGAAGCCAGTTGCAATTCAACATGCCAAAGCTTACCGTGCAGCAGTGGCTGGTGGTGTTAAGATTGCCAGCGGTTCGGACTTTGGCATCAGCAAACGAGGCACCGCATTGAGTCACGGACAGAACGGCAGGGAATTGGTGCTGGCGGTTCAGGTGGGCGGAATGACCCCCTTGCAGGCAATCGAGGCTGCTACTGCCACTGCCCCAGGCGTTCTCGGCCCTCAGGCTCCCAAGACTGGCCTGTTGACGGAGGGTTATGACGCGGATTTCATTGCACTGACGTCCAATCCTTTGGAAAATATCAGCATCATCTCTAACCCAGACAACGTTACACATGTCTGGCTCGCCGGAAACCTGAAGAAATCTCCGGGAAAACCGATTATTGAACTGAGCCGGACGAAGCTGTAGAGGCTTCTGTTGCATGTACTATGTAAACGAGTCCTAGTCTTTGATAAAATTGAATGTGGCCATTGTCATGTGCAACTCAAGTACCGAGAAGCAATCGATGCTCTTGTAGTCAAATTGATGAATCTACTCAAATCAGGAAGTTCGACGCTTGTTCCAAAATTACGTTTTATCAAGTGACATATCTAATTGTTGTATCCCATGTATTCTACTCTTACTCCTTCCTATCATTTCCGCGTATCCCATGTGTTCTACTATTACTCCTCCCTAGCATTTCGGCGTATCTTTAATTGGAGCCGTGTCTTTAATTCATGCCGTGTCTTATCTCTTCGACATGATGATATACCTGCCTCCTTGACTAAATTGGCCAATGCACGTTTCACTGCCGTATGCCGCTCGAACTGATAACCAGGTCCAGACAGGCCTCGACGTCAAGCGATTATGCTGCTAGATACGAACACTTTGATGACTAGCTAATCAGATTCATGTTTCTCTAAACCACCGATCACAATCAGTAGCAAGTTTCCACGTGGTGCCGCTCGAACCGGTGAACCGAAATCGCTCCACTCTAAAAATTCCTTGTTCCGCATCCGTGTCCCGTATACCGACCCGCAGTCTAGACTGATTTCCCACACCCCACGAAACTCTTCCGCCGCGATCTGCTAATCAGATCAGCAACCAAACATGATATATAAGTTCCCTCGTGGGTCGGATGGTACTGACAAGACCCATGAGCCGGTTCAATAACGGACACCTTCACCATCCTTGACGCTCAAAATTTTATCATCGTCGTAAAGCATGGATATCAACTCCAAGGACAAGGAAGTGGCAGCAGCGTCGTCATCTGTCAACGATGACTCGTTGGAGGATGCCAAAAAGGGGACAGTGATTGCTGAAATCGATGCGACTCCCACTTCAGTCGTGACTCCAGCCGAGAAACGCCTTCTACGAAAGATCGACTGGCGGGTTTTGCCCATCCCCATCCTGCTGGTCGGCCTGTCTTCGATTGACAGAACCAATATTGCCTCAGCGAGGGTCGCAGGAATGGCAGATGATCTCGACTTGGAAGGAAACCGGTACAATATCGCTGTTTCGGGTAGGTTATATCTCTCCCCGTCCATTTCCGCTGCTCTCTAGCAGCTTTGGTCCGCACAAGACTGACTTGCGTGTGCCATGCTAGTCTTCTTCATCTTTTATGCTCTGTCTGAGCTACCGAGCAATCTCATCGTCCGACCAATTGGTGTCGTTCCATACTTGTCGTTCCTCATCTTTGCATGGGGCACTGTCGCCATGTGCCTTGGTTTCGTGAACAATTTCGTCCAACTCACCGTATTGCGACTTCTGTTGGGTCTTTTCGAGGGTGGACTCAATGTAAGGACCAGTCGAATCCTTTGTGACACCTTCCTCAACCATGCTGACGTGTTGTCTTAGCCTGCTTGCGTCTATCTGATCTCCTCATGGTACAGGCGCTACGAGACGCACCGGAGAATTGCCATCTGGTATACGATGGCCAGCATCTTTGCCGGTTTCTCCGGCGTCATCTCATACGGGTTCAGTAAAATGGAGGGAGTGGGAGGACTCCGAGGATGGCGCTGGATCTTCATCATGCCCGGTATAATCACCATCGCATGCGTTGTCATCGTTTACCTCTACGTCTCCGAATTCCCTGAGAAGGCCAAATGGCTGAAGCCAGAGGAGCTCGAGCTCGTTAAACAACGCCTCCAAGATGATCGGGCTGAAGAATTCAACGACAAGGCATCATTCAAGGAGTCACTGGCCCCATTGAAAGACTGGCGGATCTGGGCCATGTCTATGTTGTACTTGTACCCGGCCGCCGGATTCTATGCTTTGGCCTTCTTCATGCCCAGTATTCTCAGCGCCTTTGGATTTTCGGTGGCTCTTAGCCAGATTCTTCAGACTCCGCCCTACATGCTGGGGGCCATTTGCTCGGTTGCGACAGGGTACTACGCCGACAAATACCGCATACGATCGCCCTTTATGATTGGTTACGCCGTCGTGACTGTCATCGGTTTCATTCTGATGGGCTGGGGTCCAAACACAGGCGGCAAACTGACTGGCGTCTTCTTCTCCATGGCGGGAATCCAATGCATCATCCCGACCGTCCTCACTTTCATGCCCAACAACCTGGTCTCGGTCAGAGCTCGACGAGTGGGGATCGCCACACAAATTGTGTTTGGAGCCGTTGGTGGCGTCGTTGGTTCCCAAATCTTTCGAGCACAAGATGCACCTGGGTATAGACCCGGCATGTATGCGGCGTTTGGTCTCATGGTGGGATTCGTCATCAATGTGCTTGCCGTCGTCGAGTACTTCCGACGTCAGAACAAGAAGGCGGACCAGGGGCTTGTGATCATCGATGGGGTGGCAGGATTTCGATATACACTATAGTTTTAAGGGGAGGTTGACTTGATGCTACATTGTCAGGACGTAGATGACAAAGTTTCGGTAGCTTCAGCCGAGGGAGCACAAGAAGCTGATAGGTTTGAGGGTGACGGTTGTATAGCTCTTACTATTGAGCCCTGTGGCAAATTAGAAATCATTAAGAGTACACCATCCACATAGTAAATCATTGGTCATTTTTGGCTGAAAATGTGAACTCGTTCATCAACTTGTACAAATTTGGGGAGGGTTCTCATTGTCAGCTGACCACGAGTCCAAGGTGACAGAAACTCCAACGGATCGGAAGCGTGAGGTCGGCCAGGTTTCAATGTCTGCCAAAGACCACTCGGTGGTGGACCGTTGACTTTAATCATCTACGAGTGGACGATGATTGTGAGTCTAATCACAATCTGGACAAGTTCCTCAGCGCAAGCGTGCGATCTCGATATACTTTCGCTTTGAAGACCCGGGCTCAACGGTATGTCTGGTATAGGCGGCCATCCACCCCAAAATATCTTCTTTTGAGCCTTCATTGCGAACCAGGAGATGGGCCTAGCCATGTTGGCCCCTCTGAAAAATGAGTGGACCATGGCCGGCCAAAGAAGGACCAATCATTCGTAACGTCTGGAAAGATATCAAAGTCTTCGTTAGGCCAGTCGATTGGTTCGGGCACTGCCAAGGCATATGGACGGTTCTGCCGTGGTTCAACCGCGGCCGAGTCATTGGATGCGGACGTGATAGTCTCTGGGAGAAGGTTGGAAGTCATATCGGAGGGCTGGAAGTTGTGTCGGGGAGCGGAGTTTAGGACAGGAGATGTCCTCTCTTGTTCAAGGGCGAGGGCTGCATAGTCAAAGAGCTTGGCCATGAGATCGAGGTCCTCTTGCTCCACGTTCACGTGCGAGATCTCGTTGTGAGGAATGGCTCCGTCGTATTCGCCATGTACATGGCTGATGGTGTTACGACTGTGAAGACGGATTGAGATTTCCTCAAGGACACTCAGCTGGGAATGTCAGTATAGATCGAGGTGTCGCATGCCAGAACTTACAATGTTGCCTACACTAGGCCATATCTTGGCTGTCTTTTGGAGGTAATCATGTGCTTTGTCATATTTGCGCCGGGCAGCACTCGCAACCTTTGGGTTATCGTTGATGGTATGTTCCAGCTGGATACTGGCTGCAAGTGCAACGAGATAGGCGATGAAGGGATCATAAGTGGTGATGCCTGCTTCTTCTGTCTCAATGATGTGTCGGATGACCCAATTGGAGTGTATCATGGAATCTTGGTGGGACTTTTGTAAGGTTGTCAGAGGAACTTGATCATGCTGTTGACGAGTTTTCATGAACAAAACAAAGGGATGATGGCTAGAATTATCATTACAAGACTCGTCATAGTCCCAAGCGTGGAGAACTTACAGACGACATCGTGTGGCAGAATAGAGTATTTGATAAAACACCCAGGCTGAGTAGTAGGGTCGTAGGTGAGGTTCATTCAAAACACGACGGGGAGATCCAACCGCAGTATATCGGTGTGGATGGGCTTCTATTTTGGATCAGAGAGGTCAGGGGGCTCTTCTGGGAGCACTCACTCATTTCGAATTCCATCAGACGGCCCTCAATGGCGGCATGGGTGGAATCATGTCTCCAAAAGGGAATGAGGGCCGATGAGCTGTCGTCGAACATGTCCATGAGCGAGCCATGCCATATGTCAAGGAGCACAATGTTGAGAGAAATGATATCCAAGGTACCCGCCCGAAGCATATCTCCAGGCGAAGTCGGCAACGTCATGTCTGTCGACGCAGAAAAGCCTTGGGGATTGGGCGGGCCGCATGGCATGAGAAAGAGCCGAAAAGACGAGGCCGCGACGCAAGAGGATCTCACGCTACCACCACTGAATATGCGGTCCATCATGAACAGTGTCCACACGACCGAGCGCCAGGCGAGTGACAAGTGGCCCTCGGACGATCCAGGAGACTCTTTGCGAAGCAAGTCACGTGTTTGAGCCAATCTGAGGCCAAGAGCAACTTGAGCCTGAGCTCTGTGGGGTTTGCCGGCTTGGAAGCACCTGGTTTCAGCGGGTGATGATGGGGTGGTATTTGATATGACACTCACTGGCAAAATCGACCTGAGCTAGTAAGCAGAGCGCCTGAAAATAAGCCAGATCAAAGTCGAAATTGGCATATTGAGCTGCTAGAAGGCTCCATGCTGCCTCAGTCAACATTCCACACATTTCGGCCAGAGCGTCTTTGCTGGTGAAGAGAGGATGCTGGCTGATGCGCAGACTGACAGCGAGCAAAGGGAGCAGCACGAGCTTGGGGTATTCAGCCACTGAAGCTTGTCGACTGCCGTTCATTTCCATCAGAAGCGGGTAGGGCTGGTTGTGAAAATGTTGGAAATAGAGTCGGATGCCTTCTTCCCTAATCTCATCTGGGATCTCGAAGTCGCTGGTGATCCTGGGTGGCAAGTTAGCAAGATTTCAGTAATGAAATTGACGGGCTGGCCTACTGAAAGGTACCAGTGGGAGAGGTCGAGTCGATCGAGGCCATCTCGGCCGCGTGACGCAGTCCTTGTCCGCTTTCCAGGTCGACAATTCCCTTGGCGCTGGTCAAGAAGCGTCAGAACAACGCGAGGGCAGGATGAGAGGAGCTGGTGTAGAGAGCTACTGACCCTAAAACCTGTGCCAACTCACAAAGCTTAGATTCGACTGCGCTTAACCGGTCGGACTGTGTGGAGAAAATGAGTTGGCGACGATGCAGTTCAGGCTTATGGCACCCACGTCATGATGTCCCTGACTGGAAGAAAAGGTCGGAGGAGTCCTGCGACCTCGACCCCGAGCTCTTGTCACTTTGTCGGATTGCGATGTTCTCTCGGCATAAACACATCGTTGTCGCAGGCGTATGCAGAGGGAGCATCTTGGTTTCTCGCCTGGACACCGTGACTTTTTACGCCTGTCGATAGTCAGTGATTTTTGTTTCAGATCTCTGGTTTGCGGTCCTTCGCGACTGTAGCAGGTGATGGAATTACCGGCAGTTCTCGCAGGCCTGGCTCGCGCGCTTGACGGGCTCGACAAAAAATTCATCGGCATGTGAAGGTAGATCATCAGCCATGAAAGACGAGCAGATGTGATGATCCTCGTAATTCTGTTTTTCGCTCAAGAAGTCTTTTGATAGTTGAATGAGCAAAGTAGTAAATTCGTCTGGTGGGAATGGTGGTCAGAGGGAGAGTGGATAAGTTATCGCAGTCACGAGACTCTGACTCCATAATGAACAAGCGATGATATGGGGAAGGAACGAGTGGATGATATGGGAGAGGGAAGAAGCCGACGACAACCGAAAGAGGAGGAACAACCGTAAGTGTGCACAGATGATAGCAAGAGCGAGCGGCAAGAGCGGCAAGCAGCAGAACACGGCAAGGGCACCGCAGCACAGCCTCCTAGTAAGTTTGGAGGCAAGTGCCTACCTACCCGTGATAATGGAGACGCCCTACCTTCCTTGAGATATCGATGCTACAACATGGTCTCATCTTGTGCAGCATAAACATCGAAGATCAACAATTTTGTGCAAAGTCACTGTCTTGACTCGTAGCAAAGCTGTCTTTATTGTCGGGCGAGTCACTGTGCCGGATTTCCCGGGATTCTGATTAGATAGCTGGGAATTATACTTTAACTGGCCCCTCTTTTTCCCCAGGCTCGCCTATTCTCTGCACCTCGATTTGGTGGCTTACCTCGACTCGAGTGTAGCACACGGAACACGGAGCCCGGCCCACGGAACTTGAATATTGAGTAACCTTCCACATTCACTTTCAGGTTGATAACGGTCGAGTGCGGTAGGCTATGGTAGGCTATGGTTTCTTATTGACTCGTAGACAGGAAAGCATCAATGAGGTGTGATAACGGACTGGCAATAACGGGTTATTAAGGATGTTCCAATCAAGCATCTAGTATGTAGATGATGAGCTTGTAGGTGCCGGAGGGATGAACCAGTCAGGCAGTGCAATACAACAAGAGTCAACGTGCCGAGTCGATGCAATCCAACGACCGGCCACGTGACAGTGTGACATGTTCAATCTCTCGACTCTCAAGAAAGAGTCTGCTTTCAATATGTCTAGGACGGTGAATACGACTTCATGCGAGATGGCATTGGCATTGCCCATGTTCTTGGTGGTCTCGGTAGTGCTCAGCCCCGTGAATCGCCGCCCAACTGAATCTGTAAACCGAAGCTGTAAATCGATCAGTTGCCATCGAGGATGGCAATGACTTCTGTCAGCACATCCAATTGGGTCGCCAAGATCACCACTTAGTCATCTTTGACATTATGGTGGGCGTCAATGACATCCTTGTTCGTCCGCTGGTGAAAGAAAATTACTCCAAGTGGTGCAGAGACTACATGCAATCACATCAACTGAATGGTCTTGTAATCATTAAACAATATCCTATGCTGAATATCTCCCATGGCATGTAGCGTTGTGCACCGTAGCCATTCCATCAACGCTTCAGGTCATAAACACCACAAACGCAGAATTTATCTGACATTCCGACGCTTTCCAGCTGCCGTCCTGGCACCTCCACTTTTGGCTTTGGGGTTGGTAGCGGACGCAGTGGCACTCCGAGTCTGGATTGCATACTCGCCCCCTCGACGTTCCGAGGAATTGACCTGTACGCCTTCGTCGTAATCACTGTCATCGTCGTCTTCGGGTTCCGAATCGGACGGTACCCGATAGCGCATGACCTCTGGCTCTTCAGGTTCTGGTAAGAAGAGTTCATCTTGAACTCGTCGATAGCCGACTGGTGACTGTTGATGCGTCAAAGGGGGTCCGGACGCAACCCTTCGTTGGGGAGACCCGAAGCGAGGATCAGAGGGATCGAAACGTGGTGCCCGTGCAGTACTGGTTTGGTACGGGAGGTGCTCGAGGGGCACATTTACCAGGCCAGAATTAGAGCGCACGCGAGGCTCCCAGTCTGAATCGGAGGGATCGGGTCGAGAAGTGCGGGACGAAGACGAGCCAGGCCATTGAGAATAAACGTCAGGGTTGGAGGCGATGCGGGGGGCGTAATATGGATGCTGGTATTGTGCTGGGTTAGGCATCTGGAGAGGCTGCTGCCGCAAGGATTGGTTCGAATTTGTTCGCGACCCTTGTCGGGAGGATTCAGCCTGTCGTGGACCCGTTACATAGTAGCCTTGAGCGTAGTGTACTCGGCGTCCGACATGGCCATACTCTGAATCAGGGAGAGCGTGAGAGCGTGGGGTGTTCAGAGAATCTTCTCTATCTGAGCGAGACTGACTAGAGGCAGTGCTTCGACCACGGTCGCGGCCGTCAGAAATGGCTTTCCTGCGTGGTGAGTTGCTTGCAGACTTGCTATTGCTTCTGCTGGGCTTTTTGCGAACTTCGGCCGCGACAGGCTTGCGTTTGACAGGGGCCTCCTTTTTGCTCTTGGGCGCAGCCTGTTTGGGAGCGATCGAGGGATATGGAGGGGCCTCGTTCCGCTCTAATCGTTCCAAGGCATCAATTTCAGCTCGAGTCAAATTGACGTTGGGCTTACCCAGAGCCCGGGCACGTGCTATTCTCTCCAAAGCTCTTTCCACCAGCAAATCTTCTTTCTCCTTGTAGGCCACTTGCACCGGGTTTCGTAGAGCCAGGCCGGTACGGGCATCGTGGTTGTTTTCGTCGTCATCTGAGGGAGGGGTAAACTCATGTATAAAAGCGGCGCCCGAACGCCGACGGCGGACCTGGCGACCGCCCAAGTCTATACCGTCAAAATGAAGTTCATCTGAAACAAATCTAGTTTCGCTGTAGTTCTGCTCCAAACCGACGCCTTGTGACGAGTCATCGTCAGTGTCAAGTTCCTCGACACGATCATAGTAAGGGGATCGTGAAAAGTCCCATTCTCTGTCGGGCCTCGTCCCTGGTCGTCCCCCTGGTGGTCTTCCCCAAGGGGGCACATCGTATGGAGTTCGCGGCCGACCACCTAGACCGCCTCCTCGGAAAAAGCATTCTCAATAGGCCTATCCATGAGAGATGCATGACCAAGAATGGTCACGCCGGTAGCTCCAATGAGCCACAAAACTGTTGCAATTGGTGAAGCAATAAAAGCAATAGGGACGGCGACGCATGCCAAACCGGTGTAGAGCTGAGAAGTCGTTGCTCTGATTGTACCAATCTCCAAATCTTGACCACCCAGTTTGCCAATTGCCCACATGCCACCAACCACGAGGATGATGTCGAAAAGGAGATAGAGATTGGTGAGCAGTGAATAGACCGAAAGCATGACAAAGACGACGGCATAATTGGAGGAGAAGTAGCTGAGATTGTAGTTGACCCTGGTTTGGACTTCGGCAAAGTTGTTTGGCTTGGACAATCTCTTGAGATCCAGGAACTCGGAGATGGGCTTGATGTTTGCGAATCTCGATGCTATAGACTGAGATCGTACGCCGCTGAAGCGATCGGACAAATTGAGACGGGACGTCAAGGCGTCAAGGGGGATGCTAATTCTTGCCATGGCGATGGATGTGAGGGAGGTAGTAATACGATTCGAAAAGAAGCAATGAAGGTACTTGTCGCTGTTTGTTTGTTAGCGATATGATCCAGATAGTCGGCAAAAATGTCAAATGGATCATGACTGAGGGTTTCTCTGGAACGAGTGTGCGGCGCAGCTTCCTCAATCTAGATTTTACCGACGCGTGGAGGAGGTTAGAGATTGTGAATGATAGCGTGTGACTTACGAGGAAAAGTGTGACAAAGTGTTTGGCAACGGGCAGTTGGTTCAAGTGAACGTGGTTGATGGTGAGTGAGTGTGAGGTTCAGTGGTGTATGAAAAAGAATAGCAGTCACAGGGCTTTAAAAAAGTTGGTAGGCAGCCGTCTTTTTCAGGTCTGTGAGATGGATTGAGATTGGGGAGGTGAGATTTGAGGTGATTTGCCCCCTAATTCGGGTGGGAAGGGAAAGGGAAGGGGAAGGGGGGAAAGGGGAATGGAATTGGTGGATGAGCTGAACGGTGGACCGAAAGGCTAAAAAAGAGATCGAGGCGCGTGTGTGAGTGTGCGAGGGTGCGAGAAGGTGGCTTTGGTGGCTCTGGTGGCTCTGGTTCTGTGCCTGTGCCACTCTTTGTGTGTGTGGCAAGCAGGGCTCAGCAAGTCGCCAATCTGCCTCTACCCCTGCGAGATCCACCACCAAAAAGATAAACCCCGGGGGAACACTGCCTGGCTGTAGTCGTCCTTATCCTAGATGGCCTATGCGTCAGTCAGGCCCCAACATTCAAGTTCAACATCTATGATGATTCAAACAATACCAAACAAGTGAAACAAGTGACTCGTGAGAAAGGTCAGGTGTTCTGCTGGGGTGGAACTTACCAAAAAGAAGTGCAAATGTTTTGTCAGAATTTCAATCTCTCCCCGGTCCCAACTGTGGTGCCCTTTGTCTCCTTGACCTGGCCTCTGCAGGCTCAAGGCGGCGAAAAGGGCATTGTCACAGTACAGTCTCTTCTCTGTAGTGCAGTTTTGTGCCCGCAACGGCAGATGGAGAAAAAGAAGAGGGAAGAAAAAAGAGGGAATCGGAAGGTATAAGGCAACAAACGGTTCAGTTCTCTGATGGCGGGGCTGGGTGTCGAACGAGGGGACCTGACCTGTAGTACTTGTCTGATGATGATGAATACACTTTTCTCCCCCACAAACACCCGGCGTGCTTGTCTGGCACTTCTGGGCAGTGGGCGGGCAGTGGGCAGGCCTCAGACAAGTCTCTCGGCCGTGCTGACCTTGCTGGTCATGCCTGTTCACTGGGTGCTCCGAGTAGACTTTAGCGGGCACTTGAAAGGACACGCAGCCACCAACAGGGCATGAACAGGCACGACAGGGTAGTTTAGGCACCGAACAACTCAGCATTGCAGCCCGAGGGCCCAAATATGCGCCTCGACTCTTCTTCCCGCTCCCGCCTGGCAGTTTCCTTTTTTTCTCCAGCAATCATTGGGCCACGTTCACTTCAATGCCCACCACCCACAATCCACATTCGAACTGATGCATTCTGTTTTGATCCGCGTCTTAGTCTTGACTCGCCTCACTTGCACATTGTGGTCATCTTGCCTCGCGACTGTGCGACATTGATTCGGAGTTGTTTTCCTCCTGTTTGTGCCTAGTGCACGCCTTCAGTTTTGAAGAATGGCTCCTCGCGTCCTCCACGTCGTCCTCCTTGTTTTGTCCCTCACTATCCTGGCTGCAGCCTGGTCAAAGGAAGATTACGAGATCTTCAAAGTGCGGGATGAACTCGAGAGTGCCGAAGGGCCAGATGTCACTTTCTACGACTTCCTAGGGGTTCAGCCCTCGGCCACTGTCGACGAAATCCTCAAGGCATTCCGCAAAAAATCCAGAGCCCTTCATCCCGACAAAGTCGTCCACTCGTTCACCGCAGCCCGATCGACAGGGAAACCTAGAAAACCAGGGGAAAAGAAAAAACCAGGAGTGCACGTTTCGTCGGGCCCATCTGAGAGGGAGCTTCGGAAGTTCCTCAAACAAGCCAATGAGAGGTATACAAGACTAGGGGTGGTGCGCGACATCCTCAAGGGCCCAGACCGAGAGAGATATGACTTTTTCATGAGCCATGGATTTCCCACATGGCGAGGCACCGGATACTACTACTCAAGATATCGACCAGGTCTAGGAACCGTGTTGGTGGGCCTGTTTCTGTTCGGTGGTGGTGCTGCCCACTACTTTGTTTTGGTCACCAGTTACAAGAGACAACGAGATTTTATGGAAAGGTATATCAGGCACGCAAGAAAGACAGCATGGGGTGACGAACTAGGAATGGGGGGAATTGCGGGTTTGGGACAGCCTGTGGAAATGGCCCAGGTTGATGAAGAGCCTGATCCGGCAGCAAACTTAAACCGGAGACAGAAGCGAGAGTTGGAGAGACAAAACAAGAAAGAAGCAAAACCGGGCAAGAACAAGAGCTCAAAGCCAGCACCTATCCAATCTTCGACAGGATCGAGGGACAAACGCCGAGTGACGGCGGAGAACGGCAAGACTCTGGTGGTGGACTCTGTAGGTAATGTCTTTCTCGAGGAGGAGGATGAAGAGGGCGAAGTACAAGAGTACCTTCTCGACCTGGACGAAATTCAGCAACCATCTTTCCGCGACACGGCGGTGGTCCGTTTGCCCGTGTATTTGTGGCGAAAGGCCTTTGATCCGTTTCTGAAAAGGACAGATCCAGTGCCTAGTGATGAATTGTTTCAAGCCGAGGCAAAATCGTCTGGTTCGGTGACACCAGACATGAAGTCGATGGCAGCACCGACGGATCTGAGCTCGAGTCAAATTTCTGACTCAGGGTTTGAGATTGTTGACAAAGACACGGAATTTGGCAATACTTCATCTGGAGTGAAGAAAAGGAGCAAGAAGGAAAAAAGTCGCAAATAGCCAGACACCTTGAAAAATGGGTCTACAGGCTACAGCCCAGATGTATGATTTTGCATTGGATAGAATCGGCAATAGAAGAATTGCTAGTGGCCATCTGGCTGGTATCATGTTACAGGTTAGGAGCACAGCGGTGCCCCATATGTACCCAAGCCGAAGCGAAGCGTCCAATGAAGAGCAGACTCTCTCAGGATTGCTTCCAAGGCATGGACTGTGGAACAAATACAAGAGAGAAGAACCAGTTCAAGCATGGTTGACCTTTCAAGACCACCAACTAGATGAACATTTTGGCCAAATTCATCAACCCACCAATACTTTCACCGATGCCGCCGCCCATGCCAGGCAATGCACTTCCAGAGACAAAATCTCTGGCACCACCTCTAGCATAAAACCGATCAGCACCGCCTCTAGAACCTCCGACCAGATTCTCCAAACTGCGCGGTAGGCGCACGCCGACGGTGGCAAGTAATCTGGTCAAGGCACCTCCAGTGATGAGGGGCATGATGACGAGGAAAAACACCTTGACTGGGTTCCGTCGCATGTATGAATATATTTGTCTGAGGAATCGACGGACTCGGTTGATGAATCCGCCGCGAGGCTTCGCTCTCGAGTGGCCCTTTGATGACGAAAAGTAGGAGCCATTGCCACTACCTCCGCCCAGGGAGAAGAATGACGAGGCACTTCGCGCATATGACGGTCGTGAAGAGTAGTGGCTGCGTCGTGACGGCGAGCGCGACGGACTTCGATCGCGGATTCCGTCGTTCCAGAAGCCCATGCTGGAAGGAATCAAGGTTTATTTTGGGGTGTTGGCTGGTGAGGACCAAGTATAAAGTGGAGAGGGATAGGCTGGTAAGCGGTAGGTTTGTAGGCAGGTGGGTGTATTCAAGGCGTCGTGGGCATGGATCAACTGGTGCTCTATGTCGAACGACAGACAAGGTCAGTTGTGTGCTTTATTTTTGGAGGCTTCTTGGGTTTGGGGCTGGTTACACGGACATTGAGCCTTTTGATCAGGAGATACAGCGAATTCCGTGTCGTTGGCAAGACGTCCAAGGCGAGTGCAACGATGGACAAGGACCACTGATTCACATTGTCAAAGGCGAGTCAGGAGCAGATAGAATTTCTTCTATCGAAAACCTCAGACCGCTGTGCAATGAATTAAAGTGGCTGGAGAGGAAGTCATGGCACTGGAGACCAGGCTCAGGCTGCGGGTGTGGATGCGAGTAGGCGAGAGTGACGGTGAGAGTGAGAGAGTAGCGTGGGATCCATCAGGCTGGCAGAAACTGAGCGTGTATGGTTCAGTTGAACTGAATGGCTGGTACAAACTACAGCAAGGAAGTACTTAGTTCGCTTCAAATCCCCGGCTGGAGGTTCCCCCAGGGGCCGAGGGGGCCCCTAAAAGGCCTGGATAATAGGTACCCATACCCTACCAATCAAAAGCCCCAAACAGAATCGACAAGGGAGAAACACACTGGAGGGCAGAGGGTCGATGCAGCCACTGTGGCTTCAACAGTACAAGTAAGAGTAATGGCCTGTAATTGGTTGCTACCACTAGGTACCCTCTTCCTGCCTGTGCCGCTCATCCTCGACGTCATCTTCTGTGGCGCTCGAACCATCATGTCACATCGCAGGAATTGATTCAATCATTTCACCTCACTGTTATTTGGTAGTTGTCTTTCTTTCCATGCTCTGCTCAATACAATCTCCTCTCCTACGGTCCAAGATATCCACTACCAAATTCATGCCCAAAACTGTATGAACTTACCTCCTCAGCGGTGGTTACAATCCCATCTTGGCTGCCTGCACCCTGTACACTCGTCGTGTACAATAGGCTCTGCCTGAACATCACTGTGACGACATGGCTGACCATCCAGATTACTGTGAGTTCTGTGATTTCCCAGTGCATACTGTCTTCGTACTAACACTCAATAGATGCAGTGCTTGAAATCAGCCCCACGGCATCTGAGCTCGACATCAAGAAAGCATACAAGCGTGCAGCCTTGAAATGGCATCCTGACCGTGTCCCCATCGATTCGCCAGACCGAGCGAAGCGAACCAAGATGTTTCAAAAGATCAATGACGCCTACTACACTCTGTCAGATGCTACAAGGCGGAGAGACTACGACGAAGCCCGAAAATATTCTCAAGATTCCGGCACCAGCAGCTTTGAAGACGATGAGGAAGCCGACGAGGAAATCCCCCGGCCGCAAGCTGGAGGTAGTGGTGGCGGATCTTGGTTCAACATGTTTGGTTTCGGAGGAGGTTCCAGCGACGGCCAGGAGCAGAAATTTGCCAACGAACAATTCCGAGATGTATTTGAGGAGATGATGGCTGAAGAGGACATGGCGGATCGAGAGGGTGGGACGGCGGTGCCCAACAAGAAGTTCTGGAGCATCGTCGGTGGCATTTCTGGGGCTGCCATGGGCTTCATTCTCGGTGACATGGTGGGTGCGATACCTGGCTACTTTATCGGTAGCAAGGCTGGTGCAATCCGAGATGCGAAGGGCAAATCAGTCTATGCTGTCTTTCAGTCGCTGCCCCAGTCCCAAAGAGCCCGCGTCCTCAGCGAGCTTGCAGCCAAAGTCCTTAGCGGCGCCGTCAGTTGAATCTTATCCGCCCACTGACAGAGGCAGCCTTGTTTGTTTAATAATCAGCGAATGGTGCAATGGATTGTTTTTGGAAATATACAGTTGGAGGTGCACAAAACACAGGACATGTTCCTACTACAAATGATCATCATTAATTGAATGCAACGAGGATATTTTTCGTGTTCCAGCGCTGATGCAAATATCATGTACGCTAGATAGAAATGTATGTAGCCACGCAGGCAATGTGTAGCATGATGCAATTAAGCTGACGGGCACGTAGGGATGGGGACATGGGTACCTGGTCAAGTATCTGGCCTGGACCCGATACAAATACGAGATGACTCCCTGGCCTCAGCCTTACATATATGTACACTACCGATATTTGAATATAAAGACCCATGTGGTTTCCCGTTGTCAAATATCTTCTACTCAACTCTGTATGCGAGCAGTTGTCGATTAATGGTCTGCATGACCCTTCCGAATCGTTTCTTTTGATCTTTATGTAATCAACGCCTCAAGAATCCCACACATGTACTCAGTCCTGGATTCCGCTATACCCATGCCGCCAACAGCAAGATCTAGTCTTGCATCCCTGCCCTGGTTTTTCTCCGTGTTTCGATTTGGTTCGCCAGCGCCATGCAAAAGCAAATCATGCTCGTATGCAAGATGCAAAACTCTATTGATGTCGTATGTCGAGGACAAGAAAAATCAATCATTCAAACATGTAAACTGACCCGACCCCAGAACTTGACTTTAATATCTCCCTTGGTTCTGGGAGCCAGGAAGGTGGACTGAGCCGTTGGATGGGGGTTGGAGAGGACGATCATTCACAGCACTTGTATCTCGAGAAGCGCCATGTCCGATCAAGTCCTGGCCATCGGCATTGGGCCCTTGGCTATCGTGGGTCAAAGGTTGTCCGTTGGGAGTCTTTTCAGGATCGGCATCTCTCCAGCCCTGAGGGACGTGGTTCTTTGTGTTGATGCTCGGCAAGAGATCGAGGAGGAAGCTGAGGATATAGCCGGTAAAGACTAGAGCCACAATCCATTCAAAAATGGCGGCCACATTCCGATGATGTGTGAATGTCGTGCCAACGAAGACGGCGGCGAGGGTCAATTCGACCAGGATGAAGGCAAGTTTGACCCAAAAGGAAATGCGAAGGATGCGATGTTGTCGATAGTGGATACCGAGGCGTTGATACTCGGCGCAGAGGAAGACGGCAGAGAGGATGAAGCCGCCGATGAAGACAAGGAGGAAGAGATTATGGAGCCTGTTGTGTCGATATGTGTCGAAGATGGAGAGGAGGATCAGGCCTGCCGAGCCAGCGATGGCGAATATGATGGACAGAACGGAGAGGACTTTCTGGGCCCTGCTGGTATTGGGGACCAATCGTCCCGTGTGTCGAAGCCAGCGTTCAGCAATGAAGCCCAGGTCAAGGGCAACAGTTGTGATGACGCTACCAGTGATAAACAATGGCTTGAGCCCATAGGCACCGACGTCGGAAATATAGGCAATGTTTTGGCCTTCTTCCATGCTGGGGTACTGGGGTGAGCCTTCGACTTCCCATGTAATGAACATGGCGAGTAGCATTCCAAGCCACCTAACAGCAGATTAGAAGAGGGACTGGCAGGAAGGTTTCAAAGGTGGAACTTGCATGGATGCTGAGATGATGGGAAATATCCAACTTCCCAGATACCACATGGTTGAGACGTTAATGTGAGAATGCTAAGGACTAGAAGGACGGATGGGTTGTGTGCAAAATGGTATTAATAGGTGTGTCGTGGTGGTGACGGCAACGACTGGGAAGAATCAAAGTGGAAGAAAGAACGCAGGAAGTCGAGCACAGTGCAATTAAATTTGTCACCGACGAGAGGAATATGGATGTGAAGAGAAGGTTGAATTGAAGTTTCGCTGGACTGACAGATGATGTGTATGATATGGATGCATGGGTTGGGATGGAATGAGGTAGATTAACAATCAACGTTGTCTATTATCTGTTGTCGGGTTACAAAATGAAATCCACGGAACGGTCAAGGTTGCGACGGACATAAGACAAAAGAGCGTCGAGGATTTGAGGCGCAATACAGAAAGTAGTACTACTTGGTATTTACTGTAGATTGGCGCGGGGAAAGAGGATCCATTTCTGCTACCAAGGACTGGTTGAATATCAAAATAATGCGTATGTTCCCAGAGATGAAGCAGACTTGGCTGCCATCCAAGCGTCCAAGCCTCGTCCTCAACGCGTCAACAGGTGATGACGTTGATCAAAGGGCAAGTAAAAGCTGAGGCATTATCAGTGGGTGGGACAGGAAGAGAGTTTATGCAATTACAGTGCAACACTACTGCCTCATTGCAGACTTGGGTGTTCATGCACAGGTTAGTAACTTAGGAATCTATGTACGAAAAGCTAAGCGTCGGCTTTACAGACGCAATGGGAGGATTGAGTTGAATCTTTGACACTGTAATTCTAGTGTCCCCCAACCTCAATTCAAAAATGGACGACGTCAAAGAAAAAAGTGTTTGCCTGGCGACGTCATCACAAGGTTATTGACCAGGGGGGGAACCCGTGGCACCCGTAACAGCCGTGGCATACAAGTATGAGTACGCATCAGGTACTTGTATCCAGCCACCAGCTTCTCTACGGTCAGTCCGCGGCATTTAGGCTCTGGCCGGAATTGCCCTCGGTTTTATCTCCATCCCTGGACTAACTTGACTTGAACTACCTAGTACTTAGGCGCCAATAACAGGCATTGTTCACCTCGACTGTCCCGATAGAGTGCACGAGGCCTCTTTTTAGGCTCTCGGCCACCCCCGGGCCGCTTAATCTACATCTACCCTAGGCGGCTCCTAAGTACCTACCTTACCTACCTAGGTAGATAGTAATTATCGCTCCTACAAGTCCTGGGTACCTACTTTTAGGTACTGACTTCAGGTGCCTATGCAGCCGATCCGGACAATGGCAATGTCTAGGTAGGTACCTACCTTAGGTACCTTAGTCATGGCTATGCCCAGTTCTGATGTTATTTGTTGAACACATGGTTGGACATATTGCATTTCTTACTCCGCTTTCTTTGTCCTATCTGTACCTCCCACCTTGAGAATTTCCTGCACGGCGGAGCATTGCTCCTCTTCGACCCCAATGGTGCGCATATATTCCTCAACACCGCCATACCTCGAGCCTAGATGTTCATGGATCTGGTGGCAAAAGTCGACAGGGCAACCAGCGAATGATTCGTCTAGGCCGATGCTAGCAATCTCCTCCATTCGAGCCTCCTTTTCGCATTCTAGTTCAGATTCGGATTGGAGGTAGTCATGGCTAATCGCCTCGATGTCGATGCCACACAATAATAAGAGGAGGAGGATGGTTATTCCGGTGCGGTCCTTGCCTTGGGTGCAATGAATCAACACTGGCCACGAGTCTTGTTTGGCAACAATGTTCATCATCTCACGAATTTCAGGACCACTGTGGTCGAGCGTGTCCTTTCCCAAACCGACCAATCCACGAGGGAGCATGAGCTCTTTGCCGAGGATTGCAATGGCCTGAGTGCGGTATCCCAGAACCATGAGCACAATCATCTGGATGAGACTCCAATATTTGAGTTGCCAGATCAGATATCGTTCGAATCCTTTGCCGTTGAGGTTGATGTTGGCATAACGAATGCTGGCCATCTGGACTTGTGGTGTGTCTCCTTCACCCACTTCTTCGCCGTCCACAGTGTCATGTTTCTTGGCCGCATTGATCAATTCGGTCTTGGATCGTAGATCAATCACTGTCCTGATCTTGTACCGGTGGACGAGATGATCGCGATCTGTAGAGCTGGCTTCATCGAGACGGGCACTGCGGAAAAGGAGTCCTGGTTTCAGGATGGGGGATTCGACGATCGAGTTGATATGGGCCCCGACATCTCGAAAGTTCAAGATGCGTTTATCAAAGGGGGGAGGTTCAGCCATGTTGGCCTAGGGCACCTGAAGCATGTGCGGCGCGTGGATTGAGTAGATGTCACATGTATGGGTGTCAAGGGACGCATTGCATCGAAGCACTGCATGTACGTACAATTTCTCAGAATTGGAGTAACAGAATGCTCGTAAGAACACTAGTGCTTTTGGCAGTGCTCATTTGGTCGTACTAGTTAGTGGTGGAGAGCAAACTCAGCTTGTCACGCTTGTTTTCCGTACATAGTGGAGATTCGGCGCCCAAATCGTCTAGCTCCCAGGGGTAGGAGCTCTTTAGAGCCCCGAATTGAACCCTATCTGGGGCTGTCCAATGTCCAATGCCTGTGATTTTGTGGTTCGATGACGAGATTTGTAGGGCTACTGGTAACGTCATATGCTGGTCCACACGGACACCCAGCTCAGAGAAGACTGCACCCCAGATCATACCGAGATACACTCAATTCTACAGAAGATGAAATCGACACGAGCCAGAATGTAGTGCAGCTTCCGGTCTTATGAGAAGTGTAACTGTCCAGCTGCGGCGCTGCCGTTAGGACTTTAGTCAGACCGGTAGAGCCTAGGGGTGCTGATGATGTAAGTCTGTTGATCCTACTGGGTTAGAACTTGGAGGGGTCACCACCAAAAAAAAGTCGGTCGGCCTCTGAAGAAACCCCGGCGCCCAACAATCAGCTCGTTTAGCCAAGACCAGTTCCATTAGCATCCGAGAGGATCACGCCAGATGTGCATGTCATACACACACATGCTCCGTAGTCTCTTTGTTCATGCCCATCAAGTAACCCATGAACAACGTGTGTGTCGACAACTCAACATTAGCGGGGGCTGGCAGGCTGGCCATGATTAACTTCTAATGATGAGCATGCCCAGACAATCATTTAGCATTGGCCTGGTCCACTCTTCAGCCACAGAGTAATCCTTGTGTGCTGGATCATTCTTGTGCCGTCGCGCCCGCCTTTTGGGGGAAGACTAGAGGGGCCAATTACTCTCTGGATCGGCGCCAACCCGCTGTCGCTGCAACCTGCCTACTGTGTAACTGTGTAAATAACTGGCAGAGCCACAGTGGCCGCTGGGCTTGATGCTCGTCGGTTGGCCATGCCACTGCTAGTCCCCAAATAGACTGTCTCCACCACCATCTTGGGCGAGCTACTAGCTCTCTAGCACCTAGGCATACATACGAAGTTCTCTTAGAGGCCGAGGGGCCTTGTCTAAGCGGCACGAACCTCAACCTCGGGGGCACCAGCACTAAAAAGCACCACCAACAGCTGTGAGCATTGATCACCCATCACCCGCCACACAACCCCCCTTCGTGATCTTTCAGTGCCACCCAGTGCCACCCAATGCCCCCCCCCCAACATCCAATATCTCAACTTTAGTGCTAGGCGTGCATGACGTATGTGGATTAGATGACATGGACGCATCCAAGTGGCATGCTTCCTTGGCCAGTCCCAGGCCCAGGGTCTGTTTCCTAGGCCATTGAGCTTCCCTGGCGCCCTGGAGCCCTGTTACTACGATTCTTTTGGTGCTTTGCTGCTTTGCGACGCTGATTCCTATGACATGACAGAGCAGAGCCCACCATGATCCATTTCCATTTCCCGAGCTTCAATAGTCTTTCCTGCTGATGAGTGATGCACCTTCAATCTTCTCCCCAGTCTTCTTTTCTTTGTCAGAGCTGGACTGCATCTTTCAGTCTTTTCAGTCTTCCAGACACAGTCTGTATCTCATCCTTTGGTCTTTGCTCTTGATCCCCCTCCCACTCTGCATGTCGAATTGAACGCAGTCCTTTGTGTTTTGCGTGCGTACAGTACACACACGTGTGTCTTTGTCGTCACCAACCAGACGACGCTGCTCTAGTGAGCTCAATCCTCGGCCCAACCAGATCATGTCGGCCACCATCTCCCCCGGCATTCCCAGTTCCCAGACCAACAGCAACCAACATCCAGACAAGCTTGAACATAGAGGTCAGTCAAGTTAAACACTTCCTTCAATACCCTCTATACCTCTATACCTTCCAATCTCTCCTCCTGCCCATTCTAACAGCTTACTTTAGCTGCATCTGCTGCTCTATTCAACTCTAGAGACTCGTCGCGCCCCAGTACTTCCTCAGTACTCGACGAGGACGGCCGCTTATCATCCGCCAGTATGCGAACCCCGCTCTTGCTCCGTTACCATCATCCCAGCACCATCATCTCTGCTCCTCCTCCCCATCCACCCCGTCAACCCCGTCATCCCCGTCATCAAACCCCACTAATAATCCTACCACTTCCTTCAAAACTAACTCCTTCACAGGCGCTGCGCTTTCCTTAAAATACGCTCGAGCTCAAGACCTTCCTTCCTTCCCCTCCGCTGGTGGTGTCAAGTTAGCTTCAGCCAGTGCTGCCGCCAGTCTAGCAGATTCAAACAAAAAAGCCTTTGAACATTGGAAACCCGCCTCCATTCCCGCCGCTAATCGAGCTGCCTACGCCGCAAAAGACTACGAGATGCAACCTCTGTGGCAACCAGAGTCGACCCGCGCTGGTTCTCAGGCGGCAGCAGTCGCTCACAAAGATACTGCGCCAGTTGAAGTGTGGAAAGCCCCAGACTCAGTACACGGTCACACAGCCGCCTCGTCTGCTCTTCAGAATCAAAAATCCCCTCCTGCCATCACCGAGAGAAATGTATCCTCTGACGGCCGACAAAAGGCTCTTCTTGCCGCCACAAAATCAATGTCTGGAGGTCGAAAGCGAGCCGAGTCTGCTCCTCTACGACCTTCGCCCCAGTCCGCCTCTTCCAGCAACTCTAGTTGGGCCTTGAAAGCCGCTGAATCTTCCCAGAAAGGAAAACCTCCAGGCTCGCACGCTTCTACCACTGCCTCGTTTGACCCCGCGCGCATCCAGAACATGGCCAAGAGCAATGTCAACCGCCAGATGTATACCTCAAATCCTCCTGTTTCCATCGAAGTCGAGGAGAGAAGAAGGCAGGACACTCTCCGTGCCTCCGCTGTGGCCATGGCTCGTAAGATGTACGCTATTCAGCAAGAGCAGATTGATGATGCCAGAGGTATTCATCGATCGGAAAGTCACTTTGCCGCCCACACCGCCCGTCGTCGAGCCCAGTCTGATGCTGCAAACAAGGCTTCAGTTGAACAACCATTACCTCGTTATGAAAACCTCGAGGATGCTGCCCGCAAACTTGCTCACGAACGCCTGGCCAAAATCCATGACGAACATGCGGAATACCGACAATATTACGGCACCAACTCCCCACCCAAACCCTCTCGCTTTACTTCCATGCGCCGGCCCACCCGCAGACAAACCCGTGACGACGACAGTGACTCGGATGAAGAGCAGTCCCGCAAGATCATGCAGCAGATGTCTCTGTTCCAGAGCAAGCTTGCCGAGGTCGACAGCAAAAAGCGTCAGGCCGATCGCGATGCCCTTCTTGCAGCTGCCCACAAGAACGTCACTGCTCGCTTGAACGCTATGGACGAAAAAGTCTTTTCCGAAACCGGCAAGACCAGTCCCCACCAGCGCGAAATATGGGAGCGCCAGGCTCGCGAGCGCGCTCAACGTGACAGCGACAATAGATTGATCAACGTCGGCAAGGTCCATATTGGAGGTGGCAAGTACCTCGACCAGTCCGAGATTGATGAAATCGCCAAAGCACGACTGCAACCCACGCTTGATGACATCACAGAAAAGGCCGAGGCCCAAAGAGCCCGCGATGAGGAGATCCGACAGGAACAGGAGCGCGTCAAGGCCGAGGCTCAGGCTGAAAAGGTCCGACTTGCTTTGGAGAAGGCTGAGCAAAAGACCGTCGCTGGTTCGTCCACAACACACGCCCTCATATTCCTGTACCCTTACTGACATTTTACAGACAAGGAAAAGGCCGAACTCAAGGCCCAGAAGGCCGAGGAGAAACGGATCAAACAAGAGCAGGAGCACGAAGAGAGACGACTTCGTACCGAACAAAAGGCCACAGAAAAGAAAGCACGCGATGAAGCTGCTGCCGCCGAACGCGAACGTAAACGGGCAGACAAGGAGGACAACAAAGAAGCCACTCCTACAAAGTCAAGGCTCTTCTCAACCTTCCTTGGTCGAGGCACCGCTACTGGCGCCGCTGGAGGTGCTGCTGCTGCCGTTGGTGGACATACGTTGGGAGGACACAGCCCTGGCCACAACGATCCCTTTACGGATGCAACGGAGCCCACCGAGGCCAAAGTGACCTCTGATAATGCAAGTGATTTAGCTGGTGATACCGTACATGACCAGGTCACCATGGATCCCTCCGAAGCTGCCCACGCCGTTGCTGCGAACGAACTAAGTGAAGACGAAGCGGACTCGAGTCGAAAGCAACAACCAGAGAAGCCAACCGACGACTATGATGCTGCCCAAACAGATGGTCTCACTTCACCAGTTGTTGGCCTCCCCACGACCGACCGCGAGGAGCCCACTTCGCCCACATCTCCCGCCTCCCCTTCCAAGAGAGATTCGAGGGTGAAATCGTGGTTCAAGAAATTCAAAACTGGCAGCAAAAATGAAAACGACATTGGTGAGAAACCTGTCCTATCTGCCGAGACAGAGAACACCCCAGGCAGCACGGCTCCCCTAGAGGATGATGAACCGGCAAAACCATCATCGGCGTCTGAACGCGATGTTGCACTCGCTGGGCGAAGTGACAACGAGACTGACGATCTTTACGGTGCCGGAGACAAGTCCAAAAACGCTCCAGGTCAGCACAGCAGGTCTATCAGTCCCGTGTCGTCGTCTATCAGCGAAGATCCCTACGTCATTGCCGCTGACGTTGCGTCGTCCAAGTACTCGGCAGACGCACCAGGCTCGAAGAGAGCCTCTGGGGCCGACCAAATTGCCGCACTATCTGATTCTGACGACGAGCCTCGCGGGAGAAAGGGTTTCCGAGAGAGGTTTTTAAAAAAGGTGATTCCTGGGCGAGACAAAGATAAGCCAAAGGGCGCAGCCACGGCGGAAGCAGCACCGACAACTGCAGCTGTCGCTTCCATCAATGAGCAGTCAGTCGTTGAGCACCCATCCCCACTCAGCAAACAAGTTGGTGCTTCATCTCCAGAGCCCGCCATCGATGACGCTTCCGAAGTCGGTCACCACGCGAACCCGGAGGCGGGCATTCTCGTCGCCACCGAACCTTTACGCGAAAAGATTCAGGAGCCATCCACCACCTCGACCGAGGCGGGGAACACCACTGCCACTGGCGCAACGACGCCTGCACTCACTCACACCGCCACCAATAATGACGATGACGACTTTGAAGAGGCCCGGGACACATTTGATGAGGAGTCGCTTGTCCGACCTCCGACCAAACTCGTTGACGTGTCAAACAAGGCTCAATCCATGAAACCGGAATTGGTGGACGTGACAAATCCGAGTGGGGGAACCACAGCTTTAGCCAAGAACCGATCATCAAGTCCTGTGGGCAGTAAACATTCAGGCAGCGGGGCTGGGAGCCGGTTTACTGAGGACCTATAAGGGCACGAATTGCGTTGGATTGTGACATGACTTTGTTGGATATGATGAGTCTGAATATGGAGATGAAGGTTTAAAGGAATCAGAGAATATGATGGGTCATCCAAGGATTGATGGACATGTAGGGATCTGATATGAGGAGGTGAAAGTCCAGTCGAAGACGAGTGAGACACCAGGCGACTCACCATCACTGTCATAAAGGCACTGAAGTATGATGCAATTGAGTGACGCCGCCAGTCAGCACACGCATGGGGATAATGATTATGTCGGCGGTATACCTGGTATCTAACCTTGTACGTTGGGATCTTGTGCAATTTGGAAATGGGACGCGGGTAGGATGATCAAACACCAGTCTTGTCGTCATGTTGTTATTGTTGTCTTTCAGCGATATAGTTACCCAGTTGTGTTAGGACAGGACATATAGGATGATTTCATCGTTATGGAATGGAAAACACTAGCAGGCCATACAGGCAGGGAAATACCAATACTTGTACATAGCCACACATGCATCATGGCTCTCTCCACTGCATGATCAAGTCTCTGCTGAGTAACAAGGATACAGGTGTTGCCCAACGCAACGTCGTGTCTCTTTCCGAAGGCCCCTTAAATTGAGGAATCAAATCTCATGATTGTGTATATACTATTGTTCCAACACCGCCTGAAAATGCTAGTCTGATGTAGCATCTCCACCCTCGGCATAGAACCACCTCATCACAGCTTCACTGTGCCATTCTTGATCCCCTGCCACGCCTCATCCCCAAATCGCTCATATCGATCCGAACCAGGACGCAGCCAGAAGATGCGGTCACCTCCTCCAACCTTGGCCGGATCAACGCCCTCGGTTCTCAGTACGTGCTTTTGCTGTTTATTGTTCCCCGTGGCCATGACTTCAGTCACGATACGGAGAAAGACGGGGACGGCATATTTGGGCAATGAATTGCGCGCATAGGTGGCAATAGCCTCTAGGACCGAGGGAGGTACTGGGCTGTCAGAGCTTGAAACGTCACGGAGGAGCACGGCAGCACAGCCGGCACGGCCATCGTGGTTGGGAATCTGGACGCCGTAGACGTTGGCTTCTAGAATGGCGGAATGAAGGCCCAGCACTTGTGCCACTTCTGCCGTGGAAACATTCTCGCTGCGCCAGCGGAACGTGTCGCCGATACGGTCCGAGAACCAGAGGGAGCCGTTGCTGTCGAAGCGAACAACATCGCCAGATCGATACCAGGCGTCGCCTTTCTTGAAGACATTGCGAAGGATCTTAGATGTGCTGGCCTTTTCGTTACCAAAATAGCCTTGGTATTTTGCCCCAATATCGGCAGGGTCAACTACGTAGAGCAGTTCGCCTGGTTCGCCACGGGGGACCTTAATACAGTATCCCGTCTTGTGATCACGTTTTGGAGCTTCGGCTTCCCAATCCACTTCGACAACGGCTTGGGCCTTGAGAGCGACAAGGTTGCCGAGAAGACCAACGGAACCAATCGCACCGGAGGCGAAGGTGTTGTTGGATAAGTTCCAACTCGCCGCAACAGCCTCGGTGGCTCCATAAAATTCGGCGATGGTTGCTACGCCAAAGCGGTCGCGGAACCGATCCCAGACGTCCGGCCTCAGACCATTCCCAAAGGCCATGCGCAAGTTATGTTTCGTACGGTCGTTGGGCTGGGGCGGTGCGGCAAGAAGATACCTGAGAGTCTCTCCAACGTATTGAATGACAGTAGCGTCGGCGTCGGCGACTTCGGACCAGAAATTGCTAACGGAGAATTTTCGACCGAGGACGAGAGTGGTGGGGATGCTCAGGCAGCAGTGGAAGCCTAGTTGAAAAGCCGACGAGTGGTAGAGAGGCATGGATGTGTAGTAGCGGTCGGGGTTGGAATGAGTGACCGGTCGCAGGCTCATCCACCTTGAAATCAGGGTAGAACCGACAACGGTGCGATCCCATGGAACAATGGCGGCTTTTGGGAGACCAGTGGTTCCGGAGGTGAAAATCAAGACGGCAGGTGAACGAGCGATAGCGCCTGAGCGTGCCGAGTCGGGTGCACGGTAAGGGGGGTAGTAATCAAGGGAAGACTGGAGGCCGGGGTTCAAGACGGCAAGTTCCATGGGAAAGGCATTATTGCGGAAGTTTGGGGCTTTGAGCGTTGAGGTGGCTTCGTCGGTGAGGACTCTTGCTGCGACTTCAGGGTCGAGGATGAGAAGTCTAGCAGTTGAAACACGGACACTGTGGATAAAAGCAGGTCCGACCAGGTTGTAATTAATGAAGGCCGGTAAAGCACCCAGAGACCACACAGCCATGACCATGAAGAGGAATTGGGGACTGTTCATGAAGTTCAGGGCGATGATCTCGCCAGGCTTGACGGAATGCTGGGAATGTAGATAGCCAGCATAACGCAAGACTGAGTCGTAGGCTTGTTTAAAAGTCCATTTACGGCCCTGATAAATGATAAAGACTTTGTCCTTGACCTTTGGGTTATTGGCATGTGCTTCGATCAGGTAGAAAGAGTTTACTCGGTCGGCCTTTTCGCGTCGGGCAAACTCGAGGCGGGCGCGGATGAGGCTCGACAGGAGATTGAAGTCGACGGGAAGACGCCATCGTGCGTTAAGGTAGGCGAGAGCTGCTACGGTCGCAGGAGCAGCGAGGGCTTTGGTGGTTGAAATGGAACCTGCATGGAAGAAAGAATTGCGAATCAGACTGGAACCACTTATACAGGAATGTCTGGGGAAGAAGATGTGGGATGTTTTGCGGGGAATTGGAGTATGATGAAGCTCGGGGGTACCAAGCTACACGATTTCAACTCACCAGCCATGATGTGCTCAGATCAGATGCGGCCGGTCAACAGAAGAGAAGTTGAGCACCTTTGGAAAACCAAGTAGTCGACTCCTTGAATCGAGGCTATGCATAAGAGAGAAGGGCTTTCAGTAAAGACCTGGTTGAGGGTAGTTAAACACCACTGGTATGCTTGGAATAGCGATGGAGGCACTGAGAGGTGAGGGGGCGGGCAGAGCAGAGCCCTCGGCCCTAAGAATTAGCCGTATGGCATGGCCAAGAGCATGGCCAAGGGCCTGGGCCGGAAGGGAAAGGTTTCGAGAGGACAGGTGTTGAGAGATTGAGTGTGACGGCCTAGAGAGAATGAGGTCAAAGTTTCTGAAGAAATCATGGGCCAGGTGAGGTCACGGTGTTTGTGACTAAAGAAGCATACTACGTAGGCTCCGATGCTATTCTTACCGAGGCATCCGGTGCTAAGAGGATGATGGTTGGATTGGTCGGTCAACAGGGCAGAGTCAGTTCATGAATGTCACTGGTTGATTGCCTCGATACGAGGGAGAATACGCAGAATACGAAGGCTAAGGAAGATCAAGAAGAGAGGGAAAAGAAGAGAGAGAAGGGAGAAGTGCCAAGGCTGTTAATCTCACCACGTGACCATAGAGACGAATATATGGTGGCCTGGGATGGTCTCTGACGGTAATCGTAGTTAGAGGCCCCATGCTTTCATTGAATCCTGAGAACATGCCTATGGGAATATCCTTCAACACAAATCTATCATACCCGCATCTAAAATGTCATTAGTTCAAATGTTGAATGAGGTGAGTGAAAAGGACGCTCAGACGTTGGCAACCAGACACGACCCACATGCGCGCTCTCTTGAATCAATTCTTTGAAGGAATAGCGACGCCCAGGAGCAAGCCCAGGAGCATCAACCAAATCACTAGAGGCTGATGCCACCTTGACGCTCGTTCGGATCATGCTACTGCTTCTGTTGAAGACGGCTGGTCAACTTTTGCCAAAAGCTTTGACATCTTCGCGGAGACGAGACAAGGTTGTGACAATCGAGACTTTTGATAGGTAGGCACCGGGAGCTGAGAAGCTGAGAACATTTGTTCTGGTTCATGTCTTGCAAGTATCTGAATTTTGAGGCGATAGTCATTTGAGGAAAGAGCCCGAGATGTCGATCCGAGGAAAGAGCAACGGGGGAAACGGGCTTTCTCTTTGTTCCCCTTTGTGTCTGCGCCTTCTTTATCCACTTCCTCACTATAGCATTGCCATTATATCCCTCAGGTACGTTTCGTTCAAACAAGACAGTTGAAAGATTGGTCCACACCAAATCCGCCACCGTGAGTGACTGCCAGAGACTCTGCCTGCGTCAGGTTACAGTTACTGTTACGATGCAAGGCCTTCACCCGGCTCAACGGTCTCCGCTGACAGCGTGCCAGGTTCCTGTTACTGTTACTGTAACGATGCAAGGCCTTCACCCTGCCTCAACTGCCTCCGCTGCCTGCGCTGCCTCGACTGGCAAGATTCCTTGATTATATCAACCTCTTGTTCATCTCCACGCCTGATGACTCCTTCTTTATTCACTCATTATCGTCCAAGCCCAGTTTCATCCAGCGGAACCGTAAACCTCAAATACCATAAGACGAAACTTAGCGCCCTAAGATACCCAGTGCACACATCAGCTCGAGTCCTTGAGCGTTGGATTCGCAACCATGTGTGTCAACTTTGGATATCGTACGCTCTGCGATCATTGCTATGAGCACATGAATTGGAAGTTCCTTCGACGGGTCGAATGTCAAAAGTTCAAGGCGACCGGCTCGTGCCGTCAAGTGCACTGGATCAAAGACAAGTCCTGGATCAAGCGGAAGAGACAGAGCTGGGTGTGCCAGGATGCCTGTCAAGGACCCAAGACCAGGGAGACGGCCGAAGACCAGCTTCTAGTCCATACTGGAGAAACGTTGGCCCAGTCCCGACGATCTGCCTACGACGTGGGTCGAGCTGCATGGAGGGATGCTCGATCGGCTTGATCTGATGGAATCACCTGAGACAAATTGGAACCTCTGTCGGGTAAGTTCTGGATTCGGAGATGGTTCCCGTTGTTTGTGGCTAATGTTTGTTGCAGCGTAAGGCATTTCTACCGACGTCCCACTGACGACTGAGAACGGATAGAGACACGGCGCACTGTGAGATTAGATCCAACACGATTAGACGAGGCCTTGACTACTGTGGGAAATAGAAGAATACAAGGAAACGGCAGGGATGCTGCTTATGGAGATGCTGCCCAGTCAAGAGCTGGGCAATATATTCCTGTCTTTACGGCAAACAATTCGGAGAGAGTGATAAAGGGACGAAAAAATTAGAATGGCAGATGCTGGATAATGTATGGATTAGTCAGGAATGTACTCAAGCAACGGCATGATATCCCATCATTCCCTACTCAAATGAGTTTTCGTCATTCATGAGCGAGGAGCTGTCCTCGCACACACAAACCATAAATATGAGATTATGCTAGCCTCATCTGCTCCAGTGGCGCAGGTCCATATACTTCAACATCACACAGTTCTAGTATATGGCTCAAAAATCCACAGCTTGCCAGTCATAATTCCCGTCGACGTTGTTCCAGTCTCCACGGTCAAAGGCCCTCTCCCATCCCAACATGACGGCCAATAGTCGACAGGTGTGACTGCTGACAGCACAAACAACCTTGTCCGTGTTGGCCAGAACAGCCAGGTCCAGAAGGTAGGCACGGGCAAGGAACTGGCGCAGTTCCAACGCCTCCTTGGAAGGATGGGTGCGATGGTCGCGGTCGAAGTCGAGCTCGAGGTCGGCATATTCACGCACGCTCGCATGAGCATCGCCGTCGTCGCCGTCCAGGGCTGTGCCATCGCCGAGGACGCCAGACTCACGACGGCGCGGAAATACGCCATCCTCGCCACCGTGGTCATTCCTCTCCTTGTCCTCGACATAGTAGTCGACTTCGCCTCCGTGGGCAGGTCGTACTTTGATGGGCTTGGGGCTTCCCATCCGTTCTGCTAGCACCCGTGCCACATGGTCTGGCAAGCCTAGGCCCCAGAAGAGATCCTTGAAGAAACCTCCCTCCCATCCGAGACCTGAATCCAGCTTCCTCTTACTTGCTAGCGAGATTTTAGCCTGCGCTTTGACGATTTCTGGTAGATCATCTCCACGCTCGGCCGCACGCTCGTACATCTCCGGGTCGTCCGATGCCAGTACCAACATCCATTGGCTTGACTGTCCAATGAGCTTGGTTGCTGCTTGCACATAGACTTCCAGCGGGATATACCCATGCGAATATGCGTATGTAAAGGGGTGGCGGTCGCCACGACGGATGTGTACCCCAACGAGGCCAGTCTCAGCCGTCTCGAGGAGAACGGCGTCGTGTTGTCGCTCAAGGGATTGAGACTGGTTCCGCAGTTTGGACAGGCGTTCTTCAATGTACGAGGCATCAGGCTGGGTGATATGGAAGAGGGCTTCGTAACCGTGGCGTGCCATGTCGAAGATGTCACGTTTGGAAAAGTGTTGATGAAATGACTCGCCAAATACCCAGCTGGTGGTGGCGGCAGAAACAACGAGATGTTTAGCCTGATGGGGGCATGGGACGCGGTGAGACGCTGGTGGAGGTCGACAGTCTGGTGAGGGCTTGGAAACAAAGAAGGTAGAAAAGTCTCCATAGGGGAAATGGGCATCGTCGATGAAGAAGGTGCGGTCTTCATGCTCAGCAAGGCTGTACGACAAAAATAAACCCATGAGAGTGGCGCCGAGCCCAGCGTCAGCAGCATCGAGAACATATGTCAGAGATTTCTCACAAATGGGGCGATGATCCAGGGAAGCTAACGAGCTAGCTGAGTGAGGGAGGAAATGTTGATCTTGTGCCTGATCGACATCGATATAGTCGGGCTCGGAATGGTAATAGTCCTCGTGGTCATGGTCACGCCAGTTGGATCCAGCAACATGACGGGCAACATCTTCGACTTGGGAGCACACATCAGCATAGTCTGCATGTGGCAAAGGAAATGTCAGTTTTTCGGGAATAGAGATAGTCCAGTAGCTTCGGCCACGGTGATCAGTCAAGGATATGGGGGTGGCATGGTCGGGTAGTTCAGGAGCTTCAACAATCTCATAGGTCTTGCCCAACGAGGTCAGGAAGGTCAGCTCGCTCAGTCTTCGTGATTGTCTGCGGCCAAAGGCAACAATGTACCAAGCAAGGATCAGGAAGGAGAGCCAGAGTAAGGCTCTGACAATTTTGCGGGAGTTGAGCTTTGGGGGCTTTTTCCCATGGCGGGGGAGAATTGATGGCAAAGAAGGGGATGGAATGGGAGTGCGTGGAATTAGATGCTTGACGGAGAGATATGATGTGGTGTCGGACCCCGTGATTTTCAGAGGCTTAGGAGGACTGGAGCGGCTGGAGAGAAGCATTTTTGTACGCGGCTTGTCATCATGTTGTGGGTGTGAGAGTCTCATTCAGATGGACAGCAGGCGTTGAAGGAGTATGTAGAATTTGACAGAGGGAGTATCTGTAAAGTGTGGGTAGCAAGGCCCAAGAGGGAGGAAGAGGCAGTGAGGTCGTCTGGAACTTGAAACTTTAGGGTATGAATACTCGTTTGACAGAAGCTGAAACAGAAGTGATCCTGAGCTAGCAGGATGGAGAGGTTTGGAGGGAAACGAAGAGTCTAGCGGAAAGTGTTGTCGAGAGACATGGATCAAGTGCTGAGCTTGCTAAGAGACAAGAATGGGAATGATACGAGATGGTTAAGATGATCAAGATGAATTACAGCAAGAAGAAAAGGATTTTCATGGCAATGGGTGCATTGTCGTGGCACAGACATGCAAAAGGATGGGGCGAGAGAAAAAGACACCAAGTCCCAAGTGTGAGAAAATGGACCCAAGTGGAGGAGGAGGTATGAAGTCACCGTGGCTTGGGTCATGTAGGTACTTGGGTATAACTGCAGTCAAGAGGCAGGGGTGGACATGTCAAGCGGGGAGGATGGCGTAGATAAACTACATACTCCGTAGTTGCATATGGGTGGCTACTACGAATACGGGTGGAAGGAGGTGGGATAGATTTCAAGGCTCTGAGGCTCGGGACGGTAGCGGGTAGTAGAGAAAAAGAAGAAGATAATAAAGAGAGAAGATGAAAGAAAAGAAGAGTCACGATCTACAGTTACGAGGTCAAAAGGAGGCAGGAGGCAAGAAGAGCAGGAGGGTTGAGAGGAACTAAACAATTGATGGGACAAAGAATGATTCAAGGTTGAAACGATTGAGTTGAATCTACCCTTGGGCAAGGCCTGCCTACGGAGTAGATACATTATAGGTGCTCCTAACTATAGGTAAATTATAGTGGAATTACCTAACTTCAAGTTGTTAGGCACTGGACCTTCAAAATGGCCAAATTGGTTCAGAGAGGTAGAAAAGATAGGCAAATGATGCCACTAAAAAGTCCTACTAAACTAATAATTGCCTGGCAATGGTGCTGGTCATGTTGATATGCCGCTGGTGTCAGAATCTGAAACAACGACAGCAGCAGCCCCAACACGAATCAGAACAAAGAAAGGCAACTTGGTGCAACCCAGAGTTCTGGATCTGCCTGTCAGGCTGAGGCTGAGTTGTAGTGGAGGGGGCGAGAGACGAATGGGGGAACAGTTGGGATACTTCCGTACAGCCCGAGGCGCCCAAAGAGGAATGCCTACAGCTGATGTCCAGGGGTGTCAGGCACACTGTACTACAGAGGATGTACTACGAAGTACCAACGGAGGTACTCCGTAGTTGTGAGACACTACTCCGTAGAGGCACAGGTCCCATCAGTAGTACGTAAGGTACCTTAGTTACTAGTATTCGTAGTACATACTCCGTAGTAGGAAACACGTGACACTCGATCCATCCTTACTCTGGGATAACGTGACCAAATAACGTGACCACCTTCATACTTTTACCCGATGATCATTCCAGCTCATCATATCCATTTATTCATTAACCAAACCAATATAGATACTCAAGTACACAACGTATTCAGATATCAGATACCAGGTAATGTAATATTGCAAGAATTTACTACGTCTCCGTCATCTCGTCTCTCATGTCTCCAACCAAACACCAAACAACTTCCACCCACCCGTGTCCAGGTCTGTTGCCAGTCATTCACTATCTGAGCCTTTTCTTGCGGCCTAGTGGCCCTGGTCCGAGTATATGGTAATCTCGTGTTCTTTCTCTGAATAGTCTCATAGGGTATCTAGGTAACTTTCCGCCGTATTGAATGCCTGATGCTCTCCGCAGATGACCGTGACGCTCAAGTACTGTCGCCCAGGCACACTCTGCTGGCGCCATAAAATAATGTCCCAGAATCCCAGTATCAATCAAATCCAACAGTCAACGTTCCTCATTCGCTCCTGAAGCACGGCCTCATTCGCCGTGCCTGCTACTGACTGCTCTCCACATCCAACTCTCTGAATCAACACCCGCTCGCCAAACCACTTAGAATGAAACTGAAATCCAAATACTGTCGTAAGCGTCGTTTGTGTGCAATTATACAAACACGGCCCCCGCCGTTCGATACCCATCATCAGTCTTTACGCCCCAACCATCGAGTCTCGCTCTCGAAGAGAAGCCACCATCGTCCCCATCGTTGGAGGTCCGTGTCCCACAGCTCCACCTCCCGCACTCGACGTCCGACGCGAATCACGACGACTCATCAACGGCGTCGCAGATGCCCTCCCAGACGAAGATCGAGGCTTCACCAGCTGCCCACTTTCTACCTTGTCCTGGATCATCTCGTCGAGCATCCTCGACATTTCATCCACCGTCTTCTTCTTCTTAGGCATGTTCTTCTGCGGTGACAGCAATGTCATTGGGCTGGCCCCAAGTGGCGATCGAGGTGTCCCAGCCTGCATCGGACTAGCGTCGGCCACCATGGGTGCACTACCGCTGCTGCTTTGGCTCTCATGGCCCAAGGTCGATCGGCTGCTCTTGAACTCCGACGACGATAGCTCCGGCGTCAGCTCTGCAACCTCGCGTTTTCTCACCGCCGACCGTAGCGCTGCCACCGTCTTTTGCAGATCTGAAATCATGGCATCCTTTTCTTCGAGCTTGCGAATCATCTCGTTTTCCTCTCCGCCGCCCTTGTTGAATGCCATCGACACCCGCGAGTGGCTGGACCGCCGCGCCTGCAAGAGTCGTTTCTCCAGCGTCGAAATGTACCGCGTCTTGTCTTGGAGATCCGCCTGCAATGCCCGGACTTGGGCCTGCAAAGGTGCTCGTCCATCGCCGTATTCGCCTCCAGCCTCCTCATCCTCGTCAGGGACGCCCGAGAAGGAGACATGACCCGAATGAGAAGGACCTGCCCCGAGAGAGACGACCGATGGATGCCTTTTGAGGCCGGAACCTGCTCCCAAAGTAGACTGGCTCGCCGAAGATCGCACGGATCGTGATCCAGCAAACTCCGTCCCCCCTGACATTCGAGAGTGCATCCCGAGAGCCGACACCGTACCGCTGTTGACCCCGGTCGATTTGGAACACAAGATCAGTCGGTTGAGATGCTCGATCCGTTCCTTGAGCGCTGTGCGAGCCAACTGCATCTCCAACATTTGTTCTTCGTGTCGTTGTTCCGCCTCTCGTTCCAACTGCCGTTCTTCCTTTTCCACCGCCGTCTTTTGCTGGCCCTCGAGCTGTGCACGAAGAGTCGTGATCTCGTGTCGATATCGCTCAAGAAGCCCGGCATTGACGCCGCTGCCAATTTCTTCTGCCGCCTTCTTGGCATGGCTGACAATATTGTTCTTTGCGCGAGCAGCAAACTTCAATGTGTTGAGTGTTTCGCCCGTGTGGTTGCTTCCGGCCAACGTCAGACCCGCACCAATCTGGATCGTGCACAAGATGGACACCAGTGAGCCTCCAGACAAAGCTGGCTGTAATAGACGCGTCAGCTTGCTGTCCCTGTAGGGCAGATGCTTGCCATCCTTGTCCGTCGGGGTGCCATTCTTGTCTCGAACACCAGACAGCTTGGCAATCACGGTCCCCAGCGTCAGAAGAGACTTGTTGATGTGAGCTCCCTCGGTTCGTCGTTCTTTGTCTTCGGCCGCTCGTTCCGAGCCAGCAAGATCGATCAGGCTGAGCGTTGAGACACGCACGCCACCGGGAAGCATAGCGACTCGCTTGCTTTCTGCGGTTGTCCCGCCAGTTCCTGGAACTCGCTCACGGCTCTCCACCACAATCTGAACCACCGCATGACTCCGCGAACTTCGAGAGTTGAATTGAGTACTGCCCGTGCGACGTGCCATGTCTCCTCGATGGATCACTCGCAGCAGTTGGGTGGGGCTTTGGACGATTTCTTCTTTGAGAGGACTGGCATAGACGCCCCGCTTGCTGTCCTCTCGTAACTTGATCTCTTCTTGCTGTCCAGCTCCCACACCCGCTCCTACCGAGGCAGCGAGAAGATCATGGATCTTTTCATTGTAGATTTCCAGGTAGCTCACTCGCAAGAGGAATTCTCGGTGTGGCGTTTCACGAATGTAGGAGAAGATGTCGGTGATGGCCAGAGGGATGACACCAGGGCTCGTCATGGTGCCTTGCATGGAAAATGTTTTGCCTGTACCCGTCATACCGTATGCAAAGACAGTGCCGTGGTAGCCCTCCATGACACGTCGAACCAGTCGTTTGGCCGCAGAATCATATACTCGGGCATTGTCATCATGTTGCGAAAACACATTGTCGTAATGATAATCACCACCTTCCTTGCCCCGATAAGCGACCAGAGCCCTCCTGCCATCGACCATCCATTCGCCTTCACTCTGGGCGGAATTCTGCGTGTTGGCATCTGGACGGACTCTGACACTGACAATCACATTGCCCTTGGCTTCCTTGCCCTTTGAGTTGCGTTTAGACTCGCCATGCATGTCCTCGAGGTTGTTGGCCCGGCCACGAGCCTCCTCGTCGGCCTCTTCGATGGTAGTAGCACTGGTGGAATACGACCCATTTGCTGAGGAGCTTCTGCTGTGGGCCGGTGAATGCACACTCGACTGGGCATCAGAGAAACGATTTCCGGACCGGACAGAGATGGACATGCCTTCGCCTGATGAGTTGAGCAGGCTCGGGGTTTGGGGGCCCCGAAAACTGGTTGAGGGCGTGTTGCTGGCTCTGGGAGATTTTTTGGATTTCGAACCGACGGTGGCCGAGTCACCGCTTGAAGCCCGCTTTTTGATCGACGTGTTCGAGATTGTGGAGGCGGCAGTGGAGGGTCTTGTGGGTGTAGGAGGTTGTGGGAATGAGCCAATGCTGACGGTCTTGCGGACTGGTCTGGAAGGGATCGCGGATGGCTTCTCGGTCGCTGACGAGACATCCTGGGTCGCAGAGAAAGGCTGAGATGTTGGTAGGAGAGATGGTCGAGAGGGTAGCTTCAACCGAGAAGGAGTCTGTGGCAGGCTCTTGCGGGGAGGCTTGGTAGAGGGGATGGGAGGCAAAGCAGAGGTGGGCGGATCGGCAAGCGGACGTGAAAGAACGGGTAGAGACATGTTTCTTGTGGCTACTGTATCAGTCAGACGACGGGTGCAATGTTTGTCGTGGGATCCTGCATGTGCTGTCTCATGCAAGCTTCAACGATAGTCGAATGTCGCGCCAGGCAAAGTAGCAAAGCCGCATACACGAGGTTCGCGAAGTGATTTTCTGGGGTCGATTGTGTCGTTGAATGTTATGATGAGCGAAACAAGATGACGAGAGGCGAGACGCAGGGCAACGACCAGGTCTGGAGTAGTGGTGAAAAGGCAGGCGGGCCCAATGGTTGGTTTTTGAGCTCACAAACTAGGGTTCGGTGGGTTCATTTCAGACTTGAGAGGTTCTCGAGTTGTTCAGACTGGACAGCCAGTTGACCACAATGTCGATGTGATGTTGCGGTAGGGGCGTCTGGTATTCTCCGAGGCATGTGAGGTTGATCATGTGGGGGGTGGCTTGTTTGAGTCAGTATCGTCTTGGAGCAAGTTGAGAAGACAATTGGATCAAAGAGTGGACGTCAAAGCCAACGGTTGGGCACTGGTGGTTGACAGATCTGACAGAAGAATAGACACGACAGGTCAAGAGGGACGAGGCGCGAAATTCAGACCGACAAGACAGACACAAGCGCAAGGAGGCGTAGGCAAGTTAGGTCTGAAGTCTGGGTTACTGGGTGACTATGTGACTGGATGACTGGGAGAATTGAGAATTGAGAAAGTGGAAGCAGTGCAGTCAGAGTGCATCTGTTCATCAGTCAGGAAGGGATGCAGGACGCAGGACTCAGAACAGTCGTGACTGCCACAATTGGCCGGGAAGAGGGAAGTGGGAAGGAAGTGCAAAGTGGCAGGTGGACCCCTTGGATATTGAATGTTCCGGGGCGAGAGAGCCGACTACTGGCCTCCCCGGGGTCCTGGGTCCTGGGTCCTGGGTCCTGGGTCGTTATTGGCCTGGGTCCTGACTCCTCTGGGCAGTCAACGTAGTGTCATTCAGTGCATTGCAGTGCAGTAGCATTATGCTTACCAGCAGCTGGCAGCTGGTAGTTACGCTTAGCTTGGTTAAATTCATTCTGCGGGCGACCCAAGGCTTCTCCAGTCACCAGCCGTAACAACCCAATGCAACCCCCCCTGTTCACACTGGTACTTCACTTGTTTACCGTAGTCGGTGATTAGGTGCAATTTGGGTCCTTGAGTCAACGATGTTGCTACCAATTGACCAATACCAGGTCCTGCTACTCAGTATCTCCCTGGACACTGGGGTGTTGGTCTCCAGAGTTGTCTCCCCAAGGACCGACCCGCAATCAATCATGGATTAAAAAAAGTCAACAAATCCTTGTCGATCAGCCCCTGGGATCTCGACACCAGAGACTGTGACAGTGGTCACTTTTGCTTTAATCTTTTACTCCGTAGGCCACTTTTGCTTAATCTTTTAGCTTCAAGCGACCGCGTCACCCTATAAGGTACCAACGGGCCCTTTAGCTTTGCCCCCTGCAAAGGTTGACGCCTCAGACGCAACCTTCACTTCTCTCGAGCCCTAGTAAGGTGGACGAGTGGTTCAGGCACCAAAGACCCTAACGATATGGGGGAAAGTGCAACGCGGAGGTTGTCAAAGTCGTGTCAAACTCGAGACTCCACCTCGTGCCTGGACAGGAAGCTGTGAGTCCGCGACTTTGGGCCTGGTGCAGGAGCACTTCTGCAGTGCCGTACTCCGTACTTGCCCAACTTTCTGAAGCCGTGTGTGTGCCTGCGCCTGCGCCTGCAACAGTGGACAACCGACCAGGTGGTGATTCTCATTCTGATGATTCTGATTCTCAGGTGGAAAAACTTTGTAACCACAACACACTCTGCCACTTTCCACCGCTGTCATCACCTTCACAGCCTCAGCCCCCTTCTCCCAATCAATTGGACTAAATCACCAGCCTTATCACCAGCACTTGGCCTATTCGGTGCTTGGAATCGTGATCGTCACAACTAAAATCCTTCGAGTAAAGGTCAAGTTGAAAATCCACTCCTTTGTGCCCTTGCACTTCTTTTGTCAGTTTCTCACCAGCACTAGCCTCAAGATTCGCATCTCTTTTCATGTCACCATGTCAGGTCTTTGGACCATGCCTACAATACCACCGACTATTTAGATCCAACAAATCGACGACAGCGGACAAGTCACTTCCCGATCTCAAATGACTTGTGCTGTGTGGCTTGTGATTCATCAGGTCTAGGTTCACATACTTTATGCATACAAGTCTACCATATCTACGAAGTCAGTACCCGTACCTCCCCGAGCACGCTTGTTGCAGATCCAACGGCTAGGCGCTCTAGACTTGGGCAAATAATCTGCTCCGTAGGGAGGAATTCAATATGATCATTGCGTTCCGTCAATATTGGCCGTCCAAGTCTGGGCATTTGAAAAGTTGTCCATTTTGATCGAGTGATACACTCGTGAATAAGGATTAAATCCACCAACTGCGGTTCGGGCCACTGATAGTTTCCCGACAGCTCATCTCCACGTCCATGCCTCTCACAGGTGCGCACTATTCTAAAACTATCCCTTCTTTTAACCACCAGGTATCGCCAATTTCGTCGATATCGATACCTGGAGGCCTTTTGTGCTTTCCAATCCATTCTACCTCTCGGATATCAACTTGTCCTTGTGGATAATGCACTGATATTTTTGGCCTAGCAGCCGCTTCTCCCTAGTCCATCGCTTGGCCACTTTAGCCTCGCTGCTAGTCAGGAGGTCCCAATTCCGGTCCATTTCAAGCGAAAACAGCCCTCATCTCGGTATAACCCCTGTTCGAGCCAATGCCGCCCTGCAACTTTTACAGAGCCTCTGTCGTGTAGCTCCCAATCCTTTTATTTTCCAGATTTGTTCGAGACTGGAATCTCTCGACGAAACCCGGTCTACAACAGAGCATATCTGGTAAGCATTGTGGCAAATGGCACAACAGTTCAACTACCCAATCGACGAGTCAGATCCGGCAGCTGGTGACCATTTCAAGCCACCGATTCATCTCATAAATTCACAGTGTCTGCAGCAACGCAAGCGAGAGGCATTTGCAGGTTCGAGTTAGCCTGTGATGGCAACGCAGCCCAACCCACCCGATAACGGCCGCTTTTGTACGCGTAGGTCTTGCATTCAGAGCTACGACCAAAGAGTCCAAGACACTTGCGGCATTGTCAATCTGTGGACTCTGGAGACGATTTAAACCATACCGGACATGCCCTTCGTCGAGACGTCCATACTCTGCATCTCGTCCGCTGGCCCCTCGAATTTTGATCACATTTTGGACGAGAGTCTCCCAGATGTCTATCCCGGATAGGTATACGATATGCGTATCTGGTAATGTAACGTGGCCGCGCACTCGTGTAGCACAGCCTTTAGTACTTGTCCCAGATGATGGATCTTACCGTTGAGAAACGAGAGCCAAGTGACGACCAGAAAGTGAAACTACTGAAGGACGAGGTGATATACTTAAATCTGGTGGCATTACCAGCCCTAATTGCCCTGCACGTTACATATTAACCATATATAATTTCACGTTTAATCCCCAATCCCCGTGAATTGAGTCTGACCTTACCAAGAGGGAACGGTTTTGGGAGGTTCTCTAGTTTGATATCCCTTCTCCTGGGCGCGAGCTCCTTTATCCAAAGCAATATCGATAGCAACAGTAGGCTCTTGACATTTGTTATCATGAGGTATCTTGTCACCACTCCATGCACACGAGTATGACTACAAGTGAGTATGGTCAAATCTAAGTTGAGGTTACGGTCTGAACTCGAACTCGGGTCCTCAGAGCAACCCTCATAAGCATGTAGAGCCTATGAACTGGTCTCTGTGAGACTAAAAGCTTAGAATCGAGCTGGACTGGCACGACTGGTCACCGTCCTGCACTGCAGGTTTTGGGTATAGACTATCGACGTCCTTTGGACGCTCGAGCGAATCAATCACCAAGATAGGAGAAATAAAGAATTTGCCCCAGAAAACACGAGATAGTGATAATGCAGGACTCTGGATCAGTGGCCTTGAAGGCTTGGACGCAGCATGAATTATCAAAGAACCTGAATCCCTGTGTGCAGATGATGGCCAGGGTGTCTTGTCCACACTTCCGGCGACCGTACACGGCTTCCAACCTCGTTCGTTAAGGTGAAACTATCCCGAAACAGCCGTGCCTTCAAACGTCGAGACGATGGCATGGCGGACAGTCGCCTCAGGTTCTGTCGCCGAATCATCAGGGCCCAGCTTGATTGGTGCAAGCTACACAGCCTGGCGAGGATGGCAAGTCTTGGTCGTCGAATCGAGTCAAATATGCGTGCCATTCTTAATTCGTTTCGAATCGTGTCCCACGCGGCTGCCAGAAATGAGCATTGCGTTATTGCTCTACTGCATCTCCTGTGCAACAACACCACCTTTCGCACACAGCCTACACACCTCCAGGAGCAATCGGTGCCCGGACTGTTGCTTGAATGGCTTGGATGGCTTTTGGACCAAGACATAGGACTGGTTTCAAGTCGGTTTGATACTGAGTCATTGATCAGTTCCATTTGGTTTGATACGTTATGAGCCTCCGTGTCTCCATGTCATTTTGACTGGCAGGCTTGGGCTGTCGACAAGACCTTCAGTCTCATAGCAGCAGGCTACTTCGTATACAAGTATGTGTCCCTCGAGACTGTGGAGCATGCTCTTTGATCATCAGAGTAGACTCGGGTAGCGGACTTCAGATTCCAAAAGAAAAGGCATGATGATTTTGACATCCTGGTTCACGTCGTCACGTGGCCCTTGTCGCACACGTGGAGCCAATTGACTTGCGCAAGCATCAGCGGCCTATGGATCAAACATCCCTGCCTTCACGGATAGAAAGTAGGACACATCAAGATCTTGAGAAGGCTATCTTTGTCATGTTATATATGCATCCTCGAGTGATTAGACGAAGCAAACGCCCAACTAGAAGCCGGAGCGCCTGAAGCCACCGCTCTCCCTCAAAACCTTCTGGTATTGTACAAAGAAATCAAACGAGCCACTTGGACCTGTCGTAGTAAGCCCAAGGTCTGTAGATTCGACAGGTTCAATCATCTCGAGTTCTTCTTGTTCTCTTCCACCCGCAGCTTGTGCAATGTCTCTGCCCTGCGCCTCTCACCTCCGTGAATCTTGTGACCACGTTTATGTTCCCACAGACCTTCTCTAGCCACCAAAGTAGCACCACTTCCATTCGTCCCCTTCAGAGGATGGGCCGATGGGCCCGTGATGATGTATCCATTCTTCAATTTGAATCCTTGGGCCTTTTTCAGATCGGCAGTGGTCTGTCCTGCTTCCAAAACGTATGTATCGGAGCCATTGGGAACGTTGACAATGATCTTCTGTAGACCTGGGGTCTTGGTCACCGTTGCAAGTTGGTCGGGCTTAAGATCTTTTGGGAATGCAGGCACTTCCACCACTCTCAATTCCGACACGCCATCCTTGATGTACTTGAAATCCCCACCAATCCCAAATTCACCTCTGCGAAATTTTTCTCGCCACCGGAGGAGATATCGACGAGTCCGTGGAGGTTCAAAGCCTCTTTCTTTCAGTTGTAATGATGTCAAAGTAAATAGCTCGTCCCAGGTTTGCAGTTTGCTGGCGTGTTTGCTCATTTCGCGGCCGATCAAGGAGAAGAAGGTAGGGATGTCGGGTACAAAAGGTGTAGGCGATGGGACTCGGCCATCTTGCGGCACGCCACGGTGCAGACTACGTTGACATGGTCTGCACACGTAGGATTGTGTAATAGATGGCGAGGGTCTGAGGAAGGAGGAGACCAGAGTCGTCGTGAATGGGGGAGGTCGAGTGATCATCGTTTGAGGAAACGAGGATCTCAGGCTGCTTCAATTGGGATATAGGCCAGGGCTGGATGCTGGAGAGATCATTTATCGTCCACGAGGCATTGTTGTGATGGCGCAATGGTTGCTCTACCAGTTGTGAAATTTGTTTGCAATTGACCAACTTGGACATTCTGAAGCTGCAACTTTCTTTCTCCAATCAGACCTGGAGAATTCTTAGGTAAGTGCCAAGCCTTGATGCCAAGCCTTGGAGCCTCGTGAGACTCAGGCACGTGAGTGAGATTGTGTTGAGAGAGAGGAACTTCAAGGAACTCTTTGCACAAACAATTGAGTCAAACTTCAACCTCCATCCCTCACTTACTCTTGATCTATGGTAATTAGAACCATGCAAATCTGTTTGACAGCGATTTGAAGTGGGACAGGAGCCCCGTCAGATATGAAATACCACCCATCCAATTATCCGTGAACTTTCATGGCGAACACAAGAGACGACACGAACTTGACATTTATCTCTTCCCATTAAGCTGCCAAAGGTTGAAAAGCAGATTCACCGCAAAAGGTCTTTGGAATCTCTAGAACATACTTCCATCATGGCGCGATCGGCGGCAGGGGTTTCGCCCCTTATGCCACGGTCTCCATCAAACATGAATATTGCAATGTCGCCATCTCGTGCGAAGGCTCTCGCCATGAGGGAGTCCATATTCAAGCAACAACACGATGTGGTAACATCAGCCCAAAAGCCATCCGCTGATTACGACATGGCAGAACAAATGAACGAGGAAATCAGCAACAAGTATGTCAAAGGTTGGTCAAGGTCGTCCCCTGATTTCGGCATTCTTGTTGCTCACCAACGCAGGCAAAAAATTGGGCGAAGGCACCTACGCCATCGTCTACAAAGGTCATTTGAGATCTAACCCTAATGTTCTGGTTGCCATCAAAAAATTCAAGGTGGATCCTTCGCAGCAGCGTGAAGGTCTCAATGTCGACACCATCCGAGAAATCAAGTATCTACAAGAAATCTCTCACCCCAGCATCGTCGCCTTGCTAGACGTCTTCTCTTCAAAGGATCAAAATATCAACATGGTCATTGAATATTTTTCCAACGGTAACCTGGAAGAGTTGATCCGGGACAAATCGGTGAGTTACGGCGCGGCTGATGTCAAGGCATGGATGGGCATGCTTTGTCGAGCAATCTACTATTGTCACTCTCATTTTATCCTACATCGCGATATCAAGCCCAATAACTTGCTCATTGCTGCCAATGGTGAAGTCAAGTTGGCCGATTTCGGTCTGGCCAGATCATTTGGCGATCCTCGATACCAGATGACTTCGGCAGTGATAACGTTGTGGTATCGGCCTCCTGAGTTGCTGTTTGGTGCAAGGCAGTACAGTGGAGCCGTAGACATGTGGAGCATCGGAATGGTGTTTGCCGAATTGCTGATCCGGCGACCCTATGCGGCGGCCGATGTTGCAGATCAACAAGTCCTAGCTAGTGGCGGAGGCACGGTTGCTCAGCTCGACAAGATCTGTGAAGCAGTGGGAACTCCGACGGAAGAGAATTGGCCAGGTGTCTCGAAGCTTAAGGACTGGTTTCAACTCGATAAGAACGTTCCGGTCAGGGACAAGACCTTTTACATGCAAATGTTCCCGACCGCGGGTCCGGTGGGTGTGGATTTGTTGATGGCAATGCTCAAGCTGGATCCAAGGAAGCGTGTCACTGCAAGAGGAGCCCTAGAACACGAATGGTGGCATGTTGATCCAAGGCCAACCGACGCACTTAATCTGCCAGTTCAAGGTGGTGGCGCGTCCAAGATGGCAGCTGCGGAAGCCGCCGAGCCTGGGGTTGTGGTCAACGAGGCCAAATACAAGGGAGTTGCAAAGAAACTTGATTTTGGGAGCATGAAGAAATGAATGACTGCTCGATTGCCTTTGCAGTGAATGAAACGATGACATATATCTCATGCGAACCAGCGATCGGGCATGGAATCAGAGCTCCTGTTACGGCTTCTGACGCATGTATTGCTAAGCCGACCATCCAGAGGTGATGTACACTTGGACGTAAGGTCAGGTCTATGGATAGACTGGAAGCATATGGGCTATGATCCTCGGAATGCTCCAGAGTACGATGGTCTCATCCAACTGGCATCCGGTACAATGCCTATTCCAGCGAATCATGGGTTTTATGAGGCGAGAAATACCACACGCTCATGGATCCCTGCCGTTTCTTCCCTGATTTAGGACAAGCACAGCCATACAATACACACCATATGGGTCTGACGATGACAATGATGAGATTGAAATGGTCTCTTCCAGCGTGGCTACCGCATTACAGGATTCTCAGGGTCTTGGACAAGGTTGAGGAAGTGCTTGTCAAGACAGTTTCTCTCCTAGGCTCATCTGCAATGTTGAAACAGTGCGGAATAGTAGTAGTCAGTTAATTCAATGACAAGAACGATAACTGCCAGATGATATGATGCAGTGATGGTGAGAGGAGGGCTGCTTCTGTCCTTGATCTCGCGATTCAAGATATAATAAGGATGGATGTTGTGGAAAAATCATGACGTTGGTCGTTGGTCGTTTGTTGCTTTCATGTATGATTATGATTATGATTTGGAGATGTGAGTTTTAGTTTGTATTTTTATCCGCTGTCTCACCATAGGAACTCTCTCAACCACATTTGATACTGCGTTCAACGCCCTTTACATTATTCTGTAATCACAGAATCCAGTAGACTCTCCCATGCAACATTCCAGCGGTAGATAAGCCCCACCCAGTTATTCAATGGCAAACTCTGCATCATCCACCAAAGTTACCCTGCTGATTCTGGGAGCTGGGTGGACATATCAATTCTTACAACCATTATTGTCACACCACAAAATTAGTTACGCTGCCACTACAACGACAGGGCACGATGATACCATCCCGTTCAAGTTCGACGCTGAGTCTGATGATCCAACTCCATATCACCACCTCCCCAACGCCGATTACATCCTCATTACTTTCCCCCTCAAAGGACGAGGCCCGTCGGCGAAATTGCTCTCTATGTATCAACAGACACACAGTCACAGCACCGACGCTACCCTCCAGCCTTCAAGGGAAGGAAGCCACAGATGGATCCAGCTAGGCTCAACCGGCATCTTCACCTCGCCGGACTGGAATGATGAATCGTCACCCATCGACGCTGCCAATGAGAGAGGCATTGCGGAGGGCGAGCTTATCGAGCTCGGAGGAGTCGTCTTGAATCTCGCAGGTCTCTACGGTGGAGGGAGAGAGCCCAAGAATTGGCTTGTGAGAGTTGCAAAGACGAAAGAGCAGCTTGCTAGTAAAGGCGCTCTTCATCTGGTGCACGGGGTAGATGTTGCTAGGGCCGTCGTCGCCGTTGTCTTTGAGAGCGACAAGGATGCCATTTTCGGCAAGCGATGGATCATTGCAGATGGCATGTCCTACGATTGGTGGGCTCTGGCCTGGGAATGGACGGGCGAGACTCAAGAGCTAAGTGCAGATGAGACTGTCCCTCAGCGCTCAGAGGACAAATTGAAATATCGCCAGTGGGTGCTCGACCTTATGGAGGAAAACAATGTGAGAGCCTTGCCACGAACTCCGGAGCTTCTGGGAAGGAAGATGGACTCCAGGGCTTTTTGGAAGGCCGTTGGTTTGCTCCCTGAGAGATCTCTGTCTAGGTGATCAACTCGGATCATCCTTCGATTCCCCAGGCCCACGTACCTAATGACATGTGTGAGCTGCTAGATAAATTTGACCCCATGTCAAATGGAATCCGACACATGACGCCGCCAGGAGAGACTATGTCATCAACGAGCTAGGGCAAGACTGACACATCTCGTGAGAGATATTTGAAGATTCAACTCCCTGACGATTGACTAAGAGCTATTTGGCTGCATGGACGCGTCTTCATTCACTTGCAAACAGCCATCGACCACAGAGACCTACAGTTCATTCACAGATGGAGTACAACGAATCCTGCCGTCGAAACCATGGCTGTGAATGTGTGGAATTGAAATCCAGGAAAAATGTGGCTTGATGGTAAATTCAGGAAGAACCTCACGAGAATCAAACAAAATATCGCTTGTGACAGGTATAATCGTACAAAGTTGCGCTTGTTCTACATCATGTTCATGGGCACTCGTACTTTGTCCCTCCAATCTACGCCCGTAGCAGCGACGAAGCCATAATGCCCTTCGCCAGAGTTGGCAACCTCCTCGCCTAATCGACGGAACGTCTTGTCATCAGGAACCATCTCTCCCCAAACCAAGGGCCCTTTGATCATTTCGATCCTGGCTTCCTCCCCTAATCGAGTGGTCGGATCGAGGCCAGCAAATTCTCGGCGATCCAAGCCTGTGTCCAGGGGCCGATTGACGTGACATGCGGCTGAGATGGCCGCGGAGCAACTCCCCACCAATGGCATGTTGGGGTCGAGGGGGATCAATCCGAAGCCGACCAGGCCGAGCAAGATGCAGCCACCGATGATGATCAAGAAAATCATCCCAATGGGGCTGTACCCACAAGTGGCGATCTCAAAGGCACTAATCAGCCTGCCAGAAGCATCGTAGTGAGATATCACTGCCAGGAAAATAGACTGCGAGATAAGCCAATGGAGTAGTGCCGACAGGCCGATCAAAGGCACTGCGAAGCGGTAGGGCAGTTGTAAGAAGTAGGTCCTACGTTGCTGTCCAATCGGTTTGGATGTGCGGAGAGCCCGTGGTTGGTGGCGGTCAGTGCGATTGACCGAGAAGCGCGACCATTCTTGTGCTGACACCATGGACGTCAGCAGAGAGTTGACGGCGAAGTAGAGAATGGAGAGAGTGAGCTGCGGTGAGTTGGCCACGAGCACCGACGACACCACGGCATTGTCCACCGGCATTCTAGAGATTTCCCACCCATCCAGGAGACTGTCGATCAGGACCTTGCCGAGGCCACGGTCGTACAGCTTAGCGATAGATGTATTGCTATTCAAGCGTGAAACTCCCAATGGCAGAAGAAACCCGAGTGTGGCCAGACATGCGACGAAACTGTTTCAAAAGTCAGCAGGTGCCTCCAATGACATCTTGAACGCCATCAATCCTTACTAGAAGACCGTGAAGGACCATCTTGTCTTGGACGCAGCGTTTAACCATCTCTTGCGGCGAGGCCCGACTTTCCACTGGCCAGCCTCCGCCACTTGCCATCGCTTATCGACTGACACTTTCTTCTTCCTGCTTAACTTGACCATTTTGGCTTTAGTTTGTATACCCGTGTTGACAGTCGCCACATCAGGATCAACGATGAAGGATGCCACAGCGTCACCAATTGTCATCAAAGGCTTGTCGATGACGCTGGAAACAATGATATAAGCCATGATTATGAGCTTCACAACGTTACATGCAAAGACAGTCCAGAGGATGGCCAAATTTGCGTAGAAGCCACACTTTTCTTCGATGAGCTGGCTCATGCAATAGTCGGCCGAGATATTGCTTGGTCTCCAGTTTTCGATGTCCAATCGGTTCCCATCGATCTGTGAGGGACAGTTATCCCCACGAGGATATGTATACGTGTTGGAAACGCCCGGGATCACATATGGCGAGTCAGGGAGTGGACAGATCCAGGCGTAAGAGCTGCTAGAGCGTTGGCCCGTGTTGGCTCCGGCAGCCAAGAGGACGGACCCGTTTCCCGGGGATGGAGGCTGATCGGAGATAACAATCACAGATCTTCTCTTGGTGATGAGCTCGCTGGCGTAGGCATCGACACAATCGGCATTCTCTAGTCGTTCAAACTGCGAGGCATTCACCAGAACCTGTTGTTGGGTTTCGGCCACGAGGTCTTGGAGATCGGGAACCCTGAAACTGGCGCCTGCTGGGCGTGTGTAATTGAAGAAGTCGCCTTCCAGGAAACCGGGGGTGGCGAAGGTAACAGTGTAGTCTGTGGTGGCGATGGACGAGAAGAATGCCGAATTGAAGCTTGAACGGATGTCAGTTTTGGCACGTCCTGAGGAATCGAGTGATGGGCCAAGGCTGAATAACTTACAGCAAGTGGAGAGGTAGCGAGGACAAAGAAAGCAATACCCATAGACAACATCGCAACATGCTGACATGCCTCAGATTTCGAACACTCGGCATTCCAATGTCTAGCCACTTGGCTTTTGCATGTGCACGATCAATGTCGTTGCGACTTGGAGCAACCAGACACTGCATGCAGAAGTTGCTGCCAGCAAGTAGCCCTGTACTGACGACATTGATGGCCAAGTGAGACCAGGTATTGATTGTTGAGGTGCGACCACAATCGCCGTGAAACATTTCGATCAATACACGACTGGATAACGCACCGCCGGAAGCCGATACTTTGGTGACGTAGACTGCAACAGCAAAATTGATGATGGCGGTGATGCCGGCTGCCAGGGCAGCTAATGAAGCACCGAACTTCCACCCGTCTGGTTGAATCTTGTTCATAACCCCATCTTCAACCCCCTTAGGCGATAGCAGTAGTTTTGATTTGGATATAACGGGCGACTCGATGCCATTTTCCCTCGACGGCGACTTGAAGCCTGCCGCCACTATTGTCACCTCTGGTGCCGTCTCTGTGTCTTCGACTGGGTGATATGAGCTCTGCGTCGCGCTGGACACCCCAGGTCTACTGAAATTGCGCATGGTGATATCGCACGATGCGACATTCCTGCTTGTCAGGACCGAAATAGCACCTTTTGATAAACAAGGTTAATTGGTCTTTCAACCAAAAGATTCTCAATAACAGGCAGCAAGCTTGAACCCTTGGAGCTTAGTGGGAGCAGCTGTCGAGCACTACCACTCGGGGCACTAGTTCCTACCGTGTTCCGAGGCAGCATGTCCAGCTTTTGGCCCCCATCTCTATGTGTATGGAGCGTGTCACAGGCTATGACGCTCGAGGAAAGTGGTGCGCCCCATGAAGAGCCACAGAGCGTGTCCGTTAGAGTGGACGTTATGTGTCAGAAGTCACCTGTTTTGCTGAAGCGTGTTTCAACTTACGGAGTATGTTGATCCTTTGAATTGCTTGGGATCGTGGCTTGCTTATAGGCTGTTACCTTGAAATTTATGGAGAAGAGGATTTGATTAGTCCAGAGAAGAGAAAAGAGAGTGGAGACATGTTAGTCACGTGATGTAATGCTGCATGGAAAGCTCAAGGCTCGAACGTAGTGCTCAGGAAGTCCTATTGCTCGACCGTACAATGAAGTTGGCAATTTCAAAACACGTGACATCTAAAGGCACCCCTTACGTCATTGAGCCTTGCCGCGTGTGAGATACTTTCTCAACAATAGTCAAAGGAGGCAGTCCTAGGACCTGATTGTGAATGGATTTCACAACTTTTTTGAAACTGATGTGCATCGACAGATCGGATCGGTAGTGAGGCAGCTTGAGTCTTCAGAGCACTGTGCATAATGCACAGGTGTTCAAATCCGTAGCACGTGTGCAGATAATATGGCTCGGAAAATTGAAGGCCCGCAAGTTTCAGCGGACAGCTGTGGCAACTCAGGGCCGAGATCTTCAGAGACTCGTTCAAGGTTAGGGTCGATGCCATCTTCCAGGACGGTGCCCGGCGAAAAAAGACATGAATACCTGATGTCTACTTCGACACCGCCTGTACATTCGAGACCACAAATCTGGGCACGATGCTCCACGTCGACCCATGAAATGGGTACAAACCGAGGTACCCCCCTCCCACCGGCTACAGCACGAATCATATCAATATCCAACTCCCAGGTTCACTTTGTCAAACATGGGGCTGCGTAGGCGGAGGTGATGACGGTGGAGCGCAATGACTTGGCGCGGCTTGGCATCAAGCGGCGGAGAATCCTCTATCATGAACAGAGATACAATGTGTTGCGGGGAGAAGGTTCAGTGGCGCGGGAAGTTGAGGTTGAAGGCAGACACTGCCCTTGGCACAAGACTCATTCATCATCCAACCCGTGCGTGTCATGTTCCTGTTGTGGAAAACGTCCCGTGCACCCGCAGACCCAAAGGTGGGATCCCATCAGAAATGAGTTTTTCAATCGAATTCCCACTCGTCCACTCCAGCCAGTCTCCAAGTATTCCACCTGGAGCGGAGACTTGCAGCGTGCATACAGACCGAGGTTGCTATCTAGTATTGTTGGTACCTAGGTAAGATCTATCGCTAAGATTCTTCATGGTGGATCGTCGTTGGCACGAGGCTGGTATGACGATTGCCACGGCCGACAAGACTTGCAGTGACGCCCTCAGTGTCTCGGCAAAACCACGCCACCACGCCACTCCCGTTCTGAACCATGCGTATCCGTCCTGCAGCGTCTCTCTCCACATCCAAATCAACGGCCAACACCGTTCTTTGGGCGTCGCACATTTCTTTCGCTAGTGTATGCTTGGTCACAAACCGGTGTCGTCATCCCCCTTGGGCTGCCACAATCTCGGAGTCATACCCCATATGGGGGAAGGGTTGCGGGTGGACCTGGAACAAATGTCAAATATTAAAACCATCGCACATAGTCACCCTCTGCCATTTCCAGATAGATGGTTGCTGATTCCAACCGCACCTCTGTACAAGATTTGTCAAAGTCTCGATATCTCATCATGGCGACCGCAAAAGCTGACAGTGCAGAACTCGAAAATGCTACTCCAATTGGAAGTCTCCATGAATCTGATCAGCATGAGAAGCATGTCGCCCGGGAGGAGCTTGACGATGATCCCGTCTATACCTATGCCGAACAGCGCAAGATTGTGCACCGTGTCGATCGACGTCTCATCACCATTGCAGGAATCATCTACATGAACAGTCTCATGGATCGATCTAACTTGCCTAATGCCGGCATCGCCGGCATGTTGGTTGACCTTGAACTGACGGTAGGCTTTCGATACGTAAGTTCATCCCGATCTTCGTATATCTACCTTTTACTGACTCTAAACGATAGTCCACTCTAGCTTTGGTCTTCTTCATCACCTACACAATTTTCCAGCCCCCAGCCACCATTCTTACTCGAAAGATCGGCCCAAGGCCCTTTCTCTCGGGAATCTGCCTGGCTTGGGGTGCCGTCATGGTGAGTGTCTCCTTACTCACCCATAGCAAACACATAGCTAACGTCACCAGGTTGGATTTGGGTTCGTCCAGGACTGGGTCGTGCTTATCCCACTGAGATTGCTTCTGGGTCTGTTCGAAGCCGGGTATTTCCCAGGGGTGGTATACCTTATCTCAACTTGGTATAGCCTTCTTGTTTCCTGCCGGTCACAACGAGCTTAATAGCTGACTCGAAGATAGGTACGCTCGCTACGATATGCAGAAGCGATACGCAGCTTTCTATAGTCTTGGCCTGGTAGCATCCGGATGCTCCGGTATTTTGGCGTATGGTGTCCAGCAAATGGTATGTCCCACTCGAACTCTCTGAAGTCAAAACGCACACCTAACTGAACTAGGCCGGGCTGGGTGGCCTAGAGGGTTGGCGCTGGATCTTCATCATATTCGGCCTCATGACTGTTGTCGCTGCAATCCTCGGCTTCATATTTCTGGTTGACTTTCCCGATGTCGCCCTCCACAAAAATCACTGGAGGTTCATCAGCCGCGACGAAATCGAGTTCATCATCCGCCGGATCAATAAAGACCGATCCGACGCTGATAGTGAGCCATGGAATTTCCGTAAATGGGCTGGAGCGGGTAAAGACTGGAAACTTTGGGTGTTTGCTCTTCAATTTTTGTGAGTACCTATTGACTAGGTCATATGAACGAACGGATTGGTCTGAACATTCTCTGACCCCTCGATTCTACTAGCTCTCTCACAACTCAAGCATATGCGCTAGCTTACTTCCTCCCCATCATTCTCCGTGAGAACATGGGGTTCTCCATTGGCGAGGCCCAGATGTTGACTGCTCCCCCTTACGCTGGGGCGGCCTTAGTCATGTTTCTCTGCGCCTGGGTCGGGGATAAGTGGCATGTGCGAGGACCGCTATTGCTTTTCACTGCTGCTCTCGGCATTACTGGTCTCCCACTCCTCGTAAGTCTCTCTGTACTTCTCTAGTTGGATTTGGTACCATAGTCCCTTTATGCTAATATGAAAACTTCTCATAGGGATGGCATGGGAGCGCCGGAGTTCGCTACTTTGGCACGTTCCTCGTCTGCGCTGCTTGTAACGGCGGTGTGCCCACTGTTATGGCCTACCAGGCGAACAATATCCGAGGTCAGTGGAAGAGAGCATTCGCCTCCGCCACCTTGGTCGGTTTTGGTGGCATTGGTGGCATCGCTGGCAGTACCGTCTTCCGCAGCGAAGATAGCCCAAATTACCGACCTGGTATCTGGGCGTGTATTGCCTGTAACTTGCTGATTATCGTCACTGTGGGCATCAATACTCTGATCTTTAGAAAACAGAACAGACGTGCGGACCGCGGCGAGATTGTCTTGGAGAACGATCCACATTTCCGCTACACTATTTGAAATATGTCGCGAACCAGAGATCTGGCACCTTGTGGAAAAAGTATATAGCTTCGACTGTCTCCACGAGAGAACAACCCACACTAAGTTGACAGTATTATAATTATTCGGAACCGACGTCGTGGACAATTTTAGAGTCCCAAAGATGGGTCAAACCCCTCGCCGAGGAATGCCAGGCGACCCAGTCTGCCCCAATGTTCTTCGTGCGCACAAAGGAGAGTGAGCGCTGGTTCAGCAGTGCATTCATATGAGATATGGCCTTAAATTGTCCAATAAAGGCGATTGCTTTGCAACCTTCATTCCTTCTTCACTGGAAATTTCGAGCAGCCAACCAGACAAGTTGTCAGTCCTGGCTTCTGCATAAGGGGACAGGATTGCTTTGTCGCGCCAAACCACAAGCTCGTACTGCTGCTCTCGTCGGTACAAGGGGGGTGTAGCCAGCCTGACGATATTGTAGGCGACGTACTGTCTCTCATGGTCAGGCCTCAGGGGTCAGGCTTGCCTTCCACAGTGGCGGATAGATTCTCGGAATTCTATCGTTGTTCGTCTCGCAAGGCATTTGTAAAGTGAGCTACAGCTAGTGGGCCCACATGATATCTTCCGCCATGCATGTAGCAAGAGCAGGTTTCATTGTCATCCACGGACCTCCAACGGGTCGTCAAAAGCACGAATTTCTTGTTCTTGATTTGCTGTGGAAGGAGCAGGAAGGGCGATGGGGCGTCCAGAATCATGACCCATTCGGAACTTGCTCTCCATCCACCTGGCAAATGTGACACTTCCCTTGTCCAGGTACTTGGTGGATATCTCGGAGACCCAAAAAACCGGAAAGCCGAAGAAGAGACTCACGATGAGAAGGCGGACTAACCACTTGACCCAGTGCAGTTGAATGGTCTCTGTCCATGGATAGACGTGATGGATGATTCTACTTCCAAGCAACTTGAGCATGAATGGGTGGACACAATAGAGTGAAAAAGAGATATCGGCAAGGTATTGTAAGGGTGATAACTCGAAGAATCGTCGGAAAATGCTTGTGTGGTCGACCAAGAGGAAAAAGGCAGAGGCAGCGATACATCTCCAGAAGTCCCCGGCGTCAGTGTTGCCTTTCCATCTTTGCGGCGTGTAGACTCTCAGCGTATAATAGAAAGGGGCATCGCCGAAGAGGTCCGAGTCAATCGGTTGGAACCAGGCACCGGGAAGTGACAAAAAGTACAAGACAACGAACATGGCCAATGATGGCAATATAATGCCTTTGATCAATTTCCACGATTGACCTCTCCATTTGACAATTCCACTTAGAGAATGGTTCGTGTGGGGAGAAGACGACGATGTCCTTTCGCGAGTGAAGTTTCGGACTTCGCAACAAACCATTCCCATAACAAACAGATAAAGCTCCCATCGACCAACCCAGACGGTCCAGAGAAGGTATGTTAGGATAAAGACGAGACGCGTAGAGGGTCGAGTCTGGACGACGATGAGAAGTAAGGTGAAGACCACCAATGAGCCCCTGTATTCTGTGGATATGGTCCAGAAGATTGTCTCGATCTTGGAGAGCGGGGCTTCAAAAGCAGTTGGAAGTTGTCGATTGAAAGGTTCGGCCGCGTTCATGGCGGCGTCAAACCACCAGGCGAACAGTCCAAGCACCGTCTTGGCTTTTCCAGGGTCTATCGGACCGTTGTATTCAGCAAAGAGATGAAAGTGAAGGGCCCATAACTGTATAAAAGCGATCACTAAAGGTGGTGTGAACAAACGTAGTGCTCTCCGGAATGTTGATGAGGCGACAGATTGATAAATGCTGATACGGCTGACGTTTGGGTCGCGCATAAGTGCAAGTGATTTGCAACTCAAGACATAACCACTGATGATGAAGAAGAGTGTGATCATCGTAGGACCGCTGTAGACGAGTCGGATGATGGGGAGTTCGAAGAAATATTGACGAGAGCTGGACCAACCAACGACTATGATGCCTGGGAACACATATCCGAGCACGTGGCCAAAGAAAACGAAGAGGGACGCCACTCCTCGAACCCCGTTCAGCCAGTCCGTAGTAGAGATCTTCCTAGGTTGCGAGGAAGGTGTGAGTAGTCTTGGTCGAAGAGCGACCCAGCAGATGGCCAAACCAGAAATCAAAGTTTGACACGCAGCCGAAGCTGTCCATGAGCTCAAAGGAAGCCTTTGTGGGACAAGCTTCTCTATATCTTGGTAGTCCAGATCGTCCGTGTCACTTCTGTCATCAATGGCATCGTTGGCGGTCAATGCTAAACTCTCGTATCGGGGAGAGGTCTCAGTGAACCACGATGGTCGCATGGTCTGTACCCAACTGGGCCATTTCATTTTGCGCATAGTTATTGTCTTGTTGCGAAGGGCAATATACTAACAATGAAGAAAGCACTGGACAAGGAGGCTGCCCGAAAGTGAAAGAAGTGGTGCAAGGCCACATCCTCACGAAAATACCTGCGAAATGAAGAAATGGTGGCGTTCAGGGGGTTTGCACACACTTGGTAGGCACGAAACTAACTCGTGGCGAGCTTGTAAGTAATGTTTCTGGCTTGATTCGTTGTTACATGGCCAGCCAGAACGACAGCAAGCCACGAACGGGTTACGGGATCATCCGTAGTATGTTGCCTTCAATTCGGCCATCGAAACATACGGAGTACGGAGTAGCCAGGCAGGCAAAGCGTTCCACCCTGCCCCTCGGTAGTCGCGAACGCATTCGTAGGTGGTCGATTCGGCGCTGGTGGCCAAAAGGAGGGATGGCTTCGTGTTGTGCCGTGTGGACTTGTCCGTATTTCGGCTCGCTAAAAGCGCCTCGGGGGTTCAAACTTTCCGGGATCGAGAAAGTCTTGCCAACTTTAAAATTGCTTCAATTGAGCAATGCGGGTAAAGCAACTTGTGACATGGTGGCGCCGAGGGACCTGGTCATCGAGTCCAGGGGTACATGAGCCTGTCCATTCAAAACACCCTTTACTTAGTACATACGGAGTACGTATCGCACAGTGCACCTCTGGGTTAAGGAAACATGATATTTATGATTCAGCTGCTGCACCTGTCTCCGAACCGATCCTAGTTACCTTCATGTAGCACCCTATAGCAACCAGTCTCCCGAAGGAAGTCAATTTGGATCTTGATACAAATTTGAGCCTCTCCTCCAAACTTACTTTGCAGTCTAACATAGTGATCCCACTGTACATCTTCTTCTCAGCAGGGCATAGCCAGATGCTTTACTAAACAGTGAGACGACAACACCTTTCACCCCCAGAGATCCTCCATTGTTGGCACCAAATCTGTGGTGACACATCTCTTGCTTGCTTCCTTCCTTTCCTTTTCCTTCTCTTTCTCCTTCTCTTTCGTCTTATCGACCTTGTCGGTTCTAACCTTGGTGATGTTGACCTTTATCCCTCCAATGTTGATCCCTCCCATATCTCGAGGGACAGCCTGGTCCGCTTCAACATCCTTTGCAATGGCTTTGTAGTCGATCTCAATGTCGCCATAAAGTCCTTTGCCTGTCGCACCAGTTGTGGCCCTGCCATTCCAGCCTTTGCGTGAGGTGTAATACGCATCATCAGTCTCAGTGTCAATATCTGTCGCCTCCGTATCAAAACCAGGATCATCAGCCGTGAAAGGAGAACTCCGGTGTGCGTCCATGTCGTCTTCGTCGTCGACGCCACTCGATTCCGAGCCAGATCCACTAGAAGACCCCAATGTCGACTCATCAGCTGCGAGGACAAATCGTCCATGTTGGAAGATTAGCGGTGTGCCTCGCCTCGAAATCGGGACATTGTCGTTGTTCTGCTCGGGACTGCCTTTCCTCAAGGCAGGCCCAACTGAAGCTGCACGTCGAGTGAATTCGCCCGACAGTGGCCTCCGACGCACATTGTCTCGTGAGAATGCTCGCCGTGCGGCCGGAACTGGTGATGCACGATGAATAACATCAAGGTTGTCCCTGGAAAAGGTACGACGGTGCCCGCTCTCGGGACTTGAGATTCGCTGAATCGCCATCGGTGTACGGTCTCTTGTTTGTTGCTGCTCGAAAGAATCCAGGGTCTCCATGTTTCCGAGTTTCTTGTCGACGGACTCGCCACGATACCGTCGAGGCTCCCGGGACTGGGCACGAGAAGTAGGACCAACGTCTTTACTTCGACCTCTTGACTGTTCTCGGTGCCGCTTCGGCTCGCGGCTCAGGGCTCGGCTCTCCTTGGGATCAATGGAAAGACTACGACCTCTTGGCTCAACCGACCTAGCATGATGCGCAGGTTCTCGCGATCTCGACCGTGCTCCACCATTTCGAGATTCAGGTCGCCGTTCCCCCGGGCCTCTGGAACTGCACCGCATATAGGCCACATCGCCGATGCCTGGCCCCCTGGAGCTAGGTCGAGTAGGCACGCGGTTCATCTCCCAAGGCTTATCCGTGTCCGAGTCCGAGCTTTCTATTGGGCTGACAATTTGCGACAGGGGTGTAGCAGAGGGAGTTCGAAACCTCTCCAGGCTTTGTGTCAGAGTCTCAATGTCTGCCATCTTTGCAGCGATTGATTGGCATTGTGGCACCGAGGGAATCATTCTTTGGGCAATGGGCGTACTTTCCATTGGTGATGCATTGTTGGACTCGCTTTGACCATTGTACTTCTCCTGTACAGGGCTAAGCATCGACAGTGCTGAAGCCGGTTGAGACCGACTGGGAGGGACACTTGTTTGGATATGAGGGAGCCGAGCGAGCCCAAAAGAACGATCAGCATAGGCACCGCGGGTGTAGAATGTGGAGACATCGTCGTAGACTGGAGACTGTGTGTGTACAATGGGAGAAGTCGTGCGATACGGATGTACTACATCTCGTGCTTCGACTGTGATAACATCATCACCAGATGTGGAAAGTGGAGGCAACGCGGGCCGAGACTCGACGCTGATAACCTGATCGAGTGGTTTGAAATAGTGTTGTTGGGCTGCAGCTTGAGGGATGTGAGCCTGTTTGCCTTCGGGTCGCGATTCTGTTGGAATGGTGATAGTGATCTGGCCATTGACCTCCTTTATCATGGGTGTTCCAGAAAACCTTTGTGCCCGGACCACTTGCATGATGTTTTCAATCTTTTCCCGCCATGGGTCGTAGCCTGCATCTGTCGAATCACTGACCAAAGTCTTCTGGCTGTCGGGACTACCATGAGGCTGATATATTGTAGCCCCATCCTCCTCATGGTGTTGCTGGCTCCATCCACCAGTCTGAGGAGCGGAGATGCCGTTGTCTCCAAAACGAGCATGTAACTGCTTGCCTGACTCGGATCGTGACCGCGACCTCCTCCGCCGCGAGGACAAGATTCCTTCGATAACTGAGGCCATGGAGGGCGGTACAGCCACTGACTGCAGACCGGAAGGGATTTGGTTGTAGGATGAGGTGGCAACCAAGGATTTCTCAAAATAGACTGATGACGGAGGAACAAAGTATTAGTATCTGAGGTCAAGTCTCAGAGCAGTGTTTGTCAATTGGGTTCGTTGGTGCTGATGAAGAGAGCCCGCCTCTGGGACTGCTGAGCGCGAGGGTTGAGACGGCGGCTATGTGTGGCAGCGGTGACACTGAGACAGAAACAAGTGTATATACTTTGGGACCTGAGGTTCAGACACTATTCTCTCTCGCGCTTGTGGATAAGAATAGTCGAACTCGAGTATCATCAGCCTAGACAAGTCGGTAGCGTCCAGGGTTCATGGGAACAGACGAATCGCAGAGGTCATCTAGATATGTCCCATAGTCGGTGAAAACACACACCACAAGTTGAACAGCCAGCATTTCACACGCAACCCTTTGGACGGGAACTTTAGTTCTGGGCATGTCACTAGAAGCACCGTGTTGAGCATGGCTATTGCTGTGTGGTTGTGTAATGTTAGCAACAGGCGTTTCGAGGTGTAGGGTGATTGGGCAACATGGCCTGCCTGTACATGGAGCGAATGCAGCGCTAATCTGGGGACGATGGCCTCAGGATGTGATGAATGGCTGAGATCGTCTTTTACTGTATGTAAGCGCTGGGAATTAGTCAGGGAGAGTAGGGGTATCTACGAACCATGCCGTAGCATCATCTTGGGATGTTTAGTGGAGGAGTTAGGGCGCTTATCCGACGCTGCAAGGGCATCATATCCTCCAATCCAGGCCCGGGATTTCTGAACTCGCCTACTCTGGTCGATGCTTATGCAAGGTCCCGAATGGCGTAAAAAAAGATTGGCCCAGCATTCTTTGGCTTGTTTGGTCCGTGATGCCCAATAATACGATGTGATGTGAGCAATTGTTTCCACTCCTCACCGGAACAATATACGACATCTTCTAGTTATTTGGTAGCCTGACGTCGGCTTGCATCCTCTATTCGTAGACGAAAAGGCGACCCAATGGCCAGCGCGTAGATGCACATTTTGGATGGTTCGGCCTTGTTTCAGGTTCAAGCTTTGCATCGAGGACAGGGCGCCTCAGATCCTACGCGTCGTTACAGGTTTACATTTGGCGCCACTCATCACAGATGCGAGAACTGTGGCTCAAAGTCGGTAAGGGAAGCATCACTTTCAACTTTCGCACCTGATGGTCATGCATCACGTGGATCGTTGTGATACCTAGGTCCATGATTCAGGCAACTCATCTTCAACACTAAACATTGAGGTTGGACTTGTCTATCTAGGGCAATATTCTGACAATTATGGATCTCTGCAGCGAATGTTGAATACTAGGTAGGTCAACAATGAACTGGCGCTGTTCTGCAACGACCACGACCCAAAATCGAAAGGTAAAAAACCAAAAACAATCAACAGCTCGGATTCGCAAATGGTCACCCACTTTACTACTAACGAGTCGGCATATGGCTTAAGTATGACTGAGCGAACGGGAAGTCCTGTTTTCCATATCCTATGGTCGATTGCGAATACAAATTCGAGACTCATGATTGATATATCGTCTGGTGACGGTGGTTGCTGCAGAAGTGCCCACGCCCTGTCCATCAACAGCGATAGGGATCACAGATGAGCTCGCGGCGGGACAAGATCTACGGCGTACTGCGCCATCCCCCTAGATTTTGTCAAGTGGCATTCCAAAGAGATGAAAGGCGGCTGACTCACCACGAGGCTTGAAATCCAGTTCCTCCAGCACCATAATTGTGAATGACGAGTCTGTTGTCAAACCTCTCGGCCTCGATACGAGCTCCGCCCTTCCGACCAGCTGTCTTGGGATCAGTCTGTCTACTCGCAAGGTCTCAGGAATAGATCTTACGCCGGAGTCCTACTCCATGCTTCACCACCCTCAGATCCTCTGGACGTCCAAGCTGAGGAACTAAAGCACAACATCGAGCCTTGATGACCTCTGCAAAGGCAAGTTCGGCTTCACCATTCCAGTTGTCCTTTTGACGGCATCCACCAAGAATGACTCCTCCTGTAGTACCACGTGGAAAGATGTGTGTTGCATCAGCGTCACGGTGCGGAGCTCGGAAATACATTTTCTGGATTGGTTCTTTTGGCGCTTCTACCAGGAGAATTTGCCCCTGCGACATGGGATCAATCAGCATTATCCCCAACGTCGAGAGAGCATAGGCGTACTCTGGCAGAGAACATAGTGTTGTCTTGGACACCTCCCAAAGTCATCGAGCCGATTCCCGTGCAGTTGAACACTACTGCTTGCGAGTCAAAAGACAATGCTTCTTGGATGGTGTGAAAGATTTTGCGGTAAATCTTAATCCCTTGCCTCTCTGCTTCGGCTTGTAACCTGGAATCCATGAGCGTCGAGATTTCACGAGTAAGTTCCAACTTACCAGGGGAGATACTTCTGTACATCAATCACAAAGCTTGCCATTTCAAAGCCAAAAGCCGTTCCCTCGGGCAAGGCATCGCCTTGTATTTTGGTCAGCCCGCCCACCAGGTCTTCGAACCATAGCTTTCCCGTGGCTGGTGTTTTGATACCGACCTCGTCAATTGGTCTATCATAATGGAACCTTATGTTCATCGGTAAGATGCCGGAAGCAGGGCATGTGGATGAAAGCTGACGGAATTTTTTATATGTGATGGCGTCCCAGTCTTCCTGACGACCGTTATCGTTAGAAGCCGGAAACCAATTTGCTCCTCCCCAAGCAGAGGTATACTCCGGAGCTGAGTCGCCAGGCAGATATTTTGCTGCAATATTGATACGAGCCTCCGGATGTCGCGCCCGGAGTTCCAGAGCAGTTGTCAGTCCGATGACCCCGGCGCCAATGACCAGGAAAGATGCTAGTAAAAGGTTAGCTTTCGGGTCCGGGTCAAGATCAACTTCTCTCTGCAACAACGTACACATATCTGCGTATGGCCGAGTCAAGGGTAACTAGTGTTGAGTATTCACGTTGATCGCTATACAAAATGTGCCATACGCACAAGCAAGCACGAGAAAATGCTTCAGTTGTTGGCCCAGGCGAGAAGTCCCGGGCGACAGTCATCCACCTGGAAAAGGTCGGTCAACTCGGTTTGCAACGACGATTATCACTAGTTTCTTGATAACTCGGTTCTTGATAACTCGGCTTTGTCCAATCTGCCGAGAATCCAACGCTTTACTTGATGAGCCGATCCCCATCGGAAGTCGGCAGTGCTTCTGCCAAAATCTCCACCATAGGGTTAATATTGCATCTACTTCAAGGTTTGTGAAGTTCTGACTGGGCGTTACTTCGAGGTATTAGATGCGCCTTGGACGATGACATAGTTATATGGCAGAAATCCCTTGGTCACATTTGAAGAGACTTAAACCAGGCTCCTGAACTATGTAACGGGGGTTAACGGTTTCCCCGTTTTGAAGAACGCTTCCACGTTATCCAAATTGACCCTTTCAAAATTCTCCCATGATGTACGTGAACAAACTCCAATGTGAGGCAGAAGCGTCACACGCCAATTGTCCCTTAGTTTTGGGTTGATCCCCGGCTCGTTGGCATGGACATCGAGGCCAGCTCCCACGACTCGCCCATCCTCTAGCGCTTCGATCAGTGCATCTTCGTCTATCATCTTTCCCCTGGCTATATTGACAACACGAAGCCCTTCCTTCTTGGCAAGTGAAAGTCGCTCACGCGACAGTAAGTGGTGTGTGTCTTTGCTGTATGGAGCCGCAATCACGACACAATCGACCATAGATATCATCTCATCCAGGTTCTCGTGGTACGAAGCTCCATACTTCAACAAACGTTCGGCATCCAGTTTGCGCCTTCGTCCGTGGTAGTGAATCTTCATGCCCAACGCGGATTCGCATTTCTGCGCTATGGCAAGCCCAATATCACCCATGCCAACAATCCCTAACGCCTTACCGCATGGGTCGACAGCCTTGAGACCCAGATCCCGGCTTGAAAGCCAGTCATTTCGTGCACACCATTGAGCGTAGGTGAAGAAACGGAAACACTCAAGCACTAGAGAGAGAGAGGTGTTCGCCACAGCTTCTGTACATGTATCTGGTGTGTTGCAGTACCAGATGCCCCGCGCTTTTATAGCATCTACATCAGCAGCATCGTGTCCGTGACCACTGCAGCAAATGAGTTTCAATGATGGAGGGTAATGGGGTACTATTTCGGATGCAAATGGCGTCTGTTGGGCTAGCGGGCCGGCTTTGAGCCATCCATTGCGCAGAATAGCCACAATTTTGGAGTAAGGCCCTCCTGGCTGCAATCGCTGAATGAACTCGGTGGTGTTTTCGCAGTCATAGTAGATGAGATTGAATTTCTCTGCCAATGCTGCTCGCCGTTCCACGTCGATCACCTGGACAGTCGAATCGATCATGAGAATGTCGGCTTTGGGAACCATGATCTCGATCACCCCAGAGATTTGATTGAGACAATGTTGAATCAGGCAGTATACATGTTCTGACGAGCCTCAAAGACTAGGCAAACTCGGCGCCTCGTCTACGAGTAGACAAGCATACAAGACGATGTTAATCCCACGCCAGGCGCTATTGATGTGCTATATCTGGTAGATATGAAGAGTGCCACCGGTTGCTGTTAGGAAGCTTTCCGAAAACCTGTATCAGATCGATCTTTTCGCCTCTCACATCTTTAGGTACATATTTCGCTTTCCTCGTCTCGTTATCAAGTATCCGATCCATCGGCAATAGATAACCGATCAGGCTTACCTGATGCAGCAAGCCGATGCCGCGAGGGAACAATATCACGTGATATTTAGAACTCCCGCGAAAATCCGACCCTTCCAGATAGTTAAGGCTAAAATTTGTCCTGGCTTATCCGTTCGAAAGTAGTGCTACACAGCGGCTTAAGGCCAGCGTATCTTTGTACTTGTATCAATTACGCAGCTTGTAAAGGACTTTTCTTGCTTCAAAGCTCTCATGTCATATGATTATTGACAATTTGTCAACGGCATTATGACAGAGAAACAGGGTCAATCGAGATCTTTGTGGAAATACGTAGCCGCCATAGGAGTGGCAGCGACTGGACTTTGGTTTGCAACAAGTGGAAACCCCAGCCTGAGGACTAACTCCCGAGACCTTGATGGCAGAGTCCTGCATGTTATGGCATCAACGCCATTAATCGATGGCCACAATGACTTGCCATATCTTGTTCGATTGGAGTTGAAGAACAAGATCTATAACCCGGAGCAATTCCGTTTTGAACAAGGTAGGAATCAAGCTCCAATTTTTGACTTGCTCTCAAAAGCGTGCGTGCTAATATGATCTGACTCCAGGTCTCGCGAGTCACACGGATCTTCAGCGGATGAAGGAGGGTAGAGTTGGTGGCCAGTTTTGGTCTGTCTTTGTCGAATGTCCCGAAGTCTCTAATCTTGACGATCCCACGCATTCAGTACGGGATACATTGGAGCAGATTGATGTGGCTAAGCGCATGATTGCATACTATGATGACCTTCACTACTGCGACAAGGCAGATTGCGTCCTCAAAGCCTTTCGCAAAGGCAAGATTCCTTCCATGCTCGGAGCCGAGGGGATGCACCAAGCTGGGTCTTCGATTGCTGTCATCAGGCAGCTGTTCAATGCTGGGGTAAGATATATTACAGTGACCCATAACTGCGATAACCCTTTTGCCACGGCAGCATCGACAGTCACCGAGACTGGAGAGGACGCTGGCTTGAGCGAGTTCGGTGCCGCAGCAATACGCGAGATGAACAGGCTAGGGATGATGATAGATCTCTCGCACACATCCCATGCGTCAATGCGACACATAATGAACATCACAACTTCTCCCGTGATGTTCAGCCACAGTACTTGCTATGGATTAGCTAAGGACTATCGCAACGCCCCTGACGATGTTATCTCGCAGTTGAAATCCAACGGCGGTGTCCTTATGGTTATGTTTGTCAAGCGCTTCTTGAACGCCTCGGATCCTGAAGCTGCAGATATCGAGACAGTCGTGGATCATATCATGCACGTGGTGGAGCTAGCAGGATGGGATCATGTTGGGATCGGTGGAGACTTTGATGGTACTGTTACCCTGGCCAACGGCATCAGCTCAGTCAGCGATTACCCAAAGCTCATCAAGGCTGTCATGAGCAGAGGAGCTACGGACGAGCAGATTCGGAAGTTGCTTGGAGAAAACATTCTGAGGTATGTATTCAGTCTCATTGTCCAGATTGTGAGGTCTAATCTTCATTTCTACAGGGTTTGGAAACAAAATGAGATCAACGCAGAGGCGCTGCAGAGTGAACTTCCCGTTGAAGACGTCTGGGAGGGTCGACGGTGGACGAGGTGGAACAATGCCCTGCCTATGATGATTCCTGGAAACACAGAGCGCATCGAAGCCAAAGACTTCCCTTAGACTTGATGTGGATTGGTCTGAGCTTGTGAGTAGCGAAGAACTCGGACAACTATACTGACATGAAATCACTACTGTTTTGATGATACACAATTCCATAAATGCTCAGTCCTTAGCTATCTGCTATATGCTCATAAGTTTGAGTGCCAACGAAACAACACAACTCAACAGCAGGTCCTCCCTCATCAGACCTTCCTAGTTACCCGTAGCAGTCGCCTCCCTCTGAGCCACGCTTCCGCTGCCTCTGGCATTTGCCTTTGCAAACTTGTCACCAATCCTGAATGCTCCAAAGACTTGTTTCCTCTCCGGTCGGGTCGGATCAGGTCCATATCCACCTCCACCTGGAGTGAGCACGATAATCCTGTCTCCGGCATTCATCTTTGCCGTTGCCTTGCCTCCTAGGCTGATCGTTCTTGTCGTACCGTCTTCGGGATCTCCTCTAATCCAGAGGTTAACTCCTCTCTTCCCTTGGCTGCCTCCAGCCATGCCGTAGGGCGGAACTACTCGCCGTTCTGAAAGAATCGAGACCTGCATCGGGATTCGAAACTCGATATCACGAACACAGCCATCTCCTCCGCGATGAAGGCCCGCCCCACCACTATCAGCTCGGATCGAAAATTCGTGCAGGATGACAGGATACCGACGCTCGAATATCTCGGGGTCGGAGATTCGGGTATTAGTCACATGTGTATGTACACCACTCTCACCTTCCCAATCGGCACCAGCCCCTGAACCACCAGCGATAGTTTCGTAGTACCCAAAGCCTTTGACGACTTTACCGGTTTCTGGATCAGTGCCGCCGTAGCCAAAGGTCAGATTGTTACAAGTTCCTTGCGAAGCTGCACAGGCTTGGAATGCTTTGAAAATCAAGTCCACAATTCTCTGCGACGTTTCCACATTCGATCCAACTGTGGCAGCTTTTAGAGATGGAGAGAGGATGGTATTTGGTGGTATCTTGAGCTTTATGGGCAGAAGACAGCCTTGATTGAGCGGTATCTCCGTCGAGATCATTGATCTTAAGCAATACTATGATTGCTTGGTTAGCATCGTGTCGGCGAACGACGAGTCCAACTTTGAACTTACCATGATTCCAGAGTACATAACTGCAGGAGGACAGTTCAAGTTACCATAATGCTCTGGCCCTGTGCCGGTAAAATCGAAGACGGCGTCTCCAGACTCGCTGTCAATATTGATCTGTAAGACCAAAGGGGTTCCATCATCTAGATGGTCCTCGGCCTGGAGGTCTTGACCCTCGAATCGCTTCGAAAAGTCCTTGAGTAAATGACGAACGGCCTGTGCTGCATTGTTCTGGATAGCATCCATGTAAAATTGTACGACAGGCCAAGTGTAGTCCTTGATGAGGGCGGTAATAAGGTGGATTCCACGGTTGTTCGCTGCAATAGCGGCCTTGAGATCGGCAATGTTGTCTCTGAGCGTCCTCGTGCCAGAGCATCCAGGATAAGAGCCAGGGATGTCAAACAAAATTCGTGTAAGGCCTTCCTCGTCGAATTTGCCCTCTTTCACCATCTTAAATGTCTCCACAGCCACACCTTCTTGCCACAACTCAGTTGAATGTGGAGGCATCGAACCAGGTTGAATGCCCCCAATATCCGCATGGTGACCTCTGTTTGCCACAAAAAAGAGGATCTTGGTTGGATTCTCCTCGTCATCAAACACTGGGGTGGTGACCGTGAGATCAGGCAGATGGGTTCCACCTGAGCATGGATGATTGCTCAACAATACGTCACCAGGCTTCAACTCGCCTGGCCCGTAGAGCCTGGCTTGGTAGGCAATGGCATAACTCATAGATCCCAAATGCCCGGGAATGTGAGGAGCATTCGCCACAAGCCCACCGTCTGCAGAAAACACGGCGCAAGAAAAGTCAAGACGTTCCTTGATGTTGACAGAGATTGATGTCTTTTGCATAGTCTGGCCCATTTGTTCGGCGACACTCATGAACCTGTGACCAAACACACTAAGCTGAACAGGATCAACGACATCAGTTGATATTTCCTGTTTCTCAACATCAAGAATGTCGAGGATCAAATGTTCTGAGAGAATGACAGCTGCGCTGGATGGATCCAAAACAATTGTCTGCGTCTTGTCAACGACAATCGCTGGGCCCTTCACTCTCGTTCCCAGAGGCAAATCGCCCAGGAAGTACAGTCCTGTTTCGGTCCAGCCTTGATTCTCAAAGTATACTTTTCGAGTGGAAGAAGGCGGAATGGGCGTTGCTGGGGGTGTGGCCTGAACCCGTCGAAGTTCTTCAAACGGGTTGATCAACTCCAGATCAGCACCTCTTCCAACACTGCGCACTCTGACGTCCTCTATCAGAATATCCCGTGGCTGAACAAAGCCGAATTCCAGCTGATGGCGTTCAGTGAATGCTTTGCCAAAATCGGAGATACTACCAGGATTCTGGATCATCAACGCTGTATCGCTACCGTGGTATCGCATGTTCAAGAAGTTTTCATGCTGGATTCGATCCGTTTGGAACCCTTGTGCGATCAATTTCTTCGTACCTTCGGCTGCAAGACGGTCAAATCGATCTTGCAGTTTTCCCAGAGCCTCTTCAGAGAATGCTAGGGCCTCAGGCTCTTGATTCTCCACGACCACATCTGCGAGCGCCATTCCATATGCTGAAAGTATGCTTGAATAGCGGGGGATTATGACCTGTTGGATACCCAGATCACGAGCGACAGCGACAGCATGTTGGCCACCAGCGCCTCCAAAGCATCCAAGGTTATGGCTGGCTGTTTCAAACCCCCGACCCTCGCTGAGAGTTCTGATCGGTCTGGTCATAGTTGCATTGGCGATTGACAAGAACCCCATAGCAACCTCCTCAGGGGTAAGTTTGGTATTTCCATCCTTTTCTCTATTAATGATGTCGGTGATGCTCTGAAATTTTTCCTTGACAACCTCCAAGTCAAGCGGGCGTGGAAAGAGATCAGGAATTATTCTTCCTAAGAAGAAGTTGGCGTCTGTGACGGTCAGTGGGCCACCTCGTCCATAGCATGCTGGGCCGGGGTTGGCACCAGCACTAGTTGGTCCAACTTTGAACAGGCCGTTCTCCCACGAGAGTATTGAACCTCCACCAGCAGCGACTGTATTGATGTCTAACTGAGGAGTCTGAATGGTGACTTCAGCAATCGTACTCTCAAAGATGTGCTCGAGGGATCCTGCGTAGCGTGCTACATCGGTACTTGTACCGCCCACTACTTGGTGTTAATATTTTGGCACGGTGTGGAAGTGAGGCGACTTACTATCAAAGCCGAGAACTGGAGTTCCTTCTCTCGCATCATAGCACGTTCTCGACAGACCAATCACTCCACCTGCAGGCCCGCTCAGGATACCACGAAGACCGGTGAAGTTGTTGAAAGCAGTCAAACCTCCATCTGACTGATTGAGAAACAGTTTGCTGCCGTGCTCATCCTCCAGTTGTCCCTTGAAACCTTTGCGAAAGGCGGCCAGATAATCATCTGTAATGGGTGACAAGTAGGCATCTGCTACAGCAGATTGACTTCGAGGCACGAGCTTAGCCATTTTTTGTAGTTCGGAGGACACTGCGACTCTGAAACCCAAGTCTCTAGCGATAGCGGCGATCTCAAGTTCGTGATCCTGGAATGTATATGAGTGCATCATCGCAATGGCCAGATTTCGACATCCTGAATCCCACAGAACAGTCAAGTCTTGTCGGACTTGGTCATAGTCGGGGACCTTTAAGATCCGGACGGCTTCTCCTGTCAATCCGATCCTCAATGCAGGATCTAATTTCACATCGATGGGTTTTGGGTCCGGATCCTCGGCGAAACCCTCAATCGTGACTCTTTCGTCAACCTCAAGGACGGTGTCGTATAATTTGCTCAACCGATGAACGGACAAGTCAAAAATATGTGGGCGGGCCTGATTGCCGATCTTAAGAATGTCTCTGAACCCCTTGGTGATGATCAAGGCGACACGCTCGCCTTTACGTTCCAACAACGCATTTGTGGCAACCGTGGTGCCCATGCGGATGAATTCGACGGGGCTTAGGTCTAGTAGTGTTCCGCGTGGAATCGCCACACCAGAAGCGATTTCCAATATCTGTCGGATGCACTCAGTCGGAGCATCATCGTATTCATCGGGGCATTGCGACAGCACTTTGAGCACAATTTCCGTCGCCCTCCCTGGAACTTGGGCCCAGGCATCTGTAAAGGTGCCGCCCCTATCGATAGCGATACGTATTCCAGTCGCCATAGTGTTTGTGTATAGGCTGGCGTTATTGAATAGAATTCTTTGAGATACCTGTCATATTTTAGGAATACTACTCTTCTAATATGATAGGATCAATCTAGGTGCTGTCACGTGAGCATCGGTTTCGTCCATCCTCATATCGGCCCAACTCGCTGATCATATCCGCAACATTCCGTTTCTTTCCTGTGATAGAATAAGAGGCCGCGAGATGCATTGTACCAACCGACGGTCTTGCGTATCTTACCGGTATAGTGGGCCCCTTTTCACAGAAGCCGATGCCGATCACATTCAATTGGTTGCGGACTTATCGCCGCGCCGACTGGATCGGCCCATGATAATGAAACTTTGAATATGCGTTAGAAAATATCCCGACTTTACGACTTTAGTTGATAAGACTCAACTCACTACCGGCAGAAGGGACCGAGAATCGTCTTCCTCATTCACTCATTCTGTGACTATCAAAGGCTATCTGCGAATGATCCATTGCGTGGGTCTTATCTCCAGGTTTTGGATAAGCATAAACTGGAATGTGGTGTGGGCCAAGTCCTAGGTAACTTGTCGAGTGGTCGTTTACTGAGAAGGATGAGCTGGCCCTCTCAACGCTGCTGCAAGCAGACCAAGATAGTCCCCTGAGCGGCTGGTCTATCAATGTCTGCATATTGTGTATAAAGTCCCCAACGATCAGCCGGCTGTGTGATTACACAAAGACTGACTCTGATCATCGTCCGACACAGGGCTCGGACAACACTTTTCATTCGACGCCTGACAATTGGCTCTTCACCATCGATTCAGAGCACAAGGTCACTCAGATAGCCATGACGCACTCCAGCAACTCTTCCCACGCGTTAGATCCCGCACCCCCAGGGAAAGAAATGGCATCAGTCGACGAAGCCACTCCAAAAGACGAGTCGGAGAATGGATCTTCGGATATGTATATCGATCCCGTCAAAGAGGCACGGATGATGAGAAAGTTCGATGTATGTATCATCTTCCCACTGCGGCAGCTGTATGTCTCGCCTGGTGTTTACTAACTTGATGCTGAAGATGTATGCCATCGTGCCAATGGGCTTTCTGTATCTTATGTCGAACCTCAACCGAAGCAATCTTGGTAACGCCAACATTGCGGGCATGCCCGAAGAAATTGGATTGACAGGCAATCAGTTTGGTGTTGCAACTACTTTGCTGTAAGTCACTCAACAACTATCCGTGGCAGTCCCCTGACGTCCTTATAGATTCGCAACATATGTCCCTTTTGAAGGACCCGTTGCCGTGCTGCTCAAGGTTATTGGCCCAAAACCACTGATGACCACCTGTGCGTTTTGCTGGGGGATTTCGGCTCTGGCTATGGGTATATAGAATGCTCCCTTTTGCACTAGGACCATGCTGATGATGTGATGCAGCTTTTATTCAAGACTACCGAGGACTGTACGCGTGTCGACTGCTGATTGGATTTTTCGAAGCCGGATTGATTCCTTGCATCAACGTGTACTTGGGCTGGGTTTACAAAAAGTCGGAACGAGGCAAGCGGTCATCTCTCATTTTCGCCTTCAGCGCGTTCTCCAGCGCCTTTGGTGGGGTTCTTGCATTCGGCTTGACGCAGATACACGGCCCTAACGGATTTTCTGGCTGGCGGTGGCTCTTCTGTGTCGAAGGTGCCATGACCGTGATCATCGTGCCTATCTTCTGGTTTGTATTTCCCAAGTCTCCAACTGAGGCATGGTTTCTCAAGCCCGAAGAGAAGAGGATGATGAATCTTCGCTACGAGCTGGATCCTAGCTGGGGTCACTCGGAAACCTTCTCCTTGAAGGAGTGCATCAAGGCTTTCATGGACCCTAAATGGTACGCATTCTTCTGCTACCAGTTTTCCATCAACATCTCGCTTTACGGCCTGACTACCTTCTTGCCCGCCATTGTCCGAGGTCTCGGCTATACATCCGTGATGGCCAATCTCATGACGGTGCCCATATACATATGTGCCCTATTCTTCTTCCTTCTTCTCGCCTACTTGTCCGACAGGAGTGGCGTTCGAGGTCCCTTCCTCCTTGGAGGTCTTCTCTGCCTGGTCATTGGGTATGCCATCCTGATTAGTGTGGATAACCTGAAAGTCAGATTTTTCGCCTGTTTTGGTATGTTCAATCTTCCCATATCCACTATATCAGCACACCTTTATTGATTATCAAACACAGTTGCCGCACTAGGAATTTATCCAACCACTGGGTTGTCACTCATGTGGCTTCAAGACAATGTTGCAAGGCACTACAAGAGAGCAACCATGGTTGGATTCACTCTCACAATCGGCAACACCGCCGGTGTCGCAGTTGGACAGATTTTCACCGCGCCAACGGGCCCAAGGTACATCCGTGGCCTTTCCATTGCCTTGGGACTGGCCTGTTTTGCTGCTTGCATCGTGGTCACCATGATGACCACCATGGTAATTGTGAATCGAAAGCGGGCAGCAAGAATCCTGGCTGCGGAGCAAGCTGGAGCCCCTCTCGAATCCGATCCTTCTTTGGGTGACTACGACGTGTACTTCAAGTACAGCATTTAGCCGATAAACTCGGTGAATCCTATGTCCGGTCCTGGCTGGAGGGAATCAAGCGGAAATTGAGATCAGTTATGTGATCTGAGAGTTATCTTGGTGTTTATTTTATGGACATGCCTGATGGGGATGCAGTCGCTTTAGTTGAGCCATGTAGTGCCATTAGAATCAAGGACGTGATTCACATTAAGCTACGTTCACTCATTGACTGATTCTCGCCCTTTTACCCGTTGGTGGTAGTGACGTTTGAAATTGAACGCAGAAATCATGCCCTCATGATAATCAGCACGACTCCGCAAGGAACTAGCACTCGCAAAACCATGTCGACTGGCCAACCAGTGACAAATACGTGGAGATATGTATCTAGTATCTCATTGCTTGGAATAGATCTGCGCCCCATCGGCTATAGCTGTGAAGCTGTCGGCTTGAAATCGGCCGTTCTCTATCAGGGTCGGGAGCAAACAGCCGACCAGAATGCACGTGTTTAGTATCAGTAGATGATATGCATACGATACCTCCTGGGCGGATTCGATGATGAGCTAGAATGGAGCTTGAGCTCGGCTGTATTTAGAGGCTTCAGCAGTGCTCGAGATATTGGCATCGGAGAATGTGTCTACTTTGAGCAACAACTCCTCTAAATGACGACCCTTTCTCTAACATCAATTGACTTACTATGGCCGATAGCCCAGTGGTGAGATTGCTCAAGCAGTTGATGGACATTCCGTCCATCAGCGAGGATGAAGAGAAAGTTGGGCGCTTCATTGCCAATTACCTTGAAGATCTCGGTTGGACGGTGGAATTAGTACCCATTGCGCCCGGATCGAATCGGTACAATGTCTACGCATATTTGGGCCACGACCGAAAAGCTCGAACTTGTCTAACATCACACATGGACACAGTTCCGCCACATATTGACTTCCACATACAAGGAGATATCATCTATGGCCGAGGGGCTTGTGATGATAAAGGACCATTGGCAGCACAGATTGTTGCCGTGGAGGAACTCCGCGCCGAGGGCAAGCTGTCCAATGGCGACACGTCGTTGTTGTTCGTAGTCGGCGAAGAGAAGGGAGGACCAGGGATGTTGGCGGCGAACGACATGAACTTGAAGTGGGAAGCCATTCTCTTTGGCGAGCCGACGGAGGGGAAACTAGCAGTCGGCCACAAGGGACATTACGTCTTTGAGCTATTCGTGGACGGTGTTGCTTGTCACTCGGGATATCCTGACAAGGGATGCAGTGCAAATTCGACATTAGTAGCTTTGCTGCAAGAACTCAAGTCCATCGACTACCCTGTCTCGGAACTGCTGGGACCTTCGACTTTCAACTGTGGCAAAGTCAGCGGTGGCGTCGCGTACAATGTTCTTGCAGCTGATGCCTATGCGCTGTGTGGTGTCCGAGTTGCAGCAGACTTAGCAGCCATCGAGACAAAGGTGGCTGCTGTTGTCGACAAGTACCCCCATGTGACCCTGAAGAAGAACTTTGCATACCCCGAGACTTATCTGGACTATGAGGTAGAAGGTAAGTAATGGGCTCAGAGCAGAATTCGGAGACCAATGAATACTGATATGTTTCAGGACTGGACTCGATGCCTGTATCATTCGGGACCGATATCCCTCGTCTGAAAGGCAATCACAAGAGGTATCTTTATGGCCCAGGCAGTATCCTGCATGCACATGGAGAAAATGAGCAGGTGGCGATTCCAGATTTGATTGAGTGTGTGGCCGTGTATAAGAAACTCCTGATGATGGCACTAGACCCCTAAATCTTGATATTATGTAAAAAGGCGAATTCTGATTCACATAGATGTATCTCTAGTGGGATTGACTTGTTCCCTGTGTCATCAATCTCTAAAATCTAACCAATTGCCCCAGAAATCTGAGCTGTTTCATAAGGGCGTTGGGCAACGTGTGACTGGCGTTAAAGGCTCCATGAGTTCTGATTGAGCACATTACAACTCCAACAGATCCACTAGGTCTCACGAGACGAGCCCCTAGCAAGAAATAGCCACATAGGGTGACTTCAGAATCACGGAAGGGCGCGCCGACTTTTAGGATCGACATTCTTGGCTGCTTCCTCCGTGCATACGTTCGCCTTTGACAAGCTTAAGATCTCGGCGTGACTCAGATCCTTCAAACATGAGCTTTCATAACCTTCTTCGTGGCCTAATCGTAGGTTTCGAGTCAAGGCTTGAAGTATCCTGTCACACCCACTCACCACCTTCACCATGCCGGGGAATCTAGCCGAGATACCAGAACTTCCGCTGGATGAAGCATTCGCCCTGACGGCAGCTTTCAAAGCCGACCAGCATCCTCAGAAAGTCAGCCTTGGGGCAGGCGTGTATAGGGATGGGCAGGGTAAGCCATGGATTCTGCCATCAGTACGTGAGGTAGGTCATTGATGTCAGTCTATTTGAGAAATGTGCTTGTCTCCTGATCAGCCAACTTCTGCCAGGCCAAAAGAATCTTGCATGAAACCGAAAACCTGGACCACGAGTATCTTCCAATCCAGGGCTCAGTCCCTTTTCTTAATTTAGCCAAAGACCTCATCCTGGGCAAATCTCTTGCTTCCTCGGTCAACGCGGTCTCGGTTCAAACGATATCTGGAACAGGAGCCAACCATGTCGGTGCTCAGTTTCTGGCTCAACAACTCCAGCCTCGACATGTCTTCATCTCGGATCCGACGTGGAACAACCACCATCTTGTCTGGACGGTAGGGGCTCCTGGAGTGAAGCAGAAGACGTACCCTTACTACGATGCCGCGACCCAGTCTCTTGACTTTAATGGTATGATCAAAAGCCTCGAAGACGATGCTGTGGAAAACGATGTGGTTATCCTCCATGCTTGTGCTCACAACCCTACCGGCATCGACCCAACGCAGGAGCAGTGGCAGGAGATTGCCCAGGTTGTGAGGCGGAAGAAGCTGTTTGCCTTTTTCGACTGTGCATATCAAGGCTTCGCAACGGGAGATCCAGACATCGATGCATACTCGGTTCGGTACTTTACGGAAACAATGTTCAGCACGGAGGGATCCATGACAAAGCAAGACAATGGGCCCGCTGGAATGTGTATCGCACAGTCCTTTGCGAAAAATTTTGGTCTGTATGGCGAGCGAGTTGGTGCATTTCACCTGGTGTTACCCAGTTTAACACCCAATTCTGGAGCATACAGTCAACTTCTACGGCTGGGAAGGGCCGAGATTTCTAACCCGCCGTTGTTTGGAGCACGCATTGTCTACACTATCTTATCAAGTTCGGAGCTACGAAGCATCTGGTTGCAAGATCTCAAGACTATGGCTCGACGAATTGGTGATGTGCGAGCAACCCTGAGGAGGCAGATCGAAGCTCGGCCTCACAGTGGAGATTGGGGCCATTTAGAGTCCCAGATCGGCATGTTCAGCTTCACGGGATTAAATGAAAAGCAAGTCTTGCGCCTCAGGCACGTCCATCACATCTACTTGATGCTGAATGGCCGAGCCAGTCTCAGTGGTGTCAATCAAGATAATGTTGAATACGTCGCAGCTGCTTTCAATGAGGTGGTTAGATATGGTGGAGATAGCACTAGCTGACACATGACTAGATAGGGAGTCCTTGAGAACACTCTCAATGGTGATCAATTTCTTAGACTGGGACCGTTAACCGATGTCGAGATCGAAGTCCACAGGTGAAAAGTAGTATCCGGAATAAGGGCTCTGAGCCAACCGGCTTCGATTGCCGATCCAGCAACTCGCATGCCGATAAAGATTACCTTGGAAACTCTTTCCAGTCTAACCTGCTCAGGTCCAGGTTTGAAAATCGGTCTGGGATGCCCGCAGGCCACGCCATCCTAGCAGATCTTTGTATCAGGTAGTTAGACTCTACCAGTGGTAGCTGCTAAGACAACGCGATACTAGACGATCGTTGACCGTGAAAACGAAGTAGCGACAACATGACAAGCAGCCAGCCATCAAGTCGACATTTGGTTGTTGCAGCCGGACAACTAGGCCCTGTACATGTTGGAGATTCACGAGAGTCGGTGATCGAACGCATGTGTATACTGTTGGACGAAGCGGCATCTCGAAAAGTAAAACTCGTGGTTTTCCCGGAATTGGCGTTGACCACCTTCTTCCCACGATACCTGCTAGATGACCAGGAGTTGAAGAGTTACTTTGACGTCGATGATCCAACTCAAGGTGGCATCGCCCAAGCACCACGCGTGAAGCGGCTTTTCGACCATGCGCGTAGTCACGCCATCGACATATGCGTTGGCTACGCCGAGAGGGCGGTCCAGCCCGATGGAAGCCATGTAGACTACAACACAAGCGTCTATTACTCGGCTGACGCAGGGAAAGTCGTGGGAAAATACCGCAAGGTACACCTTCCAGGAGCTGTGGAGCCGTATACAGCCGCGGGGGCATATCAGCAGCTAGAAAAACGGTACTTTCGACCTGGAGACCTTGGCTTCCCTGCGTTCAGAGCACCTGGGCTGATTGATGGCGCACTCAAGAAGAAGGATGGGGTGACTGACCCAGCACAGTCGAAGCTAAGAGGCGACCCTATCATTGGCATATTGATCTGTAATGATCGGAGATGGGCCGAGGGATGGCGGGTGTATGGCCTACAGGGGACTGAAATTGTGTGCTGTGGCTACAACACTACGGCATTTGCGACAAAGGCTACGGGTGAGATGGTGGACATGAGTGCTGAAGAGGCCGAAGCAGAAGTCCTGCTACACCACAAGCTGAGCTGTCAAGGCAATAGTTACATGAACGCATGCTTCAGCATCAATGTGGCCAAGACGGGAGTTGAGGATGGGAACCCTCTGGTGGGAGGCACCATCATCGTCCATCCAAATGGGCATATCATTCAAGAAGCTGAGACAAAACAAGACGAGTTGGTGGTAGCTGAGATTGACCTTGAGGACTGTCGGAGGGGAAAGGAGAAGACGTTTGCATTCGAAAAGCATCGCAGAGTCGAACATTACAGGATGATACTCGACAGAGCCGGTGCGATTGAGCCAGAGCTACTTTGAGATAGAACGAAGAGAGGGAGACAGAAAAGTCTCGTGGCTAAAGTACGTAGCTTCTGTCTTCAGTCGATAAGCCCAGACTGTCGTCCCAACCAGTGTCAGTATGGTCCAGGAATGTCTGTAGCAGAGGGTTATCCAACGGGTCAACAGAGATATTTCCAAGACCAGTCCAGTCGTAATTTTCTACCGCTGTGCTGGGGACAAGGAAGTTGCTCCAATCATAGTTTTCAAACTCTGTGGTGTCGAGCAAGGGCGGGCCTGGTAATGACACAGGAGTAGTGACTGCTTGGTTAGACTCAGTAGTGTTGGCCACATTTGTTTCTTTGGCTGTGACACGGGTTCGGAGGCGACCAACGGTCCACTGGATATGGGCTAGACGAGAATAATATTGTGACGCTGCCATGTTGCCGTTGTCGCGCATGGTCTTGAGGAGGTAGAATGACGTCTGGACGGCGTCTGAGTCGCTCGAGTTTGGTGAGATGATAGCGGAGATGATGAGGATCAGGGTTGAGGAGAACAGGTGGTGAGCATCGAAATAGCCGTAGGTGGCCAAGGCGTTTTCAATGTACAGCTGTGAGACAATGCTGTTGGAAGTCCTCGCGGCTGAGATACATGAGTCTGCCAGCATTCTCGCTGTATCTGATATGGGTGGTGTCGCTGATTCGCCCTGTGACACTGCGGCACTAGCAAAGGGGTTCATGGTCTTGAGCACATGTAGCAAGATTGGGCGAGTGGTCAGTATAATGCACTGGTTGAAGTGAAGTTGTAATGAAGCCACAGGGCGATGGGCGGCCCCTTGACTCAAACGCAGGCTGGGAGCAACATTGGCATCCCACTTTTTGAGTTTCTTCAAGATCGATCGGACATTATGAACGAAGCTGCCATGGCTGTCCTTGGACGACAACCCATAAATATCTCGCATGATAGAGCCGGTGATGCGCGATAGCTCAATGTTGGCTAATAGATGTTCCGGGGATGAAAACTTTCGCCGGGCGTCAGAAGCTAGTGTCTCCCATGACGGTAGTTCAACTTCAATGTCGTTGTCATGGATACTCAGTGGCTGGCCAAGCTTGGAGCTCGTTGATCGGTCAAAGATATAAACGGTCCACCACAGGCGAATTCTGTGTTCCCGCTCCACAGGGGTGAGACTAACACATTTGTCGATGCTTCTGTGCAGACCGAGAGATGTACTCAGCCTGAGCGCGATGCCGCTGTACATATGTGCTGATTTGACGCGCCCGAGGGCGTTTGAATAGAAGCACTGATAGTATATTAGCATATTGAGCAAGAACTTTATCAAGAGCAGAGGTCTTTGAGAAGTCCTAGAAGATTGTACAACTTACAAACAATAGCATGGTTTCGATATTTGCTGTTGTGGGCTCCTCGAACTGATCCTGAAGAAGATTGACCGCCGAGAGGAAATAGTCAGTACCGGGGACTGATTGGCTGTCAGTCTGATGAGGAGGTATGGTCGGGGTGGTAGTAGAATAGAGCTCTCCCAGAGCCAGGACAACGAAGAACTTGCAAGCCCAGACTGGGTCACAGTCTTGCATGTCTCGAGAGTTGTAGGCTGCATCGAGCTGTTGCAAGAAATCTTCTTGGAGGAAAAAATGGTAGTCCTGGCCGATGAAGCGAGTGGCTACACGCACGAGGAGATTTGAACGGATGCGATCAGGGAGTTTACATTCGGCAGGGGTGCCAAGTTGACGGGCAAACGCCGAATTTTGGACATAGCGATAGCCCGAAGGCATCGAGGCAGGGGTGCCCTGAGGGTGAATGCATTGCAGTAGGCGATCGCCAAAGGCTGTGCAGGTTGACTCTCCGACAAATTGCTGCTGAGATGCTTGATCTAGTTGAAAGATATTCTGAGGTTCGTGCAAGGGATTATGGATGTCTGGGTCTGCTGGGGGAGGCTGGCTTGGACCACGAGATTCCATGGCCTGTACACTCTGAGATGAGTTGGCTTCAGTAATATCTTGATCAGGGTCGGACTCTCGCACGGGGTGAGAGTCCAACTGCTTATCAGCTTGCAACTGTTTCAAATAGCTGTGTCGTAGGTTTCGTCAGCTGGAAGCTCTATGACATGGCTTAGGCTCTAAGGCCGGCCAGAAGACACTACCGACCTCTCAGACACGGCTATTCTGCGTTCACGAGGAGTGTACACGCATGAGGCACCCCTTCTTGCCTTTTGACATCTTTGGCATGGGATGCCCCCCGAGCATTTGACCTTGTGGGTGTGACATCGGCGACAGCTGAGTCAGTCAGTTCAGTCTGATATGGACCTGACGTTGGGAGACGAGAGCGAAGTCTTACGCAATAGCAGAACGCTTCTTCTGTTTCCACATCGGAGGAGCATCGCTGTGAGGGCTTATTTGGTGTGTATGGCCTGGCGATAGAGGCCCAGCCATTTGATTTGGCTGTTGGTGTACTGAGTAGTGAGATGATCGGGGGAGAGAGGCCGACCTGACTACTTAGAATGGGTCGGGTCGGCAAAGGCTGAGATTTAATAGAAGTCGGCAAAGAATCGCCGATCCCGATACGAGTCTGTCTTGGCATTGATATGCACTGAGTTGTCAACAGTCTACGTTCACAGAGAGTGCTTGAACATCAGCACAACTCGGCCAGAGACGGAGATATGCAGTGATAAGCTATAAGCTTGATATGGAGCACAATACACTATTCAGTAAGTATCCATATGGCGTTTCGGGCAAGGAAGGCCCTCTTCAAACTGATCATATTTCAGGTCACATGACCTTTCGTCTTCACAGTCCCCCACCTCCCGGGCCTTGGGTAGTAGTAATGCCTATGGAGATCCGTCACCATGATGTAACCGGCTGTTGCTTCTCTGGACTCAACTACATATCGTCAGTGGCCTGAATCGGTCTCTAGAATGGGCAACTCACGGTGGCGCGATGAGTAGCACCTCCAACGCCGGCCTGTAACTTGCCTAATAAGGTGTTCTCGTCATAGTCATCGATGCCAATATCCAGGTAGCCACTTGGAGCGATGCTTCGAGGCACAATGGCCAAGGCACGGCCAATGACGTCTTGGTTGGAGACAATCTTGAGCAGGGCCACAGCGGCATCGTCGACGGTGGCAAACTCGACGTTCTGAGACGTCAAGATATCTTTGACGTCCTTGGTCAGGATCTTGGTGGCGATGAACCTTTGATGGAGAGTCAGCCTCCTTGTCGTGGGGAGTAAGTAGCAATAGGTGAGATTTACCATGGGCCGATGAAATTGACCCGGATATTGTGTTGCAACTCGGTCCTCCGCAGGCATTTAAACATGCCTCGAAGAGCATACTTGGAGGCGGCGTACTGGACGGCGCCGGGGAGATCAAGGTAACCAGCTAGACTACCTTGTAAGACCAGAACTTGATCCAGGGGTGGGCCCTTGTTGGCGGCGTTCTGCTTCCGGAAATAGAACAGGGCAAGCTTGGTGGTGTAGAGAACGCCATCCAGGTTGATTTGGCTGATGTTAAGTGTTGGCTCATCTGGCTCATCCTGTTCGACTGGGTTGACCATGAATCAGAGGGGGGCCACTACCCTGCTTTTTGGGGTGAGACTCACCGTCGTTTAAAAAGACCGAGTCGGCTGCACTGATGCCGGCATTGGCGACAACAATGTCGACTCGGCCAGAAGGAGAACTAGTAAGGGCCTGTTTGAAAGCGGCAAGTTGATCTGCCCATTTGGTGACGTTGGTTTTGACGAATTTGACTGAGCTGTGAGGGAAATTGGGTGATAAGTGATGAGGCAATGTGAGATGGAAAGCCGACATACCCAGAGAGTTCTTTCTCCAAAGCGGTGCCACACTCTTGGTCAAGATCGGCAATCAAAACAAACGCTCTGTAGGCCGTTAGCGCGAGGCTCTATCTGGCATGTTGGGTGAGTCGAGACTGACCCATTTTTTACCAAGTGCCGGGTGTAGGCTTCTCCTATGCCGTTGGCGCCTTATGTGCATGATCAGCAGATGTGGGAGGTAGATGTGGGAGTCGGGAATTACATACCTCCAGTGATGAACGCGGTCTTGCCCCTAACATTGCTTTTGTCAAAATCGACGTCGGCGGTGATGGGACCGGAGTTTGTGTATTGTCCCTTCATTGCGAATGACTCAAACTGAGAGGGTGTCGTTTAGAAGGTTGAAGGTAGAGAGAATTTACGGGACGACTATAACGGTGGTCAGTTGGGGAATCAAGCAAGCATCATCATCATAGCCCCCTGGCCGACGAGTGGCCTTATTTATTGGGCTTTCAGGACGAAGCAAAAGGTGTGGAGTCAGAGACTTTCAGCTTGCAACACACTCGGTCAGGTCAAACTGAAAAACCCATTGAGCTTGGCCGAGGTATCTGAAGGTGTGTGTAAGAGTAAATGAAAGGCGGGGAAACCTGACGGCAAGTTCCCACAATTAGGCTACATCGCGGGATGAGTGACGGAGTCAGTTGGTTCCGGCTTCTCGGTCTTTAGCGTGGTCGAAGCTGGAGAAAGAGTTGGAGATGACCGTGAAAGACGAGAGAGGACATTCCTGACTACGGATCTGGGGTGTCATGATGGCCGAGGGATGCTGGGACATGGCGATACTGTGTGATACTATCAGGGTGGTGGGGTCGAAGGTGGTGCATTGGGGAGAGATCTCACGATCGGGAAACAATGAGGGACCATCCTCCTCATTTCGTATTCCGTATTCCGTATTCACTACTAGCACCTTTCATTCACACGCAGACGTACCGCCTGAGGCGTCGGCTAGATCTCCTATTCTTCTCCTTGTCTTTCTCTTCCTCCTCCTTCACATCCTTCACATCAGTCCAAAATACCACCGAGGTACGACACATACGACGCCGAAGTGCCCAGGCCCCTATGAGGCTGGCTCGGACGCAGATGCATGTGTTGAGTGAGGCGTGCACATGGTCGTTATGGATCACTGGCCACTCCTAATGCTGACAGGTCGTCTCATTTTTGTCTAGTCTTTCAGGCAGAGATCAGATGAGAAGTGGAAGAGCAGGTCCTGAAAAGGGAAGCCAAACTCCCTGGACGAAAGGTCGAGGGAGTCTGGATTCTGAATGATCGAGACCCGATCTACAACATCGCACACAGTAGGACCATGGCTCGAACTTCAAGACTCTGTATCCAGGCGGTCACGCTCCTTGACCTGGTCGTCCGCCGGATTATCTGACTAACTGTAGGCTTGGGCAAGGCTAGGGTAGAAAGGGGGTTCCCCCAGGAAGGTGGGGGCAGGTATTTTCTAAGGATCGCTTGGAATCATATCAGGAAAGATATTGATGCGATCGGTTTTGGCCATTGTTCCGTGTATATCAGAGGCGGGAATGTCATTTACATAGTCCCAATACAACGATATCAAATGCGACGTGGATACGAAGTGGAAGTGGCTATGAGACATGGGCGATTTCTGAGAGGTTGATATAGGGCGGCATCACACTCGCCCCGAAACAGGACCAGAGTGTCGGAGTGTGGCAGGCGCATACAAAAGAAATGGTAATCACGTGTTAACCATTAAACATACAAATGTCCATCCAGTGCCAGTGACAAAACTGATATTATATCATTTCTGAGCGACGTTCCACTGCACGTCGACGGGAAAAATATATCCTCAGTCGTGGCAAACACATAAATACGCAGACACGCCCCATCTCGGTCCTCACTTTCCACACCTCCGTCACCATGGCCATCTTCTCCTCTGCTCTCCTCCTCCGAACCCACAGCCTCACACTCCTGACCATTTCTTTCTACTTGATCTTTTCGCCCTCCCAAGTATTCAACTCGACCCCGGTATGGCTTCTAGGCGAGGCCGTGAGAGTGCGTTCGGCAGCATTTGCTTCCGAGGACGGTTTGTCCGACTCACCATTGGCTCCACCCATTATGCCTGGAGCACGACAGAGAAATGCTGGCCCGGGAGCATTTGAGCCACCTCGCCTGGCAGGTGCAGCAGCGACATCACCTCTGACCTCGCCAGTCGACCAAGGCACTCGAGAATTGTGCGCCCTCCTCGCTCTGCTGATGACCGTGTACGCCGTCATGCAGTTCATTTTCGCTGGGGACCTTACCTTGCTTCCGTCAAATCCATCCACCTCCACGAACCATTCCTCTAAAACATTGAAGCCGACCTCTACATCTCTCTCATCCCCGTCCTCCTCATCAACTTCGAGTCGATATGGAGAAGAGCTGCACACCCTCTATTCAGCGCAGTCACGGTGGCTGACACTGTCGGGACTGCGAGTCTTTGGGTCGTCAATCTTGGTGGCCTGGATCTACGTGTTTTACTCGCATGGCAAAGAGACACTGGGCTTTTCAGGACTGGGGTTGCTGGCAAATCGCGTTACCTTCACCTTGGCTCTGTCCGACATGTTGTTCTGGGGCTATCTATGGACGGTGTTGAAAGACGAAGCGAGACATGTGGCAATTGGAGTGGCCAGGAAGAGAGAGGCTGAAGAAGAGTCATGAGACCAAGATTGATATGATGCTGCCGCGTGTGATACTACGCTAAGATCTGTACAGATAGATCCAGGGGAAGCTCGTGAGTGGATGAGAGTGAAAAATGGCGGCAAAAAGCCTTGTGTCATGTGTATAATATTGTCCATGTAAGAGATCTGCGATAAAGCTGCGCTATTAGACCATCGGCCTCAGTCTTGAGACCATCTGAATGTCAGGCATACCAGTCCATGGTATCCGTTGGGGATAGTGCGTTGTGATTCATGCCACTTAGAGCAACGCAGCGACACCAACAGCCAGAGCGGCAGCGGCACCCATTCCGACGTGAACGCCAACGACGGCGGCGGCATCCGTTGCACTGGCAGCAGGCGATGCTGAGCCAGACTCTGAGGCCGAGGTGGTTGTGGTTTCAGATCCTGAAGTGGTTGAGGCAGCCGACTCCGTGCCAGAGGCGGTAGTAGTTGCGGAGGATTCGGTACTGGAGGACTCGGTAGCGGAGGAGGTGGTGCTGGTGGTGTCTGTGCCATTGGTGGTACTGTTATCTGCACACCCAGCTTGCGCAGGCTATTGTAGTAACGATCGCAAATTGGTTAGCAGGAATCCAGCTGCAAATATGAGGCGAGTATATCGCATCGACATACCAGGAGTCCACCTTCGCCCGTAGGGTCGCAGATACCGTGGGCATAGTTGAGTGCTTTTTCTGAGTCGGCCTCGTCACAAGAAGTGAAGATGCAGCAAGAGATCCCTTCAATAAAGGAGGCTCGCCCACAGATGCCTAGAGTTTTGAGATGGTTGGTTAGATGTTGAGCTGAGGCAGATGGGATTGATCTCGTCGAGATTGGATGGTCACATACATGCTGGTGCGCCACCGCAGTCGGCGGGTAAAGAGTCTGAGATACATGAAATTGCGCCTAAGGACAAGGTCCATGTCAGTCTAGGTTTATTTGACGAGATCGAGGTGAATGGATAGGGATCACGGTAGACAACGTACAGGTTGGCAGCTCGAGAGTGCCCTGGGCAGAAACCAGTGCGGCGAGGAGAGTAGTAGACAGGACGAGAGAGAGATGCATCTTTGTGGGAGTGGTGGTCTGGAGGGGAGACAGTCAGGAAGAGGAAGTGTTGAAGAAGCTCGAGATGTAGGATCTACCAGGAGGTGAGGGGAGGTCAAGTGAAGTGAAGTGGGCGAGTGGAAATAAAAAGATGTAGAGAGGGAAGGAGAGATGGGGTGAGGTTAGAAGGAAAGGCAAGGGTCAAGCTATACTGAATGTAATAGACGAAAAGACACTAGATGCGTTATATATCTCAATAGACAGCAGGGAAGTAGTTTCTCGATGAGCTACGATATTATGCTATCTGTACCAAGGGCCTGGACAAGCTTGGATCTCAAAGGAAAGTCTTTGTTGTTGAAGGCAGATCTCGACCGAGGTGGAGGGAGGGAGTGGGTGTTGGCCAATAACAACGAAACCCAGGACGATCGACTGCGGAGAATGGGGGAGGATAGAAGATAAGTCTAGGGATAAGCCTAGGGACACAAGGGGGAATGGGGCCAATGGAGCCCGAGGAGCCCCTCGGCCCCCTGTCAAGCTCTGAGCCTTAACTACGCCTTACCTATACTCATACCCATTATCGTACTACCTACAGGCTACAGTCCAGCAATCCTTTCGGTGGCTGGCTCAAAGACAGCTGGAGGGATGAATGACAGCCAAACTCTCGTGCAACATGACAATCAACTACCCTGATGTTATCATAAATCATCAGACTGGTGTACAGATCCCACTGCCAGATTCATTACGGACACCATCACTCACGCCTCCGGGCTTATGCATATGCCACGATGCATCCTCGTATACAAGTAGAAAGATCTTGGGGCTTCGCCTACAATCACTCTCCAGGCTCCCACTACTTACTCCGTACTTAGCGCAAAAGGCTCGGCTAGATCATCTGTTCCGGGTGGGGTGACCACAGTGACACTTGAACATTTTAACCGTGTCTGCCATGTTAGACATCACTAAAATCATTAAAATCATTGGCGTGTATTTAAGTACTAATAAAGCAATATTGCCGAGTTCAATATACTCCGTATTCATCCATGCTCGTTTCATCCCCCCAGGCATTCTGCAGGAAAAAGCATACTGTAGAGGGATTCCTGGGCCTATGTATACATACTATTCAATATTCCCCCTATTCTCTCATCTATATCAATATTGCAGTCGTAACCCATGACATCAGCCGTCTCATATCCAATACCTATCCCCAGTCTTCTAATGGTACACCTCACCTCTCATTCCATCACAATAGATTGATCGTATATGTATAGTCGCTGGCAAACCAATACCCATTGGTGTGATCCAGTCGATCTTCGTAATTGTCCATCTCGGCGTCGCCCTTCATTACGCTGCGGAAACGATCCCAGTTGATCTGGTCATACCTCGACACCTCAAAGCAGCCGATCCGTCGATACTCGCCTCGTTTCATGGTGGCACACAGCAAGAGGCCCTCGACCCGATCGACCACATCAATTACAGGTAGCAGGTAGACCTCCAACTGCTCCGTCAGCATCCCTGTCGCCGACGACAACTTGGGCAGCCGGTCGTCAAACGACGCATTCTCCAGCTCGACCTGGGCCTTGGAGCACTGAATCACACAAGGGGTGTGGCCCCAGTAGTCATGCGTCCGTCGCAACAGTCCCCGCGCCATGAACCCACGCACCTTGAGCAAGCCCGATTCGACCATGCCTAGACGGTCCGACTTGTACTGGATGTCCACGTCAATCACCTCGATGCACGTCTCCCGTTGTCCTTGCGCAGGTTCCGGATAGTTGACCTCGCCGTCGATGCTGGCCCAAGTCCATGTGGGAGCCCGGTACCGCGTCGGCCGCCGACCACGGTGCACACGCCACAGCAACGCTTGCGGCAACTGTGACTTCCACATGCCCACCAGGTAGTCGTCCTCGTGCAGCCGGTTGCGTGCCATGTACTGTCGGGCGAGCCCAGCCATGGCCAGAAGCTTGTCTGACGAGTACGACAGCCGTTTCTGGCTGTACATCTTGACTAGTTGGTGCCAGTTGCCGTGCCGTTGGTGGTGCACCCGTTTGCTGAAGAACTCAACCGACTCCTGGCTCGTGGGCGGGCCCGTGGTAGCCGGCAGTCCTTTAGGAAACACCTCAGAGCAGCACATCTGCTGGCATTCCCACAGAAGCTCGTTGCGTGTAAAGTGGAGCGTCCGCTTCGCCAGACACCGTTCCTGAAAGGCCCACGCCCGCTGACTGAGTGGAGACGAGTCCACTAGATCGTGCCATAAGGTCGACCGCAGAACCTTGTACATTCCATCATCGATGCCCAATCCACCCACCTCGACTATACACGGTTGTAGCGCCTCGACGTTGCGCGAGTAGATCAGCCCTGTCGCGTCGTCTCGTGACGATGTGGCGGCAAGATTCAGGGTGGCCTCGGAGTACACCTTGTGCATTTGCGCCACTTCGCTCAGCACCGCTTCTTCTCGGTCATGCATGATACATAAGGCGTCGACCCAGAGATAGCGAAAGCCTAATCGCTCAGTCGCAGTACATGCCTCAGCGATGGTCTTGGGCAGGCTCGTGACACTAACTCCTTGTCTGAGGGCAGCGAGGGTGCCCTTGTGGAGTCGCACCGGTTTGGACTGGCCCCAACAATGCGACAACGTACAATACTCGGCCAGCGGATCAACAAACATGCCGTCGACCAACTTGACACCCGGCGCGCCCTTAGGTCCTCGGATGGAGACATCCAGGAGGTGAGTTGGTTTCCAGGTGGCGCTGGTCTCGGCGACAGAGCATTTCATGTGGTTGAAGGTGCAGTCTTGGATCCACTGGCGCGCCAGCTCAAAGCTTTCGTGTGATGCTGTGCTGACTGAGCGTGGATCAATTGTCCTCACGCCTGGCTCTACGGCATCTGTGTGACCGTGTCCAAATATCAGTATGGCTGGGCGAACATGGTCCAACAAGCAGAGAGGAACACTCACATTTGGGATTCATCAAGATCAACTCGACCACTAACCCGTTGACTCCGTCATGGGATGAGGAACTCGTTTTGGACCTCTCCGTGTCTGGGGTGGCCCTACTACTGCTGCCGGCACCGTTGGAGGGACCTGCACCATGACTGGGGCCGTTCGTCGCAGACCCAGCCTTGACATAGCGGAACTTGAGCCGGGCCTGGTCCCGAGCAATTGGGGAAACAAAAGCCCAACCGACCGAGTCGACAATAGAACCACGGCGGAAATTCTTGTAGGCGTCTGGGTCAATGGACATGAAGATGGTTAGGCACAGATGACATTTGCTGGCGCGGGCAGCCAGTGCCTCCAGACCGTGGTGGGGTATTTCACTGGCATCAGACCGGAACTCTGGCGGCTGGAATAAGGCCTTGCAGGTCTGGCACAGCGTGCTCTCTTTGAGCTCAGTCATGCTGTGTGGACGGTGTGTCGATTTGGCGCAACAACAGTGTCAACGCCGCCACTGCCGTTGTGGTCGTCGTAATGATGGTCGTCGTTATTGGTCGAGGCCAAGTTGATGGCCACCCGTACTTCTCCTCGAAAGTTGGGCTTTGCAGATTTGGGACACTCTTGGTTGAACGTGGGCTGAATTTAGACCAGATGGATCCTCTAAAGATCAGGGACAAGCGACTCAGGAGTTTAGCCGGGAGCTGGACCAGAATGAAACAACAGTCAAACACACCGGGCGTAAAAGAGTGACAGGTGCGATGCAAGAACCATGGACAATAGGCTGCTGGGTCGACGTCGATGAGGACAGCGACCGCGATCTCAGCAATAGAAAAAAGGTAAGGTCGAGATGGTGGAGTAATAGGACAAACAACAAATTCAAGCAGGCCAACGCAACATCAGCAGATGGATGGGTTCGACGAGGCCCGAGGCCCCAAGAAGCCAGGGACAAAACAATGACGATGCGTGACTGAACCTTTGGACCCAATACCAAGGCGAGCAAAACGAGGTCTACCCTATCGAAAGCAAATGTGTAATTGAACGACAGGCGAGCATTGAGACTGGGACCCTCGGGCCCGCGCTTGGGGTTTGATTGGGATCAACGGCGAGCCGAAGATGGTGGGGACGGTGTGGGAGGGAGTGACGAGTGGGAGAAAGGGAGAGGGATGGATGGAGATAGAGAGAGATGGAGTGTGAGTGTGAGTGGATGATGCTTTGGAGTCTGTGAGTTCTTCAGCCTGTATACACCGTGTGTGTCATGATTGTACTGGGGCTGGTGGCCTGTAGGGCCCTCTAACTTTGGGGCTGGTGGGGGGGATACTTCGGGGGCCCGAGGGCTCTGGACAGGGACGCGGGTAGAGCCTCAAGCTTAAGTTAGCCTGGAAGACAGGGTCTATTTGGGGGGGGGGAGGGGGGTTTCTTGGTGGTGGCTCTTGTTGGAGTGTTGTGTCCTACACGCACAGCCTGTAGCCTGAACCTTTCCTGCCCGAAGCCTATTGTGTTTCGGTACTCCTGCGCATAACTTCTCCCCCTTTTGCCATGCCGCCTGCCCACCAAATAGCTTCATTTGCAATTTCCGGGCCCCGTTTGAGAGGATGCGCCACTTAACGCTTACTTATTGTGTACTTAAAAACACCCAACCGGTTTCAGATGTTATTCTCAAGTACCATCACTCTTGAAAGACATCTTGCTTCTCCTATATGCCTAGATGTATATGTAATAAATAAAGTTGCACTTTAATTGTCTCAACTACCAATGTCAATTGTACATAACGAATGCATGGGTAATTGCATATTGTTGTTGTTGACGGTGATGACGAAAAAGATGATACGTCTTCATCAACGCTACGAGCGCACTGATCTCACTTGGTCTGCCACGCCTTGGGCAAACATGACTACGTAGACTGGCAGATTCACACCTCGGGCACACGGGCACATCCGCCCCAGGTCCATGTTCGTCAAAGCCTGAAGGAATGAGCCCCAGTACGTACTCCAGGGCCACCATCGAAATATGAAACAATTCTAGATCGGGCAATTCGGACAATTATTCCCCGCAATGATAAGGCATGATTAGCTAACTTAGTGCAAAGGACAGTGAAATAAAATGCATGCTAAAAGTTCAGGAATAGCAGGGTTGCTGATACTGAGTACTCGAGATGCGAGTACGGAGTACTCGTAGATAACCAGGGTTGGGGCCATCGACATCCATGGCCCATTGGCACTTCAACCTCCATATCCTCATCGCCCATCCTCATTACCTTACCTCAGTTTCGTCATCTTCAACAGGTCGTGTCGGTGGAACAACGCCCTGTTCTTCTTGCCAAACACATACATCGGAATGCTCAACGCACAGATGGCGACCTCGATGCTCCCAAAGATGATAAACAGGTGTCGAATCCGGATAGCAAACACCCAGTCGTATGCATAGTACGCCAGGATGAATGAAAACATGTTCTTGAAGATGATCAGGTTGGTAAAAGCTTCCACCGCAATCTCTCGGTGTGCGTCCAGTAGGTATTGCGCCGATGCTATCGCCCCCATCACCATCGACACAATGATGAACGCCAGGAATACTTCCGGAACGATCCACCCATATCGAGCCACATCTCCTGCCGTAATCCCAAACCCATATAGACCAATCGCCGATGTTATCATCGTTGGGATGACCAGCACGATCCGGAACTCTGGTTCATACTTGCCTTTGTTGCGTCGAATCATGTACTTGGTCACCAACTCGCTGTAGATCCCAGAAAACAGCAGACCAAGCATACTCCCGATAAACGCGGCCGTGTACATGTACCCTGCCTTTTTTTCGTTGAAAAATAGTGGCGGTCCCAGGAAAATCAGCGACAGGATCACTCCAACCATGACCGTCCACCCAATAATCACTCCCTGCAGTAGACACGCCCAAAGCACCGCAGGATGGAAGAACAGGGGAAATGGTCGCAGCAACAGTTTGAAGAACGACTCATCCGTCTTGCGCCCATTGAAAGGCATCAGCCGCTGAACAAATGTCGCCTTGGCAGGCACCTTAGTTGCACCCGCTGTCGTCCTCGTACGGACAGTTTTCTCTTCTGTCTTCTCCCCTGTACCCTCCTCCGTGTTCTCCCCCGGATTTTCTTGCCTGTTCTCTGCTTCGGAACTTTGCGAAGGCCGAATCGCTTCTTGAGAGTCGCTTGACAACAAGTCCAGGTCCAGGGAGTGATCTCTGCGATACGCCGTCTCTGGCACAAAGAAAAAGACGAGAAGGAATCCAGCCGACATGATGATGGCAAGGATATAAAACTGTCACACCAGTCAGCCTTGGATCTCGTCACACACTTTTTCCACCTCATAGTGATGAAAGGGGACAAGGCTTACACTCCATTGCCATCCAATGTCTGTCGCCATCATGCCAACAAAGACCGGGGTGAGAAAGGCTCCTCCAAACAAACACGTATTCGTAATCGCCATTCGGATGCCTCGTTCGTGAACAAAATAGAGGTCCCCCACGCACGCATTCACAAGCGCCTCAAACGGTGCCAGTGCCACTCCTTGCATGACCCGACTCCATAGTAGGCTGGCATAGTTGAGGTTCTTGTGTGTCGACCCTCCCCATGCCGAGCTTGCCACCATAAGCAAGCCCCCAAACAGGAACAGATGTCTTTTGCCCCATACTCGCGCCGACGCTACAAATAACCATCCTGCAACTCCAACACCGACGAGGTGATATGCCGTGAGAAGTGCCGCATCTTGAAATGTTCTTCGAAATACGATTGCGAGGGTCACCGAATCGGCTGCGAGGAGTGGAGAGGCTGTAGTTGCCACGCAGGACACGAAGCAGAGAATGGCAAGGATGCTATCGCGTTGCCACAAGGGCCAATTCTGTCCAAGAGTCAGCAACGCACCGTTGGCCATAATCACACTACCTTCTCTTCTATTGGTAAACACTCACTAAAGGGTCATTGGGATCGGCCGACGGTTGTGGGTTCAGGATGATTCGACCAGTCTTGTCTTTTTTCAAATGTTGCGCACTCCGGAGCAACTCTGCTTGTCTCTGCTCGGCCGCATACACATATACGGTTCCAGGAACATGCTCCACGCGTGGTTCCAGGATCCCCAGCGCCATGGTTGGGCCAACTGCTGACGTAAAACTGGGGCAAGTCAGGCTCGACGGAACGATCCAGTCAATAACAATCTCGGGCTTGGATTTCAAGACACATGATGGGCAATTGATGACGAGGTGAGAGGTTGTTGTCCAACTGGATCCATGACGCCCACCGCCTTGCTCAGCGACATAACAATGGAAGAGGTTGAGAGTTGCGCCGGTCCAAGAGCAGCCTGCGGATCCTTGGATCGGTTCGCCAAGCCAAACATGCATCTGGAACATCGCTGGTCACGTGACGACGTGACGGATCCTCCATATCATCCTCTTATGGTCCTGGCTTCTATCATTTGCCATCCAGTATTCTCACAGCCTCTCTTTCCCTCTATTAGACCCATCTTTTCGATATATGCCATTGAAAAACTCTGAGTGTGGCAGTCATCGCCCTGCTTATCCATCAGACCTTGTAGAGTCTGGCCACCAGGGTTGGAGTTGCCGCAATACAATTACATTATTGACCCTCCTGATCCTGCTATTCATTTCCCTTTGACACTGCCATATTTGAACTCATTCCATGCTTCGCCCACTTTGGTCGGCTGTACCGGCCTCTGTTCCTCTCCCATGCCCTCGTGTGCAAACCCAGCCGGTGTGTTGGTCCCACTCTTCTCTCGCAGACCGGCTGCCCCTTTTTGGCCTTGAATACTACCACCATATGCTTTTGTATGTGTCGTTGTAGCCCCGCCATTTGCATAGGCGTTTTCCACATTTTCAACCCCTGGTGTTTTGAACGTGGTCGATGGAGTACCCGGCGGTCGAGGTGCACGTGCCGGTAACATAGCATAGACGATGGCGGCAGCTATTCCTCCTAAAGCAAATCTTCGCCCAAAGCGACCGCCTCCGCTGGAAGCACCGGGGGCCTTTCGTGGTGTGCCAGGATTTGGTGGCGCTGGCCCAGCTGACATGTTGGATTCAGTCGAGAGGGTACTGGACAGGGCAAGGGCAAATTTCTTCTGTTGGAGTCTATTGCACAAAGGTGGCCTTCTGTTAAAAACTCAGTGTTGCCTAAGGCAGGCAGTTTCAAGTGTGAACTGGAGAATCGGGAGCAGCTGTGAGTAGTGAATATAACCTATTGAGACCTTCTCTTAAAGCCCAAGATTGAGATGTCGAGCGAGAGAGTTTCACGGTCCACAGATTGTCCCCTCAAATGCATCATCATTTGTTATGACAGTCCTGACTTACCACTGGTACCTGACTGGAGGCCGCGGGGGGGGGGGGGGGGGTACATGGAGCATCGACTCCTCATGCATGACGCAGTCCAACAGTGTGTTATTTGCGAG